ATAAGCTAGATATATTATTTATAGTTAAGACTTGTAGCTAAGAGCTTAAATCAGCGGACAGAACTTAGAATTTATATGCTAATCTGCGACATGTCTTAGACAAAAGATGGCGGACCTAAAGCTACCGGCGCACAGTTCATTTCTCATGGTGATGGCATGAAGATTGAATTGGACAACATTCACTTCAGGTATCCTACTCGCGATGTCCCTGTCTTCCAGGGCCTCAGTCTCACGATTGAAAAGGGCCAGTTTGCGGCTCTTGTTGGTGCGTCGGGCAGTGGGAAGAGTAGCATAGTCTCTCTTCTTGTAAGGTACGCGGACATATCTCAAGGCTGTTATGATGACTGCTAATACAGTGCTACAGATTCTACGACCCTGATCACGGTCGTATCCTCTGTAACGGTCAAGACATCGCGGCCAACAACGTCTACACATACCGTCGTCATCTCTCTCTTGTTGCCCAGGAGTCAAGCTTGTTCCAAGGTATGCCATACAGATCACACTTGCACAATGACATAGCTGATTATCTCACAGGCACATTACGAGAGAACATCCTCCTTGGCGTTGAAGACACCATCGATGACGCAGCCATCCATCGCGTATGTCAAGAAGCATCTATCCACGAGTTCATCATGTCCCTCCCAGAAGGATACCAAACACAGGTAGGCTCCCGCGGGGTAACCCTCTCAGGCGGCCAAAGACAGCGCGTCGCCATCGCCCGAGCCTTGATGAGAAACCCTGACATCTTGCTCCTCGATGAGGCGACTAGTTCTCTCGACTCAGAGAGTGAGAAGCTGGTACAAGAGGCGTTTGAGAGGGCTGGCAAAGGGCGCACTATGGTCGTCGTTGCTCATCGTCTCGCAACGGTACAAAATGCTGATGTGATCTTTGTCCTTGGTGAGGGCAAGTTGATCGAGAAGGGGAGCCATGGCGAGTTACTTGCTGCGCGTGGAGTGTACTGGCAGATGGTAAGTCCTTTTGTGTCCACGGATTACAAGGCCTTGATTGAGCTGATTGCTGACCTTAACAGTGTCAGAGCCAGGCTTTGGACAAGTAGATCCCTACTAAACCTTAACGATGTCGCTGCCGCAGGAATTTATCTTGCCTGTCTTTAATGTACTGTACTATGAACTATTGAGATATGGCGATATAGACACCACTCCAATATCCTTTGTGATCAATCCTGGATGTCAGCCACTGTTTCAGCTTGGTTATCCAAGAGCCCGGTTCATGTCATACCATGACTCGCGTACTGTGTACCGTGCGAAAGAGGGATTGAACAGAGCCTCGCATCTCTTTAAAATTAATCGCATGTATTACAACCATATAAAGGCTATCATATTTATCTATCTTACTGCCTCGCTTAGTGTAATATAAAAACCCTATTCGCCCTCTAAGACCCCCAAACATATGGATCTGCACCCGATGCAGCAAGTATAACAGTATTTGTCACAACATCAGTCGCAACAACCGTACCATACTCGGTGACCGTAAGATAATCCACATTAGTTACAAACACACTGTTATACGCAGTGGCAGATGCAGTATTGTAGTTCGTAGTTTGGATCGTGTAGCGGTTTGTAACACCGACCGTGTTGTAGTTAGTGACAACCACGGTTGTGTAGTTTGTCACCGTGACAGTAACTGGCTTGGTCGTCGTGGCACTCTTGCGCTGTGTCACCGATTTGGTGTCGCGGTTTGTTACCGCCAAGGTTTTGAAGTCTGTTGCCATTCTGGTTACTTGATTGTAGATGGTAGTCACCTGCTTCTTTTTAATATAGCTTGTTGTATACTCTTTTGCCATATTAGTGACAGTCTTGGTTTCCTTGGCAGCAACGGTCTGTGTTTTTGCGGCAGCCGGTTTGTTGGAAATGTGACACGAACAAGCACTGCTAACAACGCTAGGATCCTTGAGTGGCAGGTAAGAAGGAACCTGCTTGATAGACACGGCTCGCTTGGCCGGCTCCAAAGAAGAGTTAGCAGAAGTTGGGACACTGAACATATTGGGGAAATGGGCAAGGTTGGAGTTTCAGAGTGAAGAAAGAAACATACCTTGCTTGCCGACGGGCATCCAAAATCATAGAATTTGTAGCTACTGGCTGGGTTTGGATTTGTGTTGATAGCCCTAGCAATCATTAGTCTAGTTCCATGAGCAGGGCAAACAGGGTAGCAATTCCAAAACGAGTCGTACGCAGTCATTCTCGGTTTACTTACGCTGGTTGGTTGTAGCATGCGCACGCGCCAGGTCCAAATCCAAAGCTGACAGCGCCCTGCTTTGTTTGGCAAAACGTCTTGCAAGCGTCGAAGGTGTTAGCAGAGCTTGAGCCGACTGAATACGAACTATGTCCATAACCAGCAATAGCGCAGTGGTACTCTAGAGGGTGACGGTCAGTGTTGAGTCATAACCCGCCGTGGTTCTGAGAGAATCCTACCTGTGCCAACTGAAGTTGTGGGAGCTGCTCCTCTGTTTCATGTTATTGGCTGCTCTGTTGAAGAATTGTCCTAACAAAACTTACGTGACTCTGGAATGGCTGTTAGTTTCGTCAACATGGACTATCGAAGATGGTACTTACGTGACTGTGACTGTGACTGTGGTTGGGACACTCACGGTGATCTCTTGCGTATCAATGTCTGTAACGTCCACGGTAGAGGTCAAGTCGATTGTCTTGGTGATGGTCTGGGTGACTTGCTCAGTGACTACATCCGTCAACTGCTGTGTCTGAGTCTCGGTCATTTGAGTAGTATCTGTGTCAGTCGAAAGATCCGTCATGGTATTCGTGATTGTCTGAGTCGAAAAGTCGGTAACAGTAGCTGTTTGTGTCTCCGTGACCACCGTCGAAAGTGTTTTCATCACCTTTGTTCGAACTATGTGATTCACATTGACGTGGACTCTCTGAATTTGAACTAGTATTGCCGTCTTGGTTACCATCTTGGTCATGTCGCTAGTGACCAGAGGGGTAGTTGTTATGGTTTTGGTGCTTTGAAGGTAGGTTGAGCAGAATGCAGATCCAGCTGCTTTGTTGCTCCTCAGGGCCACGATATCTTTGTCGTTGGGCTGGCAGATAGCTGGACAGCGACCACCATTAATTCAATCTCTCCTGTTGCAAACTTGGCCAACACATACCGGGCGCTCTCCTGTCCAAGGCCAAGTCCTGGAGCTGGCCATTGATGTCGTATTCAGGCCACGGTGCACTAGTCGGAATAGCGCTTGCGGCGCTGAGAAGCAGCGTTAGTGTTATCTGAAGCGCAACCATTTTGGGTTATCGGATTAGTATCAAAGCCAGGAATTACGTTCAGTTCGACAGCTGAATTAAATGCCAGACAGGCAATATATACCATATAATTCAGAGATCGAGACCGGATCTTGTGGTCTGTCTAACCAATACCGGGTTATCGGTACAGCGCTCGCTAGTCCTGGGCGAGACCTACTCCTAGACCTATCTTAGCCACGGGCCGCATTAGGAAATCTAGATACTACTAAGAAGGCCCAGGCCCTGAGCTTTGTAGAATGCTAATGTGGATGAGTGGTACTAGGCAATATGCATTTTGTTTTCTGGTCATGCGCTGTAATCGTTGCGTGATTTTCTGCATTCCCGCAAAAGATGAAATACTCGTATGGGCAGGAATGAACGAAGGCAAGCTCCAGACTATCTGACGCTACTACAGATACTAACCGCAATGCGCGTAAAACAGTAGCGAATCTCCAAAAGGAAGATCGGCTCACTAGCCATGGAATGCTGGAAACACGTTCTGGCCTTAAAACGACCGCTTTTATTACTAGATAAAGCTTTACTACCTTGCCTAGCTTGCCACTGTTGCCAGATATTAACCACTACCGTACAACATGCACTTAACCTGAAATATAAGATTAGACTGTAACGATGCCGAAAGATTCTTGATAGATCTTGATCGAGCAGAATTCTGAATGTCCTGTTATGGGCTACGTTAAGTGCTAGCCGACGCATGCACCGAATTGAGTTTTGCATACCAGTGCACTGGAACACTAAGTAGCTTACAATAGCGCTAAGCATAATCGTCTAGTCTCCAAGATCTTCATCTTTCAGCTGTGCACGATGGCTAAGATCGGACTGGACTAGACTCGCCCGTCTGATCCTATTGCCCAAGAGATCTCCTCTTTCTTCTCTGCCCTCGGCGTCTCTTATCGAGGGATGTGGTTTGGTATATAATGATGTGCAAGACGTGGATCCAGGCACCGCAGCGGCTACAGAATCTTGCAACGCTCTATTATATCAATAGAAAGCATGTAGTACTTGGTTTTGTCCATATCTGCTCATTAAAGACATCTAGGAAGCATTCATCCGACCTACAGAGTGAGAGGGTTATGACCTGGAGCGACTGCCAGCTGATGAAGTAATAAGGAAGTGATGGTACGTTAAAAGGGTGGTGCTACCACGTCGTGAAGGGCATTTACGAAATCGAGCTGGCAGGACCTAGCGCCGAGATGTCGCATTAAATTGTCTTGGTTTTCCTCTATCGTGTGGCCTTTGGTGTTTCTCAATCACAACACCACGTCGGTAACAATTCTCTATCTAGCATTGGGAATAACGATTGTGTTGAGCGGTAGCTTGCAGATCCAGACAACATAGTTTTCCGTTGTAATTGGGTTTGATCAGAGCATTACTTGCAAGACTACTGTGACTAATATCATGACAGTCTGAGGAAGATGGCTATGCGCTGACAAATTGCTAGGGCTGATAAATGACCGAATGGAGCCAAACTGCCAACAGAAGCCAGTAAGACGCGCGTTGTTTTATGACGTACCATCTACACCTGATTGGCTTTAACCTGATGCGATCAATGATTGATAAGATCGATTTGGTGTTGGTTCCGCGGAACCTGACGATACACTATCCTAACATCTTTGATCGTATCGCGGGTCAGCTTTTGCGTGGTGATTGATAAGATGCTTCGTAATGAGCAACTCTGAATTCGTGAGGTGGAACGAAATTATTCAGTCTAAATAGTTATATACGACTACCCATAATCTGTAAATCAATGTTCAAATCATATTCTCATCTCATTTCACCTCATCTCATCTGACCTCATCAAGTTTACAGCGTGACTTTTCGAAACCAACAGCACTCACTTTAACTCACCTCATATACATATCAACACCTCCAACCATGGCCGCAAAGTCTCCTGTCGTCCTTATCCTTGGATCCGGCCCAAATATTGGGCAATCTGTCGCTCGTAAGTTTGCTTCTGAGGGCTTTAGAGTCGCCATTGCTTCTCGCTCTCAGAAGGAGGTAGAAAGCACGGACAAGCAGCTTAACATCAAGACTGATCTGACCAAACCGCTCGAGGTTACCGATGCCTTCGGTAAGGTAAAGACGACTTTCGGGACCCCGAGCGTTGTTATTTACAACGGTAAGTCCACTCCCCAATCAATAGTAAAAGCGGTGATCTCATGCATCATAGCCAGCGCCGCAGCCTTTCCTCCGGCGGAGGACCCCCTGTCTGTTTCTTACACCGACTTCAGCAACAACACTGCCATCAACATCCACAGCGCCTTCATCGCAGCCCAACAGGCAGTCGCTGGTTTCGCCCAGCTTCCCGAATCAGCTTCACGCACTTTCATCTACACCGGTAACATCCTCAACGTCACCATTCTTCCCAAGTTCCTCGATGCAGGCGTTGGAAAGTCTGGCGCCGCTCATATGATGTGGGATGCTGCAGATGCATACAAGAACAAAGGCTACAAGTAGTTGATCACGTCATGATTTCAGTATCAGGGACTAACATGCTGTAGGTTCTACTACGCTGATGAGCGCAAGCCTGATGGAGCGCCTAAGTACCGTGTTGATGGGGATGCTCACGCTGATCTGTACTGGGCGCTATCCCAGAGTAAGGAGCAGGGACCCTGGATGCAGACCTTTGTCAAGGGAGAGGGATACAAGAAGTTCGAGACGCTCTACACTCCCATTGCCTAGGCTAGTCCCCATCTTTGGATAGGACGCCGTAAATAGCACATTTAGTTCACAAATTAGAGCGCTTAATCTCCACCAAGTGTTTGGCGCCCACCTTGCCCCGTGGGTACACTCATTTGACCAGGGTAAATCCAATACCCATTATTGCATCTTGCCCCAGTCGTAGTATCAAGCGACTCTCTAACCCGTGGCTTCTGCGGCAGAATATACTCACCGCCAAAGAAACGCCATATCTGCCAGTGAAACACACGTCCTTCATGGCCTTGTGCACGAGCTATCTCGCGTCGCAATTCGACGTACACAGCGTATGGGATGGAAACAGCGAAAGGCTCCCTCATGCAATTGGAAACGCGGCGCATGAAGAAACTGTCCAGGGTGTCAAAGAGCCAATGGACATGCGTTTCGACGTTTTTAGACAGCCCGAGCTTCAAGGCCAGGTTCAGTCTCTTGAGGTCAGGGAAGTTTCTGTCGATAATTCGGAGGATTGCGTTCAGGTCCCTTTCGCGTGGGAGGTTCTTACCTATACAGACATCTGTTTCAACGAACCAAATGATTTCCAGGGACCTTATGGATGACATTCTTTGCGGGAGGATATATGCTGTTAGGTCGACAAGAAGGGTTGCGCTTGAGATATGTATAGTGTTTGTTGTGTACAGGACATTAATGCCCTCAGTATAGCTGACGAATAAAGAGTGAGCATCAGCCAACGAAACATGAAAAAAGAGACTTACGCCTGTCTGCACGTTTGAAGCCATCCCATAACGCCGATCCAACACCCATAGAGATCTTTACTGTTCTTACTCCACATGTCACAGCACTGCGCAAGACCTATGCAGCATCTGTCCTTGTCAACGGCTCTCGCACTATAAGACTCTGTCGCGATAGCCGGGTGCCAAGGCGGAGGCTTGTGATGACATGTGCAGCCTCTCCAGTACCAAGACTTAGGTCTGCTCTTATCCAGGCCTAACCTCCATTCCTGAATCATGGCGTGAGCCCTTTTGTTACCCTGCATTGGTGGATGGTTGTATGTAAGGTCCATGTGAATTGTTCGATCACCAAATGCCTCAATCAAGACCTGCCTTCGGATCTCATATGGGAGCATCTGGAAAAAGGGCGCGGTCTGTTGCGACTGGGGCAAGGCTTCACTTGAAGGCGACGGCGTCAAAATATGCGGTCGTGGAGTTGGGAGGGTTGGAGGCTCAGGAACGCCATTGTGTTTCTCCCGTTTCGCGATGCACCACGTCATAAATCGTCGCTTCATGGTCTCGGGTACGCAAGATATATTATTTGTGCTTATGTTGGATGCAGATGAGAGACAGGCTGAGAGCGCACTAATGCCAAGCTTTAGCATTCGTGGTTGGCGGGGCAAGATAGTGCCAAGACGGCCATGCACTGTGCGTATACTCCGTGGCCAGAATGAAAGCGTAACGGCTTGTTATATGCTTTATGTCTATTTTACGTCTCTACTACAACCTTGAACTGCTTTCATCTTCTCAAGAGTTATAAACGCTGTACGAAACCCCAGAACGGATCTCAGAGTGCTATGGCATTAATATTCTTGCTAATCGCTGTTGAAGCTTGAAAACAACTGAAGGTCAAATGGCAGCAGGGTCTCACGCTCAAAATGAATTTGCTGAGTGTGTTCCAAGACTGCAATGTAATTAAATCTCCATCAAAAAGCCAGTGGCCTTTTATACAATTCATACCTATCTTCATAGTCTCCCCAAATCCAGTAGCCATTACTTGCTATTGCATTGGCTATCTCACCTTTGTCGTCCAACACCAATGATTCAGGTGACAAGGGTCGCCAGACTTGAACACCACTCTTTCTAACATAATATTGATTGTTGTGACGGACCTCGTTCTGGAAGTCTTCGTATGCAGATTGCGGGATGGAAAACAGAAGAGGGTCCCGAAGCTGACCAAACTGGGGCTGTTCACACCGCCGTTCGACGAACGTGTCTATAGATTGAAGCATATCAAAGACATGTGTAGGTCTCCTCTTGATACTCGTCCTGTTGTCTTCTATAATAGGAAGGTCGAGTCGTAAACCGATATGGAGGCGCAAGAGACTGGGAAAGTGTGTATCTAGGATGAGCAGATCCCGCTCTAATTGTTGCAGGTTTGGAAATGCTTTTCCTTGTTGTTCCTCAGTGTCCAGCCGAAATACAACCTCAAGTGAGGATATCAGCGATAAACTTCGCCCAGGGACTAGTCTGCTCAAGTTGGTAAGAAGAGGCTTGCTTGCTATATGAATGGTGTTTGTGCCATAAAGGACCTCAGTTCCTTCGGTGTATCTAGAACAGAGGACAGTTAACGTAAAGCCAACATGGCAAAGAGGGCAGAACACTTACGCTTGGTGACAGGTCAAGAGCCATCCCATCACCCCAATCCAGCAGGAATCAGGTTTATCCGTCCTTTTAGTCCACAAGGCGCAATACGCTGCCCAGCCCTCGCAGCATCTATCATCAGCAGGTTTGACGATAGTATGAAAATCCACAGTAATCTTGAACCGAGGGGGTGGCAGGCGATGACATACACACCCTCTCCACTGCCAGTACTTAGGCCGGCTTCTGTCCAGACCTAAATTGTCTTTTGTATATGGATAAAGGTGCATGGCGTCGTGATGGAACCTGTCGGCAGGCTTCGTGGATCTGTAAGCAGATCGTTCATCGTTAATCGGCTCACGCAACGGATGGGTTAAAACGAGGTCCATGTGAACTGCACGATTGCCAAATGCATGGATCAAAATCTTTCGTCTGAGTTCGAGAGGCAATTTGAAGAATGGAACCGTTTCTGCTAATGTTGTAATCTGCTCTCGCGAGGGGGATGGAGTCAAAGCGTATGCTCGTGGCTCAGGAAGTCGTGGCATTTCGGGGTCTCGGGAGATGTGTTGACGACTGTGACGTTTGGCGTCTATCCATGCTTTAAAACGTCGATGCATAATGAGAGATAAAAGAAATACGTCAGTGTGTTGTTGGGCGTGAGATGTTGAGGAAAGACAGTGGAGGGGATTGCGCTTTTTATAATGCGGTTGGTGACACTGTACTGTACTATTGAAGACTTGCACTGTGCATTAATTTACTTCCTTAGCCACAGACGCATGAGATAGCAGCATGACCGCAAGAATAGAGACAGAATGATTGATACATACAAAGAATATTACAAAAATTCCTATTGATAGCACATTTACCTCCATCTCCAACACCATATAAACCCCGTAGACTATTTATCTATACTCACACAAACATAGGAATCGGGTTTCAAGCCACTACATTTACTGCCCAAAGCTGGATTCCAAGCAAGGAGCTTCTCAAGTGAGATACCGTTAGCTCTTCGAATGGACTTGCAAGTATCTTTCTGGGAAACAAGCCAGTATTCCTTGCAGTCAGATGCGATATTTGACTGAGTTGGCATAGCCGTTGCCGGTCGCGTAGGGGTTGTCAAATCTGCGGTTCTGGTCGTCGGGGTATCAGGGTTAGCGACGCAGTACCAGGTATTATCTTCAATGTCGCTACAGTCGTCAAAGACTACTGGGTTCATCGAGATAAACTCGTCGGCACTAAATGTCCCGAACATATTGGCCAACTGATCACATGTTTCCCCACCGGTAGTGTAGTACCACGCTTTACAGTCCTTAGGACTGCCACTGGGAATATCATTGGGGGTTGTAGTAACCGTTGGGGGCATGAGCAGCTCACTCTTGACACCAACACAGTACCAGTTATCTTTCCAAAGACCGTCACAGTTGTTCTTCAACACTGGATTGTATTTGAAGAATTGATCGTTGGATAAGTAGCTGTACGTCTTCAGAATGTCCCGGCAGCTCTCATTGGCCTCTGCTTGGTGATAATGGATGCAGTCTGTTGGCATAGTACCATGAGATGGAGTTGGCATAAAGTCAGAATTGGCGGGCGTGAGCTTAGTGGCCGTATAAGAGGTTGGCTCAGAAGGAGGAGTAAATGGTGGTGTTGATGTTTCCCATTCGAGGTTGCCTGTAGCATTGGACTTGACTCCGACACAATACCAGTAGCCAACAAAGAGACCCGAGCAGTCTTCATGGATTTCAGGATTCCATTTGAAGCTATAAACATATTATTAGTGAATGTTGACGAAGGAATATATATCAACTTACAACTCTTCCTTTTTCATGAAGTAACTATGGATATTGAGAACATCTTGACAGCCCTGCCGTCCTCGGACAAGATGCCACTTGTTGCAGTCCTTGGGCTGTCCAGACTGGGTGGCTTTAGGAGGCCAAGTGACATCCGTGGTGGGAGTTGTAATGTTCCAAGTTGAAACGGGATTGCGAACGGAGTATGTCGTATTAACTGAAGTGGTGATGACGGATTCAGAGGTGACTCCCGATGCTGGCTTGCTTGAGGTGCTTGTGGTTGATGAGACATAGTTTGTCGATGTAGGCCTGGAAGTGGAAGAGGTTGGGTCGCTCGACTTCGTTGTTGCAGCAGTCTTGCTCTTGCCTGTCGATTCAGCAGATGTGTAAATAGCCGAAGTGCCATCGATTCTGACACAGTAGGCGTACTTAAGCCAGAAGTTGGTCAAGCAATCTTTCGAGACTGCTGGGTTCCAAGCTAGGAACTCTTCTTTGGTGATGTAGTACTTCTTGGGGACGGTTTCGCAGTCGTCACCTTGCGTGACAGTATGCCAGGCAATACAGTTGGATGGCTGGCCTGGATGAACTGGAGCGCCTGGCATCTTGCCCTGCGCATGAACGGCAGAGAGGAAGCTCCAGCAGAACAACAATGACAAGGTAATAGACCGCATATTGTGTAGGTGCATGATTTAACAATGGTTCTCATCTACACAACATGAATATAACTGTGAGGAACAAAGATAAAGGGTATATCAGAGCGTCAGAGTCTGTAAATCTTGCTCGGATCTATCGAGCGACATTGTCATGTCTGTCAAACACCAGATAACTTGGTAACCCCATGATTCCGAGGTAGGATCCTGGATGACGGAGACATCGCCAACGACTTGTTGGTTGCTCACATTCATGAAACAAAGACGGTTTTGCAACTGCGCCCCGAAATTGCAAGTGGTTGGTAAAAACACGCATTGCATGTCCATCCCAATTTACTACTTGCATGTGCTCCGCAGAGTCATTTGTTGGTTGTCGATATGGAATATGAACTCGGTCCTTCGTCTTCATGCTTGCAGCTAACGCCTTGAACCTAAAAGGATAATTAAAATAGCACCTGAAACGAGCATGGACGACTGACCCTTGGTATCTGTCAATCAACCATAGGATTATTAGGCCGCAGTCATCCCTAGCATGGGTCAGTCAGTGCGGTAGCATCTGTTGGTTGCAAGCGTTTACATCCTTGTCATCAGGCTATCACACTGAGCCAAAGAACGGGCCGCCTTTTTATCCTTGCTCAGTTTGAGTTCTGGATAAGCATAAGCACAGTGGGATTGGTTCGGATTGGTAAATCGCTCACTGTTGTTTCGAATAGAGGTGGAACCTCGGGTTCATCATCTGATAGTGGCCCGTGAACTTTTGGGGGCGCAACGTAACCATCAACCTTCTCCACTGATTTTCTCTCCTCGGTCTATTTATCATGGGGCACAAGGCTCCACTGGGCATACTACTAATCTCGGGGATGTCAAGCCTCACCATAATAATCGCACGTCGGCGGTCAGTATTGCTGTTGGTTGTGTTTATTGAGATTTGCAACTGTAGTTCTTGGCACGGCGTGGCGCAGCTTTGTGTGAAACAGGGCGTTGGTGGTTGGGTCATTAGCAAGTGAACCATGTTCTGCTGTAACACTGTGCAGAGACCCAGCATCAACTGGCTTTGCCCGTCATGGAAGTCGTCGAGGAAGGGGTCTGCCATATGAATTTCTGGGTGTATCTCAGTAGTACCGGTAGAATTCCAGTACTCAAAGGTTCCCACGTCTATAACACCACAATCGGTTTACATCTCCTTAGACATATTGCCTTCAGATACCTTACTCACTCCTCTCACTACTGATCTGCAATCGCCATAACAGTTGTTATCTATCAACTTTTCTACGCCCTCATTTACGAGATGCGTCTTGTCTCCTTCCTTCTTGTCATTGCATCGCTGGCCAGCTATGTCCAGGCAGGGAATCCATTATGGGAGATATCTCCTGCAACCTCAATGGCTAGCCATGGCGCTGCCTTCAAGAGGGCAGTTTCTATCTGGCCCAGCGACGACCCCCATGACAACGCTGGGGTACGCCGCTGGCCTAAAAAGACCTTGACCTACGCATTCAGCACCACAGACGCAGAGAAGAAGCTTGGAAGGATCCTCGAAGAAGCTAAGAAACTCTGGAACCAACTCAATGTTGAGGGCTTCCAGTATGAGAAGCTTGAGTTGAAAAAATGCAAAGGTCGCAGGAGCGAGTGCATGATCATATACTACAACAACGATGGCAAACTTCTCACAAGCGTTGGTCTTCAGCCTCTGGATGACACCTTTGATGGCCCGTACATGCATCTATCTGATAAGAAGGATGTGGGAAATCTGAACCCTGTTGTCAATGTTGCACACGAGCTCGGCCATGCCTGGGGTCTATGGCATGAACATCAAGCAAGAGAGTGGTGGGGCCAGAGCGGAATTGACGAGTTTTGGGGCGGAACACTCGATGGTGAAAAGTTCATGACAGCTGATTATCATCCCGAGAGGCTGAAAGACTATGAAACAGCACTGGAGAAAATGGCTGAAGCTAAAAGCCTCAAGTCAACAGACGAACTTACTCAGGAACAAATCAACATGCTCCTCAGAGATCAAAATACGGCGAAAGCTTATGGTTTCACTGGATTGGAATGGATGCCGCTGAGGGATTCCGGTATGCAGGCTGACAAAAGATTCGACGATGATTCGCTGATGCTTTATCCGAGCGGCGCTGGTGGCAAGGGAGAAGTCATTTTCGATGCTGATGGTAACGTTCTTGAAGATAAGCGTCTTGCAATTCTTACATATCCTGATGGGAAGCATATGACCATTAAGAAGGTTCCCTCGGGGCAGGATAAAGACAGGTTGATCATGATTTATGGGACAAACTACAGGGGGGTCAGCAGGTTGCATAATGATAAGAGCAGTAAACTGCGAGGGTTTATGAAGAAGATGCGAAGCAGCTTGTCTCTCAGAGCTGGCGATACGGAAGAGGGCAGGTGTGAGTAGTATGATGATTTTTACTATGGAGGTTGGTCAACAGATAGAACGAATATCTACTAAGTCAATACAGTATACCAACATTTGGGCTTAATACATTCTACAATCTACTCTGAGTGAATGAAGAGCGTCCTACATCAAATGATGACTAGGTGGCCTGTTGATTTGATGATACAGTGATAGTGGAGACTGAGCATAATAACACTTCGAAGATCTACCAAACAAAATAACACAATTTTGCTGGTATAGGAAGAATAGCTCTGGAGTAGTATAAGGTAATAAAGTGTCACATTACTCAGTGGCAACGGTGTGATGCAAACTAGAAACAGAATATAACATAAATGAGCCATATCGAACATGTAATCCTGTAGCCATCTCGGTCCTCTTACTCTTACAACTCATCCTTATCAATATTTCCACTTCCAAAACAGGATACCACTTTCTGCGGCGGGCTGACACTGGACTTCTTGCGCTTCATTCCTTTTCTGAGAGCCTCAATCAATGTTCCGTCATCTAAGTCTATGGCCCAGACCATGGTACTGTCATTTCAAGTTAGCAAGATGTATCTCTAAGAAAGATTATACGAGGAACTTACCCTCCAAGACAATTCTCATTGGCGTAGTCAAGCTTCATCTTGAGGGTCTTTGCATCGTCCCATGAGACCCACTGATTCGAGTCCCAAGTAACTATCTGTACGGCCGCTTCCTCATCAAGCTTCATCTTGCCTCCATTCTTGATGATCTTGTTGATCTCGCTGGCTGAGAGAACTCCCTTGGTCCCGGTGCACTCTCCGCCCTTAGCGCCTTCGCTGAACTCGCAACCAGCGTCGAGACAATTGGCGCTCTTCATGGTGAAGCCTTGTCGGTGTTAGTAACGGTTGGTTAATTAAACCCAGTAGTATTACTCACTTCGACCATAAAAGCCAAGTCCCATGACAACCCGTTCGGGATTGATGTTGTTTCTCCAAAGAAGTTCGAGGCCCTGCTGGATCTCGGTGAGGTTAGTATGCGCATGGGCGTAGGGACCCAGAGACTCGATGTTTTCGTCCCAAACCCCATCTATATACTGGTCAGTTGAAACTTCGAAGTGTCGAGATGGAAAGGCTTACGGATATCATATGTCATGATGTTGAACCAGTCAAGGTACTTTTCCATATTGACAATGTCAAATCCTTTGAGATACCAATATGACGCTGGCTGCAGTGACATGTCAGAGTGATTTCGGAGGCATTACAAGGACAGAACGTACCAGTGTCAAGGTCAAGCCATACTTGCGGCCGGAAGAATTGAGACGCTTCCTCAGGCGCTCCAAAAGATTGACATAGTTCTCGAAATCTTCTTCAACGCCACCTCTATCCTCTGCAACCGGGCTTCGGAGCATGTTAATAAGGAACATTGAGAGAAATGAGAGGGCGATAGCAACTTACTATTCCCAGTCGAGATCGACGCCATCGAAGTCATACCGTTGCAGGAAAGTGATGAGCGAATCAAAGAACGCATCCTGCTTCTTCTCAGACTTGGCCAGATCTGAGAAGACAGTTCGATACTTTCCTGGATCGTTCATAGCCCACCCTCCAATGGCAATCCATACCTCCAGGCCATCCTGCTGCTGTTTCAGTGCTGACACCCTTCCGTAACGAGAAGCTGTTCCTTTGTCCATAGGATCAAGACGATATGTGTCAGGATTGACCAGAGCGAAGGCAAAATTAATGTGAGTGTAGTACCCGAGAGGGATATCCTCAGGCTCCATGTTACCGCAGGGCCTTTGGTAGTTCCAGCCCTCATAGTAGCCAATGGTTCTCTTATCAGAAGAGTGCTTGGCTTTGTCGCACTTGGGTGAAGCCACGGTCTTGCCTTTGCAATAGCTGGATAAGGTGCCGCAAAAGCCATAGTCGCTACAGCAGACGTTGAGTGGACAGGTTGTGAAGTTGGAGTATTTAAGGCCCCAACCGCCTGGGTCGCATTCTGACTTGTAGTCACACTCTGAGGTGCAGTCTGTACCACAGAACTTGGGACCAGTACCACAGATCCCGAAACCTTCCTTATCACTAAGTTGATGTGAGTAATCTCGACAGTATTGAGATTTGATGCCACTTACAGAGGGCCACAGCAGCCGAGCTTGCAGCCTTTTTTCTTGGTGCATTTCCCATCTGAATCGTCTGCCTCTGGCTCAGCCATCATTCGCATGGGCTTTACCTCATTTTTTCCTTGTTGCTGGTTCAGGATCATCTCTCGTTGACGGCCAAGAACTTGAGCTTGACCAGTAAAAGTGTCAAGGTCCAAGCCCTTGGCCACTGAAGCACAGAGAAGCCCAGCGGCAACAAGCCGACGAGAAAAAGACATGTCTGGGTGTAATCGATGGCGTACAGCATAAAATGAGAGATCATGTAATAGATGAAGTTATCGAATCGTAAGATGGCCTATAGAAAGTTTGACAAAAGCAGACTGAGAGCTGAAGGTATAAAATGTATGTGAATGGAGTGAGACTCTCATCACTTTCGACTGATCTACGTGGGAATGTTGAAGACCCTGATATTCCATTCTGTATCCTTTCCTCTCTCTTGCCCATGACTGTTGGCTGTTGGCTCTTACTCAAAACTTCTTGGCATGTAACTACGGAGTAATCTAAATGAGGTCGGGCTTATCTATGCAGGGGCTTGTGGAGTTGGGCGGAGCACCATGACTGCTACCCCGGACCAACAACAGGATCAGCGAAAAAAGGCTGTGTAGGGCCGAGTTCGGTCATGGCCAGGAAATAAATCCGCTGTCGGTTGACGGTTGAACTTATTCTTAGGTTTGTGCACGTTTCAGTCTCGTCGCTTGCCTCGTCATGCGCTGATCGGTGGTCTGTTCTAATTTATTCGAAGAATGAGTGATTTAGCAACTAACAGACAATGACATCGAGGAGTACCAGGGCGGTTATTGCACAGTAACACAGTGTAGTCTCGTTTCATAGCTTACGAGTGCATGTGATAGAGAGGCGGGAGACAGGCTAGAGTAAGCTTATTTTCAACTCTGAACTAAGTTGAAGGAAGATTCCCATTCCAGTTCATTGTTTGTGTGACAGCCTCCAAAATTTCATTCACTCATTGTTTCTTCTATCACTTTCTTATCAAGCGCCATACCGTATGACTGACATTCAAGTCATTTGTCGCAACCATGGAGTTCACTATCTTACTCTTTCTTTTGACGCTCTTCTCAGCCGTGCACGGCCATATTCCCCATACGAGACACTCTCGCTTGCACTCCATCCCGCCTCCAAAGCTCACTAAAAGAGCTGAAGATGACCCGTCAGACTTCTCGTGGGTGAAGAGGTGGGCAGCTATAGGCGATAGGCACACCGCTGGAATTGGCTCTGGGCGTCCGTTGGGTAGCATCTTGGACGGTGAGAAGCTTGATGTCAAGGTGAAAACGATGAACATCACCCTCCCAAACCTTGAGTTCAGTGGCCATGGAAACTGGTATTGTGCTCGATATGACATGTCATATCCCATGATTATCAGTAGGCTCCTTGGCTCGCAGGTTGAGAGCTTTCAGTATGCCGCTTGCAGTGGAGATCGTGCTGGTCAGATTTATCAGCAGGCTGAGCAGATTGAAGGTGATCTTGACATGGTCATGTTGACAGCTGGTGGCAATGATCTGTGCTTGGTAAGATGGCCCTTCTGTATGACCAGAGACACATGTAATTAACAATGAACCTCCAGGCTGGCATCATCGCGGACTACATTCTTCTCTCCGCCAACAACGAGGAGGCTTGCGAAGCCGTCCTCAAGGTAGCTGAAGACAATTTTGAGAATATCATCACGAATAACATGAAAGAAATTCTTTACGCCTTGAACAAAAAGGTAAACAAGGACGGCATCGTTGTTGTTCTTGGATATGCCGAGTTCTTCAGTACTGAGGACGACAGCTGTGAGTACGAAGAGTGGGACAAAAAGGCATTTCTTGAACCCATCCAGACCCCTCAGAAGTTGACTATTGCTCGTCGTCACCGCTTTAACGCACTTGTCAAGAAGATCAACAGGGAAACCGCTGATGCAGTCAACGACATCTCTAAAGACGAGGATGTCAAGTATAAGATCGGCTTTGCAGACTGGAATCCTTGGGTCACTGACGCCAGCATTGACGGGCAGATGTGCTCTCCTTCTGCGAATGGAGACTATCCTAGCAAGGACCAGCCTCAGATGCAGTTCATCAAGCCGCCCACAAACCCTACGCCTGGAGAGCATGAGGATCTCAAAAAGCGAGGATTCGATACAGATTACTACGATTACAGTCAGGGCGAGCTGAGGAGGAAGCGTGCAGCGCGGAGCATTTGGGGTTCCAAGTTCTTCAACAGCGCCAATCCACCGGAACTCGTACGTAGAGTCCTTGGTCGTCGAGCCCCAAAACCTCCAGGCTGTCCCTCCGATGAATCGAGAGACTGGACAATGGGCCTTGGTCTTCCAAACGACATCGCGGAGAACTTCCATCCGAATGAGAATGGACACCTCACGATGGCCAGCTTCGCGATAGCTGAGGCGATGGACCTTCGGTCGTTGGTGCTCGGCATTGATCCCCCTTCATGTGAGGTTAAGGACCAGTTCAAATGCTGGTCGGATGACAACTGGAAGATCTACGCCAGCGCTGATCGGCTCGACAAACACTATGAAGATTTCTGTAAGAACGTCGAGCAGCCTGATCATGAGAAGGGCTGGGACTACTACAAGGTCTACGATGAAGACACACCCGATGAGCATGAGTTCAGAATCTCACTTAGCAACGACGTCGCAGACTACGACATCAATCAGTGCATCGACTCCTTCAAGAAGCTCATCCACAACTGTGATACCAATTGCAGGCTGAACTGGAAGACCGGAGGCAAGTATGTCCGCGATGATGGAGCCTACACATACGAAGTCAGCCCAACGCGCTATAACAGACCCTGGCCACCACCAGAGTATGCCCAGGGAACCTGCAAAGGATGGTACCACTTTTCTCATAGTTCATATACCATTGAGGGCGGTGGGTTCTCAACGTGGGACTTTGGTCAGAAGACGATGAGGCCAAGCATGAATGGATGTTATGGACTTGGAACGACGGCTTGGAACTTTGAGTACTATGATGAACCGACTGATGAGGGGTATGAGTGGAAGCTTACGTTTAACACGCCTGTTTTTGTGAGGTCTAGGTGTTTCAAGAACAATAAGGTTGTCAAGGGTGCTGGCGGGTGGACTGATGGATGCGGAGGAAATGACTAAGTAGGATATGATTAAGTACCTAGATAGTGAGTGTGGAACTATTATCTCGAGCATTACCAGCACTTATCCCTTCTTAAAAGACTTAAGCAATGCGCCCTATCTTGGATTTCTCTCAGTAAGGAAGCTCCACTAGAATGCACCCTATCTTGTATTCTAACTGCACCAGGTCAAGCTAGTTGCAGTGCTACCGTGGGTCAGATTATTAATCATTCCAACTTGACATAATTTCGCCGCGTCTGCATTGTTTGCATAGATATATCTAGACTGATGTTTTTCTGTCTTTCTTTTCTATAGTTCTGCCACTCCTCATCACTTACCTACAATCCCACATTCCTAAACGACCGTCGCCATGTCATCCTTGTATGATTACTCCTTCGCCCACGTCTCCAAGACGGATTCAGTTCATCAATCCGCAATTAAATACCGCGACCTACGTCTTAAGGCACTAAAGGCTTCTCCTGAGTCTTTTTCTTCTACATACGAAATCGAATCTCAATTCACAGAGAAACAATGGATAGATCGCCTCCTCCAAGATAACAGAGAGAACTTCGTCTGCGTTACCACCCCTGCCGACGCTGGCTCTTCTTCTGTGGCACAATGGGTCGGACAAGTGACTTTGAGAGGTCCAGTGAGCAGAAAAGACTTCACTCTTCCAGAAATCTCTCGCCAGCCAATGCCTGGCGAGGACGAAGAAGAAGATCGTTGGCAGATGCTGAGCCTGTTCATCTTGCCGGAACATCAAGGACGAAAATTGGGCCAAGGTCTATGTCGGGAGGTCATTAGTCATTTGCAAGAAACTCGGCAGAAGGCTAGAACAGTAGTGAGATTAATGGTCAAGCCCCAAAACACCGCTACTGTTCACTTGTACGAAAAGCTTGGTTTCGAAACAGTGGGCAAATGCACATTGGCTGAGGCTCTGGTAGCGAACGGAGATGGCCATCTGCTCCCTGAGGATATCACAGACGCCAGGTACTCTACTCGATCAGGCCTGATTATGATCTACACCATCTCAAATACTTCCCAGAATTGAGAAGTTTTAACGGAGTGCTAAGAAGTTGGCCTGACCTTGGGACTTTGGTACCTGATTTACTTGTAGAAGTATTCCGCTCCATAAGTATAGTAATAGAAGAACATTCTCATAACTTATTACTACTACATAGGGAAAAAAGCATTATCTACAGTTTCGTTTTAGTCTTGGGTGGATGCTCCTCTTCCCACTTCTGCAAAAGTGCCGTTGCCGTTTCAACCTTGCGGGTGAATCCATCATACAGCTTGGCCCATCCATCGCTTACAGTCCTGATATCAATTGGTCGACCAGTCTTCGCATTGATATACGTAATCGATCCCGTAACCTGTGCCACTACTGCCTGCTGCTGTAAAGAAAACAGAACTGTCGTACCGATATTATGGTTCGGTGTGAACTTTTCTTCACGATTGGCCACAATGAGCTACCCACAATCAATAAGATCCTATTACTAAATGTCGCGCATGCTTTGACTTACCGAGTCTGGATATCGAACTTGTCTCTTCAACAGTATCTCATACTTGTGCACAACGGGTATGACACTCTTGCCCTTGATCATATCCTCGTATTCCTGCTTAGACAGAAACTCGTCGTAGCTTTCCATGACGCGCTGCCAGCAAATGCCGAAGAAATGCAGGTACTGCGAATGCGCGACATGTCCGAACGGGTCTTGGTCTTCCGCCCAGGTCACACCACGCTCTACCATGGTCTTGGCTTCAAATCCCTGTGCTTCAAGAACTGTTAACGCTTTTGCGCGAAGTTTCGCGTAAGGGTCATCTTGGTCGGGTAGTTGGGAAGATTTTGGAGCGCCTGAGCGGTGGTAAGGCGAGAAGTAATCTGTTGCCTTGAGAGGCGCGAAAGTCTTGTCTGATCCCGGCATGGTCGGAAGTCTGTGTTGTGCGTTTTTTTTGCTACGGACAATAAATGGCGGGGGGCAGTCAGCACTTTTATAGAGCGTCGCATGCACTGTTTAAATGAAACCTTAGCCTAATGTCATAAGCAGTAATCTCCGGACACTTATTGCTGGTTATCATTGCATGTTGATTGAACCTAATATTTCTGTCAAGACCGCTCGGAATGCCGACCCTTCTATCCGCAAACTTTCGAGCCAAGATAGCTTTAACCAATGACGGATCACCATTTATATCTTGGTTACATTGGATGCCCATCCAAGGAGCGGGGAAGCGCCAGGTTTCGCTCCATGTGGTAGGTAACATGACGGCCAAGCACAAAATCACGGTCTCTTTCATTGATCTGTCAAAAATGGCCCCCAATGACAGGTATAATAGCGGCACATACCAACTTGGGGGCCGTCCTAAAGCAACAGCAGTCGGTATCTAAGCTTATCAATGACATGTGATATACCTTTTGTCTGTTATATACCAGGCTAATAGAATAACAAAGCCCGTCCAAGTCTGTCTCTCAAAAGCTTCGGAATCAATATGTCGTTCTCGTTCCTTATAGGAATTAACTAAACTCTTTCCGGCATTCACACCTGTCTTCAACCGCTTCGGTCCACACAGAGGTGTAGCATCCCCGAGGAGTTCAATGAGGTAAACGATGAGCAGCTCAGTTGGAAAGTATTAATTAGGCTCGCAGTAGTTCATAAATAGCCAAGCCAGCAGTGACAAATGCTATAAGATTGACGATACTATTGACCAAACGGACGCGCTTATTGCGCGTCTCTGTAGTAGCTCAATGCCTACCGACGTCATAGATCCTGTCATTCCAGCTCCAACCCAAATTCACAGGGACCAACCCCTCATATCCCCTATAATCACATGAGCTCAGATTATCTTTCCAACCGTTGTCATCAGTTCACAAGTCGCGACTGTTCACAGTAGCTCTTTCTAAGGTCAAAAATGGTCACAGCGCGATCAAAAGCCAAGCCCTTAATGGACACGATAACTGAAGCCCACCGCATGTCCTACCGCATCGGCCGCGGCGAACAAGGCGTACTCACATTTGAACCCTACAAATCCGCCATCCTTCCCCTCTGGCGCTTCCGCACAGTTCCCATCGCACAAAAAAGCGCTGAAGATCTATGGACCAAATTCAATGAGTTTAAAGACCAGCGCGACTTTGTGGGGATGGACATGACTCGCAAATTCATTCAGATGGGTATGACGCGTGCAAAGCGATATGCAAACCATGCTGGGGGGCGGAAGTATAAGAAAGGTACAAGGGAGGAATTGCCAAAGAGTGATGAGCATCCTGATAAGGATGAAAAGCTGAGGGCGAGTTTGATCTTTAGGGGGTACTGGGAGAAGTGTAAGGAGGATGAGCAGTATCAGAATCTCAAGGAAGAGTTTTTGACGGAGCAGAAGGATTGGAAGGATTCTTGATGAATCTCCGCATCAGTGGTTATCTGTGGATCTTTTGTGCGCGTTCTGTCAATATTCAGCGGACTCTCTCTTCTTCAATATCTCTGCCTAGGTCCTTAACAACTGCTGCCCTATGTCTGACCCAGCCATTCGATCGCAACACCATCACGCAGGGGCGCATTCAGAACCCGTGTGATAGCAACACTCAGTGCATCGTCCTCATTCATATCCCATTCCGATGGCCACTCCTTTCCTCTATCAGCATATATCTCCCAGTTTGGCTGCTGAAGCTTTACCTTTTCGACCGCAGCCTCGAGTCTTTCGGGGAGCTTATTGCCAGGTAAACTGTTGGCGAACCATATGATTTGCCGTTCGAGAAGTTTGCCAGGATCGACTTTGGCCGGGAATCTTGTGGTCCGATGTCTAAAAACTGCGCTTTTGGGCTTGTCTTTGGCTGGTGTATTTGATGGCATCTCCTCGTGATATTTGTCGTTGGTATGGGGTTAGTTTTATTCGTCTTTGTATTGGTAGCTATTTAGAACAGAAGTTACTTATTTTGAGGCTTTTATATCCTGGGATATATCTTTATAAGCTTTGTTAAGATAGTTGTTCATTTTACTGCCTTGTTCAAGTACTCATTCTTTGTTGTTGTTCTCAAGGCTTGCTCATAACATATGATCATTTGACTAAGCACTGCTAAGAACTTGCCTGAAGCGCATCATTCAGTTTCTATCCCTTTCTCTTGCTTATTTTTGGCGGCATTCTCAAGGTCGGCTCTTCATAGATATGTATGTCGATGAGCTCTCCGTATTCCAATTTCCCCTCGAGAGTAACATAATTCTGTCCCAAACTACTTCGGTCGGAAGAGGCAAGAGCACTGATATGCAGATACTTGGAATGAAGATAGCATTAAGCGAGTGGGTATAAAAATAAGCATATGCAGCAAGCACTACTCCAGGCAGCAGTATTATGTAATGGCTGCTGGGCGCACGACATCAACCAACATAATGCTCTTTATTCTTCACCATCTCCCTTCACCCAGGACCCTCCGATCATTTGGACATGGCAGAAAATCAAAGTAGTCTCGAACAGGCCCTCGCTGCCATCCGGAACTTCGGCTTCCAGCACCCCGACGATCAGCTCCTAGAATGCTTCTTGTGCGACTCAGTTGATCCCGAAACAACTGCTCGCTATGTTCTCCGAAAATATTGCGGCCAACAGGAAGATCTTAGTTTGGCGTTGTTGCTATATGATTGGAAAGAGCTTCTCGAAAATGGTAATCACCCTTGGCCTCATCCTCTAAAAGTCTAATGCTAACGAGGGCAGTGATTGAGCAGTTCACGCATAAAGCCAAGACCGAAGGAGATATTGTCGCAAGTGTGACAGAGAGAGATGGCCGCACGTGCTGCATTACCGGACTCGAAGCCTCTTTCGTGGATCCCCTAGTTGTGACACCAATCTTTCCCGCAATTTCACCACATAGAGAGGTACTCTGATATGTCGTCTCCTTATCAACGATCTTCAGCTAATCGAAGTTTGAAGCAGTTTCGAGAACTCTTCGGAATCTTCGTTGGCTCTGATCTGCAAAAGCAAATACACAGTCATGATGTCCGCCTTGGTGGTGTACAAAATCACTGGCTTGTACGTCAGTCTGCTGCGAAGGCTCTAGCACAAGGTTACTTTCGCTTCGCATCCACAAGAGGCTCTGACGTAAGTCTCCTTTCACTTTGTTTTCGAATCTGCACTTTGCTCACGGCCCCCCAGTATCGTGTATCACAAGTCACAATTGGAGGTCCCAACCGACCTTCCATTGTCGACAAGATCTCGACTCTTCGAAGAGGCCGCTTTATGGACCATTCTAACTCTGGAATCGAGACTCCAGAAATCAGTCTGCTCCTAGCTACATCGAGATTCTTCAAGTCCATATGCTGGAGTCTGGTTGGTCAAGAAATTGCTAGTCGACCGAAACAATCGACAAAAAGTACGCTACTCTCCTCACCTTGGCCCTACGTGTCGGAGTACGTTGCTCTTGCGTTTGCGTCAATTTGCCGTTTGATGCCGGCTCATCTTCGCATAAGGATCTACCAATCTCTAAAGCTCTTGGGGGTTCGGACTTATGGACCATCCTCTAGCCTCAAGGTCCAACAGCTTCCTTTTGGCATGTACCTGAAAACGATGCATCGTGATGACTACCAAGCACTGGCAAACGAGTTTGGAGCTCTGAGGCTTGTGAGGGACCAGACCAAGGTCCCCGTTCCCCGTCCATTGGACCTGGTTTGTGACGCTGATGCATCGTATCTGGTGACAACTACAATGCCGGGACAACGGTTGGGCTCCTATATCGATGTACTCAGCGATGATGATCTCGATACCTTCAAACGCGATATGCAGAAATACATGGCACAGCTGCGCTCGATCTCAAGACAAGGAGACCAGAGGCATGCCATTAGCAATGCTGTTGGTGGGCCCTGTTATGACTATCGAATTGTGGCCTGTCGCGATTATGACAAAGAGCGGGGTCACTTCTTTGGGCCTTTCACTGACGAAGAAGAGTTCAATAATACACTGCGAACGCCCGCGCTGCCAGATGTATTTCATTCCACGGGCCATGATATAGTGTCCACGCATTCCGATATTAACATGAGGAACATCTTGATGCATAAAGGTCGGATTTCGGGTATTGTAGACTGGGAGAACTCAGGATGGTTTCCCGATTATTGGGAGTATACCAAAGCGCACTATGTTACTAAGCTCAACAAGAGGTGGTTGACAGTGGTTGATCGGATCTTTGCGAACTTTGGTGACTTTAAGGTTGACTTGGCAATTGAGCGTCGCCTATGGGAGTATTGCTTTTAAACTGACTTTAAGATCAGTCCACAAGAGCATTGTCACTTAGCATACAAAGGTTTTACAGAGAGGATATAGATTTAAGCAACGCAATTCATTCGGATGCAGTTATTAATAACTAATATGCCAATAAAGTACAAGAAGAATATGTCAAAAGTCCATCCATCCAAACACATGTCTGCCATTCCTCCAGAATCTCTCACAAGTCAAAAGTCCAGCGCCATCCTCTCGCTATGCGTTTCCACACACAGGTCGTATACCATGATCATGAATCAGGACGAGTCACCCACTCAATAACCACAGCACAAACAGCTTCTGTCCTTCATCCTCTCAGAGAGAATCTAGTAGTGAGGAGCCTGGTAGGTGGGAGCCTTGTACTCAGGCTTAGGAGCAGGCTTGGGCTTCTCAGTCTTGGGCTTGGTGTACTCAGGCTTGTGGGGCTTAGGAGCGGGCTTGGGGGCCTTGTAGGTAGGCTTGGGAGCAGGCTTGGGCTTCTCGTGGTGAGGCTTGGGAGCAGTGTACTCAGGCTTGTGGGGCTTGGGGGCCTTAGGCTTGGTGTACTCGGGCTTGTGAGGCTTAGGAGCAGGCTTGGGGGCCTCATACTTGGGCTTGGTATACTCAGGCTTGTGAGGCTTGGGGGCCTTGGGCTTGGTGTACTTGGGCTTCACAGGCTTGGGAGCCTCATAGGTCGGCTTGGGGTGAGGCTTAGGCTTAGGCTTCTCGTGGTGAGGCTTGGGAGCCTGGTACTTGGGAGTCTTGGGCTTCTCGTAGTGAGGCTTGGGCTTGGGCTTCTCGTGGTGAGGCTTGGGAGCAGGATACTCGTGCTTGGGCTTCTCGTGGTAAGGCTTAGGCTTGGGCTTCTCATAGTGAGGCTTGGGGGCCTTGGGAGCCTCGTAGTTGGAGTACGAAACATCGTAGTTGGCCTCGGCGACGGGAGCGGCGAGGATGCCAGTGGCAAGGGTGAGAAGAGTGACAGCAGAGAACTTCATGTTGGCGATTTAGTTTTTGAAGAAAAGGTAATTAAGGAAGGGCTGTTGTCTTTGTTAAAAGAGCGTAGAGAAGTTGCGAGTAAAGAGTGGATGTGAGTGAGTGACTGAAGAGCAGAAAAGAAAAGCAGTTTGAAGAGAGTATGTCCAGCTCTTTTATGTGTTTGTCTATTCCCACGATGAGTCTACTTTTAGATGCAGTAGTGACATGCTCGTCTAACAGCCCTGTGAACACTGCACTAATCTCGGTTCACGGCTCATAGCGGAAGGTACCAGTAGCAAAACTCATCGGCCAGGCAAATTCACATCATCCACTACGCCAGCTGAGAAGCAATTGACGTGCTCAGGGGCTCGACGAAAGTTGCGGTGATTGGAGAAGTCCAAGGTGCAGTGCATCTCGGCAGCGCGCGGTTACAGGCACTATTGGGCACTAATACAGGGAATAAGTTCGTATGTTATGACAGTGGCTTACTCGGGACAGGAGGGAAATTTGGCGCCGGCCGCGATTGGCTGCAGTGGTTTAGCCGTCCGGGCTAGCGGTGTCTAGAACGCCTTACCCCTGAGGTTAGGGCAGGTCGGCTGATACCCACTGATTTACCGTCGTGGAGATTGCTGCTGATCGATTGGCTTGGCGATGTGAGCTCAACTGAGCTAAGCTTTTCTCCGTGGATCTCATCTGGGGAATACGAGGTCAGGGGTGATTCATTGGACAGGTTGTCACGGAGCTTTGTAGCAGGTGCCGTTGAGGCGTCTGTGTTTGTTGAGGTTAATATCGAGAGTCAGCGCTAAACTCAGGTACGAGACTGTTCCCGTGAGTCCCGAGTAGGGCTTTCAGGGGTTAAGTGTACACTGTTTCTGGGGGATCTAGAACCGGAGCCATCAATTACCTTCCTTTTTTGTTGATCCCATCACGTAAGAATATTTGGAGTGACATGAGATCAACCTCGCAGTGGTCGGTGAACATCGCTTAACCGCTGGGCTTACATCTGTTGTTTAAGCATATCGAAAAGGCAAAACAATTATTGCAAATAGTTCCAAGCCTCGAGCGTCTAAACAACTCCTGTGGCTTTTTTGGCGGAGTAATTTATTGCACCCTCCGTAATTATTGCTTCATTTCATCATTCACGCTCGTGAAATAACCGCCGTTGTTTGCCGCTCCGCTGAGATCCGGAGAGTTGGTAAGCCACAAACAAAAGTCTGTGCAGGTTGAAGCTCATCTATCAATCTCATCTCGGACAACAAGCACATCCAAGCTCGGAAGATGACAGAAGTTTGTCAAGGTCCAGGTGCGCAACTGAAAATGACAGCCAAACTCTCGTTCAACGCACCATCTCAATTAGACGATTTGTAATCTGCCAAACTTCAATTCCCTCCCCAGAATCTCCTCCAAATCCGAGTCATGCAAATATGCTTCACCAGTGAGTAAATAACTCTCATTACCTCCATTATCACCCCGCAGACTTGCCGCATCCCATTTCTCCGCCTCCTTATGTCCCGCCCGTACCTTCAACGCCTCCATCGATATCCCACCGTTATACTTCTCTTTAAACGCAATCTTGCGCTTAATGTCCTCATCCCTTGGTGTAAAGACGTAAGGAACCTTGCCGCCTTTCACCGCCATCACAACATCGCCTTTTTCAGCCCAGGCCGGTGCAAGGATGAGTCTGCCGCTTTGGGTCCTGAACAGAGCTCGGACCGTCTGCGCTATTTGCAGGGTTCTTGCGAAGTGAGAGGCTTGGGTTTTGCGTTCTTCCGAGATAGCCTTGCGGTCTTCGGGTGACCACGGTTCATTGGGATATGCGGCACGTAGTTTGGTGTAGTCGTCCTGTATCTTTGCCATGATGGGCCCCCTTTTCGCGATGAATTCTTTCAGGATGAGAGTCTTGTCGGTGATTTTTGCTTTTTCTTTGTCATGTTCTTTGACGTAATTGTTTACCCAGTCGTCAAGCCATTGGCAGAACCCGATCATCTTGCTGCTGGCCTGGCCTCTCCATGTTCCAGCAGTGAGAAGGTCACAGAAGATCTCAAGAGGCGACATTCCCGTCGACTTTGCGTTTTTAGTCATGTCGAGTATCACTTCTAGTAGATGAAATGGCGGGGCGTAGTTGAACGAATCCTTCAATGCCGCAGCTTCCTGTGCTTGCTCATTTTCCGTGGAGCTCAGCGTGATCATGGACTCCATATCGTGCGCCAGATCGCCGAAGAAATTATACAACACACAGGACTCGATAAAATCTAATTGTGCGGCTTCAAGAAACAGCGCTTTACCATCAGCCGATACTAATGGACTATTGATCATCTTGGATATGCTTTCGAGTGGTGCGCTGTTTTGCCAGATAAGAGGCTTCATCCCCCGCGAGTTCTCCAGCCATGGGACAGCATACCAAGATGGCACATCGAGTTCAAGCTCTGACAACTTATCATACTTCATAGCTGAGTAGTGGATGCATGTGTCTCTCGTCATGTCGTAGAAAAATGGACTGCGATATCGCGTTGCGAGCGAAAGGAGGTTCATCGGCTCAGGACCCGACAAAAGACACAGCGCCACCTTCTCAAGAACCGAGGGGAACTCTATGGCGTAGTCTGCGTGCAGTGGTAGCCATTGACGTCTACTATCTTGTGTAGTTTGATCGTGCTCCAGCGATGAGCTGTCGGAGCCTTGTTTTAAGCTCGGATTCATCAATAGCGTCTCTGGCTTGATCAAAGCGAGTCCACCGTACACCATATCCCTCGGATCTCTTGCCTCGCGGTTCTTGACCAGGCTGAACCATTCCTGCAGCCCAACTTTGTCACCCTCAGAAATCGTGCGGCGCGAATTGAGCAACGAGACAGCCTGATCAGGCATGTCGCCAACCCACGTCAATATCTGTGCAAACATATGCAGCCCACTGGTATTCCAAGCACCCAGAATACTTCTCATCCAACCGAATGCAACAGAAATGTCATCAGCCTCGAATTTGTAATCTCCCAAGAGGAAGATGGCTTCTTTGGCGAGGCATAACTCTTGCAGAACCCAAAGCCTCTTAAACCATTTGCGCGTGACGATGAAGAAGACGCAAAGTACTAAATGCCAGAGTGATGTTGTTCCAACTCTGGTGTAGTAGAAGTCTTTGGACTCAGCAGCCTCGGTAATCTCGGGAAGTCCGGATTTGGTCATGTCAATGAGGTTGGCGACACCTGGCGCGAAAACGTGGGGACAAGTACCCAGCCAGATCGTGACTTGGGAAGCTGAACTGTAGATTCGATTCATCATTTGGACTTGTTGGCCCAGCTCAGTAAGGTTAGACTGATCGATACATATCGCGTCTATCCAGTACAGTCCTGGACGGGCCTTTCTGATCTGGAGAAGAGCTTGGTATAGGTTAGATTTGGCGTAGATACCTTTGCCGTCGCAGAGAATCTTGTCGCGGTCGGTCGTGTTCTCGACTGGTTTTGCATCTGGATCCGATGGTTGAGAACGTGACCGAACCATGAAACGATTGAAAGTGTGATTAACCGTATCGATACCACTAGAGACAACTTTTGAGAAGTTTGGGACTTTTTGAGAGAGGTATCTCAGCTCGTAGGGGAAGCTTGGTGGGTCTAATTCCCAAGTGTATGATAGCGCGTGATATTTGGGGTTGTCCACTAAGTCAACTGTATGGAGAGAGCATTGCAGCATCTCGCTAGGGTTCCCAGGCTTGACTTCAAGAAGCCGTGTGCTTGAGGCCGTTGGCAGTTGGGAATATGAGAGTCCATTGGGTCCTGCACCCTGTATATCATGAGCCTGGCGCCGAGTGCGAGAACACTGAACTACAGTGAGGAGCTCTTTGGAGTGACGAATGATGTCACCTCTATCCTGCCACGTCTTTTTCGCTGAGAAGCCAACTTGTCGATACAGTCTCGACGACCATGACGGAACATTGCTTCCAGGCTGTCTTGTTTGTTCCTTACTCTCAGACATTGTTTCAATAAAAAGTCTTGGATTGAAACAAAACAACGCCAGGAATGCCAGCGGTTACCCTGTATTTAATCGGAAATAAACAGTCTTTCAGGCGGGGGCAGTGCTTGGCAAATCGCCAATTATGAACGGACACGCTTCTAACGCGCCCAATCATGTTAGTGATCGACAGGCTGTGCGTGACCGTGGCTGGCTGAAAGTCGAGACATGGACAAATGGCGACGCGATAAGATGAAGATTAGATAAGAACTAGCGAGACAATGTTGCGTTTCTTACATTTCAGCTCACCACAGCTCACACTGGCAAGGATGCAGGAGCTTAGCTATTTATGGCTGGAAATATTCCATTCCTTCACGAGTTCTTCCAGTCCCTCTCGGAGAGCTACTTTTCGTGTTCGGCTACCCAGAAGTGTGCACATCACGGTGTTGGCTGCAATGTCACGAGGACTTCTGAATGAGCAGGGAAGATACGTTTGAGGCGTAGTGGAACTTTTGATAAAATGGGACAACGACCAACAGAGGGTATCACCAGCGAGATAAGGCAAATGATTAGTGCAATGGTGTATAAATACATGCCATTTCTCCCAATCGTCCCTTTCAGCGCTTCAACACCTTCTGACAAAGGAACCGAATCTCTTATCACATTAAATATTTACGCATAATGGCTCATCAACCAATAGTCCATTATTCAGTTGACCCTTCCACCAACCCCAGTTCATGGCCACCGCCAGCTCCAGGCTTTGGCACCATCATCAACAGAGTCGATGTCATCTTTATCAACATCAACGGTGACTCCAACTTCACCATCCTCCGAACAGGCACCAACGAACATGTTCACCATGCGGTGACACAGGTGACCAAGCACATAGCTCGTGGCCTTTATCGAATTATCAGCATGAATGTCAGCGAATACTCGTGTTTGGTAGTCATGTCTACTGAGAAGTCGAAAGATGAGTTGTTATTCAGGAATGGCTTCCCTTGGGACAGGCCAAACGATCCTCAGCCAGATGTTGTTCTGAGTTAGGTGGATGTACAGGATCAAGGCGAAGGGCTGAAGATGGGTTGCGATACAATGCGACATCTGAAATAAAAGATCATATATTCATTTATATGCTACCTTAGTCATGTCAAGGTTTCTTTCCAACAAGCTGAATCTCAATGTGTAGGTCATCCCTTCGAATTACTGAACCTGTTCACATCAATTCATTGTTATATCCTTCATGCTACAATTGATCAGTACCTGTTCTGACCAAGATCTTGCCGTAAACTTACTTTATCTTTGATTGACTTGCTATCTATTTGTAGCAACGGCCATTACTGCAATACCTCGCCGAGTTCTGGCAGCATTCCTTCTTGCAGCACTTCAGGGTTCGGCAGCAGAAGTTGCCGAGGGAGCACTTCCTGGGAAACTTGGCTGGGCAGACCTTGGCGGCGAGCTGAAGTCCCTCGCCGTGAGATGAAAGATCGTGACCCTTCTCACCAGCCGAAGCAAGGTCGGGAAGGCCAGCAGCAGCTTCTTTTGAAGTAGCTGCAGAGACGAGAGGGGCAAGAACGAGGAGGACGGTGCTGAACTTCATGGTGACTTAAGACTTAAGCTTAATATGACTCTGCAGGGTGATGAACAGTCTCCAATCTGGGGAATTATCTGCCTCTTATAACCCAACACACCGCCATCCATCAACGGTCCAAAATTTCACCGTCTTAGTCTCTAATGCCTAGCTGCAAGCCACTTACAGCCTTATCTAACTCACAAAGGCAGTTAATCGCTGATTCACTGTCTCACCATGCTTACTTTAATCCCGATAAAGTCAAGCCAGGTTCCATCGGAGGGCATAAGGCTGACTGTGAGCAGCGATCATCCCCGTAATTCTGGCAGAGCTGGAAACTTAGTATAGAATGTGCCGTGATCTTACAGGGAGTCGATCACGGATTATCGGCAATGAATGCCCTGTCGGGACTCGCGCTGGATGATCGGGCGCCCTGGGACTTGTTAGGCCCGTTGTGAGTAATTTATGCGTTGGCCAGAATGAGCATAAAGTTGTCGTGGTTAAGATTTACGCCTTGATTGGTCGCGATGAAGTTGCATAACCTTATACCAGCTATTTTTAGAGCTTCCCCCGCAATGCATGCCAAATCGAGATAACTCATCGGCAGTTAGCCCATCAATTCATGGCTACTTTATCATTCTGTTATAGCTGTTTAATAGGCCTGAAGCTCATGCTGTGTGCTAATACATAATCACGAGGACTGTTCTCTCTTCTCTATTAAATGATAAAGCCAAGCCGTGGTCTCAGAGTGCGCTAGGTTTCCATGACCTGACTTCAGGGTAGGTTGTTTATTTTAGAACATATATTCTCATCTATGGCTTCCATTGGCCCAGACAATGTGATATATAGATACTGGATATAGCTGAAGGCTATAAGAAAAGCTCTATGACTTGTAGTTCGTCAAGACGAGTGCGCTGTGGTGCGCGATATGCCTTTCACAAAAACGGCTGGGGATCGTGACACTCAATGACAAATGGGATGCGACGGAAGTGCAATGTCAGGGGAGTTACTGTTGGGTGAAGCATACAGCACTCCTGTACAGGCCTGTTGGCAGAATCTAGAGGTATGTTGCTTAGGAATTCTGTTAACCGTTACTACGATTTGTCAATACAAATGGCATCCCGCTTGACGATAAGGCACCAGATCGAAGAATAGCTTGCCTCAGCGAGTTTCAGGCCCGAGAAGCTTTGACAGAGCACTCGGTCTGTAATGACCTTATTACCGTTAGCTAGATAGCGGCATACATCTCAGAGCATGGCAATCAAGTTCAGATATAGACAGGTCACAAAGAGAGCCCGTGGTAAATCGAGACTGTTGTAAATGGATATCGCAATGCAAAAGTCTAAAATGCAAACTATTCATACATCTTCATTATTATACCGCTGAACTCCCCAGCCTTTTTTTATTGATCCCTTGTCTCTTGGACATTAGGATTCCTCTCATAACGCCAACGTTTTCCATTCTCTTGCACATGCCACCTCGTCATGAAAGCACCCTCTTCTACCCATTGCGCCCACTCGACACCCCATTTCTTCTCCACAGAGTCCAAGAAGGAGAGATAGTCAAAGGCCTGAACAGGATCCTTTTCTAACGGGTCAGCAGCAAGATCGCTGAGGCGCCACTCGGTGTTGTCGATGAGAGGAACGCTGAGGTGACGGTCAGGATAGCGGACATCGCGCACGTTGAGCATGGCTCGGCCAGGGTTGACGACGGTGAAGTGCCATTGAGCTTGGCCTGTTTGGTTGTTGACCATTTGCATGGGTCGTAGGAGGGACTGGCCTTCGTAGTTACCCACCAGGGACTCGGCGGCTTTGCGGCTGACGCCTTCGAATGAGCCACTCTCGAGCATGAGATCGAGGATCGTAGGAAGGACTTGGGTGGAGTGAACGGCGTGCTCAACCTTGAAAGCAGGAAGAGATGGGTGAGAGAAAACAAGCGGGACATGATCAGATCCAACGCTAGGGTTATAGTAAGGAGAGGCCTTGCCATTCTCAACCAGCGAGACACCGTGATCACCAAGGAACACGATGAGAGTTTCGTTTGCAACGCCTTGGTCATCCAACATCTTGAGAACCTTGCCAATCCACTTATCATCATAGCTCTCAGCGTTGGCATAATGTGACATCTCATCAATATCCTTGCCAGAGCCGATAGCAGTGTATGTCTCATTCTTAGGAATACCATAAGCGTGGTGACTCGTGCTAGTGATATGTGTGAGGAAAACACGGCCGTTGTTCTCCTTGGCATCGTTGAAAGCATCGCGCATGTAATCCTCGAGAGGATCCTCCTGGAAGCCAAAGTAGTTGATGTCCTCCAGATCAACGCGGTGCTTAGCATTCTCACTGCGAAGGGAGTCTCGGTCCTGAGTGTTCTCCTCGGGATAACCACAGGCAGTCATGAGCTTGTGATGGTTGTCGTAGTGAATCATGGCAGTCTGGAAGAAGTATGACTTCCATTTGGCAGCTTTCTCGTCTTCGGCCTTGTTCATGGCGTCGAAGATTTGAGGGAGGCAAGGCTGGTAGATGTGACGCTTGTAGTCGAGGTTGAAGTCGGCGATGAGGGGGTTGAGGCCGCAGATGGTGCCGACGAGACTCTTGAGAGTATAAGTACCGGAAGTATAAGCGTTGCTGAAATGAGCACCGCCACGCTTGGGTGTCTTGTCATGCTTGAAGCCATCATCGTAGTCGCCAGTGACATATCGGGCATTAGGCATCAAGTTCTTGAGGCGTTCCTCAACATCCTTGGGAATCTTCTTATCAGGGTAAGAATCCTTGAACTTGTCCCACATGTGACCGCCCTTCTTGAAGGGGAAGATATCGTTCCTGGTACTTTCGAGCAGGAAGAGCATGACGTGCTTGACAGAGACATCCTTGAGCTTATCCTTCAGCTCTTCCAGAACAGGCTGGTCGAGGTTGGAGATCTTCATGGGATCCTTGGCGGCGTTGTAGTGAAGCTCGTTGGGAGTGTACCAATCCTCAAAGCCAGCCAGAGGCTTACCCTTGGGCAGCCAATCCATCTTTGGGGGCTCGCCGAGGGCTGACTTCTCATCCCATTGGTGTTGAATGCCGACTTGTTCAAACTTTGAGGGGAGTTGATCGAGGAGTGGTGCGGTTGATGAGACGTCAACGAAGGGGAGCAGACCAGTGGTCCATGAGAGGAAGAGTAGAGATCGATCATCGGGACGCTCAAGTAGCAAGACTAGCATGACAATAGTGAAGAGAGACCAGAAGAAGTATGGCATGCCGTAGTGAATCCGCCTCACAGTTGAAGGCTGCACCCTGACGCCAAAAGTGCTGGCTCGTTGCGAGATTCGAGAGTACAGAGTTTGCGACTTGCCATGCTCAACAAAGTTTTCTTCCCAGGTCTCATCATCAACATCATCGTACTTACTCTCCTCGGCAATGACAGGTTCAGGATTGGGAAGAGGGCTGTAGATGTTGCGCTTCCTCAAGAATCTGTTTGTCGCAGTTCGCGCCATAGCCCAAGGGAAATGGACCATGTCCGCACCCCACCCAAACACTCTATAGCACACATTCTGAAGCAGCCAAGCAAGGACGATCAAGCAAGAAGCGACCAAGATGAAGGTCACGAGACCAGAAAGGAAGATGGCTCTGGATGTAGGGTCGGAGACAAGGTTGAGGTTTCGCCAGTGAATCTCGGCGCCGGAGACGAGGTAAAAAGTAATGGATATTAACGATAGAGCGACGTTGTATAATATTAATAAACCAGCGACGGCTGTAGTGGCGTAGTGTAGTATTTGGGTCCTGGGAGACCATTGATCGAGGAGGAGTCGGATTAAAAGAAGGACGAGAATATCTTGCACGAAGAATGTACTGAAAAAGGTGAACAATCGACCGGTAGCGACGGCGTTTCGGTGGCTGTGGATATGGGCGAGCTTGGATGCGAAGAGGGCTGAGACAGCAAAAGTAAAGATGAATGGGCGATTGGCAAGACGAGCGCCCAACCTCGTGAGCCAAGAGGGTATGCAGACCATGATTGATGGACAAAGGCCGTAAATAAAAGATAAGATAAGATGAATGAATAAACGAGAGTATGTATGTATGTATGTAGCACTGATCACATATAATGCTTGTAAGAAAAATAATGTCACCTCAAAGCTGAAAGCCAAGCACCATGATCGCCGTTTCGTTCTAGAAGAAAAAATAGACAAGAAAACTCGAGACAGGAAATCCAAAATGTGGAGAAAGCAACCGGGAGCCCGGGACTATTATATCAGATTTTCAGCCATCATCGTCTATTCCCTCTTTTTTTTTTTTAATTAGCTGCGGCGTCTACCCAAAAAGCCCTGCCCGAGAGTGCGCCCCCGTTTACGTTATGCAAATTGAAGGAAGCTCGCGTGCGCTGTTGCCTCTTTGCTTTGGCTAGCACTAAGCAATCTCGTGTTACGGATTTTCGGCACCGTCTGCTTATGCTTTGGACGTGTGTGATTGGCGGAGGCGCGGGATTCACCTGTTTTTAGGGCGAGCCGAGGAGCCGAGTTTCAACTAAGAGAAAAAAGGGGGCAGGACAGTGTTGACTTACTTTAGTGCTATTGGTGGAGGGGTACACGGAAGCTAAACATGTTATGGTATGGTTGACCGTAGGAGCTCGTTTAATCTCGTTGTACCCGAGGCCATGCATCACGAGACCAATTTCTTTCTGCTGCATAGCGGCCGAGAAGCTTGGGTTGGGCGCTAGAATGGGAAGACATACCCTTGCTCGGTTATTCCCGAATCTGGACCTGAAAATGAGAGGACGGAGCTGCAGCCCTAAGTCATGTCAGGCCATGTCATTGCACCCTTTTGGCTGACTCTTTCGTCATGACCGAAATGGAGAGTAGCAATGGATGGATGCCAGATGGCAACAAGGTTTCCCTCCCATGGCTTAGGTAGGGCGTTGTCCAAGCCGTTATCCGAAGTCAAAGTCAATGTTTTGACCATCTTCGGTATGTAAACACAACGGGAAACAGAACAAAGCCCATTCTGTAATTATGCCTCGTTTCAAAGGACATTGCATAAACGAGCGAAATTGGTGGGGTCATCATGGCCTGAGTCATATTAGGTACTGTGCCTTCCAAGTTCTGCCTACCAACAGCTCCTCTTCAGCCTAACCAGCTCAGCCTCTCTGCGCTGGCAATCCTCCTAATCCAACGTCAGCCACTTCCTTCTCGTGTAGATCATTAAGGAAGGGGGGGAAAAAGGTCCCCTTCCCCTCTGACCAAGGAAGGTGCCAAGGTGGCTAAAACCAAGGGACCGGCTACATCGGAAATGTTGTTTTTGTCGCGGAATAGCGGCAGCACAAATTTGCAGGGGGCAGCAGATCCTGGGAGGTCTGGGCCACTGGGGCGAGTGGGGAAGTGTGACAGTGGAGGGTTGCAGTAGATCATCCAGCCAAGAAGAGTTAGGGCGTCGCGGCTAAACGCCAGAATCTTTGTGATCTTTTCCATCCTTTATTTTGGTGCTGATATCATTGGATAATTCTGTGTGATTGGGAAATATAACAAGAACCCTGTGCTGTTTATAAATGGTTATTTCTGCTGTGGCAAATCACGAGAAAGTTTCTCCGGCCAGGATTTAGCCTTTACCGGCCGGTTATACGGAAATGAAACGTCTTACGTGTAATTGGCCGCCCTGAGTTTCTTAGTCCAGGGTAGCTCGAGCCGTTCCTTGCGTTAACACCAGAATAGAAAATTGTCACGAGCTTCAGCTGGGAATACACTCTGAATGGCCCTCTCGTATTTGACGCTTCATGATGCCATGGGCAATTTATCATTCCGCTACTGAGCTTAGCGCATCGCGGTCCGCGTTTTGTGGATTCGGGACCCCGGAACGTCTGCAGTTACCGAGCTTCGATGGATTGACATGCGGGCTGTTGAATCCAGGGGTTGGGATTGCCTTGACAACTTATACGAGATGAATGACATTTCACACAGAATTAATACATAGGTCTAGCATGAGTGGCCTTATGCAACTTCGACAAGGGAAGGTCTGTCTAGTTCAGGCGATATTGGACCCCGCATGACCTCTTGGTCATTGTTAAAGAGACCATTGCCTTTATCACAGATCTTTTTCTATGACTCGGCATGATTAGACAGCACATTATTTTGCGCATATTTTACACATTCAACCATGGTATCCGTGCTGTCACTTCGTATCGACCTTTTTCTTCTTAGTAGTAGACACTGCCCGAATCCAACACTTGGACCAACCTCGTATTCCAGCCGTATGTACGATCATGGTTACGAGATCCTACCCATAGCATGATAGTCAGGTTTTAAGTGCTTGTTTTTAACCTTATTGTCCTTCCAAAAGTTCCAGTCGTGCTGAGGCAAGAAATCCCAAACTATGCACTCTCCCGGTAATTATGTTCTGCCCCTTTGATCCTTTTACTACACCTCTCGCTCCCGCCATAGCCAACAATCCCTTTTCTCCCCCTCGAGATACAAGCAGGAATTCCCCTGAGTAGCACGCGACCACATCTAAGTATGTCATGGTTGCTAAGGCCGGCTACAGCGGGCCGTTCGGCCACTTAGCGCCCTATCAGAGTCCAACCGCGGTGTTATTGATATTAGATAGGGGGTTTGGGGATCATTCCTGAGGAAAGACAAACTATCATTTGCCAGTTATCCGATCTGAAAGCACGCTTTCTATGCTGTCTGATAGGCGGCCACTAGGGACTCGATACAAAGGCACTGACAGCGGCTGTACACTTGCCTGTTCACCGTGAGTTATTACCTATTGTCGTGTGATACAGTTCATGCAATTTGCTCTCCCGTCGTGGTATCAGTGCTATTACTCCTTATTGGCGCTTAACATCTGCTAAGTGATGCACATCAGTTCACCCCGTAATCCAGCTGCAGGTGAAATCGAACATCCTTTCGCCACGCCAGATCAGGCAAATGCTCGCTTCCCCCCTTATCAAACCGTACATTGCCCCTTGCTACCCAATCCATAATGGATTGAAGCCAGTACGTTCCTGCTAAGAACCAGGCGTGCTTGGTCAAGAGACAAGTTCCTATTACGAAAGGCCAGTTACTAACGAATTCACAAACTTATTTCCTCATGATGATGGCAGGACAATGTCGTTTCGTAAAGAAGCACTACTTTTCCTCTTAACTATCCACGGCCTGAAAGGGCATACCAAGGCTAGGTCCATCGAACAGTGGATTAGGCCTTGAGGCATCAATACTCCACAATCACATCCGCTCATGACGGTTAAAGTGAGCATTCACAATCTCTAACTGCAGACAATTGATATGTAGTCAGGTATATTGTCCCGCTTACCAACTGAAAGCATCGACCTCCAGTTCAAACACAGCCTCCCTTGCCTTTCCAACACTCACAACAGCAGAACGAGTACTATCGCAAAGTCCGGGAGGACCACAAACGACGACACCAATCCTCTTCCAACCCGCTTCGACTTCATGCTCCAGAAGCGCCTTTACATCCAAACGCTCGCCGACCGATATGACCTTGTCTGCTATCTCGCTTAATGCTGGCTCGAGGTCCTTCAGAAGCGGCCGAGAAGACTCTTTCAGACTCCACGCCAGTTTGACATTCACGTGAGCTCGGGTCCACGACAAAATACCAGTGATGCCAATTCCGCCAGCGATAAGCAGTACGCGATCGCATTTAAGCACATCACGAGTGATGTTGCCGCGATAAGGGCCCTCGAGGAGAATAGGAAGGTTTGAGTGCTTTCGTAGTAGACTTGTAGTCCCCTTGTGTTTTTTGATGTAGAGGGAGATGCTGTCAGTACCTGCGACGCTCTGTGATATGGCAACTTGAGGGATCTTCTGGCTCATCTCGACGTCACCCGAGTGGGATGATGCTTGCTCCAATGTAGACACCTTGTGCAATAGAGCTGTGTTAGTGATGGAGAATGGGTGATTCTGCCATGGAAGAAGCGGTTGCAGTGTAGGGAAGTATATGTAGGCATGGTAACCCGGGGTAGATAGCCATCTAACACCAGAGATATCCAGACGGACAATTTCATCAGATAGCTCAATGACAGTGGCTCGTCGTACACCATTATGCGCAACGCGTAGCACACGGAAGAGACGATCAAAGAACCATACGGCGCAGACCATGTAGATCCACAGTTCGTAAACTCCAGAGAATGGCTTCCAAAGGTAGACATGGTACCAACAGCCAATGATGACGAAAGCGGCGAGGAAAATATGTAGGATGAGGAATACTTCGTATGAAGCACGGCGGAACCAAAGAACGCTCTGAGCCAGAAGAAGTACTAGACATAGTGTTCCCACAATGCCCCATATCCAATAAGGCTTATGAACATCTGTGTAGTATGTTCCGAGACTAACGTAGGCAGCGAGGAGGGTGATAGAATGAACAACAGCATGAAGCGCACAGAGACGAGCAACCCAGCGATGAAGCACCAGAAAGGTCGAAAAAGGCCAGTCGGTGATCCACAAGAGGATATTGTTGCGCGAAGAGAAGAGGACCGTCAGTGGTAGCAGGGCAAACGAGATATGACCTGTTCGGTAGCCGACGTATGCGAGTAGCTCGGCTGACTTTGTGAAGCCCCAAGGATGAGGGTAAGGAAAGTTCTTGTAAGAAACCGCACCGAGGATGATGTTCAGGATAATAAACATGGCGACCCACAAGCCCTGGCCCATTGTTGGGGCGTTACCGAGGAGGTAAGGCAGTGGACGAATGTTGTAGCCGCGAAAGAAAGATGGGTAGATAAGATGTGACTTAATCCTATCTGTGGCACGGCTGATGAAAGGGACGTAACCCAGAACGGAGAAAAATACTGGTGTTGCGACTCCTACAGAGATCAACACGATACTAAAGACCAGACTATTAGCCAAATACCGAGCGAAGGTGTCTCGAACTTACACGTAAGTAGACTGAACAGCCTCTTCCCAGTCAAAAAAGACATTGAAGTCATACTGATACTGGTAATCAGCATCTGCTATAAGCGCCGTGTAGTTCAGCGTGTCGCCCGCCGTATACGTCCTCTTCGGAGGCGCCGTCACATTTGCAAGCGCAGCACCATAAGTCCATTCCGCAGACACAGTTTTATCCCCTGTTGCTTGCTGTACCCAGTACGCTTCAAGCTTTGAGGCTGAAACATCTGCGCAGCGGGTGTTGAGGCAATATGCGAGAGTGCGGAGAAAGTCGCCGTTCTGTGCGATGCAGGGTGCCATTGGTGAACCACCGTGTGAGTGTTCGCTTGCGCCCGTGCTATGGTGGTCCATTGACGGGCAGTCGAGAGGTACGCTGCTGATCACGGCGCGACAGGCGTAGGCACAGGGCGGATCGTACCATGATTGGCCGTAGCCCATGAGGCCTGTCTTGTAGGCATTTGTACTACTTGCCAGCAATGACAGCAGAGCTACAAGAAAAAATCTCATCCTGCTAACTATTATTAAGTTGAGTCGAGGATGGTAGTGTACCCCGAACTTGAGAAAAGTAAGGGAAGTGAGGATTTATGTAGTAGGGCTGAACTGGAGTCGCACACGTTACCTACGCGAGGTGGCATGTCGCCAATAGATCGCTTACAATTAGAAAAAGCAATAGAGCCTTCAATTTTGCTAAAGAATTGAAAGGTTCATGCGCAAATCGACTCAGATAGTCAAGCCACATTCAATGCCAAGGCCCAAGAGTAGCCTGGCGTCCATCATAAGAGGGCCGAAATATGCGCAAACTTGCTCAGTGCGATAGACGAAGCAACCTCACTGTACCCACTGGACGAATCGTATGGCTGTGATTACATGCACTGCAACCTCGAAATCCATAATGGCTCTCTTATACTGAGTAAAGACAAAAAGACAGTCTAGTACAAGACAAAAAGACAGTCTAGTACAAGACAGTCCAGCACTAAGTATAGGTTCAATCCATGACCACCGCCGCCACCAGGGATAGCCAGTTAAGCGAGGTGTATGTAGGTTGAACGGCCCCATGGTGCATCAAATGCCATTATCGCGTGCATGAACCTCAGAGTAGTTTTTCATTAATAGTAAAATGTGCTTATAGTCAATTGAGCTTCATGGTGAAGTCTGGCTATTCTACACGTAGAAAATAAAACTCTGCCAACAACAACCGATACCGCCTGTCCTATCAATCGCTCTTGTAGTTCTCAAATTGGCGAGCAGGAATCTTCTTCTCAAACATGATATCAAGCTCATGGAACGTCCTGCCCTTGGTACCTGGTACATCGAAGAAGACAGCCACCATCACCAACAGAGTCATGCCAAAGAAGACCCAGCCAATATGACCACCCATATTGCCCTCGTCCTTGTTGAACATGTACGGCAGCACAGTCACCCAAACAGTGCTGGTAATAGCCTGGAATCCGAAAGCGATACCCTGAGACTTGGCTCGTAATCTGGAAGCAGACACTTCGCCAGCCACAGCGAGACTTGAACCAACGGCTGGACCGTAAGCAAGAGCTAGGAATTGCATAGAGATACCGATAGCCAAGTTGGTCTTCTCGGACTGGGGAGAAGCAGCTGCGATGCCCATGATCATATAAATGAGAGCGCAGATGGTCATGCCGAAGAACAGCAATGGTCGATGGCGGAAGAGAGTCATCATGTAGATGTTGATCAATGAGGACAGGATAGAAACACCAAGACCGATCTGCATAATCTTGGTGATCAACACACTATTCAAACCAGTCTGACTGAGAAAGTACGGAGCATTGGACGACAGGCTTGAACCAACAATTTGGGGCATGTACATGCAGACCAGAATGATCCTTGTACGGCGCCAGTTGCTGCCTTTGAAGCACTCCAAGAACGAAGCCTTCTCGCACGAGATAAGTTTCTCAGCCTCTATGGTCTCTTCCATGTGTCGGATGCGAGCCTCGAGATCTTCATCTTTGGCGGCGAATTTGGCGAGGTGCTTGAGAGCAAGATCGCGCTTGTTCTTCGCAACGAGATAGTATGGAGACTCGGGGAGGAATGGGAGGCCGAGGGCGAGGATTCCTGGGAAAACCCATGCAATGGCGAAGACGACTCGGAATGCGGATTCGTTCATGATCGTGACGCGGGCGTAGGTTGTGGAGATGGCGATGAGCATGCCGATGTTCTGGGAAAAAGGGGTTAGATGGTTCAAGGAATATGGGCAGATATGACATACCATCATGAGAATGTTGAGAGACAAGGCAATTCCACGCAGAGGCAGCGGTGTAATCTCAGAAACATAAGTCTGTGTCGTCGACTGGAACGCGCCTACAGCAAAACCAGAGATGATCTTGGCCCCCATGAACTGAGCAGGTGTTTCAGCGAGATAAGCCAGAGCAATGCCACAAGAAACGATTATGATGCCTCCGAGAAAGACAGCGCGTCGGCCGACTTTGTCCTGCACGAAGCCGGCGGTCAGGGAGCCAAAGAGCTGCATGATGTTGTAGGTGGCGTTCCAGAGGGACTGCCAGTATGCGGGGATGATGAGGTTACCGTCCACGAGGCTGGCGAACTTCATCCTATACTCGTGTTAGTATGATGGTGGGATGGTGATGGATATTGGACTTACTGGAAAGCTGGGAGGGCGAGACAGACGGCTAGAGCGAGGTTCTCGTAACCAACGAGAGCAGCTCCCACTATTTCACCAAGTCAGTGCCTATCCATCGACATCCCCAACAGCTGCTATCAACTCACAGTTTGCATAAATGGCCCAAAGGATGGCCTTTGGGTTCTTCTTCGCACACTCCCAAGTAGTCATCTCATGATCCCTCATAGCAACAGCATCCTCAGTGTGCATAACGTCAGCCTTCTCAAGCCTCACATCACGATCGAAGTCCTGATTGGTCATCTTGACAGTAGAGAAAAGAAAGAAGTGGTGATGTTGAATAGTCCACTGTAGAGTTTGTGGATGTTGAGATGAGAATACGAAAAAACCCTGGACTGAAGGGCCCCTTTAATATGAGGAACTGGGGATGTAAAACTGGTTGGAGATGAGATTTCTCTTGGTGGTACCCCAGAAGTCTGGACTCTCGTCTTGTGGGGTAATCTGGGGATGGGGTCGGGTTTTCCGGGGGGCACTAGGATTCCCCGAACGTCCTCGGTCGTCGGGGTAAATGACAACGCTCGCTGTATGAGAAACCGAGTGAATCACGCTGAATTTTCGTGCTTAAGCTTCTATTAAGCTTAAGGTAACCTCTAGCAAGGTGTTCTGTGCCCTGGGTAAATCTGTAGCGACATCAGCATCCTTATGCGCCAAGCCAACATGGAGAATTCACGGGAGACCCGCAACACACCCAAGTTCGTTACCCCAAAACGAATCTTGCGAACTTTGGGAAATGCGACAAGCGGGAACAAAGTATCGTCTTTTACCTTGACCAATGGCGACTCTGGGGACAAGGCTGAAGTCATCTTGGACTATGGCCGATGCGAAGGCGGTTTCCCCGTCTTCACCATTGAGTCTGCAGCAGCGCCCAAAGGGCAGCAACAAGTCGCGTTCCAAGTCACTTACAGTGAGACTATAGAGGGGATCGACAATGAGAATGGTGCAGTTTCTTCTGCTACGTGCTTACTAGTGTGCCAATGCTAACTCTTACAGGCGATGGTCCATTCTTCCTATTCTCTAATGCCATGGACAGCTACCGAGTCTGCAAACACCACGCCGCTGTCACCAACGATACGCAAATTGTGAAACCTCGCTTCACTCAAGCATCCCAGAGGTATCAAAAGATCACCTCACTCGACCCAAATACTAGCATCGTGTTCTCCAAAGTTGGCTTCCAAGCCGTGCGCCCTGATATTCCAGTGAAAGCCAACTTCCACTGTTCCGACGAAACCATCAATCGCATCTGGAGAGATGGTGTTCGAACAGTCGACTTGTGTACTGTTGAGCGCGAAGAGACTGTCCCAGCGTGGGATGTCACTGATGAGGGCACTCGTGTTTACGGAAGCCACTGGGCTCCTTGTCGACAGGGCACGAGATGGAAGAATTACAAAGTCACGTTCCAGACAAAGGTTGAGGAACATGGTGCGAGCTGGGCAGTTTTTATGATCACCAACGGTCTGATATTCTGCTTGGATACCAGGAGCAGAACGTTGACGGCTGTTGAGGGATTGTCGAACAAGTCATGTATCCTGCCCTCGATGGAGAGAGGATCATGGCAGCTGCCAGAGACTCTGGACCTCACTGGATGGCTGACAATCGAGACGCTCGCTGTAGAAAATCGCGTTACAGTCAAGATTGAAGGCAATGAGATTGCCTCAGCCAGGGATATCTATGTGAAAGCGATGCTTGGAAACGGGCTTGTCAACACAGGTTCTGTGGCATTCGGTGGTCCGCCTGGCTGGGTTGCACTGTACCGAGATCTATCAGTCGCGAATCTGAGTGGCCTAGCTCTATACGAGAACTCGCTGTTACATCCCGATGCTAGTCGCACGCTCGACGACTTCCAGGTCGGAACCAACAAGCTCGCCTGTATCATCGACGGCGCCAAGCGAGACCGAGCTTCCTTTGGTGGTGATGCCTTCGTCACCGGCCGGTCGATCGCATACTCCACTGCTGATTTTGAGGCATGGAAAGGTACCATCCAGCTTCTGATCAGTCATCAAACTAAGGAAGGGTATCTTGGCAACCTGTGTCCTATCCAGGCTCCAGAGCACGATGGCGCAGATGATCCGCCAGTCTATGGCCACTACTCGCTGGCATATGCGCTGCTACTGGTCGTCTCAATCAAGGATTACTGGCTGCACTCGGGTGATTGGTCTCTCGTGGAGAAGTCGTACGGTCAACTTGAACGACAGATGGAGTTTACGAGGAAGTTCCTGAATTCTGAAGGGTTGGTTCAAGCACCTCCGTATCTCTCGAGTATGTTCTCTCCACCATCTTACTTTTCAATGTACTAATGCTTAATAGTGACATGGTTCCCCATGGGCGGCCCTGTCTTTGGTGTCTCAACCGGTCTGAACCTTGCATACCTGGATGCCCTCAACGCCATGACATCAATGTCTCTCGACGACAAGACCGCATCTCAATATTCCTCCCAAGCGGCCAATCTAAAAGAGACATTGATCCGTACGCTGTGGAATAACGGGCAAGGCACCATGCGACCTTCTCTGTCCCTAGACCCCCATGGAGTCTTCCAAGATGTCAACGCGTATGCTGCGACTCTAGGTGTTTCTCCAGACCTACCAAGATTCGCAGAGGGCATACTTCCACCCGGTGAATCATTGCCCTCCGCATTCCGAGGTCTTGATAAATGGGATAAGTTTGAAGTTACCAGTCCCTACGCATCTGGCTTTGCACTAGAAGCTCTATTCGCCAAGAACGAGGGCATAAAGGCAATTGAGCTGTTATCTCAGGTATGGGGCGTCATGGCAGATCAGGATAATCCGAATTACTCTGGTGCTCACTGGGAAGCAATGAAAACTGACGGTTCACCTTTCAATCATGACGTGTCGCTGGCTCATGGATGGTCTTCCTGGCCAGTGTTTCTGCTACCGAGATATCTTGCTGGACTTTGTCCCCTTGAAGCGGGCTGGAAGAGAATTGGTGTTGAGCCTGTTCTTGCGGGTTTGGAAGAGGTGAAATACTCACTTGAGACAACCCAAGGTTATCTCTCAGTTGTAGTGCATATCAATGAAGACGCGGGCAAAGGTAGTATTAAGATCGTGGTGCCTCAGGGTAGTACTGCAGTGGTTAAGGCTCCAAAGGGTTGGAGCTTGGAAAATGATGGTGTTATTCAAGGATCTGGGACTGAAGTATCTGTAAAGCTATCAAAATACAGTTTATAGTAGTGAGACTACAGAGACAATACAATTTCTATCGGTTTTGCAGATTGATCCTACCTAATTTGCCACCATCGCTATAGTATCTTGACCAACCGATTTTTCGCTGATCCAAACCTCGGTGCGCTATCAACCGCCAAGTTTGACACTTGAACCACTATGTTCACAATCATTCTCTTTCAAACCGATAAGTATCGGCTGATCCAACTGCCAGAAAGCGCACGTATCACGTTCCAAAAGGACGAAGCTCGCAACATCCGACCCCGCACGATTGAAAATAGTGCTGTGGATCATAAATGACCGGAAAACCCGAGTATGGGGCGGACGCTTGCCTGCCTCCCACAACCCTTCTGTGAAACAGTGGAACATGCCTAGACTTGGCTTGCCGGAGCGGCAAAAGCGCCACTAGGGACAAGTGAAGTCATATATACAACTCCCAGCACCACTTCATGGCACGGCATACACAGCAAAGGCAATCACTTTTAGCAAATATGGATGTCCAAGCTACTCTCAAGACTCTGACCCTGCAAGAAAAGGTTAGGCTACTGTCTGGTACGCCAGATGACTTTGTCTCAATTGCAGGGATCCCTGAGAAGGGCATTGCACCACTCAAGGTATGTCACAAACGTGACTCTGCCGCTGCGACTACTAACACACCCGCTAGACAGCCGATTCAATCAGCGGCATACGCCCCAGTGAATTCAACAGTGCACTCACAACAGCTTGCTTCCCCAACACAGCCTGCATAGCCTCATCATGGAACACCGAGCTCTTGGAGAAGATGGGCGCTGAGCTCACTCGTCAAGCAAAGATCAAGCATGCGCAGATGATCCTTGGGCCGACTATCAATATCCAGAGAGATCCTCGCGCCGGACGTAACTTTGAGTGCTTTAGTGAAGATCCGCTGCTCTCGGGATACATGGCTGCGGCTATTGTGAATGGTATCCAGAGTAAAGGCTATGGAGCCTGTGCGAAGCATTTCGTCTGCAATGATTCTGAGACCCAAAGGCGGTATTGCAATGTTGATGAGTCGCCGGATGGTAGGGCGCTGAGGGAGATTTATTTGGCTGCCTGGTCATTTCTTTTGAAGAAGTCGAACCCTGATGGCATCATGACAGCGTGAGTGCCACCGATCCTACTCATGAAGCTAGGACTAACATCTTGTGTAGATACAACAAAGTCAATGGGGCTTTTTGTTGTGACAGCGAAACTCTTATCCAGGACATCCTCCGAAAGGAATGGGGCTACAAAGGCATCGTCATGTCAGATTGGTTCGGTACTCGCTCTACCGTAGCTGCCATGAAAGCCGGCGTCGACGTTGAGATGCCTGTACCTGTCTTCAGAGGCGAAAGGCTCATCAAAGCTGTAACCTCTGGCGAGATCAGCGAAGACGTGATCGACGCCAGCGTGGTCAGGCTCCTCGAGTTACGTAACCGTACCCAGGCGGCACAGAGCGAGGGACCAGAGAAGTCGGAGATCGTCCAGGAGACGAACGACATCGCTCGTCAACTCGCCCAAGAAGGTATAGTTCTTCTGAAGAATGAGAACCAAACTCTTCCACTGCCAGCATCCACTGGCTTAAGAGTTGGAGTCGTTGGTGAGTATGCTAAGAAGGCTGTCTTCACTGGCGGTGGCAGTGCGTCATGCAACCCTCAATATCGCCAGGTTCCACTCGATCTGTTGCGGGAAGCGCTGCCAGAGGAGCAGAAGATCTCACATGCAAGTGGTGTTCGAATGCGCCGCATTATTCCTACGGTACCTGTGGAGATTGTCACGACGAAAGAGGGCAAGAAGGGCGTTGAGGTAGCTTACTACAACGCGGGTCAAGATGATCCTGTTCTCGTTGAGACGTTGGAGGACGCTGCTATCAATCTCATGGCGCAGGGCAAGCCAGGACTGAAGACACCGGGCTCTCATGTGAAGATGACTACCAACCTTGTTCCGACGAGTACTGGAACTCACACGCTAGCGCTTCGCCACTCGGGGACTTTCATCGTTGAAGTTGATGGAGTCTGTGTGCTCAAAGGCGATGCACCAGATATCACAACCGAGCAGTTCCTCTTCAACCTGATCAAACTTGAGTCTAGAGTCCAGTTGCCGATGGAAGCAGGAAAGTCGTACCACATCTCAGTCACCATGCAATCGAGAGAACCTGTCATTGGAGAGCCTACTCCATATGGCCTAACCCTGGCCTTTGAGGAAGAATACTCTGAAGAGGAAGCTATATCCGAAGCCGTCGAAATCGCAAAGTCATCTGATATCACCATCATCTACGCCGGCCGCAGCGAACAGTACGAGTCTGAAGGATTTGACCTAGAGGAGATCACTCTCCCTGCCAACCAAGTCGCCATGATCAAGGCAGTCGCTGCTGCTTCCAAGAAGACAGCCGTTCTCCTACACTGTGGTAACCCGATTGACATCAGCAGTTTCGCTGATGATGTCGATGCCGTTGTGAATATGCACTTTCCAGGCCAAGAAGGACCCCAGGCTATGGTTGACATCTTGACTGGAAAGGTGAACCCCAGTGGTCGGTTGACGGCGACTTGGTTCAAGACACTAGAAGACTGGCCTAGTTTTGGAAACTTCCCTGCTAAGAAGGACGAGTCTGGGGGCTTTACCATCAAGTACGCTGAGGGCTTGGAGATCGGATATCGAGCTCCGGTGCCTGAGAACCGAGTCCAGTTCCCCTTTGGCCATGGCCTGTCTTACACCTCATTCTCATACGACCGTCTCAACGCTGAGTTGGATGCTTCTTCAAATCCTTCTACTCTCACAGTAAGCGTTAGTGTGACGAATAATGGCAGCGTTACTGGTAAAGAAGTGGTGCAGGTCTACATCTGCGCTCCTAAGGATGGAGCTGATTGGAGGCCATCCCGGGAGCTCAAGGGGTTTACCAAGGTTCAGCTTTCGCCGGGCGAGACCAGAGAAGTGTCCGTACAGATCGAGGTAGACACTTTCAACAGTCATTGGAGTGAGGGTTCGCATGCTTGGGTGGTAGACGCGGGCGAGTATGGCGTGGAGGTTGCTGACCAACACGCCACTGTTGTAATTTAGACTAGATGCAGGTTAATAGATGCCCGTTTATGGAACCAATCCTTCACCATTTCATAGGAAATTCTTCATGGTACAAGTAATATTTCGCCCTGAGATTACCGTAAGCAATAGTGATACCAACATGAACACCTGATATTGATAGCATACTTCCCCGCAGCTGAGTGAAGCAGAGAGCGACGCTAATCAATTAACATACCAACTCGCAACTCATGAAATGTTTAGGTTAAGACAATGTAATATGATATGCAATTCATTTCTGCTAATTATCTATAGTTCTGCAACCTCCACCCCAAGCTCTTTACATACGTCCAGCAGCTTAGACTCTTCCCAGTCTCCAACCTCGTCAGGCAGCACGAATCCCGTAGCCGGAGATCCAGCATTCTGAACCACCTCCTCGATTCCTCTTCCATTGGCAAAGGTCCAGACACGGACATATTTACTGCCAAAGTCCAATGTGAAAGTCTCACCTGCAGCAATGACGACCGTCTGACCCTCCCTGACTTCATTCCAGGAACTATTATTCCCAGACTTGATCTTTACCTTAAGAAGACCTTCTTGAACGATGAAACAGTGATCAGTGGAGGCAAAGGTAAGCCATTTGCTCAGAGGTGACTTTCCATAGACATTCGACGACTCAATACTCGACATGGAGAATTTGCCGCCTGACTGCGATGCGAGAATAAAAGGTCTTGACATGACTCCTCCAAGAAGCCATCGTGGTCCAGTATTGGCGCGCAAGAAATAAGCCTCGCCAGGGCCAGCTAGCTGGTTCTCAGAGTCAAGCCACTCACCAACCTCTGGTGGCTGGTAGTCACGCTTGAAGTGAACGTCAAATCTGTCCTTGGCCGCCATCATCTTCTGCATAAGCATTGACTTGATGTCGCGATCGTCAGTCTCCGGCACAAGGATGCCATTGTATGTCTCGCCGACATATCTGAAGAAGTCAACCCAGTCACCTGGAGCTACCAGACCCACGGTCTCAGTGTGAGGTCCGAGCAGGAGAGGGTTATGGATAACATGCTAGCGCCCCATTAGTCGATAGGATCAGCAGTTGGACATAGTTTGGGAACTTACAGGAGGGATATAAGCAAAGTCTCCAGGCCCCATGATGCGACACTTATCGCCACTCCAGAGCTTCAAGAAGCCCTTGGTGACGAGAAAGACGTCATGAGCCTCCTCATGCCAGTGAAAGCCAGGAGCATCCGCTAAGACGGCACCACTGGTAAACACAGCCATGCCGCCATTGGTCTGCTTCGACGAAGCAAGGATTCTGAAAACACCCTTGCTGCCAGGAATGCTAATGCGCTCTCCTTCGAGCTGGTCGATCATGTAGCTTGTCCTCTCATTAGGAGGAGATGTATGTAGGGGGACGCTCATGATGAATCAGGAATAGCGTAAAAGACGATATTGTGTGGCTCAGTATAGAGAGGGGAGGGAAAATTGATAACTTGGTGTTCTGTCGCAGGCTTGGCTGGCAACATTAGCAGGACCCTCTACTCTTCTACTCCTTCGACCTCCCACTTCCCGATCTCCACATCACGAGTCGGAGGCGCTGGAGAACCCCGCAACCGTCCCCGGATTTTCCATGTTTACCCCTCAAACTAACTTCGGCTGCTGACGAAGCTGATGCGGAAAAGCCGCAATTCCGACACGGGGGTACACGGCATGACCGGAATGCTGATTTACAGAAGTGTATCGGAACTAGGGTCTTTGGCAAATTCCCCTTGATGGACACCAGATCTTCATCCAAGCTGATCGCGTTTTCGGCCACAGAGTGCTAGGAAATGAGTCCCCCAACTTCGTTTCGAGCTGTTTACAAGCAGCTGGGTGAGCAAGAGATTGACGTTGATGTTTACCTGCCTTCTGTTGGGACTCCTTCTGCAAAATGCCCAGTCCGTAAGTTGAAGTATCCTACTGTCTCTGTCTCCATGCTGACTGCGTTTAAGTAATTAATATCCATGGAGGGGCTTTTATGCTCGGGTCCTCCAAGATGGTCAACAAAGACCAGGTGTCAGATTGTCTAAGTAGAGGATGGATCGTGTTAGCACCGAATCATCGTCTTTGTCCCCAAATCAATATTTTGGAGGGCCCAATGCAGGACTGTCGAGATTTACTGGCCTGGGTGTATGATGGAGGTCTCGAAACAGCTTTAGGAAAAGCGAGCTCAACACTTGTACCAGATCTCGAACATGTCTTTGCATTCGGCACTTCATCTGGCGGGCATTTATCACTCTGCTTGGTAAGCAAAGCGTATATCATGGTGTTGTATGAGACTTACGCTGAGATAGGGCTTTGGCGTTCCTCGTCCAGTCGCAGGGATCTACGACATGTATGGACCTAGCAACTTTGCCGACGACTTCTGGACGACAAAGCTTGAGGGTATGAAGTTACCACCTGGACTTACAGACACATTCCTCAACAAAGTGTTTGACGAGGACCCAGTCCCCATCACTGGAGGCGTCTCCCTCGAAGGCCAGGCAACAGGACCTCCAGATTTCAGTGACCCCCGACAAGCATATGCCCTGACACAACTAGCTAGCGGTACTGTCCTCGATGCCATCTTCCCTTCAAAAGACTGGAGCAAAGTCGACCCTGCACTGAATGTCGATTCTTCGTTTCCTCCGACATTTATAGTCCATGGCGATGCAGATACAAAGGTCCCGATTCATCTGAGCAGAAAGCTGTTTGATATGCTAAAGCAGAATGGTGTTGAGTGCGGGATGGTGGAGGTTCCTGGGGAGGAGCATACTTTTGCGGCCAAGATGGAAGTGGGTTCTGTTACTTGGAATCTTCAGCGACAAGGCTTTGACTTTCTTGAGTCTTTGATCAAGCAGTGATGCCGATCTTACTCTTTGTAAAAGTGCCCAGTACTGGCCAATTTGTTGTTTTATAGCTGAAACTTATGCCATGTCCATGTCAATGACAATACGAGGCCAACATGTTGATAGATCTGAATTAAATAAGACTCTTGAATGGACTTCGGGTAAACCTTATTAAGGGCACATCTCTTTACAGAAGAGTTTACTTAATATCGATTGAGACTACATGAGGGTATGTGTAGCGCAAAGAAATATGCTATTAATGGAAGGAAATATGCTGAATTATCTACATAGGACTGTCAAGCTATGCTGTGAAAGGATCACGTCTCACTGCATCTTCCACAACCTCAAACGCATCATATCCATACAACCAGGGCTGAACCTGGGGACAAGTCCACCTGCTTGGGAATGGGCCCTTGAGCTCTTCAGCGCCAAGTTGAGACAGGAAAGTCTCATCACGCGCCTCTTGAGCTGGTCCATCAGGCATATGGAATGACTCCCGCTACAAAAGAACACAGCATTAGTTATGTCTTTCACTGTTCCTGGGTCGTAGGTACTAACCTGCTTAAAAGTTTCTCGAACTATAGCTTCTCCACGTGACTTGCGTAACCGCTCATACATAGACAAAGCCTGTGGTAACTGTTGCTTTGATTTGACATGGCCGAGAAGTAGGCCCAGGACGGCGCCGTCCTCCACGGCGGAGTTGGCACCTTGGGCTAGGTAGGGGAGCATTGGATGGCAGGCATCACCGCTGAAGACAGCATGTTAGCAGGACACCTCGGATGATGGCAACATAAAAGAATTACTTACACGAAGACAAAATTCGAGTTGTCGTTGATCCATGAATCAAGCTCTTCTCCTACAGACTTTGTTAGCTCTGAAGACACAGACTTCAAAAAGCAACTTACTGTGCATCAGTTTCCACTTATCGACCTTGTCAACCTGTCCGAGAAACCTTGCCAGAATTGGATCCCAGTCATTAAACAGCTCTCGCATCTCCTCCACCGACCCAGCCTGTCGACTGACGTCTGATGGAAGATCATCGGGAACAAGTAGAACAACGTTATACATCTGTCCGCCACGCATAGAATAGCCAACAGCATGAGCGCCTGGACCGATCCAGAAATGCACAGTCGGACGTTCGACCCATTCCCGCAGCTCAGGGTCGTCGATATCCTTTGCGTCCAGAACAACGCGGTATGCTAGATCACCAGTGGGCATGGGCTTGTCTTCGCTACCAAGAAACTTGGACCGGCATTTAGACCAAAGCCCATCCGCTGCAACAATGAGATCGCCAGTGTACTTAGAACCAGCCTCAGTGCTGACCTCGGGAATGCTAAAGTCAATGTCCTTCACCCTATCACCCAGCTTAAACTGGACACCCAGTTCCTTCGCCTTATCGTAGAGCGCAAGCTGGAGGTCTACGCGGTGGAGATCGATGAACGGGGCGCCGTACTTCTTGCGGATGTGCTTGTGGAAATCGGGTTCTATGGCGAGCGTTCGGCCGGAGTATCTATGGACGACGAGGGACGTGGGTTCGGCAGCTGATTTCCAGAGTCTGTCGGGGAGATCCCATTTTTGGAGGATGCGCGTGCAGTTGGGAGTGACTTGTAGACCGGCACCGACCTAGACAGTATTAGTTTTCTGTCACTGTAGTAATGTGCTGCTGTGGAGTTGTATACCTCGAGTAATTCCTTTGCCGACTCTAAGACAGTTACATTGTGGCCTGAAAGAGAAATGGAGATGGCTGCGGCAAGACCCGCAAGGCCAGCACCGACAATAATGACATCCAAGTGGGCATCATCGTTGCCTTGACTGGGTTGCTGTCAAAAGGAAATATTAGTCAAGCCAACACAGGAGGTGTTCAATGACTTACAGTGGAACTTGGCATTTCGAATAGATATAATCGTCAACTATAGGTCTCGTGATAGAACAGAGATTAGAAGACGAAGTAGCTGGCTTTGCCGCGTTACTACATATATGGAAATGGCCCTCGGAACGACATGGGGGATGTAGGGTAGACTAGTTGATAGCTCTCTCGGAATAACCGAGGTCACATTCGCAGTGCCCGGCTTTTCCGCAGCTTGAGGATCTCAACACTAGCCGTGTTCAGTTTGGGCAAAAGCCTTGTCAGCCAATGAGACCTCCGAGACAAGATCCAGATCACTTTCGCGCAGCTCGTCGTTCGCGTTACCCCAGATTTGCCTCCGAGCTCGAAATTTCCGTCCATCTGGGGTCTCCGCACTTAGGACTCAACGCTTCGACATTCTGGGGTTTTATGCATGTTCGCTAATTCACTGATACTGATACTGTCGAGATGGATGAATCAATAGAGTCCCAGGTTCCTCAGGTGAACAGACCTGCAGCGCAGCGTCCAAGGCGGCCACGAGCTGCGCGCGCATGCGACCTCTGCCGGTCCAAGAAATACAAGTGCGACGAATCATATCCCTGCTCATATTGCCAAAGTCAGTATCTAAAGTTTGAATATTGCGACAAGACGTTGTGACTGACTGTTTAAAGGCCGCAATGTCGAATGCGTGTACAAAGGCCAGGACATGTCGCGCATGCGCATGACATCAAGGTACATCTACCTGTAGTATTTTCACTTCTGCTCTTGGCTCACTAGTGGGACGATAGCTATGTAAGACAATTGGAAGAGCAGGTGAAAAGCCTCTCTAGCATAGTGGAAAACTATGAGAAGGTAGCGACCGATGGGCCAAGCAACAGTCCTGAAGGGATAGCGATGAATGCTTCCTCGTTGCCAATAGCTCAGCATCCAACGGTAATGGAGGCCTTCCCTACACCGAATAGCATCTCGTCATGGCATACGAGAGAACAGGAGGTCTCTGGTATGAATACTCATACAAGAGATGTTGAATTCTACGGTAGTTCTTCATCTGTTGCTCTGCTGTCGCATGTTCGACGAACTGGGGAGGAGGACAACGATGGTGATGATGCAGGTGCACTTCTCTCCTCGTTGCATAATCCTCACTTTGATCCAAGTGGATCGCAAGATACCCAGAGAGGGAGAAAGAGTACGGAAGAGTCTGATAACTCACCGTGGTATCTACAATGCCGCAACTTTATAGACGGTTTCTTCTCCGCGATCCACTACATTCACCCGATTCTGGACAAGACTTCGTTCGTGCAACGCTGCGAGTCCTTGTGGGCAGGTGAGGGGCCGGAGAATAAGAGGATTACAAGTTTTGTGGCTTTGTATTATAGCATCCTCTCGATCGGTGCGTTGGTTGGGACGAGAGAGGATGAGCTCATCGATGGCATAACAAATCTGGCCTGGAGTCGGAAGTTCTTTGATCGAGCTAAGGACTGCTGTAACAGGCTGGGCATGGTCACTGACCTAGATATGGTCCAATGCTATTTTATTTTGGTAGGTTGCGCCGTGATACTGAACTGAACGACACTGATGATGATCACAGGCCAAAGTCTGCCAAAATGAACTGCATCCCCATTGTCAGTCAGCCAGGTCACGCCCCTGATGGAGATGTACTAACCTCTGTTAGTGTCATACATGTATGTTGGCCTTGCCATAAGAACAGCCCTGGCAATGGGCATAAATCGTGAGCCGGGACCCAACAGCAAGAAGCCGCCATCGTTACTCAGAGCAGAGACACGAACCTGGTGGTATGTCAAACCTCCCTGAGCCGGAACTAGTATGATTCAATTGCTAACTGTATCACAGGGGCCTTTACTCTTTAGAGACGTGAGTATCTCCCAACCTGCAATTGGTTCGTTGTCGCCGATCTGACACTGTTGAAGTGAAATGTCTTTCGCAATGGGCAGACCAGATACTCTAGGAGCAGACCTCTATCATAACCGACGATTCCCACGTATCAGTAATGGTCAAAGCGAAACCGGCATGGATTCTGAGATGTCCGAGCATCCTTGTTGCGCCATCATCGAGCACATGGTACATTTCTCCAAAATCACAAGAAACATCTGTCTTAGCATTTACCTGCCGGAAACGACGATACCGATGATGGTGGCGATGGCTGGCCAGATCGAAAGAGACCTGGAGGCGTGGACACAGAAGCTGCCCGAGGCGATAAGGCCAATGGGATCATCTACTCAGGTACCGTCTTTGAGAGGTGTCAGGGATGTTCAGTGGGTGAAGCGCCAAAGACTTGTACTAAACTTGCGTATGTATGCTACGATGCAATTCCGATATACAATGCTAATGATGGTTATAGGATATCACAACCTGAGAATACTCCTCTTCGGGTCCTTTCTGTTGAGGTCAACGGCACAAGAGAGGGCGACTATGAGTGACACTAAAACCGGCATCCAGAAGTGTCTTGAGTCGGCAAAGCAGACGATTGAAACCATATATCAGACTTACCAGCACAGCGACTTCTTCCGAACATGGTACGTATCATTACTCTCAAAGAAGTCTACCTCTAACGAGTCCAAGGTTCTACAACACGACATACACAGTTTTCGCCGCGAGCATAATACTGGTATACATGACCCAAGACGCAGTCGAGAGCGAAATGCAACCTTTACTTCGTCTAGTAGATATGGCGATCGAGATACTCATGATCATGGACGAGTGCGTCGTTGCGCTACAAGCGGCGAAGCTGTTACAGGGAGCGAGAGAAAAGGCGACACAGAAGTCGTCTCAAGTTGCTGTGGCCGCGAATCCAGGGACGTCGTGGCCTGATGGAATGGTGTACTTGAATCACTATTGGGGACCGCTGAATTTGTTGGACGGGGACTTGGATCAGAATCTCGATATGTCGTCGATAGACTTTGATGCTGCGAGCTTATTTATGTCGATGCCTCATTAGTTCAGGAAGAATACAATGGTTGATTGACAACGATCAAGAAAATAATAAGCAAGTCAAAGTGACAGTATATAATGGCCATGTAGTAGAGCAGAAGTAAGGCAGGTCTTTAGACCTTGACGTTCTATTGCGTGGTCAAGCAATGAATACAGATCAGAGGCCACCTGAACACTAAAAACCGTGAACATTGCTGTCCTTAGTCCACCGTCTGAACGTCTTGCCATAGAAGTAAAACACCGCGCCCAAGCCGCACCACAGAACTGTAAGGCCCATATTGGTCATGAAAACAGGAATGAATCTGCTCAAGCTATTAGTAACCAACGTTGAGAAAATAGTATCGAAGACAACTTACCCTGACTTGATAGTCCATGGGGTGACGAACTTGCCCATGCCATATCCCCAAAGACTCTTATTAACAGTGATAGCAACAAAGAGTGATCCAGTGACTGGTTTGTAGCAATCCACTGCATAGGTACTTGCGATACTGGGGAGGGCAGCAACCTGGATGCCTGCAGATGAGTAGCCAAGGACAGCAATGACTGGCCATGGCCAGTGCCTCTCGTATCCGATCGAGGTGATCAAATTGCCGAAGATCATGACGATGATGTAGGGAATCATCGCGGGGAGACGCATTTCTGGTTCCCGAATACCGCCGTTTCGTGTCGTTGCCTTTGCGGAGACCCAATCGCTGAAGGGGCCAGCTGTGACGAGTCCGATCAAGGCACCGACAAGGATAGAGAAATTGAGGAACCCTGATATCATTAGCACCCTCCTTACACATGCGACATGATAAAGGCCTACCAATAGACTGCGAGCTCATGTTATATGGAGGAGCTGCAAACACTTGAGACTGGGTGAGGTTCAGAATCAGGAAGTTACTGCAACTCCAGCTGACAACAAATGACGCAAAGAGAACAATAGGATAGACAAAGAGTCTCCATGGGGTCCAAATGTCGAGAAGGATGTTTTGAAGAGGTGCCGAATTAGGCTGGAACAGTCGCCACTGCAGCTTTGAAGGAGTTCCTTTACCCAAATGCTCGTCTGCAGCGTGCTCGCCCTGGGCTTGAGGTGTACCAACAGTCTTCTCAGCATCAGCGTGAGAATGAGACGGCTTGTCCTGAGTTGTATCAATGATCTCATTAACTCCACGCTCAGCTTCAATCGAATCGATGCGTGTCCACTTCGTCTCAGGAAACCCAAAGATGCCCAGCACGATTGACAGTGCAGTGACAGCAACGTTGAGCCACCAAAAGTTCTGCCATCCAGTGCGATCAGCCATGGGACCGGCGATTATTGGCGCGATCATTAGTGAACCCATGTAGACAACCCAGTATAGTGCGTTCCATGTTCCGCGGTCGTGTAGGAAGAAGATATCGGCAATGACGGCCGGTTGGAGGATTTCTGAGGGTCCGGCACCAATTCCGTTGAGACTAGGTATGTGAGTCGAGGTCTTGGAAGATTTTTGGAGGTAAACTTACACACAGGCTCCCATGAAGATGCCGTAGGTTGATGCCTTGGCGCGGATGATATGGCATGCGAGGCAGATCACCTGCGAAGCGATATAGACGGGTCGACGGCCGAAGGAAGTAGAGATCGGTGCCCTTAGAAAGTCAGTCATAGCACCTACAAAGTACCGAATACTCACCAAAAGAAGTTACTAAATCCCAGAATCAGGATAGTAACACCCGTAAACTGAATCACATCCTCAAGAGTACTATTATAAGCACGAATCAAGTCCGGAAACATAGGCGCAAGAGCGAGCGGCGCAAAGCCCTGCGTAAACGTCATGGTCGAAACGCAAAAGATGGCAGAGAACTTCCAAAAGGGTGACCAGTTTAGGGGATCGTGAGGATCTTGGGATGGTTGGGGAACGAGGACTTGGTCGGACTCTTTGGCTCGGACGTAGTGTTCTTTGCCAACGTCTGTCATGATCTCTGTTCCGGGGAGGACTTCGATGTGAAGTTCATCCTGGATGGTTTCGCGTGCCTGTTGAAGTTAGGGGAGGTGTTTTGGGGTGGAGAGGGTGCTGACCTCTTGGGTAGGCATTCTTGCGGTGTTGCAAGGGCTAGTCTTTTGCGGTTGTGTGATTCTCAATATTCTAATGTGCCAGTATATTTGATACACGATCGCCCTCTATTTATCTAAATAAACTCATTTCACAGTCCTTGTTCGTCATCACAACTTCAATGATTCCATCTTTAACGTCCTCAAGACCCTCGGATGACTTAAACCAGCTAGCTCACTCCTTTATCTGCAATAAGCTATGAGATCTAGCGCCTGTAAGATTTCGGTAGAGCCATCGGCAAGTAAAGAGCAAGGATTAGTGAGGGGGATCTTCTGGTAATCTAATTACCATCGGCGGGATGGCTCCGAATGAGATGGTTTACGCGGGAGTTGGCGGGGTATTAGAGTTTGCGGAGTAGTTAGCGTCGGCAGTTAGTTACTCAGGTGAGGGCATACCAAGCCTGTTGGGGCATGTTGATCCTAAGCGAGCTTCACTACTTGGATTCCATCTCAAGTTCCTTAATTGTCTATGTCATACTTCACTGCCTAGTTCTTATACAATTTTCCTGTTGCTGTCTAACCAGTTCTTAAGTCCAGGTTGCCAGGAATCTTCCAGTTAATTGCTCGTCCATGGATGATGCTATAAGAACGCTTTAGTCTCACATGCTGACCATGCCATGGGAAGGGTGTCCATTTCCAGATTAGCCTTTATTAAGGTTGCATCTCAAGATCGGCCATCCCACATTCTATGATCTGAGTCTATCTCGGATAGTCTCCATAAGCAATGCGTAAGCAGCATCGTCAAACTCGACAGTCCCTTCTTCAGGTGCCCAAGCACGACCGTCGCCCCTCATAAACCAACCGTATGCGAATTGAATGTTATACCCAGCGTATTTCATCCGTGCTCTTCGAGTCTGTATCAATCCCGCACCCAACAAGTAGTTTCCCATTGGCAGCGCCCTCGATGCTTTACGGCGTGCCCGATAGGCGTCGACGAGGTCTACGATACAGTCCTTTGGTTCAGGATCAGCAAAGAACCTGTGGCGATTGTGCCCGAAATACCACTCTGGCGGGTCGCCCGCAACCAACATGGTCTCGCTGACCGAACTCCGTGGGCAGAAAGACTTTATAGTGCGAGACGGGCAGCCCAAGTCTCCAACTCCCATGACAAATTTCTTGAGACCTTTCATACTTGCTGTCCAATCTGACAGCACGTGATGCCAGCGTCTGCCGTACTCGGTAAGTTCCATGTCGGCATCCAAGTTTATGTTTGCGATTATGTTAGCGAATGAAAGTGGATTGTTGGCGAATGGAAGTGGATATGGATCATCTGTGAAAGTCTTATACTGATTAGCTTCATACAAGATACAAGACTCATCAAGATAAAGCTCTTCCAGCCCACCGCTCTTATTGTTTTTCCCCAGAGACGCGATCCAGTCTGTTTGTTTCTTATCGGTAAAGACATAGCGCCCGAGAGCCAAAACCTTGAGGGATGGCAAGTCGCCAAGTTGGTCTAAGTCCATTTTCGGAAACCATCCCCAGTAGTCGGTATAGAACAATGATAATACCTGTAGTTTCTGGACTACATCAGGGGTAAGCCACTGTGATGGCAAAGCGGTAAAGAATTCGGACCGCCAGGCAGAGAGGCGAGTTCCGTTACTGCAATGATCTTCTCCCACGAGCAGTTTCAGATCGGTGAGGGTTGGCAGCCGGAGCAGCTTGTTCCAGGCCTTGGACTGAATGAGTCTGGGGTCGTTGTAGTCAGCGAGATGTGAAATGGTAAGCTCCTTGATCTGTAGCGAGTTTCCTTGTACGATTGATGCATCGTGTGTGTTTGTGCACATTTGCTCCCCGTGCTGTGGCACTGTATCATAGATCCTTTTTCGTTCCTCCGGTGTCCACACCCCAGTCACGGAGTGCGAAATAATGTCCAAGACCATGTAACGGTAGTACCACCCCTCCTCTACGTTGTTGACTCGTGAATTGGACGACCGGCTGAAGCGAAGATGTAGATGCTTGAGATTGCTAAACAACCCTAGAAAAGGAAGAAACTGAAGAAAGTTCTGGCAAACAGCAAAGTCTTGTGCGTCGGAAACATACGGAATGCCTGGATCCAGCTCCGTGTCAATCGTCACCTCCTTGACAAAAGTCCGCAGTTTATCTGACAGTGCAATTGCTCTGAACTGTGAAGGCGTATCGCCGTCAGGCTTGAGCCTGAGGGATCTAAAGGCTTCAATTGTTGCCGCGTAATGAAGCTTGCCAGACACCAATCTTGTATTAAGTTGGTCTTCCTTCCATAGGAAAGAACAAACCATCACCACTACCTCAGCTGGGAGATGTATGTCATTGGCGGGAATACTCTGCATGGTGACGGTCGTGTCCGGGGCCTGGTGATCAAGGACCTATCTGTATGGTTCAAAGGTGTTGCTGTTCAAGGTGTAAGCTTCGGAAAGGAAATCAAGAAAGGGCTTATCTTCTGTCCCTATGGCTGATCAGAGTCAGTGTTTTTTGAGGTTAAGTCGACGATGGTTAGTGAAAGCGCTGTCCACTCTTTCTCGGTGATGGATGGAGAGGATTCTTTTGAGAGACTTGAGCTTCTTAAGTATTTCTAGAATAGAGTGAGCCCACCCCGCCACTCGTTTATGTTTCCCAGTGCCAGACAAGAGTTTATTGTGTTCCTGATGTCTGAATTTACAGAAACACTGGGAAAAAGTTCGAACATGCAGAAAGCTGGTGAGTCAGAGAAGGAAAACCAGAACAAATCCAGCGCCTAGTCGCAAAGGAGAGAGTAGACACAGATGCCAGTGATGTTCAGTGTAATAGCCCATTGGCAGAAGTAACAGTGGCTATGCTCGTGAAATGACAGTGAAATGTCTTGAGTTCTTGAGGTGCATGGGTCTGACATGGCATAGTGTCGCAGTCATGGTAAGTATGATGAAGCGTTACGGAGAAAGGACGAAGCACTGACTATTAGTGAAGCATGAAAATTTACGAAAGCTGCAACAGAGCATACAAGTCGTGCCTCCAACTAGCCAAGACCCTGGGTCGGATAGATTGACCCCACAGAAGTTCACCATCGATACGAGACTTCTCTGGGATATACTGTCTTATGAGCATGCAGGTAGGCCAGACGCACGCACTGATGAATCTATTTACAATGGCCTATCATCGACCCACCAGGACACGGCGAGAGGTGCTAGTGACGATGGTGATGGATACGATTTGGTCGGATCAGCCGGTATAATTGGGCATAAGACTGTTCCAAAGGACACACCTCTCTATGCTCCAGGTGAGGGTGAGGTGAGTCATCCCATAAGAGGCCGTGATCCCTCTGATGCTTCTGGGTTGCTGGGCTCTCTACAGCAAAACATACAGGAAGGGTTTGGATCGGCCATGGAACTAGACAATATCTTTCCCGAAGTACACGACTTCGGGAGGGCGATTGATGAGTGGCTGAGCCTTGATTGGGGGAACACGATGCTGTAAAGTAGTGGAATTGGCTATCAAATTCTCTCTTTAGGTAAACTGTTCATTATATACAAACTATCATCACTTGAGGCTTTCAGAACCAGCACATGCTTCCAACTTATTACAAAAGTCAATGTCGCCCTGCCCATTCCCAGACTGTCCATTCTTTGGTGCAGCAGGCCATATCTCATGTCCCTCAGACTCCTCCTGCTTATGATGATCCATGACTAGCTTTCGGGTAGTTTCCTGAAAGAAGAGAGGACCCTAGTGCAAGGCCTTGTCAGTATAGAACGCCATCGACTTGAAGCTGACTCATACCTTTTCTACTCGAGGATGAAGCTCGCCATTGACAAAGATACCAGCGTTCAGGTTCTTTTGCGCAGCGTTGCAAAGATCCTTGTCTTCTTTGAGAATCTGCTTGAAGCAGTCGCTGATCTCGTTGAAATCGTCGTCGGAAGCACTGTTGGCTCTGTAGACTTCGTACTCCATCTTTGTCTGTGATGCGGAGATGGGGATGCAGCGCATGATGTAGAAGAAGGTGGGTCTGAACGTCAGCGCCAGATTGTAACTTGGGGGATAGATATGCTTACGAGATTGTGATGGAGGCAATAGGATAGTAGAAAGTACTGTAAATGCCCATGCCGCCTTTATCAGGCTTATCGACGTTGAAGTGCTGTATATGGCCACCTGCAGTCTCGACCCAGTATTTCGATAGATCAGTGAGGGCATTGAGTGCGGGATGCCCAGTTGGACAGTGGTAGCACTATATGGTTGTATCAGCGCCTGTTAAATGTGAAGGATTAAAGAGACTCACTTCGTTGTAATTATCAGCCAACACCTTCCAGTTATGATCCCCAGTCATCTCCCATTGATGATCAAAGTGATAAGCCTCCATGTCGAATGGCTGAAGCCGTGGTTGAGTATCGACACCGGCAAATTCGTTGCCCCAAGCTACTGTAGGAGTAGGACTGGCGTTCATGTTAATCCAGATGAAACCAAGTTTGTCTACATGGACATGGATTGGGTAGAGGTTGTTAGTTGACTTGTCAAACGTTGGCACCTCTTGGTACTTGGGAGCCTTGGCCAATTTACCATCGAGTCCACAGGACCAGCCTTGATAATTTCAGCATTTCCGTAACTATGAGTTGGATGATTTACTTACCATGATACTTGCAAGATAAAATGTTAACTCATCCTGCATCCTGCTCTACCAGCGGAAACGCCCGATGCCGACAGACATTATGATGGGCCCTAATCTCGCCTTGACGGTCTTTGATCAAGAAAAAGGTAAAGCCGGCCTGTGTAATGCGCAAATAATCACCCACTTCGGGAAACCGTGCCTTGTGTGAAACCACTATCCATTTCTTGGAAAAGATGGCTCGTCGTTCTAGTTCATACATGGCTGAGGAGCGGTACCATGATGCAGGCAATGCGCGCGTAGTCTGAGGCTCAGCCTCTTTCGTTGTACTCAAACTGAACCAGCGGCTCATTGTGAGTTGATAGAGTAAAAAGATCTGATAGGATACAGCTTAGCTTGGACGAGAGCTATTTGGTCGAGGAAGATGAGGGTCTATCCAATTAAGCATCCAGTCAGGCCTTATAGGCTATCGAATGATAGCGCAGCTCGCAGGCATGGTTCCTTTCGCTCTCGGGGTATCTAATTTACCTCCACTCTGCACTTTTGATCCGTTCCCAACCTCCGTCATGGCACAAATTCCATCCAGCCAATACGATAAGCACCAATCATGATTCCTCACATCATGTCAAGATCACGGCCCGCTTCCGTACCCACAGCATTTGCCCTTGTGATACGGGCTTATCTCGACACTAAACCATTTCTGTTTAGCAATGCTGCTATCGTTCTCCGTACCCACCAAGACCCGGACCGCTCCCGGCGTTGTGTGTGTCTTTGTCCTTGTGAGGATGCCATGATAGGCAGTGGCCTATGAAGATGACTTGTTGCAGTCAATTTAATTGAAACCTATGATATTGCAGGCGTAGTTTATCCTGAGGACTCATAATACTAGTCCTGCACTACAAACTTCAGTTACCCACGACTTTTGACGTTACAACCTCGAAAATACAGTAATCATGTCGGCCCAACAACAGCAAAAGCCAAGGCAGATTCGATGCACCATCATCGGAGCAGGGTAAGCATAATACATACTCTCAGAGGAATTACTTTTGGCTGATACTTCCAATCAGGGTATCTGGCATTCTGATGGGTAAGTCTTTAGCCATTCTATTCACATAAGGACGAAGCTAACAAAATCTAGCATACAAGCTGAAACACCATCTCAAATGACTACGTCACCTTTCAAATCTTCGAAAAGTCACCCGATCTTGTAGGGACGTGGTTTGAGAACAAGTATCCCGGCTGTGCTTGCGATGTACCGAGCCATTGCTATCAATATTCCTTTGCTCCAATCCCTTCATGGTCAAAATTGTTAGTTAGTTGTCAACTGTTGAATCATTGCCCAGTACTAATTAGACTAGCTACGCATCCTCTGATGAGATTCAGGGTTACCTGAAAGGTGTTGCAAAGCACTTCGATCTCGAGCGATACATCTCCTTCAACACTAAAGTGGTCGCAGCAAAATGGTCCAAAGAGGACAGTACCTGGACCGTTGAGTTGGAAGATGGCTCTCTCGTGACATCAGAGATCCTGGTAAATGCTGGCGGCATTCTCAGTCACCCGCAAATTCCCAACATCGAGGGCCTGTCAGACTTTAATGGTCCATTACTGCATACAGCATCCTGGGTCCATTCGGTTGACCTCCGGGGCAAACGTGTCGGCGTCATTGGCGCGGGAGCCAGTTCGATCCAATTAGTTCCCTCAATACAGCCTCTGGTCCAAGACATGAAGGTGTTTATCCGCACACCGTCCTGGATTGCACCGCCAGTAGCTCTGCCCGACCCCAACGCGACAAATTATACCTACAGCACAGAAGAGAAGGCTACTTTCGAGAGGAACAAGGAGATATATCTCGACACCAGAAAGGGACTGGAGGATCAGTTCAATGGAATGTTCCGCCTATTTCTAAAGTCCAGTCCAGAACAGAAGAGAACACGCGCCATGTTCGAGTCGCGGATGAAACAGCTGATCCCTGACCAAGACCTCCAGAAGAAGCTGATACCTTCATTCGAGGCTGGATGCAGAAGAATTAATCCCGGAGAGGGGTTTCTTACTGCTCTTCAGAAGCCCAATGTTGAACCAGTATTCGACTCTATCGAGAGAGTGACTCATGCTGGTATCGTGGCTGGTGGAAAAGAATACCCAGCAGACGTCTTGGTGGCAGCAACAGGATTCAACACGACCTTCCGACCTCGTTTTCCTATAATCGGTCGCAATGGCGTTAACCTCCAAGATGCATGGCAAGAACATCCCGAATCGTATCTGGGTCTCGGTGTCGCGGGGTTTCCCAATTATCTCATTTTCTTGGGACCAAACACTCCCATCTCGAATGGAAGCCTGATGGGTAGGTTACCAGATGGCATCACTATTTATGATTACCCTGCTAACCTTTGAAGGCTCTGTGGAAGCGACGGCCGACTACTTCATTCGTCTTCTTCACAAAATAATTCGTCAGCGTGTTAAGTCCTTCGAAGTCCGAGCCGACGCCCAAAATGACTTCAACGAACATACGCAAAAGGTTATGCAAGACATGGTGTGGACAGGAACGTGTCGCAGTTGGTGTAAGTCATCTACGGTCATCACTTTGGTATCAGCTAATTGACCATTTTCCAGACAAGCAGGGCACAAACGGAAAGGTAACTGGACTCTGGCCAGGCAGCTCTCTCCACTATATTCAGGTCCTCGCCGAAGATCGCTGGGAAGATTATGAGTGGACACATGAATCGGAGAGGTACAGCTACTGGGGTCATGGCCTGTCATGGATTGAGGAGCCTGGTCTTGATCCCTTGGGCGCGACTAAGCAGAACATGATTGAGGCGATGACAACTTTGCCAAAGAAGGACTCTGACTTGAGCTTTTATCTGTGGGGGAGCGAGACTTTGCCTGAGAGCTGCTTTCCAAGTGGGTGCTCAGAGGAGATAGCCCAGGATGGAGGTGACTTGGCATGGAAGGACGTATTGCAAACGGCAACGCCTGCTGATGTCGATAAACATGCCGCCGTAGCTTGCGTCACTGTACCAGTTTAGAGAAATAATTAATCTTCGTAGTGAGAAGTCACGATACCAGCATATTAGAGTTCAGTGACAATGGAAGGAAGTGAATGCTTTCCGAAGTTCAGATAATACGGTATCGGGCTTGGTGGTTTCTCAATGGGTCATCTCTCCACTCATGAAGAGAGTCAGAGCCAACGCCCTACGGCCCTTGCTTTTCCATCAAAGGCGAAAGAATTCATCAAGGCTTGGTAATAAGAGATGCAAAAGGTAACACTGACCAATATATCGTGGCTGGTAAAGGTAGATTACGTGTTACTTGTATTGCTATCGACAGATACTGTATTATCTTCTATCTATAACTTGGCGCGAGGAGTGTGCCTCCATAGCATAGGCAATGGTCCACCAGAACCATACACAGGATCGTCTTCCGGTATATCTACTTCGTCCATAGTATCCAGAAACAGGCTCGAGGACTTCTTTCCCATCTCATTTCGCCACTTCGGACAGCCCTATAGATCATGAACACCATGGAATAGATGTGAGGAAAGGCATAAGAAAAACATACCTTAGGATATACACCAATGTACCTGTAATCCAAAGAGCTTTCGAGAGATGAATGGGCTGTGCCAGCGGGTAGGATGACAACATCGCCTGCTTTGACGGGGACTTGTATGCCTTTCCCCTTCTGAATCTTGCCTAACAGTAGTGTCGAAGAGCCCTAAAATATACCTACAAGTCATGATGAGAATACTGGTTGTAGAGGCATCCTTGAAGAGACTGACCGTAGCACTCATGGCTGTTGGGATGGAAATGGCGGATGGCAATATGTCCCCACGTTCCCTAGCCATAACTTAACACGCGACACCAAAAAGCAGAAGCAACTACATACCCTCTTTTCCCAACGGTGCGTAGTCAGGAATCTTGTTGCTGTCTCTTCGGTTCTCGGATGAGGTAATACGCCGCGATAAACAAGGGTCGGAAGTCGGCTGTTGGGCGCATCCTCCGTGCGCGGCACAAGATAGCACTCAACACTGGAACTCATCTTGGTAAAAGTTAGCCGATCTGCGCCCAACACCCAGCGCTTGTCTTGTTATATAAGCTTGGATACTTTACCCCGCGTTCGCTGTTGATAGGAGGGTTCCAGGAACACGGGCCGCTTCCGGGTTTGCGGGGTTGGTTCGTATTAGCTGCACAGTTATAACTTATCTTAGATAGAAAATGAAGGCGGCCCGTGGTCCGGGGGCTTGTAACTTGCAATGGAATCGGAAAGGTTGAGTTGGTATTTAGTTAGTGTGTTGATAGGCAGACATGAGGCTGGCGCGAATGGCAGAGCTGTGATTAGAAAGGAGTTTGTAGATAAATCACGTCTCTGCATCGTGATAGCCTCCACCGGCCTTTGAGATCTCAATCCATACTTTCCTATTTTAGACTATTACTCATCCTTCTCTCAAGCAATCATAATGTCAGCTCATCAGGACAAAAATGATGCAGCATCCATAGGCGAGAAGCAAGATGGGAAAATGCTCGAGACATCTCTCGACCACATCCAAAGCCATGCCAATGGAACAGTCGCAACTATCGACGGTATCGATCCTACAACTCTTCATAACGACGAAGTGATCACTCAGGCGATCCAAGCCATTGGCTTCGGCAAGTTCCAATGGCAGCTAACATTCTCCTGTGGTTTTGGCTTCCTCGTCGATCAGGTCAAACACCACTACCTCCGTTCCCAACCACTTGAACTAACTGTATCACCAGATGGTCCTTGTCTCAATCAGTCTTGTTACACCTCAAGCAGCCATGGAATTCGGTCCTCGATATGCAACTCTCCTGTCTGCAGCTTCGTACGCTGGTTTACTCATCGGCGCTTTGTTCCTCGGTACACTAGCCGATAATATCGGTCGCAGATTGGTATGGCAGGCATCTATCTTTGGATGCTCTATCATGACTGCCATTGCTGCTTGTCCGACTAACTGGGCTTCCCTTAACGTCTTTGTCGCTTTGATCGGCTTGTTTGCTGGCGGCAACCGTAAGTCTACAATCCTCTTAAATATGGCGCAAGGTGATAGCTGATCTTGAACCTCCATGTAGTGGCTATCGACTTGACACTCCTAGCCGAAGCAATTCCTCAAGAATGGTCGTTCATCCTATCAAGTCTTGCTGGGATCTGGGGCTTTGGAAATGCAGTCACGGGCCTTATCGGTAATTCCCTACGAGCACTACTATCACATTCACTGACACTCCGTAGCCTGGCCTCTTCTTGTCAACTTCGGATGTCCCAGCGGCTCCACCCCCGAGACCTGCAGCCGCAGCGAAAACATGGGCTGGAGATACCTTTACATCACCCTCGGTGGACTATGCCTCGTCATGTCACTTATCCGAGCTTTTGTTCTACGATCCCTCGAGTCCCCACGGTGGCTAGTCTCTTGTGGGAAGATGCAAGAGGCTGCAGAGGTTATCAACCATATCAGTCGAATGAACAAGTCTGATTATAATGTCACTGGTGATAATTTCCTTCAGCCCGAGCAGGAGAAGGCTGATGGAGAGGTCCGATCTTGGCGTGCGAATATTGCTCGGGCTTCGAGGCTCTTCTCTGGTGCTAAGCAGATACGACTCATAGTTGGTCTCATTATGATCTGGGCACTCATCGGCATTGCGTAAGTCCATTACTGAACAGTCTTTAGTATGTTACTGAACTGGAACAGATACCCACTCTACACCATCTTCCTCCCCTACTACCTCGCAGCTCACGGCGCCAACTTCGGCGAGACCAGTAACTACATCACATACCGCGACTGGACCGTTTCCTCCATCGTCGGCATCTTCGGCCCCATCCTCAGCACCATCCTCGTATCATCCCGCTTGTTCAAATCCAAGCGCTCGATGCTTCTCACCGGCATAATCTGCGCCGCATTCTCCGGAGCATTCACATCAGCTCGAACAGCAGCAGAGAACCTCGCATTCTCTTGCATGATCAACTTTTCTCTCAATGCTCTGTATGCTATTGTTTACTCGTACACGCCCCAGGTTCTTCAGGTGCAGAACCGCGGGATGGGCATGGGGTTGCTTATGGCGGTGGGGAGAATGGCGTCGCTTAGTGCGCCGTTCATTGCGACTTTTGCGGATGTTACGACCTCGGCGCCGATTTGGGTTGCGTGTGCCTGTTTCTTGGCGATTGGACTTATCGCGATGCTTCTACCGGCTGATACACGACCTTATGTGTCCAAGGAGAGCCAAGAGCCCAGCGTCTGAGTGGGTATTGACAGCAGGTCATAGTATTTATACTAGTTATTACGGTCTTGTTTATGTAGTCAGAGAGGGAACACAAGTCATGCTTCTTGATCATCCCCAATATTTCTTAATATTCTTCAAGTCTTCAGCCAACGCAACGGGGTTGTCAAGACCCGGGAAATGCCCACCAAACTCGTGATCTAAGCAGTATCATTAGCCAAATAACGCGAATCACTGAATAAAAGGACAACTGACTTTTATAGGAAACAAGATTTCCCACTCGGCCAACTAGTTCTCGTGGCCAAAAGCCAACGTTATACTTAAACCCGCTGAAGAGCAATGGCGCGTCAGTCTCGGCCTTTGTATAGTTTGTCATAAACCCCTTGAGATTGGAATAGTAGATGTAGACGGAGGACGCAAAGCTCTTGGTCAGATAGTAGAATGCAACTGTTTTTAGCATTTCATTATGGTCCAAGACGGACGGGAAGGTTCCAGCTCTTGGATCAGACCCTTCTGAGCATCAGCGCGGTTACAAGATGTTGTAATGTCTAGACTTACAAACAATGAGCTTCTCGGCAATCCAGGATAACTGCCCAACAGGGCTATCGTAGAGGGCGAGGCCGATGGTGTTTGGCTAAGGATCAGTCTTTAGAATAATACACCCAGATTGGCAGTCAGACTTACCTTTGTTGCTTGCTCCATGTAATAGGCATTTCCAGTTGTAGCCCACTCCTCAGCACGCTTAGCTTCAAATTCCTCAAGGGGTGACAATTTGATACCCTCCGCCGCGAGCTGGCTCCTGTTCAAGGGGACGAACGGGAGGAATGAGAGATGAGCTAATCGCACAGAAGTATTGAAATTGGCATAAAGACTGTATGCAACACCCGATCCCCAATCTGTACCGTAGACCGCGAAATTGGGATATCCCAAGACTTTGGTCATGAGCGTGTTGAAGACCCTTGCTGTGTCGTCGACTGTCCAGGTCGGTGGCGGTGCTGATGAGAATGTAAAGCCTGGGAGGGAGGGTATGATGATATGGAAGTCATTCTTGAGCTTATCGATCAACGGGATGAATTCTAGAAATGACCCGGGCCATCCGTGATTGAGAACCAAGGGAATGGCGTGAGGGTTATGGGACTTTTGGTGGATAAAGTGGATGGTTTGGTTTTCGATTTCAGCGGTGAAATGGTGAAACCTAGTAATACCTATGTCAGCGTAGGTCAATACCGTTCCGATAGCCAAGGGCATACTTCTTGAGCTTTTGCTGCTCAGCATCCCAGTTGAAGTCCTCGATCAATTGCTTTCTCAGAGATTGCAATGTTTCTAATCCAATACCGGCATTTGGGTCAAAATAATCGCCATTCGTAGGCAGCTTAGTTCTCTTAGCCAGGTCAATCATATGGGGGACTCCATCAGACAGGTCAACGGTAAACGGCTTCAGATGGAAGCTGCCGTCTTTTCCATCGCGAGACAGAGGGGATGCGGCGACTAGAAAAAATGAAGAAGTGATGAAAGGAATGCTTAGGAAGGGCCTCATTGTGAATAGATAGTGATGATGGTTTTGTATTCTTTATTCCGAATCGCTTGTTTCGGTTTGCATTCCACGGCGTTGCTTAAATACTCTCTACTGGCTTATAGCTACGCCTGCAGAAGAATTAATTGGAGCACAATGCTTTGAAATCACTTAATCGGGGATCTGACCGGATGAGAGCCCCACTGAGAGATTCAGTATTATAAATCTACCACTCTAACAGAAGCACAGCAGCCACAGCTTACGCCATAGACCTTGTGATTGTTGGCCCGTTGGGAATGTAACATTGGTGGATACTCCGGCAGAGTCTGCGCATGAAAAGCGGAGGACTAACGTCGAATCGGATGCAGGGCAACATCAGTCAATTACAGATTCCACTCTCATCCGGCAACAGATGCTTTCAGAACTCTATTCTGACTGCTCACTATAGGTAGCCAGGAAATTCTGAAAAGCAGAAGGCCTGGCGTTTCATTTGTCAGCATGTGAATTCATCTGACTGCTGGACAGAAATGAATGTAACTGTTCATGGCTTTTTATTTTTTGGACCGGCGTTCGGCCGAAAGCGGTAACTAGCCGGGATGCTGCGTCTGTCAGACGGTCGAGGCAAATAGACTGGAGTGGAGTGATCGGATTCCTTTGTGCTAGTATGCTACTATCGTTACCATTCACGTATCGCCAGTGGCGTTCAATCTGAATTCAAAGGGCCATATGATTCCTGCCTCCGTAGCTACTATATGTTGGTATCTTCCAGTTTGTCATATTCTGACCTCGGGTCCGCGCGTGCCATCCTGAGCTGTCCGTCTCCTCCCATCGATACACCATTGTGTGGTGGCTGCAACTAGATATAAATGGCAGGATCATCTTCCAGCATACACCACACCCTCGTACCACTACCTTGCAGGTAATGCAACCTTCCGGGTATTTTGGGGGATATGCTCAGGCAAGGTCGACGCGCAGTAACTAAAGAGGAAAAGGGCGAGTCGGTGAAACACAGGAAGGCTAACGTACTTGTAGAATCGATCTCTAAAAGGCTGCCAAAAGAATTTGTTGCGCAAATCAGACCCTATCCAGGATCAGATAGCCTGTGTCGATGAATATTTAACTTCTACTTCCCTACCAAGACCCTTTAATGTCTGTAAATAGCTTATTTCTTTCGAGATTATAAGTGGGGGTTAATGGCCTATTTGCACAGCCTTGACTAAGGATATCTATTGACCCGATGCATGATTCGTATAACGATTGAGTCTACAGAAAACGACAGTCCTAATGGATGAGCAGTTGATGTTGCTATTACAGAACACTTGCTTATACGGAGTTGACTAACGGCTCGAAGGTTTTTAAAATTAACCTTGCGACGGGCCAAACCTTAAACTATTTCCCGCTCCTCGGGTGTGATAAGATAGTAGAAAGGTCGGGCCAGTACGAGAAGCAAACCTATCAAACAAGGTGTAGAAAATACGGAGAGTTTGTCTACAAGGTGTTCGGACCCCGTTGCAGTGAGCACTTTCCTGAATAGGCAACAAGAGCGTCATCTAAAACGGTACTTTGTTTGCTTTTAACACTGCCGGAACTAATGACTGCGTTATCCATTTATGATCGGCCGGGCCTTGACCGTCAACTGAAGAAGGCGCTCCAATCAGATGTCGTGGCTGAAGATTCGAAAAGTCCTTTCTTTAGTCTTATCTATTTACAATGAAGCTAGTGATCCGCTCAGTGGTAACGGGCTGGTCTCCTGCCAATAGTAGAAAGGCTCAAGGAACTAACGATACAAAGGCGGCCATGATCGGCACATACCATTCGATTCAATGTGACGTGACCTCGTAGCCGATTAGAGCTCCATGGACCCCCTTACTGCGAAAGACTGACCTCTCTGAAAAGGTAGGAGGCACACCACTCATACCGCCTGGCCTTGCAATCACACAATCGTATACCCTACCGAATGCCCTCGGCAGGGAACACTGCCAAGTCTTTTAGTCACTCGAGTCTATGCATACACGAGAAATCATCAAGAACTTTTGAGATTCTGGCTCGAGAGTGACATAGAGTCCGTGGACTAGAGAGATGGAACCTCCAATTGCGATGACGGAATTCAACAACTATGATGATTGACAAACAAGCCCCCCAACAGGGTGATTGATAACAAGAGGTATATAAAGCTGTAGTTCATCCCATCTTGCTTGTAAAAGACAATCTGCAGATCACCACAATCGCTAGTGTTTATCATCTCATCTCCCTCAAGTCTTCGATACATCTCTTCATCATGCGTCCTATCGCTACTTTGACTGCCCTTCTCATGGCCGGGGCCGCGACTGCTAGCCCCGTCAAGCGTGCTCCTCTGATCACTCGCCAAGAAGGGGAGACACTTGATGGAAAGTACATTGTCATGATGAAGAAGGTAGCATCAATCAACGCCGCCAAGGTCCTTAAGACAGCTGTTGACTCCGTCGCTGCCGACCCCGATATCATCTACAAGAAGGTGGGCGGTTTCGCAGCTTCGCTGACTAAGAAGGAGATTGAGGAGCTCCGAAATAATCCCAACGTGAGTCGGTTCTACTTCTGCTGCAGATAAGACTCTAACATCATTATAGGTTGCGTATATTGAGCAGGACTCCCGGGCCAAGATCTTTGCTACTCAGAGTAACGCGCCTTGGGGTCTGGCCCGTCTCTCTAACAAATCGCCCGGCCCCAAGACCTACACCTTCGACGACTCTGCTGGTGAGGGTGTTTGCGCCTATGTAGTTGACACTGGCATTGAAGCTTCGCACCCCGTAAGTTCCAGGATCTACTGATATTCTGTTTTTGTAACTTACACCTTTTAGGAGTTCGAGGGCCGTGCCAAGTTCGTTGCCACCTACGTCGAGGGCATCAACACCGACGACCATGGCCACGGAACTCACTGCGCCGGTACCATCGGCTCCAAAACTTACGGAGTTGCCAAGAAGTCTAACTTGTATGGTATTAAGGTCTTTGACAAATATGGTTATGGTACCGAGTACGTCTTCTCGATCTTCAGTCTGCAATACCCATATCTAACTTTAGATTACAGCTCTCTTGTGATCGCCGGGATGGACAGAGTCCTTCAAGACGCCCCCAGCCGGGACTGCCCCAACGGTGTGGTTATCAACATGTCTTTCGGCGGCACCAAGTCCACAGCCGTCAACTCGGCTGCCAAATCCCTCGTCGACGCTGGCTACTTTGCCGGTGTCGCCGCAGGCAACGGTGACTGGTTTGGCAACCCCGAGGATGCCGCTGGTTCTTCACCTGCCTCTGAGCCTTCAGTCTGCACCATTGGTGCCAGCGAAATCAACGATAAGGTCGCTGACTTCTCTAACTACGGTTCTCTGATCGATCTCTACGCCCCTGGTTTTGATGTCCTGAGCACCTGGATTGGCGGAAGTAACAATACCATTTCTGGTACCTCTATGGCTACTCCTCACGTGGTTGGCCTTGGTGCCTACTTTCTCGGTCTCGGAAAAGCTGCTACTGGTCTTTGCGAGTATCTCCAGGGAATTGCTCTCAAGGACGTCATTGATGGTGTCCCTAGCGGCACCAAGAACCTCCTTGTTCAGAATGACAAGTCTGCTTGAATTAAGTTCTGGATGGTTTGAACTTCGATATTGAACAGATTTTGAGTTACGAGATGATGGACGAGTATAGTCATGTTAGATAAGCTTTGGACAACAGTCGTTCTCCAGATGTAGATGGTTTTGACTACAAATATATTTTCACCGGGGAGAGCATTACATCCTTTGTTGTGACGATTGTGGCAAGCATTCCAGGGTGAGACCTCCAGCCTCATGTGGTCTGATTCACATATATAATCGGCTTATCCTTCCCGGATATTTAACAGGCCAGTCCTCATGAACGCCTTACTAAAGAGTAGATAGAAAGCTGGAACAGTGTTTACATAGGGCTGTAGAAAATTGGAGTCTTATTCATTCCTCATACGCCATTGTTTAAAATATCACCGGATGGATTCAGAATCGAGTTTTCTGGAGCAATTGGAAATATCGCCTTTGTAGAATTCGGGCTAAAGCTACTGTCTCAATACATATCTAGAGATTTAATAGCTGGATAGATATGTTGGCGACTTTCAACGCTGAAGTGTAGAACTTCTGTAAAATAGCGATATATATAAGCAAAAAAGTATACAAGATTGTGTCACCATCACCACCCAGCATATACCACTCCCTCATACCCCTTCAACACAACCCCCCCCTCAAAAGTATCAACATTGCTTCCCAGCAACCTCCTACCCCAATCCCCCTTAACCTCAACCTTCTGCTCCTCCTCCGAGAAACTTAACAAAACAAGTGCTTTCCTCCCATCATAACTCGTCATCGTATACGCAAACACATCCTCACTATCCTTGTAATCATCCAGAATCTCAAACCTTCCATACACAAAAACATCCTTCTCCTTCTGTCGCAGCTCAAGAACTTCTCTGTAGAAAGCCAACACGCTATCGTTATCTTTTTCTTGCTGTGCAACGTTCCACTGATCATAATCGTCGTTGACGCGCATCCACGGCTTGTCGCTGGGGGTGAATCCTCCGTTGGGGTCCGCGGTCCATTGCATGGGCAAGCGACCGTTGTCTCTGGCCTTGAGTCTCATTTCTCTCATGATGTCGGACATATCAGCTCCAGCCCCCCTCTTCTTGAGCACACTGTTGTAGTAGTTCAGCCCCTCGACATCAATGTAGTCTTCAATCTTCCATGACTCAGGGACATTCGCCATGCCGATTTCTTGACCTTGGAGAAGAAACAGCGTTCCACTGAGTGTACCGAGGTAGATAGCCAGCATCTTGGCAGCCTCCTTGCGGAACTGAGGCTTGTCAGATCCATAGCGTGATAGAGAGCGTCCAGAGTCGTGGTTGTCCATGTAAACAGAGTTCCAGCCGTCAAACTTCGGCATAGCTCCCTGCCACTGGCTCGTAATAGTCTTGAGCTTCGACAACCTGAAGTCATCACGTTCGTATTTGTGATTTGGACCAAAGTCCATATCAACAATATCTCCCGTAAACAACATATTCAGCTCATGCCTATCCTTTGCAACGTAACTCGCAACACTATCTTCATCCTTTGTGAAGCCTAGTTCTCCGACCGTCATACAGTCATACTTGTCGATGACTTTCTCCCTCATCTCTCTTATATACTCGTGCATGCGCGGACCGCTAGCAAAGTATTTAGCACCCGACTGAAACTCAGCGTCTGGTCGAGTTATGGGTGCATCGGGAAGATCAGGGTGCTTGGACATGAGGTTCATTGAATCGATGCGGAAGCCATCAGCGCCTTTGTCGAGCCAAAACTTCATATCGTCGTATGTTGCTTCACGCATCTCATCGTTGGCCCAGTTGAGATCAGGCTGTTCGGGAAGAAAGAGGGAGAGGTAATATTGTTCTGTCGTCTCATCGTACGTCCAGGCGCTGCCACCAAAGATGGAAGCCCAGTTGTTAGGCGGTTTTCGATTACCATCAGCGTCAAATTTCGGATCACGCCAGAAATACCAGTCTCGCTTTGGTGATGTCTTTGAAGAGCGGGACTCTTTGAACCATTCATGCTCATGGCTAGTATGATTCACCACAAGATCAAGTAGCACCTTGATACCCCGCTCATGACACCCAGAGATCAACGCGTCAACATCTTCAATCGTACCGTATGGACGATGAATGTCGCGATAGTCTGAAACATCATAGCCCATGTCATGCTGAGGACTCTTGAAGATAGGCGACAGCCAAATAGCTGTAGCGCCTACTGAACGGATGTAGTCAAGCTTGGAGATGATGCCAGGCAAGTCACCGAGCCCGTCACCGTTTGAGTCGAGAAAGCTGGCTGGGTAGATTTGGTAGACAACAGCTTCTTTCCACCATTGGCGATCGGGAGGGGTTGAAGCTGACATTGTGTTTTTGGTGGCGGGGTCTAGGATGTTCGATTGAAAGCGATGTTGTAATGGTGAGATTATGACACTCGTGCTTGAGGTTTCTTATACCCGAGTCTTACTTCCCGGTCCGACAATTATTGTCGTGAATAATTCTAATGTAACATCAAAGAATGAGAGAATCGGGTGATTTTATGACTTGTCTTCTCCACGTCGATCTCGTGCCTTTTCTCTCTGGGGGGAAACTCTCCTGGCTGAATTGTGATTTGTCGATGACTTACCCGAGACTGGAGATGTGAACCAATCGTATCGGACCGACAATTTACCCAATCATTTTCGTCTCCAGACGCACGGTCCTTCTTCTCTCCACAGACTCAAAGACCAGTAGAAATTCACCCATTTCAGCCATGGACCCCACTATCTCGATCCGGGTTGTGAGCATCATGACCTGCAAAGTTCTTCTCGGCCGATGAGATGGGGCCATTTTTCGCTCTTGCTGTTCCCCATGGGGGCTCCATCCGGCTCCATCCATCGGGGAATGTCCAACGCCTCTGGGGGTAATCCTTTAAGTCTGATAATCATGAATTGATATATAACCCTGAGGGCATTCCCTCTCAATAACCAACTCATCACCACTACCTCAATCACTTCAATCCTCTTCACTTCTTCACAATGACTACCAAAGTCGAAGCCATCACCACGGTGTCCGACCATGTCGAAAAGGCATCAGACTCAGTGGCCATCCAAAAGGCCATTGACGCGCAGGACCTCACTCCCAAGCAACAATACCAGCGCCTCTGGACAAACCTCAAGAAAGACAAGCGCTTCGTCCTATGGTCCATCTACATCATGTCCCTAGTCTTTGGCTGGGGTTACGATGCTGGTCTCTCAGGCGTAGCTGTTGCCTTCCCTGAGTTCCGCAAGGTTTACGGAGAGTACTACAGTGTAGGCGATCAATATGTCATCCCCGCGCTGTGGCAGTCTCTTTGGAACGCTGCTAGTACAATCGGACAGGTCTTTGGTGCTTTCTTGGCTGGTCAATTTGCGGATTGGGTTGGACGCAAGGCTGTTCTTTGGACTGCTGTCGCTCTATCCATCTCCTCTTCTTTCGCGCTGGTCTTTGCTCCTAGTCTGCCTATCCTCTTCGTCTCCAAGCTCCTTCTCGGTCTTTCCGTTGGTCTGTCAACTGTCACGCCTCCTCTGTACGTCACAGAGAATGCACCCGCCGCTCTTCGAAGCTCTCTCAGCTCCCTTACCAACGTCATCATCGTCCTGGGCTTCTTCCTCTCCTCCATCACTGGCTGGGGCTCTTCCAAGATCAAGGGCGAATGGAGCTACCGACTTGCTTTTGTCATGACTTTCCTTGTCCCTACTCTCTTCGCAATTGTTCTTCCTTTCCTGCCCGAGTCACCTGTCTGGTACGTCAAGAAGGGCCGCGACGAAGATGCTCGAAAGGCTATCTTCAAGCTTTACGGTACTTCTATCGATGTTGAAGAGAGACTTGAGTTCATCAAGTCTGAACTCGAGGTTACTGCCGGTGAAGCCAACATGGCTAAGCAGACTAGCTGGAAGGCCATCTTCTCCAAGGAGCACCGAAGCAGAACACTTATTGCTGTTATGGGACTTCAGTCTCAGAACTTCTCTGGTGGATACTTTGCCAGTAAGTAATCAGATTCTGTTCCTATTGATTCAAATACTAACTGTTGCAGACACTTACCAAACCTACTACTTCGAACTCATCGGCCAATCCGACCCCTTCGGCCTCACAGCTATTTCTTCGACCCTCCAGTTCCTCTCCAACTGCGTCGCCGTCTGCGTCTCCGATGTCCTCCCCCGTCGCAAGTCTCTCATCGGAGGCGGCACACTTCTCTGCTGCTGGTCCATCATCATCGCCGGAACCTCCCTCGCAAGTACCACCAACACAGCCGCCAACACCGCTCTCCTCGTCTTCATGATTACATGGTCGATGCTATACACCGGTACAGTTGGATGCTTTGGATGGGCTATCGCACAAGAGACTGCTGCTCAGGCTACACGCCCCAAGACTATTGCCTTCAGTCTTGTTTGCCAGCAGCTCACGGCGCTTATGCTGTCGTCGGTCTTCCCCTACTTCATAAACCCTGATCAGCTCAACTGGGGCGGAAAGGTCATGTTCTTGTTTGTTGGGGCTGAGGTCTTTATTCTGGCGACGCTGTTCTGGTTCCAGCCTGAGACGAAGAACAGGACTTATCATGACATTGACTGCCTGTATGCTGAGGGTGTTCCTCCCAGAAAGTTCTCCAAGTACGTTGTCAACGATGGAGCTGTCGTTCGAAAGCCCACCATGGAGAAGAAGTGATTGGACTCGCAAGGTGTTGAGAATGCGAAGGGGATGAGGGTCTTGGTATCGTGGAAGGGCGTCGGGGAATGGGAGTTTGCATTTTGGCCGCTGATATGGGATGAAGCAAACAAAAAGTCTTATAGTATATTAGAATGATATAAATGTTCTTTACTCTATCAACTCATCTTCTCTCTAATGTCTCTTGCTGCCATTGTCAGATTATCCCCATCGTTTTGGCTTCATGGGGCCACTCTAGAGCAGTTAGCGCTAAACTCAGTGGACCCAGTGGCGTGCAGCCATGACGAAGTGCCCTGTTCTCCGCATTTATATAAAACCCAAACCCCGCAAACTTCGAACCTTGTCGCAACCGCCCGCTTCCAATCAATCGAGCCATGTCAAGTCCAGCGCCGCCAAAGCCCATCAAGGTCCGACAGGCCTGTGATGTCTGCCATAAGCGAAAGATTCGCTGCGATGGCTGTAGACCGTGTCATAATTGTCAAAGCTTAGATATAAGCTGTACTTATTTGGCGGTGCCGAAAAAGACGGGGCCTAAGGGGCCGCGATATGCACGGAGGTCCAGACAGCGACCAGCGGCGACGGTGTTTTCATCTACAAGCCCAGAAGTCGACATCCCCAGCATCAGTTCAACCAACACGGCATCCCCGCCATGTCCGAAACAATCCTTGGAGTCTCCTCAAATGACTGATGCGGTCATTCGATGGTGTCTCGACGCGTACTTTAAGCATAAATACCCACTTACTCCAATTCTACATCGCCCTTATCTCGAACAGACACCAAGATCGACCGAAGAGTATGGATTGATAACCGCATGTTGTGCTGTAATAGCACTGTCGCCAGAAATACTACCGCCTTGCCCGGTCGAGGACAACTTCACGATCCCATCTGCAGACTTCTTGATAGCAGAAACTCTTCGCGCAAGAGACTTTTGTAATCTCATTGAACATCCGTCTTTGATGCATATCCAGACATCATTCTTTCTCCATGCTGCATTCTTCTCAATGAACAAAGATAATTCGGCTTGGTATTATTTACAGGAAGCTATCACGATGCTCCAGACGTTGCGCTTGCATGAGGAGACCACATACAATGATGATGATGCAAGCGACCCAGTCTTTGTGAAGTACGCTCAGAGGATGTTTTGGGTTCTCTTCATCACTGAAAGAGCATATGCACTGCAAAGAAACCGACCGATCAGATTGCAAGACACATTAAAGCTTCCAGACGTCGAACCACTGTCCTCTGACGCAGAGATATTGCGCGGCTTCCTCGATCTCATCTCACTTTTTCGTCCGTTTGGCCAAGACTTCATCTCACAGTGGAACTCTCCAACATCATCCACTTCTACAGATTTCGCAAACTTGTTCCGGCTGCAGTATCTTCTCAAACATTCGCTTCCGAACCTATCAAACCACTCCCAAGTACAACAGGCAGATCTTCTTATATCGCGCCAATGGCTCAAGATTGTTGTCTGGAAATTATGCGCTTCAAAAAGAGTTTTGTCGACTGCCAACAGCGAGGATGTGATGTCATTACATTACCCCGCTAGTATCGCTCGCGATATCGTGTTAGTGTCACAACTTATGCCGACTCAGGCTTTTGAAGCAAATGGTATTGGAATTGTTGAAAAGGTGTTTGATGTTGGCTGCTCGTTGGCGGATCTGCTATCATTGGTACCGTTGGAATATCAAGGTTCAACTATGGATGTTGGCGTTATTGATACCCTAATGGAGACAGTCAAGATTGTTGGAACAAGGTTTGGGGGAAGCTATCGTCATTTGGACATCTTGGTTGGCAAAGCGAGCGGGTGTCTTCTCATGAACGTAGACCGAAGTCTTGCCCTGCCAGATCAAGACGTTTCGGATGATATCGAGGAAATGTAAAGGAAGTGGTAATTCTGTGCAGTAATATAAGTATTGGAAATGAAAGGAATAACTATTTAATCTCTTTATTATCTTACAGAAGAGATCATAATCTCCAACTGTTCGATCCCTCAATCACCACTGTTAGAGGCCCATTCCAGAACTGTTTTCCCACATTCATCCAGAAGGCTCGTGTCAGCATCTTGCGCAAGAAGAAGCTGTTGAGTGGATATGTATCCCCCACGAGATGCATAGAACATAGCTAATGCACCTACGCTTGTATGTTGTGCAGGTACATGTCTGAACGGAGGACAAAGTGGAATCCCTCTCAGTAGAGGCTTGCGAAGGAACGTAGCCCTGGCATTGAGGTCAACACCGCGTTCTATTAGTTCCTTGACTGCCCAGTCAAAACCTCGGCTGGCAGCACATACCAGCGGTGGCCTGCGTGAACCATCTTCCAAGTCCCCGCCGAGGTCAGGATCGGCACCATGGTTCAACAAGACAATAACTACTGCCTTTCTTTCCTCTAGCGTTGTAGAATTGAGCTTGAGCATCCTGGGAAGGACATAAGGCACCCGAGTTAGAAAGCGGCCATCAACATCTGTTGCACGTTGGCTTCGGTCGCCCAATAGTGCCTCTATCAGTGCTGTCCTGCCCGATGGTCCTTTCCAATTGACATCTACACCTTTCGCCAAGCAGACTTGAACTATCTGAGAGTCGGCAAATCTTGCAGCCTGACACAGCAGTCCGCCCCCATCTTCGCCAGCCCAGCATACGTTGGTGAGGCGCTGAAGAAATGTCTGAACTACCCCTGTACTCCATCCGGGCTCTGGAATCCCCGCCATCTTAGCTAGCCACAGTCGGAAGTCCGTGATGTCGAATTGTGCACCATGGTCAAAAAGAAATCTCACCAAGTCCTCGCGACCATGCTTTGCGGCCTGAACTAACGCCGTTTGGTCCTGGAAGTCTTTCATGTTGATATCGATACCGTGATCCAGAAGCAGCTGTGCCACGGCAATGGAGCCATTGTGTGCCGCACTGGTGAGGACACTCCCCTCAAATTTGCATCCATCGTGTACTAGCGGGGCACCATACTCAAGAAATACCCGCACAATCTTGTCCCTGTCAAGAGCTGCCGCTGTTCTGAGGGCAGGATGCCAGCCTCTCATATTGGCGCCATGGCGGAGGAGAAATCGAACTGTCTGTTCATGATCCCCTACGACTGCATGGGACAGAGGAATGCAGCCAAAATATTCTGCATTGATCCAATTCCTCCACCGCCAAGTCCAATACCAAGACGGAGTTCCCTCGGATTCCACGAGCGCTTGGAGCCACGGTAGAATACCAAAATAAGCCGCCATGTGAGCTCGCGGCCAGGGCACATGTCCAACGGCTGCCCAGTTCTTCCTTACAAGAGAAGACCTTTTGAAGAATGGCCTGCTAGGGTCATAAAGATGCTCGGATTTCTCTGATGACAATTTAGCATGTTTCATCCAGTGAAGATCTGCATAATTAAATAGCTGAGAGGCCACCCGAACCCCCCCTGGCTGCATATCGACTCTCAAGATATTCGGCTGCCTATCCTCCCCTCCCATGTACTCAGGACTTCTGGAGCTGATTCGTGTGTGCTGCAAGAAACTATGTTCGAGGACTTGCAAACACCTGTGGGCGATTTCACTCTGGCACTCCTTTTCCTGTATGCGGAATTCCTCGGCGATTGGATCTTGATCCGGATAGCTTCTCACAAGATATTCCTTGACGGATTGATGAATAAACAAAACTCGGCCATCGTTAAGTTTTAGAAGTGGCTGGCAGATGGAGATTCTATCTGCCATACGCTCGATATTCGTCCCTATAGCATAGGCCAATTCTCCAAGGGTCAAGGGCCTCACTGTTATTGCAACCCATTTGAGGATTGTCGCACTGATAGAATGGTATTTGGGGTCTATTTGATGTAGCATTCTCCCAAATATTGGATTTAGACCTGCCGGTATATTTTGTATGGTTTCCAGAATTTGGAGACAAGTCTTCTTCTTAGAAAGCTTATTGATAACAAAACCGACCCATAAGAAGGTACCGTCTGCTCTGGTGAGTAGGGTCTGTTCTACTTGAGGACAGATGGTTTCGAAGTCGGGTATTCCTTGCAAAGGTTCTAGGCTCCATCTGATGAATACCGCAATGTCGTCATGAGCATGTTGGTCATACTCTGGATTGATCTTGATGCCATCGAATACGTTGATTGCATCTGTTGGATTATTTGAAGTGGATTCTGGTGTAGACGTGGCATCTCGGGGATGAATGGGTATACCGAGTAGATCAACATCTCGACCTATTATCGCCAACCTGAGAGGTCCATTGCGTCCAATGGGCGAAGCACAGTAGTCTCGAAGTTTGCCCATCAATACATCAGAAGACTGGCACTCATCGATACCATCAATAAGACAATAGACTATGGAGAGACTAGGCTGTGATAGGAGGATTTCAAAGATATTCCACAGGCACTCAAGGCTAGTTAAGGCATTGTCTGCTTTCTCTTGGCTATCCAAGTAACTCAAGACCTGTTGAACCTTGGACATATCAGTGCTAAAGTTGAGTAGCTGATATATCAGGCTTCGTAGAAGGTTGACGGGCTTGTTGTAAAGGTCGTGTTGAAAGCGGCAGAAATAGAACAAGAATTGATCATCTGTGCCTTGACACAGCTTTTCAACTTGTTCCCAAAGGAAAAGGGATAAGACCGTTTTGCCCATGCCTGGACCACCAGATATCCAGAACAGGGGAGACTTTTTATTGAGCCATGCTTGGCATTGCGGGTTATCCAGGATCCAGCTGCAGGTTCCGGGTGTTCTTTTGCCTTTCGCATTGGCGACGCTAGCCTTGTCGGCATCAGGATGGCTCACAAATAGGATATCCCGACACCTCTTGACAGCATCCTCAAAGCTAGCTAGGTCTGGTAAGCAATAGTACAGAGACGTGCAACACTTGTGAACTAACGAGTGATCTGTCCTGGCTGAGAAAAGCTGACGTGGCTGACGTCGCCTGCAAAGACAAACGATCCGTTGTTTGCGGAAATGTCATGAATATTTTGCTGGCTTCTACGGCCAGCAATGCGATCTAGGTTCCGCCGTTCGGTTGTCATGATGACTCAAATCCCATACCGTTTGTAGAGTTGCTAGAAAAGATCTGCGAGTACTTCTCAGAGAAACCTCTTCGAACTACGGCTCGCCCGAACCTCGAATTTGCGCAGATTGGTAATCTGGCGTCTTACAAGCTCGCTAAGAGAACCAATGATTGGCCTTGTATTTTGTGTCGTGAGCTCTGAAAATCTTTTAATATCAGGTGACTGTGTCTGTGACAGATCTATGCCCCAAAGCCCGTGTTAGTGTAACATTGTTGCCTTTTCATGTGGCACGAACCTCTGTGAAGTAGAATATCTCTCGCTTATCCTTGTCCTAAATTGGCACTGAAACTGTGGTACATAAGGAAGATAGAAACCCTACTAATTAGGCTATAACCTCCGTCTTACGGTTCTTTCACCACGATGCCGGACCCTGTCAGTATTACCGCCTCCATCTTGGGCATCGTCCAGGGTGTGGCCTTCCTGTCGAGCACCATAGAAAACATTCGAAGCGCCCCGGAATCCATCAAGAACATTCGACGTCAGCTCCAACATCTGAAACCCATTCTTAGCCAGCTAGAGTGCGCCGTGGACCAGAAGCAGATCGACACCGACCAATTGGGCGTTGAACTAAAATCTGCTCTTGACAGCTGCGACCACGCGTGCACTGAGTTCAGCACTCCACTTGGCCACTGGACAAGACACTCGAGTGATGACGAGACTTCTGTTCTGGATTATACCAAGATTGGGCTTTTGGGTCGTATACGATTGTTGAAAGATCAGCTCGATCAGTGTATCAAGATTCTCAACGTCACTTTGGTGACCAACAACGCGTTAGCCATGTCTTTCCGAAGACGAAGGCCGAGCTGACAATCACTTACTACAGTCTCCAAATGAGTCGCCAAGAAGGCATGATAAAAGAGCTTCGTGACCATAAATTGCTATCACTCGAAGACTCTCTCAAAAAGAAGATTGATGAGGTACAGAAGGACAAAATGAAAATCGTCAAGTACGAGGCAGAGGCATCAGGGTCCAGTGAGACTGATGACAAAGAGTCATTTACTTCCGAAATACAGCGACACAAAAAGATGGTGCAGATATCGGAGAAGGTCTCCAAAAAAGCTCTCGATGCTGTTATTATTGAACGAACACAACAGAACATTTCAGATGTCTGTGCCGCGGAAGAGAGCACTGCTCTAGCGGGTAAGTTCAACGTGGATGGGTCAGACATGACGGGGCAGGATATCACAAAGATCCATGCTGAAAATCGGAGCTTTGCGGTGGCGGGTATGGCAAACAACTTTGACTTTACGTCCTTTGTTCCCAGAAGATGAATGAGAAGGTGGTAGATGGTATATAGCAAAGTGAATTAATGAGTAGGATGTTTCGAGCATTGTGCCCACCGTTCTATACAGCGCAGTAATCTCAGAACATAGCTGCAACCATAACAAATGCTGAAAAAAAACGAAGTGTTTTATTCTAAAAGTTAGACCTGGCGACTATATAGGTATATGCCTTTCCCATTCGTCCTGTTTTCATGAGTAACAGTGTTGCGGATGTTTTAATATTTGGGATGTGAGGTCACGCGATCCACATTTCCCAAAGGAGCGACGGAGTCAGCAGAGGAATCGACCCAGTCATTAAAGAGAAAAGAGCTATACTCATAAGAGGATCAGCCCGAGTCGATAGTACACTCCGTCCCTCCTTGGGGATATGTAAGAATGATTATCACAGATAGTGGACTATATAAATCCCAAGCACCGTTCCGTCAAGTTTGAAGACCAACGCAGCTTTGACCACTCTCAGTAGGCGCCAAGCTGCTTTATCTTATTCGTTTCACATATCAGCAAATACTTCGGAGATTTGAACTTCAGGATGACGACATCTAAACCCAAGATTCTAGTAGTTCTCACCACTGCAGACAAGGTCCCCAAGACCGGAAAGCAGATCGGATGGTATCTGGTGAGTACAATACATCTTCGACCATTGTCTTCATATCCAGATATTGTATTTTGGAGACCTCAATTGAGCGGTGCTAACATAAGTCAGCCCGAGCTTGCTCACCCATTTCACGTTCTTAACCCTCTCGCCGAGTTAGTCTACGCGACTCCCAAGGGCGGCGAGTCTCCACTCGATCCTGTGTCAGTGGAGCTCTTCAAGGATGATCCCGTATGCAAAGACTTCCTTGAGAACCACGAGTCAGTTTGGAAGAATACTCTTAAGCTCAGTGAGGTTGCTGGTCGAGCCTCAGAGTTCGACGCAATCTTTTACCCGGGGGGACACGGTCCAATGGTAGATCTTGTCGACGATGAGCACTCCAAAAGTCTCCTTCGTGACTTTCATTCTCAGAGCAAAGTTATCGCAGCTGTATGTCACGGACCAGCTGCTTTCGTCAATGCGACGACCGCATCGGGTGAGTTGATCTTGAAGGGCAAGCAGGTCACAGGCTTTGATGACGTCGGTGAAGAGATGTTTCAATTTACAGAGGATATGGACTTTAGTCTAGAGAAGAGATTGGGCGAGGCTAGTGGTGGAAAGTATGTCAAGGCTGATGAAGGTCCTCTTGCGGAGAAGGTTGTTGTTGATGGGAAGATGATCACGGGCCAGAATCCAGCGTCGTCCAAAGGTGTCGCTGAGGAGATCGCCAAGGCGCTTGGAGTATATTAAATTGTCGGTACTGAGAGCAATTTATCTTACACTGATTTCTATATACATGTTTTCTCAAAGAATGCAATATCTGTTAGTTTTTCATTTGTTGTTGACTTGCCTCGGTGATTGAGAATTCCTGGTGATGGGTAAGCCCAGACTCGAGTTCAAGCTTATCTCCTACCGAACCAACCATAGCCGTCATAGCAAGCGATGTGGATCCACATCTACTACCAGGATCGGCTTTAGACACCTTCTTCTAACTCCGATGGAACGGGTTGAGGCGGATATTAGTGCTGACAATTATCACGAACCTCTCTAGATCACTCTCAATAGCTTTATCTCCCACCGGGTTGAAACACAAATATGTTTGGATCATTTTCTGCTTCCAGCTCTCCTACCCCCTCGAGAAAACCCAGGCGCAATCAGGTATCCAAGGCCTGCGACTCATGCCGACTACATCGTGTCAAATGCGATACAGAGTACCCATGTCAGAATTGCTCTAGCAAAGGTTGGCAGTGCAACAGCACGACCCGACAGAATCCGGGGTGGAGTCTACCCCGCGCTATGAGGTATGGAAACGAAGGCCGTTGACCCGCTGTCGAGTTTGACCCCACGCCTGACACAACTTATAGTGAGATTGATAGGTTGAGAGCTCGAGTGAAAGAGCTTGAGGGACAACTCAGAGATGTGAGTGTCGCGACACCACCAGACGAGGACACCCCGGAGATCGTACCGAACGACCCGTCTCCAAGCTTCTTATATGCTAACGAGGGAGTTCAACTCGATACTACGATGACGATCCAGTCATTAGGCCCCAGCACTCAGTTCTATGGACCTTCATCCACGTACTATTTCATTCATTGTATTAGCCAGCGTCTGAAAGCCAACAGTGGAGCCTTGAACACCGATCAAGAGCCTCACAGCTTGATACCCAACTCGGCAAGCAGATGTATGATGAACGTCATCAATATTCCCGACGCCGAGTTGGACCAACACCCAATCTCAGATAACGCGATACCTGATAGAGCGACGCATGGATTGACAGACACATCTCTGTCGGGGAAAGACTTGTCAGCAACTCAAGGGGCCTTTTTCCTTGACCTCTTCTGGGACTCGTGGCACTGCTGCTACCAGCTTCTGGACGAGGCAGAGTTCAAGGAGCACTATAACTCGCTATGGGATGACCCAACCGGTGACACAAGAAAAGACTCGCCTCTGGTCGATATAGTATTGGCATTGTGCATGCAGTTCGGCGTTACGTCATTGCCACGAGAAAGCGGTTACAAGGTAGAGATCAACTCTCGCGACGCAGCTATCGCGGGCCGTTGGCTCTACCAGCGTTGCCAGAGACTGATATCGTGTCACTTGGAGAGACCAACACTAGAGACCTTCCAGTGTCAATTGTGGTCTGCGATTTACCTAGCAAATGCTTCTTATCAGAATATGGCGCAGAATATGCTGGGGGTTGCAGCGCGCACAGCATATACGTTGGGGCTGCACATTGAGCCAGGGAGCGACCTACCCGCCAAACAAAGAGAAGCACGAAAGCGTGCCTGGTGCATTATGTTCATGTTTGAAACGAGATCATGTATCCGATTAGGTAGGCCTTGGGTCTCCCAAACCCAGCCAATTTCATCATTATTGCCTACCAGTGATCTGGGTCATGTTACCGCTGGCCTTGATCAGCTGAGATACACCACCGAGAGAGCTAGACTCTCCGAGATAGCTCGATCAGCCTTTGACCGTCCGTTCGAATTCCGATCGATCGACGAAGCTAAGACAACGATCTCCGATGGTCGATCAAATGCATATGCTTCGGGGATGGACAGAATGCGCGCTTGGGCTCATTCTTTGCCTCATTTGCTGAAGACGCAGAGACGGAGCGGTGGAATGCCTCTCTCAACAGACCTCTCAGAAATTGAGATTGAACATTTCGTGCCACTTTCATTGCAAAGACAACGCTTGATGCTTGAACTATTCTACCACGAACTGATGCTAACACTTGGAAGGCATCCCATAAGCCAATCTTTGACTCGTGCTGGAATCAGACAAACCTCCTCATCCCATGAAGTGGCAGATATCTCAGTTCTACACGCAGCAGCAACGACGAAGCTCCTACATCAGGTGTACCAAGAGTATGATATCTTGAATGGATGGTACGAGCCGTTCAACTGTCAATGGAACGCCGCGATAACGCTCGTGGGATATCTCTTTGCATACCCCCGAGACTGTCCAACGAACACAATCGCCCGCACTGCTCTGTCGCAGAGTATTACGGTCCTAGAAAAGATGGGCGAGTTCTTTGGGACAGCTTCAAGCGCGGCTGGCGTGATACGAGCACTCCATCAGCTGCTGAACATGACGGCCGAAGTTTATATGACGGCAGACAGCATCCCTGACACAGTCCAAGACATGGACCTCGCTGGCCTTGGGGCTTTGGACCTATCCTTTGAGGGTATATTAGGGACGTTTGGGACAGAATCTGAGTTTGAAAGACTTGGATTTGGCATTGACATGCAGGACTTCCTAGCTAACGATGCTGAGAATATGAGTACAGCGTAATGGTCCTCAATAAAACTACTTAATTTAGGCCGCAAACTTTGCAATGTTCTCTAGCACCACGTCCTTCCATCCCTGTACAAGCTCCTGTCTCTGACCCCTCGGCGACACCTCCACAATAGCCCGCAAGAAGTCAACGGCTCGCTGCATGCTTTCCTGCAATGATGAATTGTACCACGTCTCCTCAAACAGTTTGCAGCCCTTGTCTTTACACCGCTGCTTGAAGACTTCCAACAGCTTGTACTTTTCATCCAACGATTCCGAGGTGTCGATCCCGTTCCAGAGAAAGGAGCTTCTTGGGTTCCACTGAGGGTATGGAACGACGCCAACGAACTCCCAGTCGAGAATGCCAGTGATTTTGCCAGAAGTTGGATCAAAGATCATGTTGGCGAAGTGTAGATCTTTGTGGGCGAGGCGTAGCTTGACTTTGTTGAGCTCCTTGACGTGTTTCGGGAGAGCAGCTACGAATGCCTCCAGGCGGGGGATGGTATCTCGCATGAACGCCAGCTTTTCATGGGTTTGGATGAGTCGGATGTACTTGTTGACATGTGCTACCATGTAGTCGACGTATGTCTTGTACGGCCCTCCGATGTTGAGAGTCGCCACCGTCTCTCCTTCAGGCCAAAACCCTTCGATGTCTGGGACCTGCCAGAAGGTCTCGTCAACCACTGGGCCTAGCTGAACCTGACCTCGATCATCGAGTTTCAAGCCTCCGATGCCGTCCCAAGGGTGCGACTGGAGTTGAGTGAGGACGTCAATCAGCTGGTCGAAGATCTGGTTCATTTGCTCGTCGCTCAAGTTGTCGTAGATATCACTGAGGGTAACGCCCTGAACGCGAGAAAGCAAAGTGTACTCGTGAGCGATGGGGTTCTTGTTGGAAGCATCGTAGGCTATGACCTCTGGTAAAGGTATCGTGGTATTCCCGGAGAGCCAGGTCATGACGCCTATCTCATTTGCTGTTTTGATCTCGGGGAGATGGTTGCCCGCGACGCGAAGAACGAGCTCGGAGTAGCCACGCGAGAGCTCGGTAGGCGGCAGAGTGAGGAAGTAGATTGAATGATATTGAGCAGTCATTTGTGGGTTGCTGATAGACGTGGCATGAGGTAGGCGCAAGGATTGCAAGAGAGCGTTGATGGCATCTTTGGGCAGAGGGAGAGGGAGATGGGCGGCGGGCGAACTCATGGTGGCTGATGATGTTGAAGAGGACAGCGGGAGTGGCTGCGAAGGAAGTTGATAATATTATTGAGTAGAGAAAGGACTACAAGGAAAGGACAGTGTTTTGTACCGATCACATAAGCAGCAGCCATGAACGATGTTCTCCACAATTCAAGCTTTTATTCTATAACTACTCAGTTTTTAACTTTAGCATTCTGCAATGGCGGCTCTTGGATGAGTATTAGGATCACAAGGTGCACAAAATTTTGGGTTTAGGTATCTCGATTACAGATTATTTGTAAACTCTCAGCTACTTGTAGCATCTGAACGTTATTGAGGCGATCTACGCTCTTCCCAAGACACTTAACGAGTAGATCAATCATATTGTGAATGCTAAGCGTGATCTGCGCACGGTGCATCAGAGCCAACACTGGCTGGGTCATAACATGACAGAAGCCTAAATCAGATTGACTAAATCAATGCAGGGTCGTCCGTCGTTGATAGGGCCAGTGATATCCTGTAATCCATTAGTACATCAACCGAAACTCAAGAGTTGTTTGCCTCTTACAGAAAATGGGAAGTCCCGGCAGCAAACCACATTGCCACTACACTTCTTTCCAAGAGTGCCATCGAGAATTCCAATGACATTCAAGCTGAGATCGAAGCAGTTGTTAAAGATGTTTAAATTCGTGGAGGAAAGACCTAGGAAGCCGCCTTTGTTGTCGTTCGCATTGCCAGTCTTGCTGTTGCAACACCGGACACTTGTGTCCTGCCCACAGACTTCCTGAGCTTCAGAGACCCTGAGCTCATCGACCTTGGGCTTTCTCCAGCCTTTGAAGCTGAAAGCGGAGGCAGCAGAGGTAAAGACGATGACTGTGGTCATGAAATGCATGTTGGCGAAAGAGGAGGGGGTAAAATGTTGAAATCGGGGAAAGTGAGTTGCAGGTAAGTGGATAGAAGCGAAACTTGGTGATTAATGATGGGAATTGCTATGAAGACAAGAGCAAGTAGTGATAGCTTTATACCCAAGAATATTGCCGCATTTGAATAGTTCCTTCGTGAGACTGGCATTATCTAAAGACTGTCGTTGTTTGGATGGCAAGCAGTGGCGGGACCGCGCCCATCTGTTGAATGCCGTGTAGAGGAGAGCACAAGGCTGAACGCGGTAACAAATAACACTCTATCCTCCCTGCAAAATTTAAGCTTATCCCAAACCTGTACAGAGCATAATTGCAATTGGCTAGTAATCAAGACATTTTCTTCAGCAAGAGTTATTTTTCATCTCGATTCATCGCGATTCCGCGACCAGAATCTTGATCTTTGAGACACGGCAGATGGTGGCTAGTGTCCTGGATCTACAGTAGATTCAATCAACGGCCCGATTACAAAGACATTGCTCGGCCAAAAGCATGCCAGTCAGAGCCGTCGTCTATTAGTTCTATTAGTAATCTTTATTTAGAGGAACCTCGATCTCATTTACTGTCGTGACGCTGGATCTGGTTAGTTCATCGGCCCTGGTCTTAGGGGTTGGTATACTTCATAAGCAGCGTGAACGTCGGGCGTGCTTCCCGTAGCCGAGGTCATCTATTGGAACTTTAGACTGCGGCTCAAGTTCTAAAAATTAAAAAAAAAAAAGAAAAGATTGAAAAGTACGTTTGAATTGTATTTGGGCCAACCTTGCTCACTTCATCGCCTCGCCAAGCGCCCCAACGCACTCCGCTTACAGTCCTCCAAGCTACTGCACCAGCCCTTTCCCTTCCCCGCAAAAAGCTAGTGTCTTGCACGCCAGGCCGCCCTCGGAAATTAGACCTCCCCAAACTAACCAATCTACCATTGTGGCGTGCCTTTGGCTCGGAGAGCTGCACCGTACCTCCACAACAGGAACGGTGCCGGCCAGCCCAGGACGATGAACACCAAGGCAAGCAGGCTATTTCCCCAGCCGTAATCAAGCTTCTGATACATTGCCGGGGCAAAGATAGGAAAGGCAAACCCTGCAATACTCCGAAGAAACTGGGAGGCAGCACTTGCGGAGGCGACATACTTACGGAATGCGTCCATAACATATGCTTGTAGAGCCTGCGTATTGAGGATGATACCACAACCAAAGATGGCGATACCGATGTCTGGGACTATCCAAACAGTATGCCTTTCTGCCGACCAGCCATAGAGAAACAGACCGAGAGGGATCAGGATGGCTCCAGGTAGCATTAGAGGAACACGATACTCAGGTGCCGTGTCGTCGCCAGCTTTCTTCTTGAGATACCCCCAGAGCTTGTCCATCAGAATCGCGCCGCCCTGTGCTGCTACTGTATAACCTATGACTAGGGCAAAGTAATGCAAGCCACTCTCCCATTCTGACTGACCGTACCGTTCAATCCACAGAGTCGCAAACGTGGAGAGAACGATATAGAGGATTCCAAAATTGTAGGCCAGGAATATCGCAATGATTTGCAATATGGGTTGCGTGAAGAGAAGACGAAACGGACGACTCAGCGCCTTGAGCAGAACTGGGCGAAGACTTCGTTCTGAGACAGTCATGTGCTCTGTGAAGTAGGCCCTGCCGGTCTCCTTACGCAAACGGGCAGCTCTCTTCTCCAGCAGAACAACTTCGTAGGTCTCATTGAACACGATTAGAGCGATGACGGCCAAGATCCCATCAAAGATGGAGAGGACCCAGAAGGTCCAGCGCCAACCCACAGTCTGTGTGACCGCACCTCCGATGACGGGCCCAAGCGCCGGACCCAGGAGCGGAATAAAGGTCGAGATAGCGAATGAAGTACCCCTTTCTTCCGCCCGCCACATGTCCGATAGAACCGGGTTCGTCACAGCAAACTCAGCGCTTGCCCCAAGACCCGAGAGAAGACGACTCGCAATCAACAGACCGCTTGACTTGCTGAAACCCGCAACGGTGTTCCAGAGGATGTAGAAGCAGCTAGAGGCCATCCATGTTGGCCGCCGTCCGAATACTTCGGCAAGCGGAGAGAGAACCATGGGTCCAAAGGCGAATGCGAGGACGAATATTGAAAGGAAGATCTGTGTTTCCTCCGCGTCGGTATCCAGATCTTGGGATATTGTCTCGAGAGCTGGAGCGAGCATGGCGCCTGACATGAGAGTGACTAAACCGCCACCGGAGAGCAATAGAGTGATGGCCCATTTGCGCGGCCGGGGCCAGTTGTATGGATGCTCTGGATCGCTGTCTCCGTCCCAAGTTACCTAAACGGCCACGAAAGGTTGATTAGATTACGTGAAACGCACACCGACTGTAGGGGAAATATACCAGTAGCGATTCGGCCTCCGACTTATTTGGTTGGACACTCTCTGATTCGAGTTCATGCGTATCTTGAGCGACTGGGTTGTTGTTGTTGTTGTTGTTGTATTATTTAACGTCCCACTGGGCTTCCCCTAGCCAATCTCCACAAGGAGTAAAGAGACGTGCTAAGCTAGCTAAAATAGGTTATTTTACATGTAGGCCAGGTAACGGCCCACTAAAAATAAGGCTTTATAAGGCCACGCGTCCAAATCATAACAGAATCTTAGCAACTCCTCCGCCCTTCTAATTCTAAAAAGGCCTCATTTCTAGGGCTCAGTCTCCGTCAGCGGAGGCATACAAGCGTAGCTATCGCCGCCCATTTAATCCGATTATTTGGCAGTTAAATCGTCTAAACCTGTTCTTCACGACTGCCGGCAGTCATTTCCTTAGGTATGTTGGCTTGCCCGCTGCCAGTTGACCAGGCGTGCCTTCTTCTAGCGTAAGTTTAGGCCCTATCTAGCGTTGCGGGCAGATCTCTGTGAAAAAGCTCGTTGTCTCTGCAAACTTGATAAAGTCTTGGTGTTTTCTGCCTATTATTCGGTTGATTTCCCTTTGAGGCGCGGGTGCAAGCCGCGGCCTCTTGTTAGGGGCGATCTTTCGACAATAGAAAAGGTGGTTAGGTGATTTCCGCCGCCCGCAGGAGCATTTAAGCAGGGCGTTGTTGTGCTGAAATCTCTCGTGGTAGTCAGCAAAGTCTCCATGGCCTGTTCGGGCCGCCAGCAAATGGCACAGTGAGCGTCTGTAGAGGCTAAGCTCTCCTGGACATTTCAGTGTAGCCTTAAGGCCGAGGTTCTTATAGCTATCAGGGATATTAGTAGTCCACCAGTCCTCGAAATCTTTCTTTGTTCTGGCTTTGGCCTGTCTGCGGATGTAGGCCAGCGTCGGTTGGGCCCCAGGTGATTCTGGAAGTTCGCAGCCGGCTTTAGCTAGGGCATCTGCTCGTTCATTACCTCCAATATCCATATGCCCAGGGCACCATTTGACCCTGATAAGGCCGCGGGCCTGAGATATCTGTTAGAATTTGAGGAATACATCCTGTGAGGAGTCTGAGGCGTTCCGCCGTAACCCTTCAGCTGCTAATGTGTTGTCTAGGCATATAGTTATGCGGTCTTCCGGCCGGGCCAACTGCACAGCTGCTTTGAGGCCTTGCAGGGCGCCTATTGCCTCTATATCGAAGACCTCCGCCTTCCCGAGTCGCCCATTACCTTCGCCAACTGTCAGCCCTGATCGGTGGATTACATATCTGTAGCCCGTGGCCCCGGATGTCAGCTGTAACCCATCGGAGTATACAATTAGGTCTAGGGCATTGGTAGACTGTAGCCAGGCGTTAAAGCCAAGGGCTGCGTGTTTCTTTGGGTAGCTCCCTTTTAGTGGTGGGAGGTATGTGTGCCTTGGTGCCATGAGTTCAGGCCGTGGTGCGGTAGGGAGGAGTTTCTGGGCACACTCAAGCCGTGTTGGACCGCGCGTTTTGTTCCCCCTTGTATCTTTCGGGCTGTTTAGAGTAATAACCAGCGGGTGCCTTTTATCTAGTGCCTGCAGTCGTGCATAAAAGCGTCTTCGTTCCGCCTCCAGTATCTGTTCAGCTGGTGGAATGCCACTTTCTCTGTGCAGTACCGGGGTAGGCGTTGTTCTCCAGACTGGGAGCGTAGCTTGTATTGAGTCCTTGAGGGCGCCTTCTATGAGCTGTATCAGGTGGTTTGCTCTAGTATTAACCTGTGCCCTGCCGTCGTCTCTATCAGCCGCTGCTAATGTGTGCATGTAGTCAACTGTCCTCAGAGTGCTCTTTCCTGCATACCACGCTTCGGATGCGTATGTCGCTATAGGGACCGCACAGGCAAGTGCAGCCCGTCGGACAGCGTCTGGTCGGGGCCCGTGGGCAGTGTTGGAGAAGCCTCAGAGCAGACTAGAGACCGTGCGGGCTTTAGCTGACCACTTCATTACATGGTTGCGGAAGGTAAGCTTCCTGTCAAACCACACGCCGAGCCATCTTATCTCCCCCTCTGCTTTCACTACTCGGCCTTTGTGCGTGATGGTTGGGCTTTCCTTGTGGTGCTTGCGGGTGAAGTGCATTACTTCTGTCTTTTCAGGTCCGAACAGGATACCTCGCTTCTTTCCCTCTTGGATGATTTCAGCTAGGTCATTGGTAGCCAGTTGGGCGGTCTCAGTAAGGGTCTTGCCAATTCGTATCATGGTGGTGTTATCAGCATATCCTAGTCTGGTCGCTGGGGCAATCTTTGTCTTTACTGCCGGGTGTGTGAAGCCTGTGTTCCCTATGCTATAGATCCATGCGATATACAGCATGTACAGGATAGGCGATGCGGGCGAGCCTTGGGGGAGGCCGCAGTTAAGGGGGCGGTAGTCTGTAGTAAAGTCCTGTAGCCTGATCCTTGCTAATCTGTCTGTCATAAAGGAGTGCGTCCATCGAATTATCGGTTCCGGCCAGCCTTGTCGCCTGAGAGCAAGCGCTATTCGGTTCTGCAGGGTTGCATTGAAGGCTCCTTTGATGTTAGCGGTGATTGCAGTGACTACCAGTCCTCGGTTCAGGGCATCTTCTATAATATGCGTGAGGATGGCAGTAAGGTCTGTGGCTAAGCGTTTTGGTAGGGCACCGAATTGGTTGGGGTGCAATACGCCTTGGTTGACCGCAGCGTAGGCCATCCGTTTTGCTATCAGCCTTTCTAGGCCTTTAGAGAGGCAGGAGAGGAGGGCAATTGGTTGCTAGGAGCGAACGTTAGAGAGGTCTCTCTTTCTAACCTTGAGTATCATTACCACTTCTGCTAGCTTGAAAGCCAGTGGGTGGTGTCCGAGTGCAAGGCATCTCTGATACAGCCACAGTACATACTCCTTGATATATGGCCAGATAGCCTTAAGGACGTTGACAGTAACGTTATTAGAGCCTGGGGATGTGTTACCTGTCGAGGTGACCGCCCATGTCATTTCTTCTAGTATGAGTTCCATAGGGAGCTTAATAATCGGAGCAGAGTCGATAGGCACCCACGGGTCAGGTATGTCATCCTCTGCTGTAAATCGATCTAGGATTGCAGAGCGCAGTGCTTCTGTCTTCTCTAGCAGGCTAACGTGTGCTTTCCCTTCATATTCAATAGGTAGCGCTTGTGCTTGGTTCTTTGGTTGGGTCCAGCGCATAATAGGCCAGATGTCCTTCGGTTCCTGGATATTGTTAATAATAGTGGTTCTGCTACTCCTTTTAGCTTTCCGTACTTCCCTTCGGAAGGCTACTTGTGCTAGCTGGACTTCTTTACTAAAGCCTAGTAGTTGCTCTCGCCGGAGTTCTCGGTGCAGCTTGTACTGCTTGTCGCATCGTTTGTTCCACCACTTCGTGTGCGGCAGGTTCTTCCGGGGCGTTCGGCCTACATTGTTAACTGCCCCTGAGATTAGGTCTTGTAGCGCGGCTGCTGCAGTGTCAAGTTCTTCCTGTATGTCCCCTTTATCCGGAAGCAGCCAAACGTTATCTCGTACCATGCCTACCACGCGCTGTGTATCCTCCTCATTGGAGATGGTGAATCTCGTTGGTTAAGGGGGCTCAGGTCGCGCTACTGGTAGTGTGACGGCGATGGTGTAGTGGTCAGAGCTAGTGGCCAGGTGGCCTTCAATGGTCGCCGAGGCTCCCAGGATATTTGACCATGCCAGGTCTATAGTGTTGCTATGTGGGTTAGTAGGTTCGTTTAGGGGGTTGAGGAGCGTGAGCCCTTCGTTTTCTGCCCATTTGGCGATGTCATTTCCTCTATCCCTCGTCTCTGCAGCCTGCCACGAGTAGTGTATGGCGTTAAAGTCACCTAGGATAACGGCCTTATTATTGATAGGTCTTGCCATTAGTATATCTAGTGCTTCGTTCGTTCGGGGTTCGCGGTAGAAGTTAGTAAGGGATATGTCCCCTATTCGTACCGTAACTATGTCTCTGCTAAGCTTGTAGTCAAGTTGTTCCCCCATTAGCTGGCTGGTGTTAAGGGTATATGTTACGACCCTGGGTCTCTCTGTCAGGTCCTTCCAGTGGTGAACTGGAGTGTACATGCTGTATGCAGCGTGTTTCTTTGTCTTGCACTCTCCTCCTATAATAAAGGTCTACGGCTCCTGCAGCATAATAACATTATAGCTATTGCTATGTGCTAGGGCGAGTGCTATGTCGTGTGACGGCCCGCTTCTGCCAACGTTCGCTTGAAAGACTGTGATAGGTTATCTGTCTTTCCGTCGGCGTGTCCCTCTTGACGCACTTATTGCGCGTAGGGGGTTGGTGTTGTCGGGGGACCTGCTTGTCTGCGTGTCTGCAGGTCAGTGATCGGGGATGATCTTCTGTGTCGGATAGCGGTGGCTGGTGTTGACGATGCGACCTCCGGGTTGGCCATTTTGAAGAGCCTGTGTCCTTCCTGTCGCAGTTTATGCAGTTCTTTCTTGCTGAGTCTTCTGGTTGTGCCCTGAGGGGTTCTGCGGGGCTTCGCTGGGCAGTCTTTGAAGTCTGCCCTGTGTGGTCCCCGGCAGTTGGCGCATTGGATGGTGTCAGGGTATTGGCATACTTCGTTATCGTGTTCCGTTCGTCTACAATTCTTGCACCTAGGGGTCCTAGTACAGTTAAATGAGGAGTGGTACTCCCAGCAGTTGTCGCACTGTTAGGGTCGGGTGTTTCTGGTCAGGGCTCTTGAAAGTTGGCTAGTGCCGAAGAGCGTGAAGCGGGTTCGTGGTTTCTGGGTGAAGGAGGCGATGATGCCTGCTTTTCCGGTGGTCTCGTCGGATTTTCTCGTGATCTGCGCTCTTACGGGCTTGAGGCCTGTCTGGGCTTCGATTTCCATCTCGATGCGCTTTGTTAGGTCGATTCTCTTGTTGCCAATGAGTACGTTCGTGGGCACATTTTCAATGATATAGGTGTGCCATTTGCTTGATTCCTCCACAGCGTCTGCGCCTATCTGGGATATGATATCACCTGCCATGTTCAGGAGGGTGTTCTTCACGGTGGTGCTGGCAGGTCTGACTGCCTATCCGCTTCTGACTTGTTTTGCGTACGGAATGTCAGCGGTTGTAATTCCGCACACTTTTGCGAGCTTGTCCCGGATAGCGTACGGTTCCCAGCTCTACGCAGGGGACTGGCCTTCTAGCCGGATAAAGACACGGTGGTCAGTGCTCGTGTCGTTCTCGCGTGTCAGGGGCTTGATCGTAGTCGCGCCTTGTTTCTGGGGGTTGTTGGTTATCCCATTTGTCTGTCGTTTGAGGATTCCCGCGTAGTTGGTGGTATCCCTCTTTGCCGGCTTTGGCGCCATGGCTGCCTTATCCTGTGACTTTGTCCAGTAGGTGATTAGGCCTTGTGCCAGAGTATCGGTATACTGTTTGGCGTGGTCTCCCATGCTCTCGTAGGTGTTCCTGACACTGTCAATGGCCTTGCAGAAGGCTGCGAAGATGTCTAGTTCGGTTTCTATCTTGGCACGAATGTTCGCGGCGTGGTTACGGCCCGCGAGGTAGATTTCGTTGTTGGCAGTTGCGCCGATGTCGTTATTCCCTCCCGTGGTGTCCATGTATTCGAAGACATCGCTACTGGGTGGGCTTGGGGCTCTCGCGGTAGGCCCGTTGGGTTTGCTTACGGTGACTCGAGGCGTGGTAACTTCGTTTTGTCGCTTGCCGCGTGGGGTGGCGGGAGCCGCGTCGTGGTTATCGTGTTGGGGGATTGTCGCATCTGAGAGAAGATGCTCCTGTCCCGCGAGCTAGGCGTTTCGAGCAATGGATTGCAGATCGTAAGGCGTCCGCTGTCTAAGGTCAAAAAGGCTGCCTGCCGATGCGCCTGCCACAGGCGGGGGCATCGTGAGGGCGTCTGGATAGTTGGTTTGGTTCTGTATTTTGGTGTTGCTAATAGCTTCCTTGGCAAAAGGTGCCAAGAAAGTGGTATGTAGGAGGGAAGTGTTGAGCGACTGGGTTCACTGGAGCTTTCTTGTTCTGTAGGGTAGTCATCATAGGGACTAAGTATGCTACGAACAGGATATGTAGATATGATGCGATCGTAAGAGATGGTAAAAGGAGAGGTATTAAGACAAAATCCGAGATTGTGCTTCTGCTATTCCTCGTTTCCAATCCCGTTCTTTACCGTTTTGTACCTGGAAGAGCTCTTCGATATAAATACTTACATGTCGTCGATGGGACTTTTGTTTGGGACCTCGCGAGCTCGGTCCGAGCCTGCTTTACATTGGAGGGATGACTCCTTGCAAGGTTACTGTAACAGACGATTGTAGGACACTCGGCTTGGAAACTCGGCTTGGGATGTGGCGGCTTCGGCTTGGGGAATGACTAGGGGGCTCGGATTTAAGACAAGCACTCGGACGTGGCATGGGGGTCTAGGGTGGCAGTGACAAGACTTTCGATAAGGAATCTTCGGTTTAACGGCACAGCTTGGTGCGGAGTATTGTTCGGACACCGAGGCTGTGACAACCGGTGATGTATTGAGTGATGATCAAAAACGTACATTTATACGAAAATTCTCATTGATCAGACGGCCGCCATATCCTCGATGGTCGTGTACGGCTGCATCCTAGAATTAATCGCGGGCTTGGCTTCCCCTGGTGCGGACAGGTGAGCCTTGACGCCGCTTGGTCTACTGCATTCAGTCGCCATACCTGCCAGAAATCCTTTAACTTTTCGCCCGTTTATAGAGGGTGGCCTTTGAATACAGCTGATGTGGATCGGGCCATGCCTCGCCGGTCTTCCAATTGGCATTGGATTTGTCTTTCTCTACAATTCTTTCAACAACTATATCGTAGATGCATATCAGCATACAGCTGCTTCAGCGCTTGTTCGTTCGATTTGGGGTGGATCGACAGTTTTGTTCACCACGCAGATGTACGTCGATAGCCGCCATGTATAACCCTCAAGCAGACATTGACCAAGCGAATAGGTATCATAACCTGAATCCCCGATGGGCCTCATCTCTGCTCGGCTTCATTGCTTTAGCTTGCTGCTTCATTCCCATTGTCTTCTATAGATACGGGGCCGCCATTCGCAAGCACTCGAAGTTTGCATACTCGGGGGAATAGTCAGACAAGTATCGCTCCGAGGTTCAAGGTCAACCTGGGCCATTTTCGCGGACTGGGAGACAAGAAATGGATGGCACCAACAGTAATGGATCAAGGTGTTGTCCACTTTTCAGAAGCTGACCTAAGCCATGAACAGCCAGACAACGACAAGTAGAATAAAATAGAAAATGCCTAGATAACTATAGGGAATAGACCAGACCGTTGAGAACCCCTCTCACCCTGGACTTGTGTTTGATGCGCGTGTTGTTATTTCGGCTGCTGGATGACCTCCAACGCTCCGACGCTACGAGACCTGGCGTATCAGGGCGTCCATGCTTGTCATGGAATGTGGACCTACGGACCTCCCATTTACACTCGGAAGCTACGTATCGTGATCAAGCCGACGAAACTACCTTTTGATCTCCGGAACCGAAGAGTTAATCAAGAGTTTTATCTCTGTAAGACATCACCATCGTGCCAAGAACAAGGAATACCAATAATACACTTTCAGAAAGGAAATTCCCAGGAAAACGGCGACTCCGCACTCGACACGTGCATGCGCAGGCTGTAAGGCCAAGAAGCTTCGGTGCCTTATGAGTGATAGCCCGCCTTGGGGTTGTCAGAGGTAAGCATAACAGCATCGCCACGCAGTGCTGCTCGACACATCCAATACTGACTGCTAAGTTTATAAAGGTGCATAGAGAAGTAATTGGACTGCGTGATGCCCCGAATCACGTCCACGGTGACGTAAGAAGAAAGGTTAGATCGTCTTGTTCACTCTCAAGGCAATTTATTTCTAACAATTCTCCTCCTTAGTCTATGAATCAAAACTTGACCGGCTAGAGCGGGACATCGGGAGGGTCATATCGTTACTCTCATATCACTACTTGGTTAGTAAACGACGACTTTTGCCAAGCTTAACCTGCTTACCATCGTATGAAGGTGTTCTATAATGACTCGGCAGTCGAGTCCGTTGATCTACAACGACTATTTATACACTAAGTTCTGTCCGCTGATTTAAGGTCTCAGCCACAAGTCTCAACTGCAAGACTGTTTATACACATGTACCCAGTCCCTCGCTACCGCGAAGGAAACACCGTCGGATCTAGACCTTGTCTTCCACCTTGATGCCGCTCGTGAGGTCGAGAGAGCACATACTTGCTTCAGCTACACGGACATCAGGCAGACTCACTTCATGAGTGAGCAGGAAATAAAGGTTTACCTGCATGCATTCTCAATCAAAGTGTAGGATTGGCGAATTCGCTTTCTATCTTTACTCACCTAAGATCGTGAGTACAATATTTAAACGTGCCCGGCAGCGAAAAAGCCTAGTTAACCACCCGTCAGCCTGCCAACAAATTTGACCTTGGCTCTTAGAAGCTTTTGTGAGGGAATTGTGTCTATCTGGAATGGCTCGAAGTACTGGTTTCTCCATGACCCGCATCCGCATTCTTATGGACATGCTCCTAAACACAAAAAGCTATTTCGATGCATTCCTATCCATTCCTCCAGAAGACGTCCCTTGCCTGCCATCCTCACATTGGGCTCTTTTGTCGCATTCCATTCTTCTTACAGCGGCGATATCTCTATCGACACAGACCCCAGGATGGAGCATTAAATCGGCACGCTGTTATAAAGCTCAAGATGTATATTGATGCTATATCGCTTCGAGTGAGGGATCTCTCCTCAGAGATGGGTTCTTCGGAACTTCTACGGAACTGGTATGGCGACGCACTCGGCGGCTGGGAAGCGATCTATGGACATGATTGCCGCCTATACGGTTAAGCTCAAGACGCGTTATCCTACCGCAGGTCAAGAGTGATTATCCGAGACAGAGTCATACCCGCAATCGGCTCCCTCACACGTCTCGCACCAGGCAGTGGAGAGTGATGATCTTGGTCCTCAAAGTACTCCTTTGGTCAGCTTCAGGGAGACCCTAGTCAAAAGTACATAGCTGAGAACTCTATGAGACCTCAAAGCGAACTTGAGGCCTTTGACCTTTTTGCAGATACTGGGCTATGGATTGTCCCAGACTTTAATTACCTATAACTAAGCTCTCTGTGCTGGTTTTGACTGGAATCAACACATTTAGCTTAGCTCCCCAAATACTGGGTCTTCTGATCAGGCAGCAACATGCATGTTGAAAGTGCAACAATGAACTAATTGGTCTTACATGCATTCGCTCTTCTGCATGAATGTACTTAAATGGCCATGAAAACCCCTCATTTTCAGCCCCATGTCAGAGTCCTCTTCCTCATCTCTCATCAGTATGTCAAGCCATAATTCGGCCATCGTCTATCCCAGTGTTCCTCCAACTGAAGAGGATCCGCGGGCTCGTATCAATGTCATGATTGACATCTTTAACGCGGGCCTGTCATCTCGCGCGAGCGGCAAGCTAGACAGAGGCTTGTACCACGAGATCTTCACCGCATACAAGCTCGTCCAGGACTATAAGATCATGCATGGCAGCCAGATCTCCAGACCCCTCACTGATGCAGAAAAGCGAGATGGTCTGAATGGCAGCTCGCAAATGATCACTGTTCCTTTGCAGGGCAACAAGTACCGAGAGCTGGACATGGTCTACAACGAAGGCGGGACTACTTACATCGTCGAGGCTAAGAACACCAAGACCGTTGATCACAGCCAGCTCCAGCCCAATATTCAATTGGCACAGCAAATCCAAGGAGCCTTGGTGTATGCGATCGGCGAAAAGGATGGTCAGGAACGGGCTCTCAAAGAGGCATATAAAAAGCTCCAAGATCAACACCAGTCCAGCAGTACTGGAAGCTTCCCTCCTTTGAATGTCCTGCGAATTCCTGACAAAGTTTCTAACATCATGTCGGATAACAAGCCGATGAGTCTGCTGTCGCTCTCTTCCACGTTTCAGGTTTCCCAGTTCAACATTGCTGAGGTCACAGGGGAGTTTGATCACGAAGAACGTGGGTTTTCCTTATTTAGATAGGGCGACGGTTATTAGTGAGAGTCACACGCCCCTTTAGAAATATAGAGGTGAATTTACATATCAATTGACACTATATCTCAATTTATCGTTGCCTTGATTCCAATCACTCAGAGAAAGGAGACCTGCCGCTTCATCTCCAGGGCATCCTCGGGAGCGAGTTCCATGCAGTTGTCATGAGCCTCCATACGATCCCCCAGTGTACTTTAACCAGCTCCAAAAGAGTACGGGCGCTGTTACGTTGTCCCACGAACCACGCGACGCCGATGACCAGGGCATAGGTAAGGAGAGGCATGATAATAAAGCTATTGCGAAAGGCTGAAGGCTCTGGTACCATATCACTGCCTGCTGCTGGGTTGTTCAAGAACGGTAAAGCCCAAAACGTCTGCTTTGTTAGCTGTGTTATTGGACTCCTATTCTACGCGTCACATACCGCCAAGAAGCTGACCGGCGTGAAGAGTACCGTAACAACGGTGAAGACATAGATTGCCTGATTCAACGCCATTGCCTTAGTTGACTCTCGAAGAGATGTGGCATTAAAAAGCTGTAAAAAAAGTATTAGCAACACCCCGTAATAGTAGCAGGTGGTATGGACATACACCATCTCGAAGACTGTTAATCTCCTCGTGTTTCTTTTGAACCCGACTTTTAGTCGCGTTAGTAAGTTCATTCACATAACGAATGGCGACCTCGAAAGATCTGTCTGATCTATTCTTATCCTCCCACATAGATGCCTGTAACAGAACCGGATCTTTGAACATGTCTTCAACAGTTGACTGAACCTCATCTAACCACTCATCGATAATTCTGAGTGTCTGAAGAGCAACAAAGTAGTCCTTTGAACGTTTGAAAGAGTTGTCAAACATGAGTTCCTCCACGTTTTTCAACTCATCCAAGTCTTCTAGCTGTTAGGAATGTTAGTAGGGTCCCATAGCTGGTCAGAACGGAGAGGCCGGTGCATCTTCCAATTCACCTTGACATGGACGAGCTTATCTATGGTGCTTAGGGTCTCCCCCCATGCATCCATACACATCTTAAACACTCTACATATCTCCAGTAGATAGTATGTAAGGGGGTTTACCTCGTTCGGTTGAGGGAACATATAGCCTTTCCAAAACATGTTAACATCAAATTGCTGATCAGGGGATTTGATGTCTGTAATCTGCTCATCCTGAACAATGAGTATGCTGAAGAGTTCTGGGGCTTTCTTCAGAACACGAAAGCTAACGACAGCTCGCTTTTCTTGCAGGACAGTTTCCTCTGGCCCGTGTTGCAGCGTCACTGCTTGCCGCTTGCTACACAGACAATCTATCATAACGCTTCGGTAGTGGCGCAGCGGGCTAAAATACCGAATTTGCCAATGGATGGTATTATGTAAGTCATGGTGGGATTCCACGCTGTATCTGCCTCGAAACTCTGTGGAAAGAAATGAAGTGGATTTCCCAAACTTCAAGTCATATATTTCACTTCTTGATAATCGGAAGGGCTCCTCGAGGCTTAACGCGCATGCAAGAACGGATATGGGAAAGCCTTGAACTCCCTTTTTGAACTTATTCAACGAACAGTAACTAGTAAAAGCGCTCAGCGAACACGTCCTGCATATAGGCCAGCTAAGCCATGAGAAATTGTTCGTCTTTCTTTTACTTACACGATCTTTCCTTTGAATCTATGCCTGAAATCTGAGTACGAGCTTTCAACCGTGCCAGGAACTCGCTGTTACGGTCAGTTCACATGCAAGAGCAGGGACACATGAAACACACTTGCTGTAGCTTATTTATAGCTGCGAAACACCACTCAAGCCATATTCTTTCAATGGTATAGTATGGTGTGTCTTGATACCGAAAGCGTGGCCACGAATGTGATGACAGGTGAGCTTGGACGTTGGTCCTGACGCCATCACTTTCGATTATGTATTGCCTTTGCCCTGCGACATCCCGACTTTTGGGTCAAGCACCGCCAATGTAATTGTCGCTCCAGTCAAATGGTTCTGGAATTTCGCTCCAATCGAGATTTCGCATCAATCTGGACTGATAGCCACTTATGTTTTCAGCATCACCCCCTGACCCGAAACGATCTAGAATGCCACGAAATCGATGGGCTTGATGTAGCTTGTCAATCAGCAAGGCCCTGATCATAGAGAGGATAGCTTCGTCAGTCAGGTCAGCCGGCACATTTTGATGGACAATATCCTGATTCGGGTGGCTCCGAGGATCCGTGTTACCCTCTACTTCCAGTCCTATAGACCCTAGAACATAATTCTCATTAGGGGATGATTGCGTACTTTGACCTGTATAAGCAGGCTCCTGTAATGGCGAACTACCATCTTGGTCGTTGTCATTGTCAGTGTCGGCTTGTGGAGGTCCCAATTCTGCCACATCGTTGCTCGTCTCGGGTGCTTTTCCTTCCCGGATAGCTTCTCTCGACTCAAGTTCAATCTCCACTATTTCTTTACTTAAGGGCGGGTAGTCTTGAGATTCGTTTGACATCGTCGGCTGCAAACTGAAATGTTTGTAATATGGAGAGTAACAATCAAAATGAATTATTCGAGAGCAACATGAGTGTTTATCCAGCGGCCTTTTGCAAGCATGATCTGACTTGCGTTTTCCAGTTTCTGCGGGGGGGGGATGTGCCGTGGAGGTGAATGTTTTTAGGCGCCTGCGTAACAACCCTGCCCTCAGCTCATGCAGCACAGCAAAGATTTCAGCCAATTGCTACACATTCGATACGCACTTCATCACAAATGCGCCTTGGCCTTGCTCGCGATTGGCACAACGCATCCGCCAGCGGGACCTATCACTTCAATTCTCATGCAGCTCCCCAAGATTCTTGGCAATGTCAATCGCGGGATTAGAAGAAGAGACTCCGGGTCCAGGTACGAAAGCTTGACTATCAAAAGCTTTAATTATCGCTGTATCTATCTACAATCTGGAAACAAGTGAGATAAGAACATTTATACCTGTAGCTCCTGTAACGCCCCAACCAACACCTTTGTAATATTCCTCGACATCTCCGATTTCTTCCCCAGACACCAAAGGGCTCTAATACAATACTCTGCCCTTCTCAAGCTATCCTGAAAGTCTTCACTGTCATGCCCCAACAAATCCCCCTCATGCTGCTGAAAATCATCTGCCATGTCCAAGTGAAACAAACAGGCTTTCGTAAATCCCCTAATAAGGATGACAGTCCAAGGCTCCGTCAATAAGGGTCCTTCACTAACTGCAAAGTGGTAGTCTGGCAGCTGGGCCGCGTTTATACCGGCTTCTTGGAATAGGCGCGGTGTAGTTACTTGAGCGAGGTCGGCAAGTTCAATGGCGCTTGCTTTGCGGATACGTGCTGCGACGTTACCGCTGAGTCTCTTTTGGCGTGCTTGGTCGAGGCCGTAGTTGTTCTTGTCGATGAACTCGAGAACATCTGCTAGCATTAGGGCGCCGAGATGCCATGGTACTGCGATGCAGAAGAACCAACTTCTAATCCGTGGCGGGACCGTATCGTAGTGTCTAATGAGGTCTCGGAAGAAGGCTCCGTGTGTCATGTTCCAGTAACGGTATAGGAGAGTGGTTTGTTGGATGATATCTTCAATTGCTTGGGGACACTCTCGTTTTCGCAGGGCGTTCTGAAGATATGACAGATGACGATAGATTAGAATCTTGACAGGTGCTGACTTGGCAACCATTTGCATCGCGTCGTCATAGGAGCATGGCCATCGTGTTCCGACTGTTGGTTTGGCCGCATCATCTTGAATGAAGAGTTCCATTTCCCATCGTTGACTCCCTCGCCGATTCTTTTGTGCTGCTCGCATACTATCTGCCAGTATTTGGTCAGCATCTTCATGCTGGCAATCCTCATCAGCCAGAGCCACTGGCCTTTCATTCATCGATGAAGAGACTGTGTCAAACATGACAGCAAGCCAGTAAAGAAGCCCAATCGTACGTCTGTTTTCTTCTGTCAACCGCCGAGGAGCATGCTTTTTACTCGTCTCCATGAAGCCAGATTCACTAGCTTCAAACCTGAACTTGAGTGCATGGATCTTTCTCGTTGCCCGCTCCAGATAGATATGAGGTCCTTCCCGAGACATAATCTCGATAATCTCTGGCATCGCGTTCTCTTTGATGCCTTTGCTACTTTTTCCTTTTTTGGACCCAAAGGACTTCTGTTGGTACTCATCACTAGCCCAAGGCTTTTGTGTCAAACCAAAGATGAGTTCAGCGTATATAACACGATAAGACTCGACATCAACGACGTCTTGAAGTGCCCTCTTTGCTTGTTCCCACACTGACCGCTGTAAACTCTCCTCAAACTCTTGATTCAGAGCGTCTGCCAAGTCATCTGCTTCAGCGGCAATGTCGTTCGCCCCCATGGAGAACCTTTCTTGCCGACGGTTGCCCTGTGCCCATTGTGTTGTGAACGCCATTATGACTAGGTCCAATACTCGAGATGCTGCTTGGCTTTCCGACCGAGTCAGGTTGATTAGCCGCGCTGATTGGGCTGCTCGATCTAGTTCCACGACACGACGATACATTCTATTCGACCAAGCAGCGCCCCATTCTGGCGGAAGATTCGGATTGTGACGGGAAGGTCCTGGAGTTGCACCCACTTTGGGTTCTGGTGCTGGACTAGTACGAGCGACAACTTGTAGCTTGTATGGGCAGTTCTCCTCAGCTAGCCAACATGCAAGGTTATTCTCAAGTACGTCATGATAGATCTGAAGAAGACTCTCGGTGATCATGTATCGATTGGAGGTCTGCATAATGAGAGAGTCGCTGGTGAATGGTGAAGGCGAGAAGTTGGGATATCCAGACCAGTCGTTGGAGGGTAGGCGGGCCCTGCGCTTCACCTGAACGGCGTTATGTCTGTTGGCTGGAGATTCTATGGATGACAGCGTGTCGAGAGGGGCTGAATTAAAATCTGAGAAGTCCAAATCCCAGAGATTATTGATGTCAAAGTCTTGTGAGCCTGAATAAGATGTCGAGTTGTCCAGCGCGTCAGTCGCCGCATGTGAAGTCTGCTTTGTGAGTTCAGGTAGCCCTTCGTCAACAGCCTCCTGTGCTACTGTCTGCGAAGCACTCTCTGGACTAGAGAAGCTCATTGCGAGACTCTGGGCATCGAGGGCTGGGTCCATAGACAGAAAGGAAGGGACATCTGTATTGACGAAGGGGTTGTTCCAGGACAGGCCTTGGCCTGGTGTTGAGTCCTGAATCATCTGCAGCATATTTGCTGTGGTGATTTCGCAGTATTTTGCGTTGAGTGAGGGGGCAGTAGTGGTGGCGGGAGACTCATTGCGCTTCCTCTTGCTCTGAGCGCTATCGTTGGAGGTGCTTGTAATGCTTGACCCTGTCTCACTCACTCGAGACCTTGATCGAGTCTTGCCCCATTGTGGGTTCAGACTACAAACCTTCTTGGTTCTGATACAGTACGAGCAGGATTTGAGTCCAGGTTCCGATCCTCCATCTAACAAAGCGACATGGTTAATGCCTGGTCTCGAGGATGGTAGCATGCATGGCTAGAACTTACAGATTTGCGACCCAGAAGTGGGCGACGTTGCATCAGGTGAAACTGCCGGCTTCTCATTGCGAATGTACCCATCGCACGCCTTCTTGCTCTTCCTGCAGTGGTCGCAGGAGTGGTTTTGCCTCCGAACCTTCGGTTCCGACATGCTGCACCAGAGAATAGACGTCTACTACCAGGATGATAAAAGAGGGGCTGAGATCCCAACAGCTTGGGTAGAGATAGTGCAAGGTGAGAGTCAGTGGAGAAAGAATAGAGGAAAGAAACAAGATGAGAGAAACTGGTCCATAGATATTCAGGGCCGTTCCACCGACCTGCCCTCTTTCCCCGCACGGCGCTAGCCCTTTTGCGAGTCGACGACATCGTTAGTGGAAGCCTCTGCAATTGGTGTGAGTGTTATTGGTTAGTTGGTTGGTTTAGTGGACTTGAGTGTACCCCAGTCCTTGCGGGGAATGGGATGGGGGTGGATCACGCAAACAAATTGTCGGAACTGATACCTTTTGTCCGTGGACGGCATTTGAGAATGGATGTGATGATACAGTGCAACTATTTTTTATTCTTCGAGAGGAGGATCGTAGCATGAAACTCAATTCTGATCCTTGAGGGTTGACTTGCATCACTACACTGGCTAGAATGGTGCGACTGCCATGTAACATCAGGTAAACCTTCTCGACCAGTAACAGTATCAAATAAACGACAAGCAAGCTTCATCCTTGGCCAATTTACTACGGAATGTATCTCAGCACTTGCGTTAACGTTATATGTGTTAAACTATAGCTAATACCTCCTCCAATTTTGTCCTTTCCATCATCGCCCAGGATTCAGCATCCTACAAACAAACTTAAAGCCATCATGCTATATCAAGCATCCCCTAGACCTTTTCCTCTTCAGAGTGAGTATCCTTCTTGACCTTGGTGGCACCAGGGACTCTGGATGAGAGATCACCAAGCGGAAGAACATAAGGGAAGTCGACCGACTGGAGAATATGGCTCAAGAAGATGTACCACCCCAGAAGCGATACAACGAAGAGAATCGCAGCGCCAGCGTGCTGATATGTAAGCGACTTAGCAGACTCGCCGTTCGCAACAGCGAAAAAGGAGGCGGAGAGACAGCCGACTGTAGTGAAAACTGTCAGCGATAAAACGCGTAGCAGGAGTGTTGGGGAGCTTACAGCAAGGAACCAGAATGACCAGAATAGTAAAAAACACTACATTCGTGCGGATACTGGCGACAGCGAAGACGGCGCAGAGGATGCCCATCGAGATAAGGAAGAACGAGAATGTCGAGTAGAACTCGGCTTCCTTCAGCCCGTCCGCGACAACGTCAGTTTTGGAGTACAGGCCGTAAGCATTATAGTCTGGAACAATCGTTGAGCCAAAGGTGAACCAGAAGCCGCCGAAGAGACCGAACAGGACCGAGGGGAAGGTATTTCCTAGGATCTTTTGTTTGTTAGAAGACTGGTTTATAAGGATTCGTTCGAGGGGTGAGTGGACTGTACCCATTCGCCGATGCTACCGAGAAGCATGAGAAGACCGCCGAACCAAAAGTAAGCGCCGCTATGATTGATTAGATCAATGATGTTGGAGGAAGGTCAGCGACACTTACACATTTGCACCAGCTCCAAAGCCTCCTGCACCATGCCAGCCAAGCAGTGCCATGGAAGCAGGAGTCGTGCAGAGCAAGAACCCTCCCAAAGCTAATCATCGCGTCAGTAAAAATACACGCGACAGAAGCAACAGTGTCTTACCCAATGGCGTCGGATTGCCCAGCTTCTGCCGCAAGTCGCCCTTGACTCGGCTGTGAGGCGCCAAGTACAGCTGCTCAAACATCTCAGGAGACATCGAGATACTCCCCGTAGTATGGGCCCTCTCCAGATGATCAGCGCCCTGCTCGGTGAACGTCTTGATAGGTGAGGTAGACATGTTGATCGGTGGTTAATACTGGAGAAAATGTGTGGGTAAAACAGTGGAGTGAGAGAGGAAGAGAGAAGATGGCACGACCCAGAATATGTACTCCAGAGGATTGTCTCCACGATGGCAATCTGGGGAAGCTGGGGTTGGAGATTAGGGCGAAGCTCCCTTGCCCCGGAAACCATGTACCTGAGACGAAGACGTGTACCGCGCTGTGATTCGCGTATTCAGCGGGAGGGCTTGTACCCTACTGAGCAAGATTTACTCATCGGCAGTCGGTTCCCGTGAGCAGGAGGCTCTTTCTCTACGGAAGGCACGGAAAAGCCACGTTCTGAATCAAGTCTAGACGTGTCAAGGGAGGAGGGGGACTTGTGAAGCTCAACAGTTTCGGCACCGGGGTGTGTGAGGGTACGCTATGCCTACTGTAGCGAATGCATGATCGGCTGCGGTGCTGGTCCCTGCTGCAATGGCAGCCTGAGTGGTGGTATTGGGTTGAGATCTAATTCTAGACGCGCCGGATTTGGTCCCCGTGGGGGAGATGCAACCCCACGGGGAAAGTTTGTGGCATACGCAGAGCTTGGGCTTGAGTTAACGCTGGGAAACCACATGGCGGTATGGAAGCGTACGAGTTAGTTTGGTCAGTGCAGTGCATATGCCGTGTGAATGCTACATGATATGGGCAGGGGTCCTGTGATGAGAAATTGCCCTCCTGCCACTCTGTTTCCTACAACTTACAGCCAGCGCAGTCTATATCTTTGGCATCTCTGGGTTGATATCCTGCGTGTTAATCTTGTTATTGATCTGCAGATTAAGATTCCTAGCTCATAGAACATCCCGTAGAGCAAGATATTCGAAGTAAAGTCGGAGCCGACTCCGTCAATACACAAACTAGCTCAATACGGCAAGGCTCGTGCCGATCAGCATGGTTGGCAGGGTTTATGAGTCGGCTCCGCACTACAGCTGCCGACTGAGAAAACGTGCGGGGTAGGATTTGGTTGACAAGACGAGACGAGTCTGGGGAAATACGGATACGGACTTCTCCACTCGCTGTCAAGAATCCTTATTCACGGTTGTGAGTAACTGTCGAAGCTTCTGGACATGGAAGACCGAATGTGGTATGTTTGGCATCTCGATTGTCAGCGTTTGGATGACGAGATTGCGGTTCGGGATAATGGAAGTCGCGCGTCGGTGTCAATACTACCAAGTCCTGGAAGATTGTCGGGATATCGAGGTTTTCTACCGATCGGATGGCATCATACGTTGCTGATCCGCAGTGAATCAATAGGGAAGTCTCAGTATTGTGAGTCGGAAACATTAGTTTTGTGAGAATCTCCGGATGTATCTGTTGGAAGCATGGAGGATGAAGCAACCAACTGGCTTTCCTGATGGGTCAAGCTTTCAAGACATTACCATTACGAGCGATATTCGTCCTCTCCTCAGGGCCTTCTATCAAGCATCAGTCACTACTTTTTCTTCCGACGTGAGCTGGGCCAACTCCGAGACATTCCTACACCAGGGCACTTACCCTAAGCCAACCGACTTGTTATCCAAAGGGACCCGTATTCTAGTAGATGCTTCCTCTTTCGTAGTAGGTAATTTGATGCATGGCAAATTTTATTCCCTGTCCTGGCTGTGTCCTTCGTTATTTGCGACTGAGTATCAGTGGGAAGGGGTTGCCGTAATGTCTTAAGTCACAGTGCTGTAGACAGACTTTCCCTCGATGACCGAGACCAGGTTTGAGAGTTGAAACACATCAACCAAGCATCTATTACCCATCCTGATGTCTCGCTAAGCTATACCTTTGCTAAAGAGTCGTAGTATAGATCAATTTGCGTCTTGGGCATATCCTTCCCCTGTTCTCCAGAATGGTCTTGACCGCCTTGACAAGAGTTTCCTCCAAGCCTGTAAACCCTTCTAACTTTGCCATCTTCCCCAAAATCTCAGCACTCCTCTTATTATCCACCTCTCCCGCATCTACAGCCGACTATTTGACATCTTTAAGCAGAACCTTACCTGGAAACCGTCGATGGAGTATCTCCAGAATCACCGTCCAACAATACCTCCCACCGAATGCAAGGAGTCGCTCATTATTCACATCGTCGAGCGTCAGCGCAGCCAAGTGCAATAGTGCCGTATCCTCGACATCGACGTACCATTGCGATGGTAGAATAGATGGTGCATCAGGATAGCCTTTGACGACGGCATCAATGACGGCGGCTGAGCTGCGGTAGCTCATGTTCTCGGGTGATATAGCGATACCGAAGTTGACATTGGGCACAACCGTGTTGAATGAGAAGGACGGTTTATGCTCGCGCACCCACGCAAAAGCGGCTTGCTCGCTGCGTGCTTTGGCTGCTCCATATAACACGATCCCATGCCATCGCGGGTCCCCTTGTCCATCCCATGGCTCTGATGTCTTGCCAATTGCATCGGTGTTCCAGGTCGTTACATCGATCTTGTACGGTTCGCCTGTCGTTGGAAGAGCGCATGCAGCTAGTGACGAGGTGATAACTACACTCTTAACGCTGGGGACTTTTGCCGCAGCTTCGAGAAGGTACACGTTGGAATTGATGGTGTCTTGAATGACCCCTTGGTTCTACGGGTTCATGTCCATGTTCATGGCAGTATGAACCACGCCATCCACGCCTTTGAGCGCTTCATCGAAAGCACCAGGTGTCGAGATGTCGGGGACTTGGGCAAGCTCGAAATTGGGGCCAAAAAATGCCTCCATCCAGGCATTTGCTGTGATAGAGCGAACTGTACCACGGACATGATAGCCGCGCTGGAAAAAGACTTGCACTGCGACGCTAGCTATGTAGCCATTAGCGCCTGTTATGAGGATCAGACCTCCTGGAGGAACTAGAGACATCGCGGGAGATGTTGCTGTTGAGTGAAGGCGGGCGATAGGGACTGGAAGTTGATGAGAGCATGTCGGATATTGTCAGCGCTGACGGGATGTTATATAGAGTTGCAAACATTGTTCAACGAAGCGTAGGAATAGCCTCATCAAATAGCCCGAGTCTTACATGCACTAACACTCCATCGCTATCTCGCATCCCCAAACAAGTCTAGCCCCCTCGCATTCTCAATTAGGAAAACGAAGCTCCACTCTGACTCCCTCGTCTAATGAGAAGCAGTCAAAATCAAGTCCCCCTTCTCAAACTCTTCCTCTCTCTCGTTCTCCCAAAACATATCATGTCATCCCCGCGCTTTTCCAATACGATCCTCGTTCCAGGAACGAGTGGCCAAGCCCCCTCGATACAAACGTTTGGGGCGTTGGACCAGCCAAGGAAGAAGCGGCCCCATCGGAAGAGTCGGAAGGGTTGCGATGCCTGCAAGCGCCGGAAAGTAAAGGTATGATTACCCGTTTTGTGCAGGGTTCGAGTTGACAGCGTGTAGTGTGATGAGAGAGTGCCGTGTACGAATTGTCTACAGCGTAACGAGCAGTGTTTCCAGCCGAGTCATATCTCTGTTCCTATTCCCGTCGTGCCTAAGACAATTGACCCGGTTCCGTGGATCAATCTCATGCATCTCGAGTTGTTTCATCACTGGGATAAAGAAACTCGACCGACCCTTGCATTTCCGCAGATCTGGCCCATCGTCCTGCAGCAAGCCTTTCAAGTACTTCCTCGAACTACAAAACTATGGATTGTTACTGATATGAATTAGGAAGACTTTGTCATGTCGGCCATCCTCTGTACCTCTGCAATGCACTTATCTTACCTCTGCCCCCACGAGACTAGATACAAAGATGCTTCAGAGCATCTGATGGCCAAAACCGTCCAATTATTTCGGAAGAACTTATCCCGTCCGCTGAATAAGCAGAACTGTGAGGCTCTGATGGGAACAGCCCTACTCGTCAATTACATCTCATGGTTCGATCTTGACTTCCTTCATGGCCAGACCAAACTAGACCTTTCGAAAGACCAATTATTCTTCCTCACGCCTGGTATCATTGAGTTGTGGTTTCGGTCGATGCCTATCTTCATTGACCAGGGAAGCATCTTCGCCGACGTCGCGAGGCATTCTCCCAGGTTTCACATCGAGCAGGCTCTTGTGTCTTGGGGTCATGATCCAGAGCGTTTTATTGATTTGTTTATGGCGATCTGGGATGATCCTCGATGCCAAGGGGAGAATTGCCCTGCGAAAAGTGATGAGCCGACGTCGTGTGCTTGGCGTCTTCTTCTTGGGATGGAGAATCAGATACCGCATCCTTCACCCAAGTCTCCCCCAGCAGAAGAAGGGTCATGTGAGGAGGATACACACAACCAGTCACTCACTCATCTCAAAGAAGTCATCACCGATGTCACAGACAAGTTCACATCACCTAATCACCCAGCAGCTTCCGTAGTTCTATCCTCCCAGTCCGACCGCTCAGTCTTCGAAACTCTAATAGGCCGCGTATCGCCTCTTCTGTGCTGCGCATCACTTGCAATCGGCCCGATACACCACGACATATCTTCCATAAGCAACTACATTGAGGAGCTATTGTTTGGGGTTCCGGCTCTTTGTTCTGGGCCGATCGCGCGCTGGATTTGTGACGGAGACTCCAGGATTCTCATGTTACTGTGCCACTTTTACCGCGCCACGCAAATTCTTCTGTCGAAGACGAGAAATTGGTGGGGGCATACAAGAAGTTGCGTCATGGAGCATCTCATTATGGATGAACTCAAGATGAGAGGGCTTCATTGCGACTTTTATCTTTGACGGTGGATTCAGTAGAGGTCGGTTCAAGGTGTTTATCACACTGGAAAGAGGGAAAAGAATGATAGACAATAGCTTGATACTTAACTATAGAAGTCTCAAAGGGAGTTGAAGACATGCCTTGCTATCAGTTGTACAAGTTCTCGTGCGTTGGAAGGCTGAATGCGAAAAGTCCTGGGGTGCAGATGTGCCAGTCAAGACATTTCCTAATAGTCATTGATGCAAATTAGATCAACTTCAGAATCCACAGCTGGTCAGTACGGAGATCGTTGAGGGATCCATGCGACCCAACAATGCGAGTACTTGGAAAGTATTATAGTCAGTAGCGTTCTCCAACTTTCACAAAGAAAGGACTACTCACCCGTACTGAGCGCTGCCACCTTGGAGGGTAACCCAGGTTCCATTTGGGATGTTCTCAATCCTACAATTCTGGTCAGTACGTCGATACTCGCCTCTTAGGCTGACTTACTTGACAATAGTTCCATGAGCGGGGAAGTATCCAACAGGACGGATGCACCAAAGCTGATGCCCTCCAAAACCACCATACTGCCAGCCAACGATTTCAGTACCATCAGAAGTACCTCCGTTGTACAGATCCATAGCTCCTACTCAAGATTCAGTACCACATCCTTCATGTAGGTCAGTAGAGGCACTTACGTCCAGAAGCCCTGACGTTCTGAAGTCTGAACTGAGGCTGATCATCAGGACCATGCTGATACTTAACGCACTTCCACTGCTGGTTCTCGTTCAGATGGGCTTGCCATCCGATGCAGGGAGTGCCGTCGGGGGGGTTAGTGAAGCCTAGTTTTGTGTTAGAGCGAGAAGAAGAGTGTGAAGAAGGGCGTACCATCTTTGAGATCGATGGCGGTGCCGGTTGCGAAGTTGACGAAGGCTACGGTCTTGCCTTCGAGGTCGTGGGCGCTGATCATGGACATGTTGATGATTCTTTTGTGGTTTGCTGTAAGTAGTGTATTGTTGGTGTGATGAAAAGTGTTTGTTATTACACAGGAGAGGCACAACCGACGGCCTTTATACCTTTTCTACACGTTAGCTAAAGTAGATATATCTTCGACGTCCAGCTGAACGATGTTGATCCCTCCCCTAATAAGGATCTCAGCTATCCATTTGTAATAATGGTGGAATCTCGGTGAAGCTCGAGTATTGAAGTCTGTCGAATAAGAGACTTGATTTCCTAGTTTCACCAAAAACGAGGCCTTCCAATATCTGCGACATGGGCACGACAGTTTAACAACACAGGTACCGCTAATATGAAATTGGTCATTGAACTCCCCTCAGCTGGTGAAAGTCCCGCCCTATTCCCAAAACATGCTCAATGGTAGTATCTCCGCTCGGACGCTGCCGAAATCTCACTGCATGACGGCACGTCTCAGCTAGCCACAATTCCATAGACCCCGCTTAACATCACTTCAACTGTCTGAAAAGTTACGGTACATTCTATTACACATAGATATGCCGGCAGCTGCAAATGTATCATCATGGAATATGGGTATCGAAATCAGCTCACATTCCCCAGTCTCAGCTCGCCCAAATCAACGCCACGTTCAGAACTACTACATTCATGCTATACCGACTATTCTACCATTGAGGCATATCCATCTTCGATGCCTACCCCTCCCAAAGAAACTCCTGCTTAATCCCCGGTATCAACGGCCTCAGCGCCATACCGTAATCCCCTCCATTCGGTGTCCTCATGAGCGTATGAATGTGGAACTTGGCAGGTTCCTCATTATTCAAAAACACGCCTGAATGGTGATCAAACTCAAATATCACAACCGGACTCTGAATCCGATAGTAAAACGGATCAGTATCACCGTACCCTCCGATCCAGCACCAGTACGTCTCATGAAACCACTTCTTCAGCAGTTCCAGGCGTAGCTTTCTAGCTTTTTCAGGTAAATAGAGGAAGAACTCATTTGCGATGCCGAGGATGTACTCCTGCTGTTGGGTTGACATGTCCGACACGAGAATGCCTTCGTAGGGAACGATTCTGTTGTCGCGGTAAGCACCGCATAGATGGCGTTGATCATCATGATTCCATCGTCCATGAGGCATCGCAGGATCTTTCATAAGCTTATACACTTGCGAAGCCTTTTGCTGCTCTGATGAAAGACTCTGCATCAGACGTAATCCGAGAGCTTCCTCTCTGTCTAAGATTCGTGTACCCTTGTACGGTCCCTCATCAATGAGATTAGGCTCCGCGCCCGTGAACCACGGTGACACCACGATCTGGGTCTTGTACAGAAAGATATTCAGACACAGATGATGGCCGTAGAATGAGTAACCCCAAGGTCGAGTTGTCGAGGGTTCACCGAATAGAACAAAATTGTAAGAGAATTCGTTCATGACGGCAGGTGTCTCAACTAGTTCGCCTAGGAAGTGATTGACGCGCATGGCTCCAAGGGCTTTTTGGTAACCTTCTAGCGAGAGCGTGAGTTCCAGAACTTTAAGCACCTTTGACCTCAAATCGTTTGAGAGTTCATCGAGTCGAATGCCTTTGTCGCTGAGGAGAAACTCAGGGTTTGACCATGAGCGCCATTCGGGGCTATCGATATGATAGCATGTCTTGAGCTTCTGGTCCTCGCTCAGATTGGCGCACAGGCTATCCACGGCCTCTACGATAGTGTCGATGGGTATACCATCATCTTGCAGCTCAAATAGGCCGTCCCTAACGACACCTGCGTCGCGTTAGTCGGTTTTAATGATATGCTCATCTCAGCGGAGGGTATCGCATACCATCATTTGTGATACCCTTATAAGGCTCCTTGAACAAATCGCGCCAGTGCAGGTATAATCCATGAAGCCAAGGCGGTTGGCCCTCTTTCTTGAAAATATCAGCATATTCATAAGAATCCTGCTTCTTCATATTCTGGAAGCGCGGCTGGTTTAGGTCAGGAAGATACTGGCGAAAGGCCCCATCAGAGCCGGATTGCGAAGCCATGATTGATGCTTGCGTGGGTGACAATAAGATCAAGTGCTGGCTTCAGTGCCTACAAAGCTGGAGTATGAATGTCTGTTTCAATTTGTAACGACGCGATCCCCTCAAAATACAACGGATGTATCATACGTTTCTGGCTTCTGATATCCGTCTTTCTTACGACGACTGGTAGTTGTTGATTGGTCTCCGGGTTTTCCGTCATCACCAAATGCGGGGTTGGAGTGGGTGAGCGGGATATCCGGGGGCTCCGATACAGGAGGTCGGCAGATAATAGCGGAGTTGGCGGGCGGCTTCGTTCATCAGAGTAAATAATATCGCGAGTACAAAGTGATACCAGAAATTGCACATTGACTTGAGACTCGTAATAGCAAACTATTCACGATGGCTTCTTCTGCATTCAAGCGTAAGTGGATCCCCACCACCAGATGCGTCAGGGCTAACAATGAGACAGGCCTCGTGCGTTTCGTTCCTAAATCAGCACCCTCAAGCATCTTGATCGGAGAGCCAGTCCAAGCTTCTCTTGATGTCGGTTTGGCATCCCGTGAAGGCAAAGAAATTGCGGTCAACGTTTTTTCGGGACGGTCTGTCTTGTCGCCAGGTTCGCGAACAGACCGTACGGAATCCGTTGAACGACTCTTGTCGCCTTTGGCGCAGGAGGAAGTCGGAACCATTCGATGTATCGGATTGAACGTAAGTACATTAGATAAAATGAATGAGACTGAAACTGATTATCTGCAGTACGTTCAGCATGCGAAGGAAGTCAAGATGGATATCCCAACAATCCCCACGCTGTTCCTGTAAGTATCCTGCCAGCTCTCAACGGGCAATGTCCTAACGTATGCTCCAGTAAGCCCAACACAGCACTTGGCGACCCTTGGCCAGCTCCAACTCTCCTCCCCAAAATCACTCAAAACGACGGAAGTGGTGACTACGAATCTGAGCTGGCAGTCGTGATCGGCAAAGCAGCAAAGAATGTTTCCGAAGAGAACGCCATGGACTACGTCCTAGGCTTCACAGCAGCAAATGACGTCTCGAGCCGAGTCTCTCAACTGAACCAGTCGCAGTGGTGTTTCTCCAAGGGCTTCGATGGAGCTTGCCCTATCGGTAATGCCTGATACCTAGAGGTGGCGACAAAAAGCTAATCAGCGATAGGTCCAACTTTGGTGTCGACCTCGGAGATTCCAGATGCTTCCAAACTTCATATTCGGGGTCTCAAGAATGGCGAGGTTATGCAAGATTGCTCACTGGAGTATGTGTCTCTATCTTTCCCTTTTCCGTAGGGTTTATTAGCTAACATCACGTAGCGACCTTATCTTTAGCGTTCCCAAGCTGGTCAGCTTTCTGTCACAAGGAACAACCCTCCCAGCAGGTACTGTCATTATTACTGGTACACCAGCCGGCGTCGGTATGGGCAGAAAGCCCAAAGAAACTCTTTCTCATGGTGATGAGTTCAGAGTTGAAATCCTGCCACATATTGGGACGTTGGTTAATACCTTTGAGAACGAATAGTCAGACGCCTCATGATAGATATTCAGAGAAACAAAGATCATATTTATTTTATAAAATTTGCAAAAAAAGGATGAGTAGTGTAGTGGGCTTTTTTTCTTTTCTTTTTTGTTTCTTTATTTGATACTGTTATCACTGTTCTTTCTGATTACAGTTATCTCTGTTCTTTCAGTAGTGGTATCTCGTTGTATGGCGGGAAAGATATTACAGTTATCCTGTTCTTTCCACGGTGGTTGTCGGTCTTTGAAGCGGGAATTGTAGCGATGGACTCTAGAGAGTTGAGTTCTAAGTCTTTGAGTTCGTGGTTCTTTGTTCTTGCCCACTACACCACTCTTGTTCGGTTGTGCTAGAAATACAGCGTTTTTGGAATATAAGGCTTGGTTTCGTGCTCAGTGTTAGTCATCTGTGAGGTGGACGTGTCTGAGGATGTTGTTAAAGTTTGTCAGAGATGGATAAGTCAATCCAACCACTCAGAGGCACACACTCCAACAAACTTTGGCAAAGAGCACTTGGGCTACAGAGTGACTCTGTCATAAAGGTTAAACACAGCACACAATTTTCACGAACAGCCAAGAGCACAGAAGATGTCAGAGACACCATCTTCATTGCTTGGGGCATTCTTACATTGCATCTGCCTGACATCAATATCCATCACATCACTCGGGGCTAAGACCTCTGTGCATCGAATATTAGGTATTCACATTACCAATAAACAGTAAGCAGTGAACAATAGACAGTATGAGGCAAAAGGATATCTATTTGTTATATATAAATGGCAAAAAAAGTGAGTGGTGTAGTAGGTAGGCTGTTTTTTCTTCTTTTCTTTTTCCAATTGCTGTTATCTCTGCTCTTCTGGAGTGGGAGGCGCTGTTATCACTGCTCTTCCAGGGGAGGATAGGAGTTGTAACTGCTGTTGGTAACTGCTCTTTCAGAGGGCGCTGCTGTTGTCTCTGCTCTTTTTGTGGTGAAGGTAAGGGAGTTGAAAGGGTGGACTTTGGGATTTTGGGTTCAGATCTTACAATCTGAAGGGAGTGCATTACCTACTACACCACTCTTGTTTGGTTGTGCTAGTAATACAGAGCTTTTGGAATATAACCCTTCAGACTGAGCGGCACAGATTTGTCATCCGTGCGGGAGATGCGTGAGGGACGTGTTTGAGTTTGCAAGGAAAGTCTGTATGATCTTTGCTGCAGGGTGAAGAGATTGGGAACAGTTAGGCAGCCATGCTCACCATGATATGTAGATTCAGTATGTAAGACGATAGATTCAACACGTGCATCGTGTTGCATAATCAGCCTGGTATCCAAGATTTATTGGTGATATCTGCCTGACCTTCCCATCTTTGTGATCTAGCTATCCAGCAGAGGAGGGACCTTCTCAACCAGATACTCCACAATAGCATCCGGTCCCTTCTCAACCTGCAATCCCGTCGGAATAGCGTGAAGCTTGATATCAGGCACAATAGACTTTGCCAATGAGTGAATTTGCTCCGCCTCTTCCGCAGTCCACATGGAAGCCGAGAACTGAGAAACAAAGTTAGACTCATCGCATAAACTTTCTGGGTCATATCCCACTCACCAATACATTCGGCTTGTGCTCTGTTACTTTCGGAACCACCTCATCGATGCCTAGATTGATTAGTCACGTGTCCGAATTGCACTCTTGGGAAACTTACTCGAGCAGTTAGCCACGTAGATAATCTCATAGTCATCTTGCAGTTCGGTGATCAAGCGTCCGATGAGGCGCTTTGCGCGCTCTGGCGCCGTGTTGACGGTGACGAGTCGGAATGGACCTTTTCTTGTAGACATTTTGATGGTATTTTGCTTGGAGGACTATTTGGCTAAGTGTTGTATGAGATGAGGTTAGTTATACATCTCTGACGGCAGTTCGGATATACCTCGCCCGCTACCCCGCGGAACTTCCGAGAGGATGTGGGGACGGTAGATTCAGGTGGCCGGTCACGGAGGAGGACATGTTGTATGAGCTCCGGGGCTCTCACTCTACTCCATCTCTAGCAAGCTCGACGAAAAGCAGTCGGAATAGTGCAACAAATTCCTCATCGTGCCCGAAAGCGCAAAGACATACATGCAGCTGGCCGCGTCCGATTCAAGTCGCCTCGGCAGAAGTTCGGTTAACGGGCTCAACAGTTAGGCTTCCATCGACTTTGTCAAACGCGGGGTTCGTGTGTAACAAGACACCTACTTCTTGTGGCTGTAAGTGCATATGTTACTCTTGTGAGCATATTGGTAGAGATCACTTGTTCAAAGGGTCGAACGTTCTATAGAGCTCTTATTAAGAGACCTATTGCTCTTCTCAGCATCTTCTGTGCCTGCCCCTGGCTCTTGGCATCAGCGACCAACTTACTGGATGGACCTGACGCCAAATCAAGTATGCTGTAGATCCTGGTCTTCAATGGAACATCAATTATATTAAATAACCGGAAATGGAGATATATGCCAAGCATTAGAAGTAGATATTCTGTTCTGCCATGATTGGCATGAAGATATGATCATTGGTGGTGAAGTAAGGAAGAAGCATAGTGGTAAGAATAGCTCTTTAATTTAATTCACGACTACCAATAATAATTTCCGCCAAAGTCGAACTTCATCGATATCTAAGTCCACACCCTGACATGGCGAGCCATCTAACTATGTCAGAAAAAGGAGCATTGTCCCCATGCTCAGGGCCTCGTGGGTAGCCACGGTGACAGGGATTGCGATCCGTGTTGAAGCGATGCCTACCTTCTCCAGTATATGTTGCAAGCCCATGAGCATTTTTCTGTGCGATTATCTGCTGTTCCAATCTCCAGGCCATTCCCTCCTCTTCTCTGGCTTCTAATAACTCTCTCAGCCTCGCCTGCTCGCGTCGACGGCGATCCTCTACAAGGATACACCCTGCATCGGTTTCCTCAAACGGCCTCCTTTGATTGAGCTGCGCGATAATTGCGGGAGGTTCGAGAGATTGGCAGGACACGAAACGACGCAGAATCTGCAGCCCAGATTCCTCATCACCGAGGAACCGAAAATATTCACAACCGCCAGCAATCATATCTTGCCAATACCTTTCGGAGCTTTTCAGTGCTACTTCACGGCCCTGACATATCTGGCCCAGTTCTTCGTTAGGAATGGTATCCCACATAGTGGAAGCTACTACTACACGAGAGTAGAAGTGTGGACCGGCGAGAGCCTTAAGCATCTGTAGGTTGAGGAAGTCCGCACCGCAAACTCTTGTGTCCGTAATTCTGTGTAAGTAAATTATACCAGCAAGACAGTGTCCTGAACCTGTTTCAAGGTATCTTATGATAGTTCTTAAAATATCCATATTATCCCGGGTTGTATCATTGAAGCCGGGGGTATCAATCAAAGTAAAAGTTGAACCACTTTCAGAGACGTCGTAAGACGCGCAGTGAGTCGTGCCTATAAGAACATAATAAGTGACTTGCTTGGAGCTTTAGTTAGAGTATAACTCACAAGAAACCATAGAATGGCCAATTCTTGCCTCACATCTAGCAGTGCGGGCTATGAATGAAGACTTGCCAACCCCGGTAGCCCCAAGGAGGAGAATCCTATGCTTATCTGCATTTGGCGGTGTGTGTTGTCTCTCAGTAGGCTCACTATACTCTATCAGATACCATCAAATTGCAAATAATCCAATAGTAATACCTTGGAACTAAATGCCACGTGTCTTCCATGATTTGTTTCATAGAAGAAGTTATAATGGAGGCAAGGTTGATATATCTTGAACTTTGACTAGAAGAGATCTAGATCCTGGGTGTGTAGAGACATTTATGAAAGGCATTGATTTCTGTTAAATAGCATGATCTAAGAACAATTCTTACTTACCATGATTGGTGCAGACCGACGTGTCCGAGCGGCAGGGTGAGATAACGCAATTCGAATACGAAGTGAGGCTTTCAAGAGAAGCAAATCATTTTTACCCTTTCAAGCCTTGTGAGAGCTCTTACAACAACACAAATCCAGGAAACGTCATGATATTTCTATTTCCTGAACATCAGGCGATATCACGTTGTATACTACATCCTCCTGGCCGAAGGCGAGACGAGGCTTGGGAGACAGCAAATCATTCTTATGCTTTCCAGCCTCGCAACGGCTAGTGTTGAGTCAAATGCAGCACACGTCACCATTTTTACACTTAAGAACCACTGAGGAGGAAAAGGGCCGGAATATGCTCCTGTGGCACGCCGACCGCTTTGCAAATGATTAGCCCCAGGGCTTGGTGGTGGCCTTTATCACCTCTGTCGTCTTAAAAACAGGTCAAGAGGGTATCAGCTATCAAGGTGCAATTGCGTCACCACCACCTATGACTAACGCTGGCTTAAATGTGTCTTAAAGTGAGCTGAACTCACAATCAAAGACTGCTTCTAAGTCATAGCGACATTGTCTAACCTACTTATTTAATCCAATAGGCGGCCTGTTACGATTCAACTATTTCACCCAGTCAAAGAAGCAGGACTCTTCAATATCCAACGCATAATGGCGCCGTCTACAAACATTATTATCGCAGTAATTGGCGTTACCGGTGCTGGAAAGACGACATTTGTTAGCAAGGCTGCCAATCGAACAGACTTGGAGATCGGCCATGGGATCGACTCATGTAAGAGAGTCCCTCACTTTACGCCTAAGCTAGAAGTCTAGACTAACAGTCAGTCCAGGTACACAAGACATCGAATCGGTCACGTTTAACCTTGATGGCAATCAAGTAACGCTGATTGATACGCCCGGTTTTGATGACACTTTCAAGTCTGATGGGGACATCCTACAACTGGTCGCAAATTACCTATCCGCAACTTATGAAAACGGTACACTATTGAATGGAATTATTCTTCTGCAGCCTATCCATGGCACCAGGCTTCAAGGTAACGAAATGAAACGGACTCGGCTGTTCAAAAGAATTCTTGGTGAGGATGCATACAACCGCGTCATCATCGCGACAACAATGTGGGGTATGCTCAGAGATGATACGCATGGCGATCAACAAACCCAGGAAAGAAAAGAACGCAATGATGTCTGGGGCGACATGGAGGCACTTGGAGCGCAAATTGTTCGCCACGATGACAATCAGAACTCAGCCTTGAATATCATTCGCAAGGTGTTCGACTTTCCAAGTCCTCAGCCTCTACAATTTCAGACCGAACTTGCACTTAATAATGGAAGGGTTGCGCTTACGTCGGCTGGAAGACAGCTCGATGAAGATCTAGGAGAAGTCGTCGCTCGCCTCAGACGAGAGATCAAGTCATTGAGACGAGAACGAAAGGCGGCACAGTCAGAGATTCAGGATATGCAAGAGAGGCTTCGGGAATTTCAGGCACAAAAGTCTAGCCTGGGTGGGGCAGTTGTAAGTTCACAGGCACTTCACTCAGAACTGATGAGGGGCTAACAGTGCTACTTTATTAGACACAAGGGTTTATGGGGTTTGTTGATACAGTTGCTAAGACAGAATGTATTATCCTATAACTACAGCAAGCTCCCTAGTATCAAACGGGTTACAGAAGCCGGTTTCATGCGACATCGATGAGGACCAGTTTGACAACTGGGAGATGGTGGGTTGGCGGATATCTGGACGTGTGATGAGAGATTGATGTTAGTATAGCCAAGATATACTCTGAGAAGTGCCGATGGCCCAAGCAGCTAATACAAGACTGGTATCTGTTTACTCGGTCTATTTATGCTACAGTATATTCATCTGATAAATGTAGCTAGATGTATTACCTAAAAGAGCTTGTAAAGATGCTTTTGCTGAGATGCAAGTACACTTACGTTCTATAGCAGCAAAGTTGACTTTAGCCCAAGGACTATAGCTACATAGTACCACTCTCTGGCTTGCAGCTTTGATCACCGATGCTTTCCCACTGTCGGTGTTGGAACGAATCGCGACGTTGACCCCACAGTCAATGCTTTGCGTACCTCAGGACACAGAACTTAGTAATGCTGACATATTGCGGGTCCGGATCGTATTCCGTTAATAACGTTTATGTCCCCAGTTTGATAGTCACTCCGTTCAAGTGGCAAGCTGCATAAGGTAGTAATTGCTTGTCAACATCCATTTGGACCATCATTGTGCAACCTCATTAGTCCCTCCTTTATACTCTCCAGCGCAATTCTATCAATGAGCACCATGGATGATGCCAATTCTCTGCAGTTTCAGCTCGATACTGATTTCAGCGAGATGGCAGACACTGAACAGAAAATTACCTTGATCCTTACATCCTACCTTTCAGAGAAACAGAGCATTACTACTCCAGAAGCCGCTGCACAAATTGATAATCTTTTTCCGCACCAACCTGAAAAAGACGGGAATAGAAAATCACTAGGAGGTTTCCTTGCCGCCTTTTGGGACCTTGCGTTCCAAATCGCTGTCCAGCTTGACTACCAAAGTCAACAAATGCAAAAGTTCGTCTCTTTGATTAAGGCCCTGCGTGACCTCCCCAGTACTGCTATCATGGAGGACGGCAGGTGTTTATGGCAGGACTTACCGGACTTGTCGCTTTTCTTTACTGAAAGATGGAATCGTAAGTATTTGATCCTGAGATTCTTGCTCTGCAACCCTTTCAAAAAAGTGAATGTAGCAATCTAACAAAATCAATAGAAGCAGGAATTACGAATCAAGCTACCATTCCACCTGAAGCTATTCGGCGTTGGGTCAACATGAATGGCCTAGCCGCATATCTCACGATTGAAAACCTCTATGGAGGTTTGTACCGCGCTTTGGAAAGTATCAAGCTAGGGCTAGAGAACGGCAGCAGAAGGGAAGCTCAAAACATCATCGATTGTTTTGCTCCGGCAGCGGCGACTTGGTTTATTCTGTCGTCGCAGCACATTTATCACATGTGCAGAGAGAATGCCCTCCAAGACTCAAGTAATCGGGGGCAGCTATGGAAAGGGAGATCTGGGTTCAATTTGGAGCGTTGGGCTTTTTGGCGATCACGATTTATTGAGTTGAGAAATCACTCTTTAGCAAATGATGAGCTGAGGGAGGTTTTTTTGGAGGCGGAGACTGCCATGGAAACAGTGAGCGAGTGATTCAGCCAGCCGTGTATTTCATATTGGTATCATTCCAAGACTACAACAAGACGGGAACACACCCTCTAATTTGACAGCTGATATTGGTCTTGCTGAGTATACAATATACACTGAGCACTTGTATGCTGGAATGATAAATCTTTCTGCTTTGAGCAAGTGCGGCTTGAACAAGCAGTAGAAATTGATTAGCCTTAACTTAATATCCTGTTTCGCTCTACTATATGTCTACTGCTAGCTTCCTGTACGCTCAGTCCCGATTGTTGTGGAGTTACATGCATATTTAAGAATAAAAACTCGTTTTGTCTGGCGGTGGCCGACCCGACACATCAGGCCCGCTTCATGGCCTTCAAATGGTCTGAGGAACAGGGGAAGAGGCATATCATTTCCTTTTACATGTTGCATTGAGTTTACTATTATCCGACCGCCTGCTTGCGGGACGAGCTGAGTACCTAGCTGATCCGTCTTGAGCGTTGCCCCTGTACATTAAATTGGAAAGACAGGGGGATGGCTCAGTCATCCAAGTATAAAGACAAGCCTAAGAGCTTACTAAATGTTGATCCTAGTAATTCGAGCTCAGCTTGAGTTTGGTAAAGAACAATAGTTTAGGGGACAAAGAGCTCTTGTGCTCAATACCTCGTATTACCCTGGAAAACGACCTTCCACTCCAGGAAGGCTGATATGATGCTCCTCGGACTATGGCCGTAGGATTGTAATCCCGAAAATCTTAGTATTTGAAGTCTTATTCCTCGTATTCTTATGCGACAGCTGCCTCTATAAATGATCTTGATTTTCCTCGTCTTTAGGATTATCTCGAGCAGCATCGTCTTTCTTCAGAATTATTGCAAGGATTTCGAAACACTTGTATCAATATGATTGGGCTACAAGGCTTAAGCGTTGTCCTCTTACTCACTGGTCAAGCTATTGCCGCTACTATACCTTCAGAATCGAACACAGGTCTCGAGGCTCGTGGAATGCCAGCAGTAAGTAGAAGCCACCCTAAACATCACGACTCCAAGTGAATTAGTCTAATTGATTGGTCTAGCGTGTTACCTGCAAAGTCAGCACCGGTACTTTTATCTTTACTGTACAACAGGCCCGCGAGGAGTACAATCGAGTGAAAGGTCTCTATAACCCGAGCACTCAGAAATATCCCACCAAGAGCGGTTATCCCCACGAGTTCAGCAATTTTGGCAACATCAAGTTCGGCGACACTGCCTGCAATTCAAAGAAGCACCCGGTCAAGATTTACGAATTTCCGATCTTTCAGCGCTCGTCTGAGGGCACTGGAGCGGTGCATTTTGATCCCAACAAGTCAAAGTCCGACCAAGCTAATAAGCCTGGAGAATGTCGTGTTGTCTTTACGGCGGAGAACGGGCATCTTTGCGGCGTTATGTGCCATAGGAGCATGACGCCCGGTGGCGATCAAGGATTTGACAAATGCACTGCCTAAAGTTGTCAATTTATTAGTTTGATGACTTTTGTGAGATTCTATATACTCAGTGTATATAATGAGCAAGATAATCAGTTAACTAAAATGGTCACTTTTATGAATATCCTAAAGGACAAATTGCTATCGACACATGATGAACTCGGAAATTTTAAGATCAGTGACTTTTTTCTTCCCCAGACATCCCGACCACTATCTGAAAGCTCCTTGCATTAGGTCTGGTCTTACCGCATATTCCACAGCGCTTCTACTTCATCCGATCCAACCGTCCTTAACATCTTCTAGGTCGGTTCAGATGGTGAATAGGACGGTGATACTTGAATGGCCGCTCTTATAAAATTTATCTTCCATGGGAGAAACGTAGCTAACGCTGACAGTTGGCAGATCTTTGACTCTTGCTGCTTTATTCGTTACTACGAAGCTACGGATGTGAGCTAAGGTGCTGTGGCCTCACGTGCAAGCATGGATTCTTCAAGATTGTAGCCCAAATGGCAGATTTGAACAGCATACAACATAAATACACCAATTCATATCAAACAACTGCATAAACATAATGTATGGCAGGTTCTAAGCGTCCTATACCTACCGTACCTCGCAACCTAGGACTAGAACGGGTCAAGGTTCAGGACTGCAGAATGGACTGTGCAGGTTTCATCCAGTGGATATGCAAACCGTGTTATACCGTCGAGCTTATTATCCAAGTCAGTGGATACCTCAAACCCAAACGCAGAAGTTCTAGAATTAAGGGATAGGAAACCATTTGCAATGTTCCATAATGACTAAGCGTTGTTGATACGCAAGGCCGCCAGGAATTTCATGTGCATGCAGGGGTCTGTTATGGTTTTGTTAGTAAGCCTGCTGCAGAGACCGGATTTATTAGACGGCATGACATGAGTATTACAAATCCGCGTCAATGAACCAATGACATCCCAATTTTGGTCGCAAGCAGTCAGAGATTATGCACCATCTTCTGAAATTGTTATCGCTTCACTAGAAGTTGGTGACCTATGTTAATAAGCTCAGTGCTGTCTGACATTCCCTCTCGTCCTGAAAGCTGTTCTTTCTCGAGATCACTCACATTCATGTTCCACGAATTTGCTTTTTCATCTTATTTTTGTCTCCACATTCATCTCACAATCGGTATCGCAATGCTATTAAAATAAGCTATCTGACAAATGATCATCGAATTTGTTTGACTTTACAATGTTGTTCTTACTTCTCAAAACACGCTACCGCGCAAGTGTCGTGAAGACAATTAAAACAGCACAAGAAGTGTAAGTGACTAGCCTAGAAATGAGTACGCATCACGCTTCTGAGGTATAACCCTCAAGGACGAGAGATTCTGACTCAGTTTATAGTCCCTTTTACCATAGCAGGAGGTACTATGGGAAAACAACTGCTAGCGAAAAGAATACACACCCTTTAACCATATGGGATTGCGAGCCGGTACGTTAACTTATGAGGCCGTGCGAACATGTTCGGCAGTAGGTTCTAAGTGGCTCCTAGCTTTATCAGAACATGACGCCGATCCTTGGATGGGCGCTCAAGGGAAATGTAAACATCGAACGGATGAGTAACACACTCAAACTGTCGGTTCTTCGTAAAGCTCCGTGGCTGGCCGGGCGCTTGGCATGGAGGGATAAACGTGTAAGAAGTCCCATCCATTCTTGGTACTATTTCATGTTCATATATGCACTTTTCTCAGGCACTGATAGTCTCCGGCTAAAGTTCAAAATCGATATCCCCGAAGCATCGCCGCAGCGGTCGGAGCCCTTTAGGGTCACTACTTTCAAAGCACCAGACCGAGCCCTGCACCAGATTCTTCCCAACTACATTCCTAGTGGATCGGCGTCACCTTCTGTTAAACGATTCGACCCTCGTAAGGTCCCCTGCCTACAGCCTCTAGCAGCCTTCACGAAAACAGCCCACCAGTGTGTAGCCCAGAATGAGCGGTTGATGCATCTTCATTTTGTGATCGCCAAAGACCTAACTCTGATGTGCGTCGCATGGCAGCACGTCGTACTCGATGCACCCGCCCTGAGACTGATAGTGGCCGAGTGGGAATGCCTTCTCGCGAAGGAAATTGGCATGCGCACGCACAATCCGGATAACCAGAGACCGGAGAGCGAGGGACTCAAGGGCAGACCTAACTTGGATGAATTAATCAGTACTCTTCAGACAAATTCCCCCTCCTCCCTTCCAGGATGGGCGGCCGTCACTCTTTGGAGTGGATTGAAGTTGAAACTACTCTCCAAAATTTATAGTCTTCGTTACCCGCGCACATTTGGAACGGCGTACTTGCCCCCAAAGCTCGTTACGGGTCTGGTTACGCGCGTAAGGTCAAACGCTGAGCCAGGGGTAGTACTCTCGAGAAATGACATCGTTGCCAGCTGGTTTTACAAGGTAGGATAATAACCCGCTAGGTTCACTGCTTCGATTGTATCCATCCGAAGTGAACAGGCTGATAAAGTAGTAGGCAACGTGCGGAATTTATCAACCAAAAACATCGACTACCTTATCTCGAGCTGTGAATCTGCGTGGCAAGCATGCTCTCATCTCTCCGACTGTATCCGGCAACGTTTTAGGCCTGGCCGTCATGCCGAGTGTTCAATCTGGCGCACTTCAGAATGCATCACTTGTAGATCTGGCGCTTACAACTCGCCGTTCTGTAGAGAAGTTCAAAAGTCCAGACTACGTCTCTGAATTTCTGGATTTCAGGATGAATTGCGGCAACGCAAACCGCATTGCAATTCCGCAAGCGAAGCTCAGCAATCAGCGATGCCTCATCACATCTTTCGTCAATCTAGGACTCTCGAATCCGAATTTCGGAGAAGGAGTGTCAGTAGAGAGACCAGTACAGTTAACCATGGAGCCGATTGTGATAAGAGTCATTGATGATCCTAGAGGCGGCTGGAGTATCCATGGAAACTTGCCACATGCAGCTTGGGATGCTTTGGAGACAAACATGGAGCGAGAAATGGAAGACCCTGGTGGCAAGTCTCAGCGGAAAGTGATCGATACTGGCGTGAAAGTGGTTTAGGAGATCATCTACTATCACGAAATCTGTGTGAAAAATGCGCATCGTTTGCTTTTATTGATCTTAATGCGAACCCAAGTAATAAGTTCTCTCTGCTGATTTTAGCTCTCAGCCACAAGTCTCAACTGCAAATAGTGATTTCAGATGCAGTCAGGAAACTCAACCTAACGATATTCGACTTTTCCAACAGTCTATGCATCTCTGCACCTAAGGGTTGTGAGACGCAATCTCAAAAGTAGCCCCCTCCCCACAATCCCCACCAGTCGCAAATCCACCACCACAAACATCCTGAACCGAAACCGAGATGCCCGTAAAGTTCTCATCAGAGTCAACCTTTCCCGGAAATTTATCATCTCCAGCCTTGACTTCACAGCCATTAATTCTTCCAAAGGCACTGGCAGCACAGTTGAAGGAAAACTCTCCCTCCCAGCAAGACGACTTGATCTTGAGCTCCATGTTGGGGTTGGCGCAGGGAGACGCGTTGCCCGGGTAGGATTCGCTGTAGAGCTCCTTGCCCGTACTATCGGTGATGGTCAGACCGCTCGTGTGGCCGGTTTGGGTGCCGCCTGGGCCGCCGGTTGCGAAGTCGCCGCGGGAGTAGATGAAGTTGAGGTTGTTAGCGGCGAGGGCGGAGCTGACCATTGCGGTAGTGATAAGGAGGGCTTTGAGTGACATAATGGATCAAGTGTATTTTTGAACGGTTCTTAAATGAAGTTGTGTGTGAATGGTTGTCGATATCAACCCAGAACGTGGCGACCTCAGAGCCATTTATAAGTTTTCCTTCAACAGCAAAGCAATCTTCCTTTGAGGTTCTATCAAGCTCTCTGTCATACCAATTTGAGCATACCGAGACCTCAGTTCCTTGGAAGTTATCACGATATCTAGGGTTCAAATCCAACTTTTGATACACCGCTCGAAAGAGATACTATAACAAGTAATCGACCCGCTTCCTTTAATGCTGATCGCGAAACCGCCTGAAAGATCAGCACACTGCCCCATCATCCTTCTAGGCTGCCAGAGTCGGTAGTCGTATATTTCGAATAATTTGGTCCGATCGTCATCAAAGCCCCATCCTTGTTACATCGGTACTGGATACTACCCCATACGGAGAATAATTGAGTCAATGTGGGGGTTGTGCGATGTTATGACATGACTTATTCGTTTCCGAATGTGGCTGAAGACATTGCGAGTATTTGACGGCTCAATCAACGCCAGTCTTAGACACATACCAAGTATGGTATTGAGTGTTGACTTGACAGGACACGGACTTCTCTTCCAAGCCAAGCTAGAACTGACTTTATCTCAAAGGTAAGTAAGGCAAGCGCTCCAGACTATTGAAGCTTGCAGCAATAGCTTACTCTATCCTGTGGGAAAGTGGCCAAACGACTGAATGGTGGCTTGGAGATGCATTACTAGTACATCTTAGTGCTATGTCGTGTTTTTGAGGTTATGCTTAATGTCTATAAAGAGGGCCAAGAACTGATCAGATAAGTTTGTTATAATAACATTTACTGAAATATAAAGTATCTATTTTATAAGCAATCATGCTTATGCATTGCTCAAGTTATTAAATCACTTTACAACAGCATACTCTTGGACGCTAGTTCTTGTGGCTAGGCTAGTCAGAGACAGATTATTCTAGACTCTTCGCTATATCCAAAGTGGCTGGCTGGCCTATGATCTAGACCTTTCTTGTGGAACAAGCGGCCATATTTGGACGCGACTTAGTTTGAACCTTGAGAAGGTAGTATCCTTATCTCGATGTATAAAATAGGTCTTATTCCTATTTTCTCTACAGTTTTGTCACTGCAAACCTCGGTCCAAGAAAATCTCACCTAAACTCTCTCGACCTTCAACCCCAGCTTTCCCTCCTTGCACCAGTCATATTCACTTAATCATGTCGACTTCCTTGGTCTGGAACAACCAAAATGGGACCCTTACCATCAATCGCGACAATTTGCGGGACTTTTACGCCCAAAGCGTGCAGAACTACATCCCAAGCGTTTGTTTCCAGGTACAAGCCCACTGCGATGTTCGTGATAGGTTCAACGTCGCCATGAGTGTCGACATTCGCCCTGGCGGCCAACCCAATCTAAGTGAGGTCGCGGGGGAAACAGTATTGTCCTACAGTTATAGCGATCAGGACCATGACGGGGCGGGCATCAACGACAATATGGGCTCACTCACGATCGGTACAAACTACAATATGAACATCCAGTTCACCAACATCAATGGCAGTGCATCTGTTGTTATTACCCAGCATTTGGTGATCAACTATGACAAGAAAATGCACCTAACCCGGAGTAGCGGGAATGCGGTTGACAAAACCATTGTTGACACTTATGCGCTCACTGTTGACGAAAGTGGCAACTTGAGCGTAAGCTTGGACCCCGTGATCACGGACAATTCGACTGTGCCTGAGGGGGGCTTTCAGGATTCCTTTACTGGTTCCAATGGGTTTATCAGAGCACTTCGAAGTGGTGGCGACGCTCTTCGGGGAACTAGTGTACTTAACATTCCTCTGTCGTTCCCAAACGGTCAAACCTCTACTCTCAGCAGTGTTCAATTCTCAGATAATCAGGACCTAGTTGCTTCTGTGGCATAGGTTGATCCATGACCGCTCTTTCGACTTTGCTCTCCCAGGCATGGCGGGTATTCTTCGATTTATGTGAGAGGGGGAAATATGGAGAAACTATAAAGCAGTACTGGTATCAGTTCTTTTATTTATGCTGTCACAGTTGTGTTGTTCTTGCTAGCTGTTGCAATAATTTCACTAGTCAATGCACCTAATTGACCCTCCTAGACTATATATTCCTACGACCTCCTATATATGCTGCCTTCTTCCAATACTAAGACCTCCACTACTTTTCACTGCACAATCACTGTCAGTTGACGCCACTGGAAGACTTCTCTAAAGCGTCTTATCAGATCACTTACTGAAACTACCAAGCATAAAGTTAAGATGCACTTTCCGGTACTTGAATCTTCTGTAACTTCTAGTTGCTGAGTTTTAGAACACCTTGCTCTCGCAGATGTCCAATTGTTTCCTTAGTCCATTCTTGGCAACGTCGCAGAGGCTTCGTAGGGTCGATCCTTTTGAGGCCGTCATATTGCTTTCCAGGCGGAGGGTTCGCCTCGCAGATTTCCTTAACGCTGGGGAAATCGTTGATCAAGACCACTCCTATCTCTGCCCATGACACGAAAGTCGCTTCCAGCCTGGGACTTTGCAAGGTCTCCCTTATTTCGAGATTAAACCCATTCATTGCATTTCCCGTGACGTTGAAGATGGTTCCCTCCTCCTTGTCGCTGGTTTTGATAAAGATTGCATGGTGGTTTCGTGGCATGCCTATGGATTCGACGAGATAGACTGAATAGTATAACATTCTCGGGGAGTGAATTTATTAGGAGAACCCAATGTTAGTAAATAGAGGATAGGCGTTGAGAATTCATTATATAATTGATTAGTCAATTGCTAGACAGGAAGTAAGTTATACCATGAAACGAAAAGTAAAGGGCGGCTATCCTGATAAGATCTGGCATGGTTGCCTAATTTCAACTCGCTAGATGTGGGGACAAGCACTGGGCATTTTTTGCTGGGGCGTCGAAGACTTTTATGCTCCAGGAAGCAAAGTTGAATTTCAGGGAGCCTGGCTAACGCCGAAGATATCATAAAAGCCATTATTTTCTTGAAGATAGATAAGGCCGTAATGCTATCTTATAGACATTGAATGTATATAAATGTAATTAACCGTCGCTGTGTGACCATTGACTTAAACAAGGTATAAACCCGAGTTAAGCGTGCCTGTGGACCCCAAGAGAGCAGACTAGGCGAGAGCAGTGGGAATAGGAATTAATAAGGGAGCCCCAAAGGGAACCTGGCTGAGATAGAGGTTCTGTTCGCCATCCTGACCGACGATAGTGTAAGCGAATGTAGTTCCCATAGTAAAGTCAATATTATTTAATGTATATTAACTCTACATCGTCCAGGTGACGAGTAAATCTGATATACTAACTTTCTTCTCAGAGTGCATCAACCTCGCTCACTAGACCCAGATGCTCTCGATCATCATCTACTACCCTGCCCCATTCTAATAACAGTCGAAACATATAAATCTGCATATCTTCAGGTCGTAACGCCTTCAGCGCCCAAGTCCGCCCTTGCTCTGCGATCTTTTGTGCATGTTCTCGCCCGCCCTTATGTGTTTTACCCGAAAAAAAGTCAAAAAGTGCCCAAGCGCCAGACCCTAGTCGAATGTCGATAGGAACATAGTGCTGCCACGCCGTGAGCCGCTCGTCGAACCATGCTTGGAAAATACCAGCTCGATAGACGAGACTATGGCTCTTCAGAAAGGGTAAGAATCGGCCACTAAACCCTGCCCCGTCCATGTCGATGAGATGCCGAAAGTTCCAGTTGTCTTCGAACGGTGCAACTTTGGTTGAGAGTCTCCTTACAGTCTCATCATTGTTGATTTCGCCCGAAGCAAGATGCATATCCTTAGCCCATTTGTTGAATGTGTGCAATTCTGTGTCGCAATCGACTTGGTGACATTTAGAGATGGTTCCAGCAAACGAAACATTGATCTTCAGAGTCTCCTCAGTAACTGTTGGCTCGGGCGCCGTCGCCCTTTGATAGGCTTCATTTCCAAACCTGGCTCGTAAGAAACCCATCCATGAATTGTAGGCGGCATATCCATCTGAGCTCGACCCTCTCCAAAACAGTGCTTCTGATTTGTCTTCCCAAGTTCGATCAAGACTCTCGTTATAAAGACTTTTCTTGTCAAAATTCCAGGGAGATGGTATCATAATATCGGAGAACCCTCCCACGCGCCCTTGGCTGAAAATAGGGAACAGTTTGTTCGTTCCCAACATTGCTGCTGGCGACATGATGAAGCCATTGAGATGGGCTATGTCGGGTTGATGGCACAGATCCTTTGCCAGGCTGACGTCGGCTACTAGTGATCCTTCGTCGGTGAATATTGTATGTGGAATCGTACACTCCACGCAGAGAGTGCTCCAGTCCCACCAGCGCTTCCTGCGAGCCAGTGATTGAGGAGGGCATGAAGGGCTGACCAGATCATGGTAGATCTGCCATCGAATATAATCCGAGAAGAAGGGCGACGTGACCTTGTTTGGAAGCGGCGTGCTCCAAGACGATGGCCATTGTGACCCATTGAAGTTCATCGTCGTGCTGTTTTGTGATCTATTGCCAGGACGCATCATGTTAGCCATTGCTTTCCGCGCTACAGATTTATGTTCGCGCATTTCTTCGAAAGGTATGGCCATTTGACATTCATCCCCGAGATTCATGGCAACGTCCATATCTGGTAGCCACTTGACGAAAGGTTCCACCATTCGTTGCATCGAGTCCATCATCCAGCGGTGAGACCCAGGTATATTTGGTGAGTAATCGCACGTCCCATTTCTTATGCGGAGCAAGCTTATACCTAACCCCGAGTGTTCGGCCAAATAAGAGGTTCTCTGCCTTATGGTACTCGGCTCAAGACTCCAAAAAGGAAGCAAGTCATTGTGGATCTGGGTGAAATGGTCAATGACAGGCGATCCGTTGGCTAAAGCAAATTGATACCATTTATCAAAATTGGGTGGCGGCAATAGTCCATATTTTGCCTTGTACTTCTCAATAGCCTCTCCCAGCGTCTGGCTCCTTGCGGCTCCCGCTTCCCAATTCGTTGATCTAGCATTCGCAGCCGCTGTCAACTCTTTAACAGCTTGACTCAAGGGCATGGTGGCTGAGTCTGATAACAAGCGCCCAATCAAGATTGGCAGCACAAAGATACCAAGAATTGCAACTGCGATCCATCGTTGTCTGTATGATACCACTGAAAATTCAAGTTTTCGTGTTGGGTGAAGCTCAAAACACCACAGTGTCCAGAATAGGATGGCTAGTGTCAACTGGGTGCTGAGCAGATCGCTAGGCCGGCTAAGCGGTAATAAAACGTCGAATCTTCCTGTCGGGAAGTGATACCCAAAAAGTAATAGAGAACTGATAGACAAGGCTAAGATTGAAGGATGAACTGAATCCAATAATGAAAACGCGCATAATATGGTCGCTGTAGTAAGTAGAGACTCAATGATCAGATCCATTGAGTCTTTGAAGGGTGGGTAAAAGGCCCAAAAAAGGTCTGAATCCTCCAACAGCGTGAAAAATACCAGTATAAATGTAATAAATGCTGAAGAAAAGAGCACTAGGGCTGCGGATATAGATGAATCTGTTTGCTTCTTCACTCTGGCATCATGGAGCAAACGTAAATTTACAAGCAGGAGAGCATCAATGGAGCAAGCTAGGACCTGGGCGGCCAAGATCAGATGCCTCCATTGCCAGCTTGGAGGACATACAGCTCCTGTCCTCGTAGTGAAACGGTCTAGAGCAAACATGGTGGTAACTCCCCAGAGAAATGCTATCAAGCTGTGCACCAATATGAAACCATGTTGCCGAAGAGTTTTTATCGGATGCATGATGATTTGCTGGAAAGATAGGTCCAAGAAGAAATTAAAGGCGTCAGGAAGAAGTACTAGAAATGGTAGGAATACCTGTATTGCTGTTAGCTGGTAGATTCCAATGGTCCTCAACTGACATCTCCGGATATACTTGCCTCAACTCCCAGAATAGTACATTGCGTCGTTCGAACAAGGACCCAAAACAGTAGTATGCGTACTACCATGCACCCTACCGCAATACAAAAAAGGAAAGGGGCTGAGCGTATGCTTGACATACAGCTCTTCAATAATTGCGAAAGCCTCTCTTTAGGCACTACCTTCAGACTCGTTGTGCTTGGCGTGGGACTCAGCGACTGCCATTGAGGATGAAGATCTGAATTTGAGTATCGTGAGAAGGCTAAGGAAATTAATGCGGTTTCAATGAGGACGAGAATGCCCAGATGAATGGGGCGCTCTGCAGGGTTTTAGTCGAGATGTAAAAGTGGCATAATTTGTCGTCATACCATAAGCCGCAGAGGTGTAGTATCTCGATGATAAAACAAATAAACTTAAGATAAAACCCCTGGGCCGCTAGTTAGCACTAGGCTGCGACGCATTGGTCTCGAATAAGTGAAGGAAATAAAACACACCCAAAACAGAATACTTGCGCCCTTGAAAAAGGAACATATCCTACATCACTAGCCATTGTAGGCATTGTGGTGTATAGCTGAGAAAGCTTCGTGAGGACTGAAAGAAAGACAAAAACACAAAATCAGCACATCAGCATTACGTCCCTGCGGCATTTATAAAGGTGTTGGCTCCTGGGTCGGAATTAGCGGGAATAGCCTAATAGCGCATGGTGATCAGCATTCGATGTTGGTTGCTTTGATAATCTCCCGGCGACGTCCGAGAACAGAAAGAAAAAGTGGAAAGTAGGTATTTGTTGGTCATGATGCGGTTTTTATACTGGACGCAAGGGCTTGACTGTTCATCATTGACTGGTAGGTGTCTTCCTGGTAGAAAGGAGCTTTAGTCATGGAGAAATACGAGTTGTAGGATCAGTGGGGCTGAGCTTGGGCAGTGCAAACACAGCTTTGATGTACCTCGGGTATTGGAGAGTAGCTATCGAACTAATGGGTAACGGGAGTTTAAAAAGTGACGCTGTATCAGAAAATACAATTGTGATATAGGAATGTATCTGACACTTTTTGTGAGATCACAGAGTGTATATAGTAGACTGTTATCGGTGACCAAGCTACGCAGTTCAGGGTAAGCTGGTGCTCCGTAGTGCTCTCCTAGCATGGTCCAAAACACAAATCAGGCTTACCCATAGATCCTGAAAATTACATTGTCTCTGTGCTAACATGCAGATTTTGCAGTATGAATGTTCTGATAAATCGACTTGGCAAGAATAAAGACGATGCCGTTATTCCCGCGACTGTCACTGCCAAGTCAAAAGTTGCACCTGAAAAAGTTGCTGCCGATCAGCATCCACAAGGCTATGACCCCTGCAATTTCAAAACATTGTGGCCAATCATTGTCAAGATCTCTACGCGTAGATACATGCTTCTTATTGTTGGTCCACTGATATCGCGCGATATTCTGTTGGTGCTTAAGTATCTGACCAAAAGCGGTGGGGACATCCACTTACACCCTTGTCTCGGGGATTTCTATCTGGGGAATAACTCCTCCTTGGCGAAAATCTCCTTTATTATGCATGAAGTCTCGTGGTTGACATTCAACGGCTGTAATGTCTGATGACGATACCAAGCCATACGATTAGGTAGATGGGTATAAGATTTTCGCGAAGAGAAATTTAGTATCATCGTTCAGTCAAGATAAGCTCAATGGGCTCATAGCCTCTCTAACGGATCGTGCCATTTATCACGCCAAGATCTCACGGAAGGCAACCGGGCGAATTATGGATGCTGGCGCCTAAACCCGGAAATTACAGCTGACAGCGCTAGTCATTTCGAGATTTATCCGGTGACGAAGGATCGCATATTAATTTCTCACGATGACCCATTTCCCTTTGTCACTGTAAATCCCATTCACGTCACTCGTTCCATACCATCGTCATTCGTTTACACCCAACTACTTCACCATGCACTTCTCAAGTCTCGCCGCACTCGTCGCCATCGCTGGCTTCACCTCCGCCGAGCCCAACGGCTGGTCCAAGACCAAAGAAGCAGACGACAGCCCCTCCAAGCTCGACAACTGCGGCTGCTGGCCTATCTACCAGGCTATGCTCAAGTGCCAGAAGCTTAAATGGCCCAAGGAGGAAACACGTGACTGCGTGTGCATTCCCAACCCGGATGGATGGTACGGCTCTATGGATGGCTGCCGTACATGTCTGAGCTCCAACTCTGAGCATGAATTCTTCGATAATACTGCCAAGCTCGTCACTCAGCTATTTGTCTCGTGCACCAATGCTGGTGGCGGCGTTACCAGCGATGGAAACAGTATCTGCGCCAGTAACGCGTACCGCGAGGCCTGTGTATCCCTGGGAACAAACGGAAAGCCTAGCTGGGCTAGTTTTGAGCAGGAGGGAGTCAGTGGGAATGGGACTTATGTGTTGGATATCAAGGAATTCGGCGCAGATGATGATGAGTCTACGTCTACGACAAGTGCAAAGACAACTACCAACACAACCGCCACTGAATCCAGCGGTAGCACTGAGACTACGACCGTAGCCGTGGCTGCTACTACTGGCACCACCGAGCCATCCTCAGGTAGCGCTGCTTCGGATGCGACATCGGGAACTGAGACTCCTGTTGCATCGGCTACAACAGTGCCAAACTCTGGCATGAGACTTTCTGGCCACGGAGCTGTTGGCATGGGTCTGGTCGCTGCTGTTGGTGCTATCTTGCTCTAGTTTATACTGTGTAGTATCCAGACGCAAGAGTTAACTATGTTGTTAGTAATACCTTAATAATACGATAGTTGATTCCTATTGAATCCCTGACCCTTGAGTGAAAGTCAAAACTTGTGACTCTTTCCAGGCTCTGGAATCCCTTTTCAGTTTCGCCCTGATCCCACTTACTATATGTGACATCGCTGAACTTGAGGGTTGGAAGATGCGAACAGACAATGTGTATAATCAGCTCGATCTGGAGGCTACGAGGCTAGTCTGTGCACATATCTTCTCCAACTCTGGAACCGTCGTGCATATATCAATACCCATACCATATCGCCTCAGACGTCAATGGCAGTAGGCAAAAGCTCGTTGTTCTTGTGACAATCTGTGGCATCATGAAACTGAAGGTCTCGAAAGATGACTTGGTCGTCAAATGCCACAAGGCAATGCAACTATTCTGTTTCACCGTCTCGAGTCCAGAAGTTCTCTTCGCAAGACTATATTTCTTGGCCCAATAAAACCCATTCTTGGTGCCAAAGTACTTTGGAACCCCGATTGAATGCCCGTTATTAACGGTTGAAGTGGCTTGTTGACTACTGACTCTGGCGGGATAGACGAACGGCCCAGCGTAACGGTGAGTCAGTTCTGAAACATAGACGGCCATCCTGTGATTATTCTAGAGTGAGAAATTGAGCTTTGATCAATTCATCGCCGTTACTAAAATTAAAAATCTTCATCCTTTTCTCGCGTTGTTCCCCCGCACCTTTGATCGACAGGGCTAAATCGGGGGCTCAACATCGCGGTTCCATCTCAGCCCAAAGTAAGCCAACGGACGCGATGGCTGCGCTTGCACTACCTCCATCGAGAACTTTTGCTCCTCCATATCGAGCGTTATTGCGAACCTTGACTCATCCATACTGATCCAAAATTTGTTTCAAAGATCCTTATTTCCCATTCCCCTAATAATTAATAACAGCATCTCCAAGACCAAGGAAAATAAAATACGACATTCATGGGTTAACAAACCAGGTAGCCATGCCGCACACCAATTGGATCCGTCCCGCACGACCCCGGAAAAACATAAAACAGCCATGGTCCGATAAAAACAGGTATCCCCGGCGCTTCCAGCCAATCTGGTGTGTTTAGTGTTTAAGGCTGACTTGTGCCGCTGCTAGATTAGTGGTTCCATGCCTGTTCCATGAAAAACTCAGACGCCATTCTTGTAACCCAACGGGTCACGCCTAGCGGGGGTTCGGCAGTGGATGGTGTTCCCCAGCGCAATTCGAAGTCTTGGAAGGAGGAGTTGGTTACATTATGGCTTGCGCTGACGAGTCTTTCACTGTTGGTTCCGTCTGCCGTTGCAGCGAGTAATCACTGCCGATTGTGCCGTGTCTCAGGTATCCTGTCAATAATCGAACGGCATATTTCCCCAGAGCGTCACTGCAAGCCAGAATGTAACCAACTCCTCCTTTTCCCCAGACTCAACGCAAGTCTCAGCTACAATACGGAGTACCCCAAACCTTATCGCTTGCTTTCATCCCAATGTAACAATTTCCCGAGTCGCGACACTAACTAACTCAAAAAAGTCCCCATGGCGTCAAACGGATAGCGTCTAGCCCTGTCCTTTAGCATTGAAGGTGCGACTTTTGGGTCGCAAGATCGGCTGCTTCACTGCTCAATGCGCTATGATCGCGGCCAGCGCTGTGGCTTTGGGGTTGTGATCTTCATGCATTAAATTGAACCGTTAGTGGGTGTTGGGCACTGACTCGTACCCATCCGAGATCGAAGCTAACGGTAGTTTCCAAAAATCCGCGGCCCTTACCCCCCTTCGTTTTGCATATCATGGATACAACGCCCAAACCAGGGGAAGATCTGGCAAAATATTCGTATTGAACCGTCTTTCATTATAAGTAATTAATCATCTCTTCGTTCCGCCTCGTTCTCATCATTTTCTTGTGGCACTCACTCAACATATCCAAGTTTAGTATTCGTTCCTCATCACACTCCAGCCATGACGGGCTTTTTGATTCCCCCGTGGTACAAGTCCGAGCTTCCAAAAAGACTGGAGGAGAATGTCGTCAGTGTCATCTTCGGCTTCAGCATGGGCGCGTCATTGTTCACTGCTGCCATGGCCATCAAGCAGACGATGCAGGCCTACCGGAGGCAAAAGCTCTTCAGCGCATACATCATCATGTGCTGGCTTGATTGGATTGGATGCAACTTTATGGGTCTCGTCACTTACTTGTGGCTACGAGGATTCGCTCCTCCTAGGTCAGTCTCCTCCTCTACCCCCGTCTTGAAGGGTACTGACTTGATACCTATCTCTAGCTTCTGGGTCTTTTTCTTTATCAGTATGTCGCCCCATCCCCTGTCTCCCACTTATACTCACCTTCTCTGTAGTTGCTTTCTGGAGCATGCAGATCCAGTTTACCCTCCAGATCATCATCAATCGAATATCCCTCCTCCTCGGCAACAAAACGAACATCAACAGAGTCAAATGGGGAGTTGCATTCATTGCGACCTTGATCAACATCAGTGGTTTCTGCATCTGGGTACCGGCTCGCTTGCAGATCTCCCACCTGTACGAAGAAATCAACATCGTCTGGGACCGAACCGAAAAGGCTATCTTCTTGATTGTTGATCTCTCGCTCAATCTCTACTTTATATACCTAGTTCGCTCGCGGCTCATCGCTTGCGGATTGACAAAGTATACTCAGCTGTTCCACTTCAACCTCGTTATGGTTATTATGTCAGTGTCGCTCGATTGCGTCTTGATGGGAGCTACATTTCTCCCCAGTCCTGTTGTGTCAGTATGCCCAAGATCTCTATACTGCGTCATGTCTAACATGTATCAGCTATGTCCAATTCCATCAACTCATCTACCTCCTCAAACTACACATCGAGATGAACGTCGCATCTCTTCTCGGTCACATAGTCAAGAGTTCAAGGGAGCAAGACGCTCGACCGAGCGATGGAGAGCGACAGAGGGGTCGAGATGAGTTTGGCGGCGGTCGAATGACTACGTTTGTCTCGGCGAGTCGCACAGGACATGTCCGACTGGATGACATGTCGCGGGATGACTCCTACCGAAGGAGATCTGACTGGGAAAATGGGATTGTGAAGAAGGTTGAGACCAAGGTTGTCTTTACAGAAACCGAAGACCAAGCGTCCACGTCAGACCAAGAGCGAATGGTATAATGTCTTATGTCGTCGTACACACACGTCTCATGATTAGTTAGCGTCTATATTCACTACTATGTAACAATAATATAATGAGTATTGGAAAACGTTCGCCTCGCAGGACAAGTTTTAGGATCAGCACTGGTCTCCAACGTATGCCCTTAATGGAAAGATCAGGCGCCTTAGACATTAGGCAGCACAACCATTAATCTTCTTTCTGAGCGAACCATTAACATGAGTTTGCGGAAGCCTGCCAGAATTTAACGTGATAAGATCTCAAAGACTGTTGCAGCATTAGCCAAGACTATAGCGCTTACTGTTTCGCGTCGTAAACCTGCCTAAAGCTGCTGTGCCTCACTGAATCATCAATCACAACACAGAAATTAATCTGACGTGAGAATATCTCCGATATCAACTTGATCCTTTTTTTCCGTTCATAAATAGGTGCTCCTTCTGGGTATAATAAGCTTATTCAGACATCCTTTTAAAGTCTTTATAAATAGCACAACGCTATCTGGACACTTATCTCTTTTTCACGACCTACAACAATCGCCCCAAACTTCCAAACATGAGTAAATCCGCGCAGCCTATCAGCTTCCCAGGCTTCAGTGCCTTATCGGACAGAGTATTCGTTCGTCCCGGTGAGATGCAGGCAGGCACTGATCCAAATCCTGAACACCCCCGCACTGTCGTCATCTACGGCTGGGGCGACGCACCTCCAAGACATATATCGAAGTTCACCGATGTCTATCGAGAGCTATACCCTCATGCCACGCAAGTCGCGGTGCTATCGCCTATCTACCAAGGCTTCATCGACCATGTCGATCAGCGCACAGAGGCCATGCTTCTAGTTATACACGAGGTTTTCCCCAGTGACGCATCAGACGGTTTAGTCTTGTTCCACGCTATGTCTAATTCTGGAACTCTCAACTACTCGGCTACCTTGAATGCATACAAGGAGACCTACAACCGGCCGATGCCCCATGTGCTCACGGTATATGACTCTACGCCCGGAACTCCAAATCTCACGTGGGATAACCTCAAGCGATTTTCTCACGCCATGGCCATCGGCATAGCAGCAAAGCTCCACCTACCATTCATCGTGGCTCAAATTGTATGCGCCTGGTTTTTTGTTCTGATCCATGTATTCGACTATCTTTCGGGGAGAGAATCTGCACCCAAGTTCAGCCATAGGATCTTCACAAATGAGCAGTGGGAGAGCAAGAAGAGCACACGATTATTCTTGTATGGAAAGGGAGATATTCTTATTCCGTGGCAGCATATTGAAGGATACATGGCCGTTTCACGCGAAGCTGGATATCCTACCGAGGGGCAGGTCTTTGAGAGTGGACATGTTGGGCATATGAAGAAGGACCCAGAGAGGTATTGGGGAATAATTCAAGAGTCTTGGGGGACAGCTATAGGTAGAATATAAAAGGCACTAACAATGAGGCAAAGACTAAAATGTTAGGTATAGAAAATTTATAGTCTAAGTTATAGGAATATACAGTACGTCTAAAAGAGTTTTCATAATTTATCTATGCTAATTACATATTTAATAAGCATACTTTTGAAACGTAATACAAGTCCTAAAGCCAGTCTATAGTAATAATAAAGAATAGCTTTTTATAACTCTCTATTAAAGGCTAAAACTTCACATCCTTTAAATAGCTCAATTACAGCCCATCATGGTAAGTCGCAAACGCGGATTATTAAAAGAGCGCAAGGAGTCTGAGATGTAAACCACGCAGCCAATACTGTGCACGTGAACTACTTCTTGTGATACGTCGGGCCTCGATTGAAGGGATTCTCCACAGCCTGATTATGTTCACAGTTGAACCAAAAAACTGCAAGAGAGCCTCAATTGTGACATTTAACCTATGCGCGCTTTGTGGCTATGTGCCCGCCTCGGCCGCCTTGGGCGCGCCGCCCTAACAGCTGATGTCATCAGAATCTCGCGCCACTGGTAATCAGCCGACGCATATGCCTTGTCTTGCATGCAATACTGACTGCCTTTTGAATTCTTGTTCTCCCGACGGACTAAAACCGAGTGATCCCAAAAGGAGCCTGCCTGCATCCACTTGACATGGGGGTATATAATGGTGTGACCCCTCGGGCAAAGTTGGTGGGCTGACATGCTTCTCATTGTGGACAATTACAAACCGCGAAAAACACTTAGATTGCTCACTGTTGAGGGCCTAGTAATGTTACCTCATAAAGCCAGTATTACTAACGCAATCCTCCAATTCAAGCACCGGGCCTCGACGTCTTAGCGTTTTCCCTTCTATCTCAGCCATATATTACATAGTATTTGCTGTTTCGGGATATCTACACTGCCAACAAATGCAAACAGTGAGTAGATCTCTATCATGAGCTTTTTCTCAGCCAGTACCTACGACTGACCTATATAACAGTGTGCGGTGGGCCAAGTTGTCGTCTCATTAGTGCAACGAATGCTTGCGACAGGTTTCCTCAAGTAAGCGTAACACCAAGGCCTGAGCCAAATCCTGCCGATAGGGAAGAACACGAACTCTGGCTGCAAGAATATGAGCAGTGGAGAGATGTCAAGTGCGCTTGCGGCGATGGCTACTTTTGTTGTCGTCATGCAATCTGGATTCCAGGTAGCGACGTTAAGGAAGGAATTGCATTACCACGTGAAAGGCAGCACGAAGGTTGTCCCAGCAGTCACTACCAGCCCACGTACCGCACAGAAGCACCAGCAGATACAGAACAGGCAGCCAATCTGGAAGATCGCCAGCAACAAGGCAAGGACAGGCGCAGATCCTCAGGTCGGCACTCAACCTCTCGAACTCAGACTAGTTCCAGAGATGAATCCGAAAGACCATCAGCCAGTTCATCTTCCCGGCATAAGAGGCCTAGAAGTGATAGACCTCCTGTCAGTAGCGACAATCGTCGGAATGAACGAGCAAGTGATGAGGCTTCTGTTCGATCATCAGGAGGGTCTAACCGACCGTCAAGAACTTCTACAAGTGGAAGAAGCCAAGCAAACAGTTCTCGTGCCCGGAGAGACTCCCCGTCCCGCCAGTCCACGGCTGCCAGTGACGAGGGATATATTTTATATCAGGGAAGGGACAATCCTTCCAGTCTGATATCTGGGGTCAATACCCAAAGCAACAGCTCCTACCAACCTAGGCAGGGGACAACATATCAAGCGACTCCGAGCACTTATGATGATTCTGCTGCTTCTGGCCGCTACCCAGCCATGGCAAGCAATACTTCAAGAACTATTCAGCCTTCGTACCAAGATCCAGCTTCATGTAACCAGTCGTCTTCATACTCACAACAATTCTCATATGTGCAACAGCCGTCTTTTAGACAGCAAGAACCATACCAAGTCCAACCAGCCCCTCAATCGCAGTCTTATAGGCAACAGACATCAACTCCACAACGCTCATACCATCAGCAGCCAGCAAGACAGCAAATACAATATCAACAAGAACCTGCAAATCAAAGTCCATTCACAACTCTAAGGCCATCAATACCATTTCAACAACAGCCCACAGGACAGCAACAGCCATATAACCAACAACCAGTATACCAACACCCGCCCAGGACTTCAAGAGTTGCGCCATCATACCAACAGCAGTCAACCGCTCACCAAAGTCCTTATGGACAACAAAGCACAAGACAGCAAGATCCAAATACTTACGAGCCAGAAGTCCAGAATGACTCGCCAATGCTGTCGTCATATAGCCAGCAACCCTCGTATCAGACATATCCCTACTATCCAAGTCCCGCCGGGCCTACAGCACAAAACTACTCATTATACAATACAGAAATAAGGCCCCAAGAGGATCTTGCAGCAAGAATGGACAACGTGAGGCTTGACGAAGACTCATACAAGACGTCTAATTACAATGATGAGTATTCATCTGAGGAGGAGCCCGTTGAATACGATGTGACCATGAGACGTCGGAGGAATAGAAGGACTGGCGGACAGTGAGTTATCAGGATGAAACATAAATGTGGTTTTTATTTAGAGCTTTTTGATTTACACTTCATGCTATGCCTTACATGATATTATGCGTATGTATTTCATCTTCAACTAGAGTAAAGCTTCATTATAATTCTCAAACTTGGATCTGAGCCTCAGATCTATGTAGCTAAGTACACTTGTTATTTCTCTAAAACTATGAGGCCACCCTGCACACCCAAGCACTGTCTCAGCATGATTACGATAGGCTGTTCTGGAATTGGGATTGATTACGGTGGCTTTAGTCATGCAACCACCAACCCCGCTCGCTCGCCTCACTTTTAATGGTACTGCCCCCTTGCGCCCGCGGAAAGTCGGACACTTCTTGGCGATAATTGCACCCAAGTTTTCTTCACTATCTTCTGTCTATCAGAAGATGTACAAATTTGAGGCTCTGCTCTTGGAGCTCGATTGGTATTCAAGCATGAAAATGAGGCCTGCCCAGAAGAATGTGCAATCAGGCAAATTTGAGACCCTACCGCCTACCAACCTCTTCACAAAAAGAAGGTGTCTTTCTCGCCATACGTGACCTTTACTCATTGGGCCAGGGAATCCTGCTGAGTTACACAGATACTACGCCTGGAACATTGGTGGTCAGATGCAACCGGACTTGTGATACCCTGCAATAAGTCACAGTGCCCGGGTGCCCAAGTTTCGGAGCCTGATTTCCAACTCTACTACCTCCCTTGGAACCTTGGAGGTAGTGAACATGTACATGGTGTAGTATGGAGAGACCTTTTCTGCCTGAGTCCAGAATTTGGGGTTAGATTAGCATATTTCACATGTAGAATGAATTATTCCTAATGGAAGGCCCGCTTTATCCTCTGCCACAGATATCGTTAGCATACTCTGTATGGCATTATACTATGATCGACGAAACTGTTCCTTCTGAAAAAGAACTCAAAAGGTTCTTCGAAAAGGATGCTCTGTGCTGGGAAAAAGCAAATCTGGTTAGTACAGTGAAACGGCATCCTGCGCCAGCAGCACCTCAAAACCCAGTTGATTAGGTCTATGCACTGTTTCCGGTGCTACTAACCCATGTGCTGCTCATAGGTGCTTGAGAAGACACGAGCGGCAAAGATAAAGAAGAGAAAGAAACTCAAAAAGACAATAAAGGATGCAGAAGTAGATAAAACGATACAAGCTCCGAACGATGCCCAACCATTGCGGACGGTAGAAACGGTGGACGAGCTCATACAAATGGCAAAGGAGACGTATGTCAACTACCAAAGGCAAAGAGGAGCGGTGGAGAAGGTCTTCCTCAACATCGCGTCATACTTTGAGAGGCACTCCCAGATCATCGACGTTTTCATTCAACAGGAGCCGAAATTTACAGCACTTGTCTGGGGTTCTATACGCTACCTTCTACAGGTATTCCTTAATCAGGACTGTGTACACAGGGTACACAGGGTACACAACAGCTAACGAAGGACAGGTTGTCGTGGATTGCAAAGAGGCGTCAGAAGTAACGGCGAACGGCATATTCCTTATTGCACAACATGCGGAGAGATGGTCAAGAATGGCGAAAAGCTTTGGAGAGAAACGGCGAGTGGAAGAGGCCACGGTGGACTTATACTACCATGTTCTCGACTTCTTGCACTCTGCCATTGAGCGCTTTCGACGAGATAAGTTGGGTGAGTTAGACTTTTCATTCCCCGGAGGCACCCGGCTGGGCCCTAACGTTAATTTCCACTACAGCGAGACTTCAAGCGTCGTTCTTCAACAATACTAGACAAGAATTCGAGAAAAAAGTCGCCCAGTTGCAAAGCGCAGCAGCAAGGTTGGACAAGGAAGTGGATTGGGAAGGTAAGTCTATCTACCTTGGTAAAACTGATATATTGCCTTGTTATTCAGCTCCGTCGAAACATGCCTGACCTGGCTGACCATCTGCACTCGTAGATAAAGAAGAAAGTGAGGCTTCATAACGAAGGGACTGCATGTTCTCAGTTGACTGATTGCACAGACAAACAAATAAGGGAAGAGATGTTAAGAATTCTACAGACATCTGAAACCTCTATAGGTATGTAAAAGCAAATTGCATGTCTCATTACCCTGCCCTGTTATTGTATGCCAACCAACTATTCTTCGTACCAAGGTTTTGCCTTATCTCGCCCCCTGTATTGCAAAATCTTGTGATTATTGGCTCTGAGTCACCTGATCTAAACACAGCCTCGCCCAGGATATCCCAAGTCGCGTTTCTGACCTTCCCCTCCAATTATCCCACTGCGGGGCATCTACACGTCAATTTTTCAGCTTCATTTGCCACCGAGTGATCCGATATTAAAGCTCAGTGATATATTAGTGGTATTGTCAATATCACCTGAGCATCTTGCCAGATTACCCTACCATCACACTGAAGCACATGACTGCGCACGACTCAACGCTGACCGTATTCTCTACCAGAACAAACCAAGATGATTACCGAGGCTATGCTGGCATATGATGTGCAAACAGGTAAGAGAACAAAAGTCTAACTATCATATCACTGTAATTCCGAGGCACAATTGAATCTCATTACCATGAGTCTTAAACCATACACCGACAAAGGAGGACTGATGTTATCTTCGTTTACGTCATTCAGCTATGACAAGTGAGCTGATGCTCACATTTTTATGTAGGAGCTTGCAAGATGAGAATGGACATTAGTCAGATTCACGACTGCATCAGTCCATTGGCTAGTCCGATTGCCAGTCGTCCACAAGGTTTCGATGTTGCAGCCTCGGATGCGCAGCCCAAGTGGCTCACTACGCACCCAACGTACCAGAAATGGCTAGTAAATAAATTCCCGAGCCCACTTTGGATAGTGGGTAAGCCAGGTATGTGCTCAACCGACGAAGCATTAAGATGAATGACCAACTGACTATATTACAGGCGTGGGTAAATCAGCACTCGCCCATCAAACTTCCAGTACCTTATCTCAATCAGGACACACTGTCTTCACACACGCCTTCCAGAGTAATGCGTCCTCACAGAAGCGGGACAGGGCCAGTTTTCCAATTTCAATCCTTACCCAGCTTCTTCCTTCAACATATCCAGTTCAAGATTTTCAGGAGCAGGTTTTTACAAAGCTTGTTCCCTCATATTATCAGTACAAGTCGCGATTTGAAGATTGCCCTTTTGAGCAGCTATGGCCCCATTGTGTTACCCTTCTAGAGAAAGAACGAGAGTTCGTATTGCTCATTGATGCTATCGATGAATGTAATTTCGGCAACCGTGGGCAAGCAGAGGAGCTCCTGGAGTGTTTTCAACAGGTCCTGGACCGCACAAGCGGAAAGATAGCTATCTTTTCTCGCCCCAACGATATGTTTGGCTTCGGAACCTCGTCAAGACTCCACATGAATGAGATCAGAATCACTAAAGAAGATATTCTACCTCAGATTATGGCATTCTGTGATACCGCACTAAGCAAGTTGAAATTCACAGAGGAGATGAAGCTTCAGGTGACTTCCCGACTCAAGCGCGATGCAAACTCCTTTCTATGGGCTACAAAACTGCTACAGCAGTTCAAAACCACTCTCAAAATGGGGACCTTCGAAGCAATTCTGGAAAACTGGCCCAATGATATCTGGGGCATTTATACCAATGTTTGGCTGGATAGGCTAAGCAGCCTTGATGACGAGAGTAAATCGAGTTGCCAGGATATATTTCTAATGTTGCTTGGAGCTCGAAGGGATTTCAAGATCGATGAATTGGACGACGCCCTTGGTTTCATTCCAGACTCGGGTATTGCCCAGTTTATTACTTCAACCCATTGCCAACCTTTGATCCAGGTTGTTGATGGTAGCGTGAGCCTCAGTCATGCTTCTGTCCGAGATTTCTTGCTTAGTGGAGGGATCGGTGACACGAGATTCTCGAAATCAGCACCCGATGCGACTTTGGCTCGGAAGTGTCTCGAGTTTCTGATTAGGGAGGCTTATGCAAGTCAGGACCGCATCGGTCAGCGTTTAAGGAAGAACATTGGAGTCGGTGGCTCAGATCCCACTGACGACGAGACCTTTTACGAATATGCTGCTCGCTATTGGTACATTCATCTCACAGCCCTCTCGTCTCCGGACCAAAGTTTATTGGAGCTCGCCAACAAATTTCTACATCTACTCCAATTCGCACACTGGGCTGAATACTCGATCAGGGATATTGGCGACTTTCAAGCCATCCGGTCAACAGAGATGACTTTGACGGTTTGGTTGAAGAGTTTGAGTCACCGCGATAGATCTCTGATACATCTAGATGACTACTTCGAGTTCCCTTATCGAAAACTTGCCAGAGTCTTCAAAGATTACGAAGAAGACAAGGAATTGCAGTGGTTGGCTCTGATGCATCTCGGGTTCTACTATTTCGACAAGGGAAGGATGGCTGAAATGGCCGAAGTTCGCAGGAAGGTCGCTGCTGGGCTCAAGGATCTTCTCGGACCACGTCACCCTCTAGCGCTTCGAGCAGCTGCAGATGCAGCATATACCTTTCTTTTCAACAACGAACTCCCGAAAGCCCAAAGACTCTATGCCGAATTAGCCTACGCCCAACGTGAAGTTGGAGGTCCTGACGATGCCAGTTCCTACTTTACACTCGTTTTCAAAGCTCAGGCTGAATATCTCATGCTTGACTCGCCGAAAGCACTAAACACACTTACTGATTCTTTGGAGGGGCTCTTTCGAATATTAGGTCCCCAGAGCAATGGCTATCTGATAGCTCAATTGTGGTATGCTGTTGCTAATGCATCAGCTGGTCATATTGAACAAGGCATCAAACTACTGGAGTTCGTGCGTGACAAGCGAAAAGAACAGTATGGGCCGAAGGACTCTTTTGGAGTAACTACGCAGATCTTCTTGGGAGATTTGTATCGAAAATTGGGCTCCGATGAGGGAGCTCTGCAGAATATTCAACCTGCACTTGGCTTTCGACGTAGCTTCTGGCACCTCTCTCACTTCTTGACGCTCGATACAGCTCTTATATTGGCGATTACATATAGAGACTTTGGTCGAGAAGATGAATCAGCTGAAATCATCGAAGAGCTTGAAAACAACGGAAGACTAGACAGAGAGCAAAATATTATACGAGCCTGCCAAGTCAAGCATATGAGAGCCCTTTGGTTGTTCGAGGATGGACAACTAGACAAGTCTATCGGGATACTGGAGTTATTACTCCTCGAGATCGATGAGAAGTACAATAACAGGGCCCTCCAGTGGGTTCGACTCGACCTTGCATATATGCTTAGATACAGAGGGAGAGATGGGGATGAGGGTACCGCAGATTCACTCTTTGATGGTATCGTCGCAGATGAGGCGAACGATCCTGATGATGAGCCTGATCCACCAAGATGGCTAGAGATTGCAGAGCGGGCGCTAAAATTGCTACGGAAAGGGAATACTGACGGAGCGAATGATCTTCTCGGGAAGGAGAAATTGCGTTGGGCTCGTGAGGAGAGTTTATGGATGTGGTTAGGGATGCCGGCGGCTGATACAGGATGGATGAGGCTGCCAAAGGGCTTGGGTGATGACAATATGTGACGTATATACCGCCACTGATCGGCACATTCTTTCCTTACTTTTATTGATAAATTGATACTATCTCGAGTTACATCTGTTACTACATTGACCCCCAGATTCTAATGTTGGACTATAACGTTGTGCAGTTAAAAGTAGCTTTAGCTGCTCAAAAGGATTCTCCAGTTATGTATTTACCTTTGGACCGAAAAAAGAAATATTGTCTAAGATGTTAGCTATAATATTTGCCCTAGGAGTACCACTTTACTTTCAGTATAAGAATAAACACGATTGGCAATGGGGTCTGCAGTTAGACTTAAACGCTTGTCGTCTCTTAGAAGTACCATAATGTTCCATCTCCTCCAACAGAATTCCCAGTGAAGGATCCTATCTAAAGAACTTCTCGACTAAAGCCATAGTCTTGGCTGGAGCTGCAAAGTCGCACCAGAAACCTTCACTTGTTTGACATATGATTACAGCACGATCCATTAACTAGTTAGTATATTATACCTTGGCACGGCAGCACACTTATATCTCATTGGCGCTTTGAGTGTCTTGCTCTGCCCAAGAATAACCATATCTTTCCTATGGCTTGACAAGTCATATGACTTGGGCGCAGCCTTTGTAAAGTCAATGCCCTGCCATGAACCACTCCAATTTGAAGAGCTGTAGAGTTTATGGTGAGGTTCGCAGATAAGCATGACTTGATTTGCCTTGGCAATCTCTCGGAGAGTGCTAACTTTAGCTTTGATGTTCGATTCCTCTAGGGCTTTTGTTACGGCTATGCGGTTCTGGAGAGCAATTTTGTCTAGCTCTGTCGAAGGCTTTATTGTGAAGTTGCTTGTGGCGTAATGGACTGCATTATGAACATACCCTTCACCTGTCTCACTGTGAAGCTCGGGGATGCGATCTTGTACTGATTCGTTAGCTGATGTCTTTGATGTCTTAGTTTGACTTACAGTTGATGGTTGAGGAAAGCGAAATCTTGTACTTGAGGTTGTAAGTGATTCTGGCAAGCTATGCGACGTATTTAGCACAATAGACAGACATTTGAGCCATCTATAATCTACCTTTGTTAAGATAGCGGTGATGATATCACCGTTGCTGATCTGACTCGTCAAAACGTGCTTACCATCTAAACGCTCTTTGGCCTTGTCTCTTAAACTCTGTACTACCTGTATCGGCAGAAAAACGAGTCTAGACTCCTCTTTCTTATCTTTCAGCAAGTCAAGAGCAATTCTTCCAATCACCAACGCCTGGTCTTTCTTGCTGCGGATGCGCATCCGTCCGATCCGTTCACTCTGTTTGACATCAACGTTGGAGAGCTTTTCGCCTCCCAACACATCATCCTTGTACCCCGTCATCTCCGGCGGTAATTTTCCCTCGATAACAGTAAGCCAAGCCCTGACGATATTGGCCAATCCGCCTTGATCAGCAAAGACATGCGGAACACTCATCGCAAGAGCAGCCCCATCCGAAAACTTGGTTAAATGGATATACAACAACCGTGAATTGGGCGGCTCGTCTTTTCGTTCATATGGCCAATCTTTTGGTCTCAGTCGCGCGTCTATAGTCTCCATGTTTGGTAAAAAGGCTACACAATCGCCTGGATGCAGAATCTTGGATAATTCATAAGTTTCACCATATGGATACCCGGCGTTGACGGATGACCATTTGAAGAGCTCGTAGCCATCTGGGAAAACATGAGATAAATGGTACTCCAGGTGCGTATCTCCACGCGATGGGAAAATACGCGCGCCTAACTTTTTCCAGTAATTCCTGATCAGCTTATCTAGACCGGTTTTGAGGATTTGCTCGTCGAGAGGATGGTCAGTTATGAAGAATGTTCGGGTGCGGAGGTTGGGGATTGGGTTGGGCTGGTCGCTCCATGAAACCGGTATTATCTCCATCTTGGGCGACAACGTCACATAGAATAGTCGATTCCGGCAGTGAATCTTATTGATAAGTGGGAGAAGTTATCTTACTTAAAGAGGATTGCGGCAAGAAACCACTCGGTCTGTGCTGGAGGAGCGAACGGATTTCCGTGTCATGTCAGCTCTAGTCCGTATCAAGCTACTCCCCAGGAGTCACTGCCTCAGAAACTACGAAGAATGCCACCTTAATCTCTTCAACCCTGTCAGCATGTAACAGAGCTATTATTGCTATTGGCTAACAAGCCACTATTTTGTTGGAAGCAGACACTCTAAAATCCTTTCGACTGATCGATACCTCATTGCTGATCTGACGAACAACAATAGAGAGGTTCTCAAATCGCTTATGGGGAGGCAGGAAACTACAGCGACGCAAGAAAAGGTTGCAGGATAGTGCTAGTTCGAGGTTACTGGTGGTGAGGTTGATGATGGCCTTGAGGCTCAGTAAGGCCAAATTGATACAAAATAGAGATATTCTGTTTTTACTATTAGCTATGTGGGATATCTCGTTGATTAGCTGGAAAAAAATCATCTTGGGCAATTATAGGCAGTCGGTATACTTCCTGAACTGGGCTTATAAGAGTGTTATTTCAAGTTGATAGATCCCGTAGCTAATGCTTACTTCACGCGCCTCACATAAATAGAGCTTTAAACTTGACAGCAGCAGCCCGTTGCTCAATTCCGCCTTGGCTGGTGCCTAAGCTAGGTAGTCTGCCCTGTCGAGTGCCCCTCGTTTCCCGTTTCCCCCGCTCAGCACTCTTTTTCAAGACAGCATGACTAAGATTGTCAGTTCTGCTAACCAAGTTACTGACGCGCCTCTCAGACACATCCAACTTGAAGCTAACGGCAACACAGTCAACAAATCTTTGCTTCAACCCGCTCACGCACACCATCGGTGTCCTAACCGCCATTCTTGACCAAACTCCCTCGTTTAAGCTGCTCTACGAGTTATTGTCGAGCTTCGAGTCCTTCAGCTCGCCATGGATGATGTCTTCGACCTCGTTATGTCCCCCTTCTATGACATCATCGCGCAAGGTCGGATCGCTTTAGAAAATGCTGGCGATAATACGCCTATGCTGAAGGCTGCTCGGAGCCTCATCACAGAGGGCGAGCGGGCTCTTGAGAGACTCGATCCGCTGTGTCGCATGCTCCTGGACAAGCACGATCTCAAATTCATAGATTTCCTCAAGGAGAATGGCAAGTCGCGTCTCCATAATTCGCTATGGCCTATAGTTGCAAATATTTCGTTCATATCACCGAACAGACTCTGACTGACACGATTATGAAGATTCAATGGCGTACCTTAGAACCGAATTGAACGACCTATTGTGGGAGTTTGATGACTATATAGAGCTTGACGATTTTGAAGCCGAAAAGTTTGTGGAATTGGAGAATTCGGCTCGCAACGCTGCTCCCAAAATCTACGATATCCTCGAAAACATGAGGATCGAGGTCGCCACCGACCAGAACAGTCGCCCACGCTTCTTTCCGACCCTTGTCCGACCTCGTATATCTTCAATACCAAAATCACGCCCAGAGTCGGTAAACTCGAACCAAAGCTCTGTTTTCGACCATATCCGAACCGACAGGATGAATGTAATTTTCACAGGCCAGCCAGCTTCTACAATTTCGACTGTAGACAGTAGTGAAACTTTTAGCACAGCTGAACTGCGTCCCCCTTGGATAAAGGGTCCGTTGATACACAACTATCAGGACGTGATCAAGCCAGAACAACCCACTGGGTCGCCCAAAGTTGATATCCTTCTTATTCCTGTTGGGACGGAAGTCCCAACTCCCCAACAACCACCAATTCCCTTCGCTGCTGACTGCAAACTCAGCTCTCAGAGTTCCTTTTATATGCATGGGGGATTTTGCAATGGTGCAAAGGAGATCATCAATGGGGGTGCTGGATTTCGAAAAACCGTGAGAGCAGTCTGTCTCTTCTCCCACCATATTTGGGTATCGCATCCTGCTGATCAAAGTAGGGCATCGTTTCCATGGCAGTGACTGCAAGATGTATTGAGTGTCACTTTGAACTTGACTTCAAGGAGGTTGATTTGGACATCAACAAATCCGGTACGTCGAAACTTATACCCGATATGCTTGGAATGCTGACTTTCCTCCAGAGCGTGGTAATTTCGTCCGCAATGGGATCGGCTACCGCCTCCGTTTCCTCCAGAAGAGTCATCTGCCATCACGACGCTCAGACGACATTACGTACGGGTGTATTTTCTGCGTTCATCAAGGTCAAACCCTACATGCAAGCGATGCAACAGTATTTTTCAGTCAAAAGGCGCTCTTTGCTCACTTAGCTCGGCATCCTCGACCTCTACCGGCAATTCAAGGACTAACATCAATCGAACAGGACGAAATTCCAGATCACCATAAAAACAACTATGACTTACATTTCAAGTCGCCATCTGAGAGTCACCCAGTATTGGCGAAGTCTGATGATATTTCCAGAATGCCTGCTGGGGTATCTAAAGAAGCTGCGAGAAGATTATATGGCCAGCGGCTCTTGCATGATCAAACCCCAGCACTTGAGCTAGCGAAAGGTGCGAGGATCGTCGGCCTCTCATGGCCCGAAAAGTACTGCGGCGAATGGTGTCTTGGTTGGCATGACGGAGTGTATGCGTCTTTGCCGATGGACATCATAAGGCTAGACTTGCCACGATTTGGTGAGATTAAGATGGGAGGGACGAGCCTACCCATGGCCACCGCAAGGTGGAAATTCAACACCAGGGATAGACACTGGCTTAAGTTTGAGAAGGATGAGGTTATCACCAATATCAGCTGTAAGTTGCCGGCTTAGAAATCTGTTAATTTTGCATTTGTATAGTTTCTGTTTCTAACTTTCGGATAGGGCGATGCAAAGAGTTTTGGTGCTGGTCAGGCACGAATGCCAATGGCAAATCGGGCATATTTCCTCAGGTTTTCATCGATATAGGCACGCTGAAGGACTCTGATGGGTCTGGCTCTAGCCGGGATGACCAGAATGGAGCTCTGAATAACGAGAAGAGCATGAATGCGTCCCTTTCCGGTCCATCAAAATTCTCGCTTCACCAAAAGACCCGAGCTGGAATACCTGCAAACACCATCTACTCAACCAGTAGCAGCGAACTGCCACCCCTTCTGAGTCCAATCCCCAGTGCGTATCCAATCCCCAGTGCGTATGCACGCGATGGCCCGTCAACCTGGGGCAAGACTCAAGCAGAAGCCCTACCACTGACCCTTGATCAACAAATAGCAAAAGATTATGAAATTAGAGTCCCTCCAGCAGCAAAAGGATTAGATCGTCCCCAGAAGCTAGGGCGAGCCACGGGCATGTCCTCGATTAATGAAGAGCTTTTGTTAGACATGAAACTTGACGAAGTACACCAGTTTGGGAGATGTTGGACCTACAGCCCCGTTGACTCTGTCTCAACAGACAAGGTGCCCATTGCAATTGCAGATGTCCCCGTTGTCATCCCTGTTGAAAGCAGGTACCCGCTCAGAGCACCAGTCACTCCACCGCCCGATCCTCATCCAAAGTTTATTGATCCGACGAGGCAAATAACAGACAACGTAATATCAGAGATTTTCAAGGTCTATGAGAATGCCCTGGGCTTTTACCTTCTGATCAACGGCCAGCTTCAGATAATCATTCCGGATGACTTTGACTACCAGTATGCCCTTTCACACCAGCCCAGGGAATTTGGTGGACTTGAGGTCAGTTATATCATGGAGAGTATGACTCCTACAGCGGGGATTACTACTCAAGCCTCGGTGGAAGTGCCTCAAACCTTGACAAATGCTTCAATGTCAACACAGTCGGCTCTAGGTGTCAGCTCCACGGCTAATCAACCATCTGCGGCAAACATTGACCCCATGCTTAAGCTGACTATTGGAAGCGCCATACAGGCATCGGTCAAAGGCATCAAGCTGAAGGACCGTTACGAGGGTCGAATCGGTCTCATGACAAGAATGGGAGACAGGACTTTCGTGACAATACCTACACACGTCGCTACCTCTGCACTAACAGCAGCGAAGTCGGTTTCGTTCCCGGGAGAGTCGTGGATTAGCGACGTACAGATAGTTTCCAGTAATGGTAACAAAGAGGTAAATTAACCACTATGAAGACATACTTTCTACTGACTCCAGTCTCCATTGGTATAGCTAGGACCCGTTTGTGAAACGTTCGACCCAGCTGCAGGCCACTTTCCCCTTGGCTTTCTCCACGACATCAGCTTAGTTGACGTGTCAAATGCCCCAGTCGAACTCGTGTCAAGCATCAAAACCCCTGTCCCAACTGAATGGCTCTCGAATTCCGGCTGGCAGGAAATCAGGTATCGCACAACAAAGCTTCACCTTCTCCGGCACGTTTCCACGACACTTTCAAGGCAAGCAAGCATCAAGAGCATAGGACTATTGGAATGTCAATGCCAGGTATGTCTCCCATTTCCCATATCCGAATGCCGTTTCTCCCGAAGTCACTTACCTATTAAGCTTAGGCGGTTGGGCAAGGAATCTTCAGAATGAGGCAACCACCGAAGACGGCGCGCTTTTCTCTACGGCGCCCTAGTCCAGGCTCAGATGCGACGCAAGATTCAGAGGTCTGGACCAGTCTGGTAGCTAGGTCTCTCTTGTTTCGGATCCATCCAGATTTCCGGCCGGACGGGGCCCAGAGTGGTACAGCCCTGTGCACAATGGAGGAGCTTGAAGATGGAACGGCATGTGCCAAGGTGGCTGGATTTACTTCTTTCGTTCAGGATGTATCCGTCGTTCAAAACTTTGACTTGGAGGGCCCAAGACTATACAGCAGGTTGGAACAGGGGCGTGTAGCCTTTTATGGGGCCTTCCAAGTCCCTGAAGCATTAAGAGAGAAGCATCACATTAGGTGAGGCTTCCTTTGTTTATTGGAATCCATAGCGTATTACCTTATCCACAAGGAATATTTCTTAACCAGAACAACTCGAACGCGAATGCTAAACGCCCAGCGTCACATACAGAGCTTTATGATCCAGACACTTGCAAAGCCCCCAAGATAACTTGTACTACAGTAAGCGCGAGAATAAGTGTTCCGAACCTAATAATGGTTATTAGTAACATCCAAAGATCAAAAAGGACCCAATACCGTACAGAAATGTCCAATATTGAACTGTGTCCCGTTTATCTCGTAGCAAAACCCAGAAACTCCACGGCCGCGCTTCTTGCAAGCATTTCTCGAGAGCCAGAATTCGCGGCCAGAGATTTTCGAACTCGGTTTGATCCCACCAGGTCGCCTCCCGTCCAGCTAAAGTATCGAGCATGGGGTCGTAGGGCAGTTGGAGCTGACTATGACGGAATCGGTTATTCTGTCGTCCCACACGAGAGACCTGGCCTCTGAGCATACGCAGTTCGCGACTTTTCAACCGCTGTGAAGAGCAGCCAAGGCACCAACACCATAGTCGAAGCCCGATGAAGCTATCGGCATACTTGTGTATACGGCTTGGAACGGTTGGGTTAAAAAGGTTTGCATAGGATGATTCGACTTCATCTAGTAGATCGGCAGAAATGCCAATAGTGCCAAATACGTTGAGACTTCCTCGATGCAGTGCACATGGAAGGGCAAAAAGTTCAAGGTACTTCTTCTGACCGCGTCTAGATAGCAAAAGATGGCGGGACAGGTTGTCCGTCCATACTAGACGCACCCGGGCCAGAGTCATGAGTTTGGATAGATTGAGGTCCCTAGCTTCGATTGACAGTGACTCAATTAGCCCGGCCGATGAGTGATTGGCAAATGAAGGATTGAGTGAAGACATGTCGTCCAGTTCCACATCCGGTTCTGTAACAGATTCAACGGGTGCCAGGGCTTCCCTTGAATTTGGAATCAAGCCGGATCTTCCAATCAAATTGAACAAAGATTGCTGCAGAGGCTCAATATCAGATTGATGATTTAAGGCCATCCGAAAAATATGTCTCGGTCGTCCATGTAAAGGGATAAAATACGTGCGCATCAAAGTCCATGAGCCAAGTATGAGCAGAACTGCATCCTCAACTGCGATTTGCCGAACTTGGGAGGCCGGAGGAGTGTCTTGAAAGTAGGTGTGTTGACTGCTATTCACGAGAGAATCTATGTAGCTTTGAACGGAAGACTCGTGATGTTCTGCTTGCAATGTCAATCCACATCCTGGAATGGAGAGTAGCTCGTCTCACCGATGAAGAACCTTACGACTTCGGCAAACAACTGCAAGAATTCATTCTTAGTTCGTTTTCCCGGCCAGCATCCTTGGATGTAGTTGAGATAGGGAACATAGGTGGTCTGTTGTTCATCTCGAAAACCAAGACCATGGGCCAAGTCGGCCACTTCATGTCTCGCACCGTCATCCATAGTCACATGGAAGCAAACTCCGAGATGCTAGTAGGTATGCAGTAGTGGAGTGCGATGTTCGCCAGTGTCCACAAGAGTTCCCAATTGTTAGCAAGATTTCCTTACTGTTACCTTGTAGCCTGCAGGTAACCCCGCCTTAATTCGATTAGCCAGTGGCCGCACTAGCCGCACAAGGGGCTTGACTGAAAAGAATGTGTGCCTTGTTCAGACCAGGTTTTTTCGGATCGGTTAAATATCGGAGATGGTATCCCTCTCGTTAGAAGAGGAAAGCGTAAACATTAAAAAGGTGGATATTATTGAACTATGACCGGTCGACCACTCAACAGTGCACAAGTGGAAAGCAAGGATATCCTTTTGTGTGTGTTTAGTGAGGACCGAGGCTTTATGGTGTGTATCTTTAAATTCAGCTGTAATCGAGCGAAAGTAATATAGGTAAAATGAGTACATATGAGAGGAGATTGCGCGTTTTGTATATTGAACCGCCATGTCTTAGAGTTCTATTACTCCGCCACCACATATAAGATTCAAGCTTTAACCTGTAAATACTGACTTAGCCAAGCTTCATGCGTGCCCTGTTCCAGAACCGTACCTTATGCTTGTTAAGTAATATCATATTCCAGCTACTAAACTTTAACAATAATGAGTTTATTTAGAATTTTGCTAACAGATTAAGTTTATAACTGATCGATTTACGTCTTAAATATACTTAGGCTTTATCTTAATACTTTAGTTCTTAATTATTATAATTAAAGCTTATATAGATTATAGATTCTCTCTTGCCAGATGATTAGCGTATAGCTCTGTAGACTAATAACCATACATTATGCTAAGATTCGATTATACGATATAAAGTTGCTGGTGATTAAGAGATAGTTTTGTTTGTCTCAGCCTCGGGGCTTTGACTAGATTGCTAGTTTCCAGCTAGATATAGTTATCTCCTCGCTTCTAATATGGTGCCAGTGGAGATAATACTGGTAGTTGAAGGCTAGCTACTAATGCCCATATATGTATATGTGTTCCTCATCGGCTAAACAAGCCCGTGCACTGTGATAGTACCCGTCTTGGAGATCATGTACTCGTTCACAGCTACATCCTTTCCAGCTTCCTTTCCATAACCTGACATCTTGATCCCTCCGAACGGTGACTCGGCCGCAGAAGAATTGCCTAGTATCTCGTCAGCGCATATCATCAGCTTGCAAGACCTTCACCTACCTGTGTTGAGTGCAATCATCCCAGCTTCAAGATTCTCAAGCATACGCCAGATACGGTCCGCATTCTTAGTAAACGCATAGCTAGCAAGACCCATTGGTGTATCATTAGCTGCCTGAACAGCCTCCTCCTCGGTCTCAAACTTATAGAAAGCAGCAATAGGCGCAAAACACTCTTCGCATGAGATTAGAGTATCATGCGACATATCAGCGAGAATCGTCGGCTCAAAGAAATATCCTCCTTCGCCTCCCTTCGGAGAAACACGATTACCTCCAGTAACAATTCTCGCACCTTTCGAAACAGCATCTTCAATCAGACGCTCAGCTCGATCCAGACTCTCTGGTTTCGTCACAGGTCCAAGGGTAGTTCCTTTAGCAGCGCCGTGGCCGATGACATACTTGGCAGTCTCTTCAACGAAGCGCTGTAGGAACTTGTCGTACACCCCAGACTGCACAAGGAAGCGATTGACCGTAACGCAAGCTTGGCCAGCATGACGCCACTTGAGCCCGACAAGCTCTCGCAAAGCTGCTTCTATGTCTGCGTCGTCAAAGATAAGACAAGGGCAATTGCCGCCTAGCTCTAGAACCACTTTCTTGAGACCTGGACTGCAGTGGTTCGCAATCAGAGTCCCAACGCGTGTTGATCCCGTAAAGGTGACCTTTTTGACCAGATCATGCTTGCAAAGAGCCTCACTAAGCGACGGCGTGTTCTCTAAGCTTGTCGGTAAGACATTCAGAACACCATCTGGGAATCCAGCCTCGGTGGCCAACTTGGCCAAAGCCATGGCAGTGACTGGCGTTTCAGGCGATGGCTTAACTACCATCGTGCAACCAGCTGCCAACGCAGCCGCTGCCTTTCTCAGAACCATAGCAACGGGGAAATTCCATGGCACCAAGGCGACTGCTACACCGAGGGGCTGCTTGATAGTGACAACTCGTCTGTCCGGGGCAGATGGGGCAAAGCACGTTCCTTGAATGCGCTCTGCTTCTCCTGCAAACCATGACACAAAGGTCAAAGAGTAGTCCATCTCCCCAATTGCCTCGACGTATGGCTTTCCCGTCTCATATACCAGGAGCGTGGCTAGATCTGCTTTATGCTCACGAATGAGAGCGTCCCATTTTAGGAGCCATTGGGCGCGTGCTCGAGGGGATGTTTTCTTGAAGGATTGGAACGCCTTGTGTGCGACGCGAACAGTCGCATCGACGTCATCGGCTGAGTTGTTGGTGGCCTTTGTCCAAGGTTTATTGCTCCCGGGATCTAGATGCTGTGTCAGACCGGTGAGATGTCGTGGTATGGAGGGGGCTTACCGAGTACGTCGAAGGTTGAGCCGGAGAGGGCAGGTTTAGTTTGGCCTTGGATGTAGGAATCGGCGATGAGGAGATCAGGACGATTGAGCTTGAGCTTGTCAGTTGATTCCACGGATCTCATATTAGATGCATACCTTGAACGGCAGTGAATAAGCCATCTTGTGTTAAGCCTGATTGGTTATTGTCAACACTGGCGTCTAAAGTTGATGAAATAGATGTGACTCAAGCGGCCTGAGTAACCTTTTTCTTTGTCTTTCCAAGAGTCAACAAATACTTTGATGCAACGGTTCAAGTTCGATGAAGGCTGTTGGTTGCTCTCATCATATGCCTTACCTTCAGGGTATGGCAGTATGCACGTAAGAACTCGGTTAGTAATGGTCATGGCAAGATTCCCCGCTTCTTGACCACCCGCACAATCAGCGAGTCGGCTCATCGCTGCAGATGCCGAGACTTCAAGCCACCTGCCGTACACGGTTAAGATCTGCACTCTTCCTGGGTTACCCATCGTGGAAGGGAATCAATTCTCGTGAACGACGAGCGTGAGGGGCAGATATATGTATCACGTCGCTTGAATCTGTTCCCCATTCTCCAGCAATCTCACAAGTATTGAAAGCAGTCATGGGCCGTTTAGATGGTAAAGTCGCTATCGTTACAGGTGTGTACCCCTCATCGCATCTCTGACCAACGCTAAAGATAAACAGGCGCCGCGTCTGGCTTTGGCCAAGGCATCGCCGAGCATTTCGCTGAAGAGGGCGCCAAAGTTCTCATCTGCGACATCAACGAAGAAACAGGCCAAAAATTCGCTGCGTCGTCGGAATCTTTTGAGTTTCAGGCCATGAACGTCACCAAAGCAGCGGATTGGCAGAGCGCTGTTGAGAAAGCCGTTCAGGTCTGGGGACATCTCGACATTCTGGTCAACAACGCCGGTACCAGCTACGAGAACAAGGTAAATGACTGAGGCTCAACTGATGCAAGCGAAGCTGACGGCAGCAGAGCACAAATCTGGTCACCGAAGAAGAATTCGACAAGGTTATGAGCGTCAACGTGAAAAGCGTCTTCCTCGGCAGCAACGCCTTCACAGCCCAGATTAAAAAGCAAGGCTCAAAAGGCTCAATGATCAACATCGCCTCCGTAGGCGCTCATCGACCTCGACCCGGGCTAGTATGGTACAACGCATCCAAAGGAGCAATCGCAAACGTAAGTCATGGACCCATATCACTGCAAAGCTAACGACGAGGTACAGGCGACCATGGGTCTTGCAGCGGAATATGGCCCGGATGGAATACGCGTCAACTCCATTTGTCCCTTGGCGACTATGACGGGTCTACTTCCTACGTTTATTGGCAAGGAGATCACGCCGGAGGTTCAGAAGGCGCTGGGGAATGTTCCCCTTGGAAGGATGGGGGAGATTAGGGATGTTACGAAGGCAGCGGTGTTTTTGGCGAGTGAGGAGGCTTCGTTTATCACAGGTGTTAATCTGGATGTCGATGGAGGGAGGGCAATCTAGACATCTTACCTGTCAATTGAGAGAACAATGCAGTGCAACAAAAATACATGTAGCACTGAATGGGACAAGAGACAAGAGACACTCAAGACCCATGCAGCTTGTCGATCAATTAACCAGGGTTTGATTCCTTTGAGTGTTGGTGAACATGTGAATGCTCGGCATTAGTGCTGTGACCCCAGCGCTCGTCACATTTGCCGCGTATAGGTCCCAAGATCGGGCGGGGACAAGCAGCTGATGAACTAATTGACGTGATTGTGAAAGCGGCGAGATCAAGCACTGGCATTTTCGGGTTGACGATGCGGCGCCGGGAATCCCAGGGGAGAGGCAAGGGTTGCGGGATTGCGTCTTGGCATGAGAGCCTTACGTGAAGTGTAACTTTATGCCTGGCTCTTCTGTCACGTTTCGGTTTATGCACGGACTCAGTTAGAGCCTTGAATATCGCTATGCATAAGTCTTAGGGCGTGTAATGAATGGCTCAATCCTAATGCTATCTGGATGTTATCCAACCCTGACAGGATCTCGGACTCGGTATAGCCAGTGCGGAACAGACATTCGCCAGCTTACTGCTTGGTCGCGATGTACTGGCTACTATTGCTAGATGGTATCTCGTTGGCAGCATTAACAGGCGCCTTGTTGTCACCATGAATCTCACCCATCAACTGCCTGTCAATCGCCGCGCGCTCTTCATCCGTCGCATCCGTGATATGCACAGCGACCTCATCGCCAAACTGCTTACCAATCTCCTCCAGAGACAGTCTAGCAGTCTCGGGCCAGAAGAAATAAATGGCGGGGATGAAAAGAACACTCCAGCAGATGACGAGGAGGAAGTATTTCCAGCCGACAGAATTGAACCCGATGGGCGCTGTCTGAAGAAGGATGATGGTAGCTAGACGTGTCAGTCAGTAAGCTCTTGGTGTATTTGGATGATTGGACGTACCGGCGAATTGCCCAAACAGAGACCAACCAATGCCAATTGATCGGATCTCGGTCGGGAAGATCTCTGAGACGTAGAGGTACATGGTTGTGTTACAGAAGGTTCCTTGAAAGGCGAGATACAAGAACATGAACAGTACGCCCATGGCATTTCCAGCCTTGTTGTCCGTGCCAGCATATAGCGAGATCATCGCGCAGTAGATTGAAGTAGTAATGAGGATACCGATGAAGCCAGTCATGTACATCTTGCGACGGGAGTTGACCTTGTCATGTAGCCAAGCACCGCCAGGATTGTAGATCAGTCCGGCTGTAGTCAACCAGAGAGCCGAGAGTAGAAGCGGCATGTATCCAGTTTGGCCCAGACTGGTATACAGGATGACTGCATAGTTGTTCTCACGCTTGTTAGTCGTGACCTCGATTGAAGAGATTGGCACTTACGATGATGAGAGGACCACCAAACTCGGCACCCCATTGCGTCATGAACCCAATAAGCATACGCTTGCGATAGCTCTTCTTCTGGACCACAGCCCTCCATGGGTTTCCCCCGTAAACCTCAAGCTTCTTTGCATCAAGCTCAAGCTGCTTCTCAATCTGATAGTACTCTTCCTTGGCGACCAGATCTTCAGGATCATTGGCCGACCTACGAAGACGAACGAGAACGGACCACGCTTCTTCGCGATGACCTTTGGACATGAGCCATCTCGGCGAGCGAGGGATCCAGGGCGAACCAAGAAGCAAGACCAGTGGTGGGAAGACTTGAAAGGCTAATGGGAAGCGCCAACCAAACTCAAGGTTCTTGGAGAAGTAGACTGCGAAGCCGATCCATGAGGATAGCATGTATCCGAAGACGAGAAAGATGGCATGATGGCCGACGAGCCAACCGCGTGCGAGGGGACTGGACATCTCGGAGAGATACATCGGTGTCACGGTAGCCATCAGACCAACGCACATTCCCATGATCCATCGTCCAGCCTGGAACATACTACAACACCATTAGCCTTCATTGCGACAACACTCAATGAGTCTGGTACTCACGCAAGGTTCTGCGCAGCGCACTGAAGGACACCACCAAGAACCCCCAAAGCGCATCCAAACTGAATACTCCTCAACCTCCCATAATAATCACAAGCCCACATGAGCACCAGGCACGCAAACGCGCCGCCAGCAGAAAACAGTCCATTGGCCGTCGCGATCGCCGGTGTCGTTATAGTATCGTAGCCCGGCTCCCCATCAGCAGGAAGATTGAAGAATTGGTACCAGCCCGGTTGACCGATTGTGCTTCCGATGATAGACGCTGCATATCCGTAGGTCTGTGTGTCAAATGTATGTAAGCATGTCGTACTGGTAATTAAACGTTAATACAAGGGGTCAAACTTACCGTCCCGCCAATGGCGACAAAAGTAATGACGAGCTTGTTGTACAAGCTCGTCTGGTTCCCGGTCTGCGGCATTCTTTGCGGCGTGTACCAATTCGACAAGATACGGGAGCGAGGGGAAAAAAGAAATGAAAAAGAAGAAAAGAGAAAGTCAATTAAGCAGAGAGGAGAGGGAAGAACTGTGATCGGCGTGGTCTTTTGACAGTCACATTCCTAGTGTAACCCCAGCCCATGCAGATCAATCACCGGGAGATGGAAGAGACGTGCCGGTGTCGACTGGCCTGCCGCCTACAGGGATTGACAGCGTGATTTACCTGTTGTGACAGGTCTGCATATTATTACCCACTTGGATGTAACTGAGAAACATCTAAGTGCGACACCAATCAATCCGTTAACCGATCCTTGTCTCAAAAACTTCGGTGAGTGGCAGTTTATGGAACATGCAGCTCTTAGCACAACGCGATGCTATAAACAAGCTTCTCTACTGCAAACCTCCCGCATCAATCACTCTACATCTTTCCAAAAATGGACCCCTCATTCATGGAAAAGCAATGGGACCAACTCCCCGACCCCAAACGCGTCTGGGTAGGCCAACCGGGCAGTCGAGAAGAAGGTCTAGGCCGTCTCGTGCTGCTGACGCCAGAGCGGGTGGCTTCAGCCGCACAGACACAGATCAAGACTGGGATCCGCGTCAATCTCGGTTGGGATCTGAATAAGCTTGAGTTCGCGTGCTTTAACCGGCAGCCGTGCGAGCTTAAGGTGGTGCCGCTGCTGGATGGTGTTGCTTTTGATGATATCTACGTTATGAACCCGCGTTAGTATTGGTCTTGTGGTTTTGGGACTTTTGTTGACTTGAGGTTAGAGCAGAGTAGTCAGTGGGATGGGTTGAGACACTTTTCTATGCCGAGGGAAGAGGGGAGTGAAGAGAGAGTGTTTTATGGGGGGACGACGAAGGAGGAGATTTTGGATAGGGAGAATGGTCGTATTGGTATTCATCATTGGGCTCAAGAAGGAATAACAGGTCAGTTAGATCCCCCAGCCCTGGTTTCATATCTGATTTGTATTACAGGCCGCGGAGTTCTGATCGACTACGCTTCATGGGCTGAGGAGAAGGGCATCACCTACTCAACCTTCTCACTACACACCGTCAAACTCAGCGACATTCTCCAGATCGCCAAAGAATGCGACATCACCTTCCAGCGCGGCGATATTCTTCTTGTCCGTATTGGCGTGATCAAAGAATGGGAGCATGTCATGGATGTAGACGCCAAAAAGGCATATGCTGCTTCATCAAGTCCCCAACACGCAGGTGTCGAAGGAACAATGGATGTGCTCAAGTGGATATGGAACACGGGCTTTGCAGCTGTAGCGGGCGATGCTATCAGCTGGGAGGTAAGTTTATTGAACAGTGCTATGTCAGGGACTGATGGCTGCAGGTATATCCACCAAGTGAGGGGGGTGTTTTGATGCATGAGTACATGCTGGCTGGATGGGGCATGCCGATTGGTGAGTTATTTCTACGCAGAGGCTCTAGAGCTAATGAAGTGCAGGCGAATTGTTTGATCTGGAGAAATTGGCCGAGACATGTAAGAAGTTAAAACGCTGGACGTTCTTCATGTCTTCCTCGCCATTCAACATGAAAGGTGGTATTTCCTCTCCACCCAATGCACAAGCAATCTTCTAGGCGGCATCACGTTCACATGCCACTAAATGACAGCTCAATATACTTTGAGACAGAGAATTAAAATCGTATCATTCTCGTTTCTTTTTCTACCCTTCCCTGACAGCGACAGCCACTCAATCAGTAATTACATGTGACTACAAGGATTCTTTAACAAATTCTCTCGTAACCGAGAAAAGAGAAGACGGCACGGGGGATCAAACCGGCAACGGTGATCGACAATAAATGGGCCGAATACGGAAGCGATGTAACCACGGGACGACCAACATGCATATGACATGGCGATCCCTTCTATCTTGAGTGCCGAGGTGGTCTAATTTCGGTAGCTGCTCTGGAATCCATTCACAGCTTTATGCAGTATTGTTGACTCTTCTCTCTAAAGGATTCGCCGTTAGAATGCAGGATCGCTTGCCAAAGGGACCATGTCTCACAATGAAACCTCCACTCTTGCTGAAGATTAATACCTATCTGATGTTCTGATCGTGGCAAGCCAATCGTATTCTTCCCGCAGGCCATCGAATCTTATGTCCATGTCTCCCGGGGGAAATCTGACCCTGTTGTTTTAACTTAGGCGGGTATTGATCTCGGTAGCAGGCGAGCAACTTTCTTCTATGACCTCATTTGCATGCGACAGGAACAATGGGCCATTCTCAGGGGTTTCACTCGTACCGGTCCATCACTCGTCCGAGCCCATGTGAAATCAGCAACTGATCATATTTTCTGTGACTATTACATTCATTGCCTCAAGATCCTAGGCCCGAGAGATTTGACTGGTCCCACTGTCAGCTGCGGATGATCACTGAACGGAGGATTCGCCGCCATGTCGTAGCTCCTATTACCTGCATCTGGTGTCTTACAGTGGGTACATATGGCCTCGACATGCTACATCTACCATCTGTTGTTTTTAAGTTTTTCTCTTGATTCTGCATCTCGACTATTCAGGCACCTAGGCTTTTGCAGTCGACTAACAGCCAGTATGACGAAACCAGCGATGGAACCGCCTCCGGGCAAGGAATCCAATTTTGACAATCCCAATCGAGAGTTGTACTACATTTGCATTGTTTCTAATGCAATTGCAATGTCTGTATGTACGATCTTCATTTGTTTACGTCTGTGGGCCCGGTACAGGCTGGCGATGAGGCTTCGGCTAGATGATAGTATGTCCGCATTCACTAAACGTTGAGTCACTTGCTAACATAGATATACAGTTGCTTGTGTCATTGGATATGTATGTTACGGTTAGCTGTACACTGGTCCTATGTCTGTTACTAACTTTCGGTCAGATTGGCTTCATGGGATACTGCACTATGTGCCTGTTGAGTAAGTACTTCTCGCCCAGGCCCAAACCCTTGAGGCTAAAGATCATAGTGCTGAGATACGGCGGTGGTCTTCACCAATGGGATGTCCCAGAGCACCTCATAACGCGGTATTACCAGGTATGTCTACTCATTATGTCCCAACCGGGCCATGGGCTAAGTTTATCGCAGACGGTCTATGCGACAATGGTCAACTACGGTCCAACAGTCTTCGCCATCAAAGCAGCTATTCTTCTCTTCCTCGCCAGTATCTTCGCCCCTTACAAGACGTACGTCAAATGGATATACGGTTTCCTTGGAGTCATGGGCGTCTACTATGTAACCATGTTGTTCCTCAAAATGTTCATCTGTCGCCCGATCTCAATGTTCTGGGGCGTTACAACCGATGGCGAATGCTTCAATCAGCGAGTTCTTATTCTTGTCGATAACATTATCAGTCTTCTCAGCGACATCGTTGTCCTTCTTCTCCCCTGTCCTCTGACCAAGAAACTCCAAGTTGGACTTATCGCAAAGCTCAAGATCGTCGCTATCTTTGGCGTTGGGGGTATTGCCTGCATCTTTAGCCTAGTCAGGCTAGTCTTTATTATCCATAATGGGGAGAGCCTGGATCAGACCTACGTCTTTCTGCAAATCAATCTTACTGGGTGAGTCACCGAAGGTCATGCTTTTAAACACCACTAACAGCAGTCAGAATCGCTGAGTGTGGTATTGGAGTCGTCTGCGCGTGCTTCCCATTTATGCCAATGTTATGGAAGTCCATTCTTCACAAGGACAAGCCAGGTTATTCGTCCAATTACTCGAGGTCGCAGTTCGAGATGATGAGTTCATCCAAACAGCGGTCGCGAAACACGGGGCATACACCAGAGAGCGTTCACTATAACGGGGATATGGGAAGTGACGAGAATATTCTGATACCGAATGGCAAGTCGTACGTGACCACTAATGTTCGTGCGGGCGATGGTACCACTGAGGGAAGTACCGGTAGCATTGGTGATGGGAGTGGGGGACATGGAGCAAGCCTGGATGACTCGCATATTCTTCGAACAGTTGAGGTGCGTCAGTACGAAGAGCGTTGATTGTATGTATCATAGTTCACATTATCATATCAACATTATCACCGTTTGCAAAGCCAATGCGAATGATGGATCCCATGAAATCACAGTTGGTAACCAGTGTGAAGTGAAGCGCTAACATATTCATTACTCATAACGATGGATCATAAGGATAAATAAAAACTCATACTTCCTTCCAAATTGCTTCTTAGTTCAGATACCAGTCCATCACTCCAGACCACAATCTCCAATGTCTTTATATCGCACTTAGTACTTGTATCTCCAGCCACGCTCGACACCAGAGTTAGGAGTCCATCCCTCCTGCTCATCAAGCTTCTTGTTAAGCTTCTGAGCCCTCCATCGAACAAGGAAAGCCGAGAGAACAGTCAAAGCGCAGCCGAGAAGGAGAAGACCACCAGCCATGCGGTAGAAAGGCTCCTGGCTTCGGGGATAGAAGTAAGGGCTGAACCAATGGCTGACCTGGCTGATACAGTTGGCGATAGCAATAAGAGCAGCCTTCTTGGCACGAGGAGCGGGAACAACGGTGGTTTCCCAGGAGAGCTGCAGGTTGAGACCGTTGTAGGTACCGCAGACGAGGAGGATGATACCGACGTATCGAGCGGCGACGTTGATGGTGCCGATGAGGATACCGCAACCAGCTGCTGAGAGGATGATGGGGATGACGACGTGGTATGTTGATTCCATGAAGTGACCGCAAGACCAGGCGATGATACAGGCGGAGATGTAAGCGAGAGCGTAGGGAGGAGCCTGGATGAGGTATGTGGTCATCTTGTTGAAGCCAAAGGTGTTCATGATCTAAAGATGTTAGTAGGGATCAGAAATGGTGGGCTGTGTGTACTTACAGAAGGCAGGAAATCCTTGAAGCTCTGAGCAGTGACGAGGGCAAAGTGCATGAGGCAGAAGTACCAGGTGAAGGGATCCTTGACGGCATCACGAACACCATCCCAAGTACCACCAACCTTCTCATCGATGCCACCGTTGGAAACCAGAATTCGGTACTGAGCCATTTCACGCTCCTGCTCATCAAGGAACTTGGTATCGTTGGGCCAAGAGGGAAGAACGAAGAAAGAGACGACAGCGACAATAATGGACACGATACCCTCGATGAGGAAGAACCATTGCCAAGCGTGCATACCAGCGACTCCGTCCATATGCTCAAGAATACCCGCAGCCAAGAAACCAGAGATGATGTTGGAGATGGTGTTACCAGCGTGCCAGATCGCCATGCGGAAGGGCGATTCCTCTTTGGTGTACCAAGAGGAAGTCATGAGCGTCAGACCAGGGAAGAACGGAGCCTCCATCAGACCAATAAAGAAGCGAACGACACAAAAACCGACACCATTGGTCATAGCGGGCATGCAGATTGTACCCGCGCTCCACATGAGCATGATGGTAGGCAGGAAGAACTTGGGGTTCGTCTTGGCCATGAGGAGATTACCGGGCAATTGACCAATGAGGTATCCGACATAGAAGGTCGAGATACCCGCGTTCCAAACGGTATCAGTCATGCCAAGATCATCCTGCAGACCGGCGAGTCGAGCGTTGGAGACGTTGATGCGATCGAGGTAGCTAAGCTCACCGTTAGTCTTGGCTATCTTGGCTGTCTTGGTGAAAGGTTGACTTACTTCATCAAAAACATGAGGGTGACACAAGGCATCATATGCCAATCAACCTTGCTGCGAACCTTCTTGTTCAAAGCGTCCATCTGCGTCTGCGAGAGATCCCGCAGGAGCGGAAAGCGAGCTTGGATCTCAATGGGGGGGATATGTCCGACAGGCGAAGAGATGGCGTTCTCAACAGCCGCGACCTCTGCCTTCTCATCGAAGCGGTCCTCATTGTGAGAGGCGGTCTCGTTATTCTGCGAAACAGTCATGCTGGGCGTGTCCAAGACTTGGGTGGGTAGCTGGGTGGAACTGGACTGGAGAACCAAGAAGTGATGATGAGTCTGGGCAAGAACAGAAAATCTGGGGTAGGATCTCCCAAGACTTTTATACACAACTTGGCAGGACTCTCGTCATGTTGTTTGCTCAATCTGAGAGTGAGAAACGAGCGGGTTTGGGTGAATGGCGAGTCAGCCGCAGTGCGGAACTGGGAAAATTCATCGGTGCCCTCGTAGCGTTATCCCCATTAAGGTTACGCATAACCTTAACTTAGTCTTGGCAAGACGCGGAGAACCCCAGTAACTACGGTCTCGAATCTGCTTTGCGGGGGATAGCAGAGGATGTCATTTGTTCCCGCGGGAATTGCTTGCCAAGGCCTTCCCGGTGACTCTTTTCCCCCACGGGGGAATGGAGAGAGATATTTCTCGGTTAAGGGTTCGGAGCTGGGTTGAAGTTGGGGGAGGCCGATGCTGCTGAACCCTGGGCGTTGCAGTCAGTCAAGTGACTCCAGTTTCCCACGGACCAAGTTTTCGGTAGGCGAAGGGCAGTGCGGGGAAGTCCGAGTGTTGGGATAGATGGTCTGGGGTAGGGACGGTCTGGCATGACATGATTGTGACGATCGCCGTTGAGGACGCGGAAATGCCTCGGTGAGATCGGCATGAGTTTACGGTTATGTTTAAGCTTGTATGATGGATCTGATAAGCATAGATTACGGTTATACGATAAGATACGGCGAGAAAGATTGTGCAGTGAAGGTCTGTACAGGGCATTTGTAGATGTAGCAACACCGTCAAGTTATAAGAAGCATTCACAGAAAATGTGTAGAAAATATGGTTTGAAATGGACATAGGATATTGGAAAATCGTCTATGAATGATACATGAAATCGTTTTAATGCCATAAGCTAATACTCCGACCCAAACTTCCCGTAAATGAGATACAAAACACAAAACATTCCCGACGCACACTCTACTTCTTCATTCCCATCAACAAGCCCGCAATATTCTCATACACTGTGAATACAATACCACCACTAAGAATCAACCGTCCCAACCGCATGGTACTTCCACTCCAGAATGCTCTCACGCCTCCATCACGCAGAACCTGCTGCACAGCCTCGCCCATACCAAGACCCTTGGCAGACTGCGATCTCGTCTTGATGGTATCAAAGGGTTGTGTGGCGTAGACAGTGATGACACCGGCAATAGCGCCGATGCCGAATGTCATGAAGGGATTCTTGCCGTCGGACTTGAATGTGTCTTTTAGGATGTTGTAGGAGCCCATTCGGACTCCGGATGTGGCTGATTGCTTGAGAGTGGTAGACATGAGACCGCGGTAGATTTCGCGGACGCCGCGCTCAACTGCGATTGTGCGTAGGGCGTGGAAGCCGCCGTTGAGACGCTTGTTCCCTGAGCGAGCATCATCAATGCTGTCACAGGTTAGTGAATGATCACCTACTTAGATCCTTTAATGGTGACTTACAGAGCAGTCTTGATTCGTTCTGTAGGTGTAACGACAGTCACACTCTCAACCGCACCGGCAATCATACCAGCGAGGATGTTTGATCCGGCTGAGTGCTTTCCATTGGCATCTGCTAATTGAGCCTTGACAGCATCAAAAGAGAGGAAGCGAACACCAGCCTTGGCAGCAGTTCCCTAATAACATTAGATCAAAGGCCTCAATTGGGTTGAAAAGAGATACTCACAGCAATTAATGAAGAGCATCCAGTGTAAATTGCTCGAATGCCATCGGAACGAACTGTTTGGCCGATGACGGCAAATGGAGATTTGGAGACTGCCACTCCAGCGGGTGCTTGGCGAGCACTCAGCTGCGCTACTGTCTTTGCCCACTCGAAGGGGTACTAAGCCTGTTAACACTCGATCCTCTACTTCCAGGCCGCAAAGGGAGCTTACTGTGATGGTAGCCTCAACACCACCTGCAACAGCACCAGCAGCAAGTGAAATACCAGGAGTAATCTTCTTCTTCTGCGCAGGCGCTGTTTGTGCTACAGCCTGCTTGGGCAGTGCAGGCTTAGCGATAGGTTGTGTCGTAGCAATGGCGTCCATTTTTGGGGTAATTCGGTAATTCCAGGTCAAGGTAAACGGTCAGGACTTGGCGAATGATGACAAACGGGGAGAAGTAAATAAATAGCGAACCAACAAATAAACAGCATCTATTAACATTTAAAGGATAGTCGCAGTTTAATAATAGCAGACCTGACCGAACACACAGCCACGGGATGAGGCTCACGGGTAAAACGTAACTGAAAAGTCAAGGCAAGAAAACGGAGATAATTCAACGCTTTGCCCTTTGGGGCCTACGACCCGCGGATCAACAGTGGATCCGGGTGGAATTGATCAGCTCAGCTTTCTTCCCGTCTCTTCCCGTCCCTTCACAATTCTTCCCTTTTTTCCCTTCCCACGCCAAAGGCCAACGCACAGAGGTAAACAATGCCCGCAGAGCCCACGCCTACCCGCGTCCGCAGGCGTGCCACAGAAGCATGCACATTCTGCCGCAAGAGAAAAGTGAGACTCCTACCCCTCCCTTACCCCAGTTCCCCTCACGTACGTACGGTAGGCGAGTGAGTGAGTGAGTGAGTCAAAGTTCCCGCGGGACTAATACAGCAGCACCCTAGATCAAGTGTAACGGTCAGAAGCCAAAGTGTATCAACTGTCAGACATACGAGAAGGACTGCGTCTACGAGCCCGTCCCCGATGTCACCAAAGCAGCAGGCCGACAGCGCCATCAGCGCACAAAGACCCGTAGCGTCAAAGCACGCACGGAATCACCCGCTCGTCAGACCAGCGCCCCCGCAGCCTCGTCAAATGGCGATAGCAGTGAAGCAGCGAGTAGTAGTCAGCAGGCAGTAGCAACAACACGCGATGGAGCAGCAGCGGCACAACCTCGCCATCAATCGTGGGATCCTTCACCGCGGCCCATGGATTCAGGCGTCGCGAGAGTCGTTGTCCTTGCGAACGGTGAATCAACGTACCATGGACGCACGAGCGCCTTGTTTGAGGATAATGCGCAGGAGAGACCTGTTGAGCAGGAGGTGCAGCCGCGGATGCCGGATCATTGGGTAGAGCGTGGTCTTATCGCTGAGGCAGCTAAGCAGCGTGGGTACTCACTTTACTTTATACTTATCTTTGTAGTTTTTGTCAAGCGGTGTGAAACTAATATGTGCTTGTGTGAGATAGGGCAACTGGAGGAGATCCATTTCGCTAAGGGGCAGCTTGACTTTGACGGCGTCGATCCCGACCTGGGGATGCATCTCCTCTCACTACACTGGAACCGTCAACACCACTCATTCCTCATCACGTACCGTCCCGCCTTCATGCGGGACATGGCATGCGGCGGGCCGTACTTCTCCAAGCTGCTTCTCAACGCTATATACTTTGGCTCCTCAAAGTTCAGTCCAAGACTTGAAGTTCGAAAGGACGTTAACGATGTTCGGACTGCGGGATGGCGGTATCGTGAGAGGGTAAGGGAGTTGGTGGGAGGGTCGTTGGACAGGAGTGACATCACGACGATTCAGGCGCTGCTTGTCATGACGAATTCGCTGTTTGCGCTGGGTGATGAGAGGAGTGCGGCGTGGTTGTATGCTGGGCTGGCGTTTCGTATGCTCATTGATTTGGGACTTCATGTTGACTTGACGAATTCGCATCAGTTCTCTGATGAGGATCTTGAGATACGACGGCGTGTTTTCTGGGGAGCTTTCGGTATGTACGTCTCATATGGCTATCAACAAATACTAACAGACACAGTGGTCGATAAGATTCAGAGTCTGTATCAAGGCCGGCCCGTCACTCTCAAGGAGAACGACGCCATGGTTCCGATAAAGTTCATCGATACATACTCTGAGCTTGAATTCTGGCAACCTTTTGCGTACTCGACGTCAAAGAACAACTACGCTGGTTCACCTGCTTACAGCATCTCGACATTCACTGCGCTCTGCAAGTTGTCTATCGTCATGAGCGATGTCATGAGCACAATATACACCGTCCGAACAACAGATCAGAGTCCTGCGGAGCTGTCGAAAGTGTTGGATAAGCTGCAGAAGAAGTTACGTGATTGGCATACCGCTCTCCCGGATCATCTCAAGCCTGAGGTGGCGAATGCACCTGATGCTACAGTTCCTCCACCTCACGTTCTCAGTCTTCAGTGAGTTTCTTTAACAATTACGGTTCGTTCAAAGCTAACATCTCAGCGCCATGTACCACGTCCTCGTCATTCTTCTGCACCGCCCCTTCGTCGCAGACGGCCATCTCTACAACACTTTCCGTTCCATATCCGTCGACTCAGTAATTAAATGCTCAGCCGCCGCCTCCAGCATCTGCAGTCTTCTACGCGCCTACCATCGCGCATTCTCCGTCCGTCGCGCTCCATACCTAATCTCCTACGCAACCTACGTCGCCGCGACAATCCACTGCCGCATCGCCGCCAAAAACGGCAAAGGCTCAGCTGCCTACGTCAACCTCATGACATGTCTCGCCGTGTTCAAAGAAAACCAAGAGACTAATTCCGCAGTGCAAAAAGCCGCTGTTATTATCCATAGGCTCATGAGCAAGTACGGCGTTGTGGTTGATGATTTACCCGATGACGCGCTCGAGGCTGAACCGGCGGCCAAGTCGCGTGATCAACAGCCTCAGCAACAACAGCAGCAGCAGCGGGTACAAGCGCAAATTGGGTATGAAGGGTTGGAGAATACAGGGAGCGCACAGACGGAAACATCGCCGAATCAGGAAATGCATCCAGTCGAACTGAGCGGTAGCGCGGTGCCGTCACCGGGATCAGACTGGATCAACATCGATGGCATCATACAGAGCTTCCTGCGCGAGGGCGACTTCAACGCCGGGGGCAGCGAGCCAACCATGTACGGCCAATACCCCCAGAAAATACCTCAGGTCGACGGGGAGCACTATCTCCACACATCGACAGGTCAACAGCCTGTTTACTTCCCCCAGGGGTTTCCCGCGGGAGGTTTGAGCAGTTTTGCTGCTGCTCCCGTGCCTGGGGCTGGGGACATTGAGGGTGGGAATTCATGGCAGCAGACGAGTTTCTGGCCGGCGAATCAAGATGCAGCGTTTTTGGAGGATCCGATCTTTGGGTTTAATGGGTCGAGTACGGGTGAGTTTCAATTCACGGGGAGATGAGAGTCGCCACTCTTGCCGCTCCATTTTTCGTTCCCGCGGGACATTTTTTATGAGACGGGAACACTTTCATGGGGCAGACGGGAAGCCAAGAACTCGTCTCCCACGGCATCTCCAGTTTTTCTTCCCTGCTAGAATCACTCGGAGTGTTATTCCCCGGCATCGCCAATGCCGAGCTCAATTACATTACGAGCAAAAATGGCATTTCCATTACGATACCACGAGTTATTTAACTCTTGCCATTTCGTTTCGTTTACCCTCCCAGTCTCGATCACGTAATTTGCAATCAATCCTCACTTCACAATGGCTATCGAGATCGAAACTCCCCAGGAGCACTACCCTACCCGCCACGCCCTGTCCTGCGTGCTAATGCGCGCCGGAACATCAAAGGGCCTCTTCATCCACCGGAAAGACCTCCCCGAGAAGGAATCAGAATGGGGTCCACATCTCATCTCAGCACTGGGTTCGCGAAACAACGATGCTAAGCAGGTCGACGGCGTCGGCGGCGGTTCATCTACTACGTCAAAGGTCGCTGTGATTTCATTGTCGAACCGTGAAGATGCCGATGTTGATTTTACGTTTGTGCAAGTCGCTGTTGGCAAAGAATCAGTGGATTTCTCGGGAAACTGTGGAAATATGAGTTCGGGCGTTGGACCTTTCGCTGTTCAGGAGAGGCTTGTCACGCCGAAGCCGGGACAGACGGAAATTGATGTTCGGATCTTCAACACCAACACGAGTAGAATTATCGTCGAGACTGTTGAGCTGGACCGTAACGGCGACTTCAAGGAGGATGGCGACTTTATCATTCCTGGTGTTAAATCTCCCGGCAGTGAAGTCAAGTGCTCGTTCGTCGATCCCGCCGGTAGCATGGCGGGAAGTCTGTTCCCCTCTGGTCAGAAGCAGCAGTGGCTCCACGTCGACCCTTCATCATTATTACCTGAGATGGCGCCCTTTCAGATCCGCGCCACTCTCATCGACGCTGCGAACCCGTTCGTCATGATCAGCGCCGCAGACTTCACAACTATCCTCGGCACCAACGCTGCACCAGAGACACAGCACGCTCTCGTTGAAGCAATTCGGTGTCAAGGCGCTGTAGACATGGGTTTGGCAACAAGCACAAAAGTCGCTGGTCTGACCCGCGGTACGCCCAAGATCGCACTCCTCTCTTCACCCACGCATCGCGCCAACAACAAGACTCCCGATATCTACGTGCAGTCCTACTCCATGGGTCTTCCCCATCCAACACTCCAACTCACTGGTGCAGTCTGTCTAGGTTCTGCAGTTAGTATTCAGGGTACTATCGCAGCAGATCTATCAGCTACACCTATTACCGACGGACCTCCAACACCAGAGCGTACACCATCGCCTGATATGCAGGGTGAGAAGAAGGATACTGTCAATACAAGACATGTTATTATTGAGCATAGTAAAGGAACGATTCCTGTTCTTGTCAAGAAGAATGGGGAGGATGGGATTGAGAGCTGTGCTGTTTCGCGAACGGCGAGACGGCTTTTTGAAGGAAGGGTTTGCTATTACTTGTAAGGTGTAAATAGTCACGGCGTTTGTTTAGAGCATGTATGATATCACGTCAATTGAGTCACGATTTGAACGATGAATTGTTTATCCTGAGTCTAAGCTATCTGTGACTTCCATCCTCCTGATGCCTCAAAGAGCTTTCCTACGGCTTGACTCACTACCAGAAGCTTTCTGTCGTGATACCTAGGTGCAACGAGAGACAAACCGATCGGCATTCCGTTTTCACCAGCGAATCCGGGAATGTTGATGACTGGAGTATGCAGTGCCTAGAAAAGCAGAGTTAGTTGTGATTCCCATATCCCAGCGACTCCCATAGGTACCAGTCACTTACTGTCCATATCAAATTGAACGCAGCACTTCCAGTTGCTTCGATACCCTTCGGCGCTTCATCCGGTACACTCGGTACCAACACAGCATCATACTTACCCAACATATCATCGACAACCGGTCTCGCCGCTGCAATATCATCAAATGCCTTAACCTGTACAGCTCTAGAGATCTTGAGACGGTTCTCAACATGTCCAACCAGCTGATCTGCAATTTGGGTCTTATCAACCCTATACTCTGGTAAGAAAGCAGTTCTTCCATCCGTGTTGAGGACGACGGAGTGCCATTTTGGTAGATCTTGGAGATATTCAGGAAAGTCAATCTCGTCAACCGTGGCGCCGCTTGAGCGGAGGAGTTCAACTGCTTTGTCCATTGCTTTGACTAGGCCAGGACCTGCTTGCGCCCAAACCATTGTTTTGCAAACAGCGAATCTCCCGTTTTCCATGGAATACTCTTGGTTGGGCGACACATCATCTTCCAATGCGAATACATCAGCGAGTAAGTTCAGATCCTCCACGCTCCTCGCGTAAATGCCTAGTGTATCAAGAATCAACGAGAAGACTTTCTGCCCTTCCCTTGAGATTGAGTTCCATGTCGGCTTGAATCCATAGATACCGTTGAAAGATGCTGGGCGGATGGTGCTTCCTCCAGTCTGTGTCCCAAGACTGATTGGAGCTTGGAAGTCTGCTACTACTGCTCCAGATCCTGATGATGAGCCTCCAGGTGTACGGGAACTGTCGTGAGGGTTTGTTGTTTGAGGTCCTTGGGTGGTGGCTGCGAATTCAGTAGTGGTCGTCTTGCCTAAGATGAGCGCACCGGCTTTTCGGAGAATGATGATGCTGGCTGCGTCGACTTGGGGGGCATCGTCTTTGTAGATGGGTGAGTTGAACTGCGTTGGCATATCTGACATTCTACCGTTAGCTGATCAATATTCTGCCTTGTCTTCTCTGGTTGGCTTACCCTTCGTGTAGATGACATCCTTGACGGCAATCGCAACACCATGCAAATGTCCTCTTTCTTCTTTGGGGACAGCATCCAACTTTCGAGCTTGTTCAAGCACTTGATCGGGATTGATGTAAGCCCATGCCTTCACAATAGGATCTCGCTCTTTGATGCGTGCCAGGAGCGACTGTGCATACTCCTCAACCGTAAGCTGGCCATCTCGGATCTTGACGGCCACGTCAGTTGCCGAGAGTTGATACGGTTGGACCAGCATGGCGATAATTGTCTAGCAACTCTATACGATGCAAGATAATTTGGACAACTGAAGATGATCTCACGGGATTACTGAAGCTGCTGCTCTTATGAAGGATGACATAATGCCTCAGAAGCCTGACGGGTAATTATTCCCGGTACCGGCCTCCGATCGGCTTACTGACCTTATCAGCTTATCATCGTTCGGTATGTTTGCATCCGATGCGGAGAGGTGGGTCCGGCGAGCGAACTTGGCCGACGGAGATAAGCTTGACGGGACAGGAACTTTGGTTGAACGAGACCCCTTGACGAAGCTTCATGGCTAACACAGAGGCCGATTTGGAACACAGCGCAAGTTTTAAACGTCCTTCTCTTTGTAAGGGCCTCAGACATGGTTGACAAGGTCAACTCGGCATCAGGAACAAGCTCAGGCTGCTCAGAAGAGTGTGAGAACCATCATTAATACTAACTATCAGGTACTGGTAACGAAGCCATGTGGTTATATCCAAAATTTGCAATTTATGTCCTTCCATTGCTTACAGCGACGCCTTTGCATTCCCCCCCCCCCCCGACAGTCTTATCCGCAGAAGATGATTCTTGAGCATAGATGACCTGTCCCTCCCTCTCATCCTCGTAAAAGCCTTCTCTACCATCCTTAGCCAGCCACTCCCAGGTCTTAGCCGTTGCGCGACTAGCAGGGAAAACACGAATGTTGACAAACTGGACGCCGATAGTGTAGACAACTCCAGCAGTGACGAACGTAAGAAGCCAGCCCATCATGTACATGTAGCGTGAAGCATCAGAAAGAAGATGGGGCTGATACTGTCCAACAAGACCAGGCAAGCCCATGGTAGTTCCTCCAATCCATGCAAGACATCCAACCCAATTGACCCCGGACCAGAAATGGTAGAGGCCATGCTTGCTTCCGTCGTAGCATGACGGGACGTGGATATTGCCTTTTCGGACGTAGAAGTAATCGACTATGATGACAGCGCACAAAGGCGCCATGAAGATGTTGTAGCTACCAAGGAACGACAAGAAAGCTTGCGCATTGGCCATAAGTTTCCATGGTACAACACAAATTCCCAGGATAGCACAGACAATCTGCCCCCTTCGGATAGTGAGCCATCTTGGGAAGAGACCCGTCATATCAGACCCGAAAGGAATCGAGTTGGCGCCAAAGTTGGTCGCAAAGACACCCAACAGGAAAGCCAGAGCCAGGAAGAAGATTCCCGCCCGAGCGCCCGCATTCCAATGATGGTCGAGAATAGAGTCAAGTAAGTCCCAAATATTCCAGTACGCCTCTCCATAAACAGTCTGCATAGACGCCGTCGACGCAAGACCGAGGAAGAAGACAATGACAGAGGACACAAAGACACTAACGCCCTGAAGAGGGCCTGCATCACGAGTCTTTTGGCAATATCGCGCTAGATCAGGCTGATTCACCAACATGGGCGATAATCCACCCATAATGACGTTGATACCAGACATGATACTCCATCCAAGAGGAGTCGTAGACGCAGCTGCCTCAGCTTCTTTGGACGCCATGTTCATGCCGTTCAGACCACCGCCGTTGGCCATGCACCATCCGAAGATGGCGAATGCAGCGATTGGCATGGTGAAACCTTTTACTGTGAAGACGTAGTGGATGTTTCGTGGATGAACCCACATCTGCAAAAATTAGCAGTGGTCATTAGCGAAGGGGCCGTAGTGATACTAACGAATGGGAACTGCATTATCCAAACGAGGAAGAAAGCCAGAAGCACTTTTGATGAGATGTCGGCGCTTTCGCTGAGGGTGTTGGTGAAGTTTTGCCAGGAGCTGCCGAAGATGCAGCGGAGCATTACTGAGAGGATCGATCCGCCGTAGAAGGTCTGGATGCTGTGTTTTTGTTAGTCTTGATGATGATGTGTTGGGGAAGGGGGGTACGTACCCGTACCATACGATGCAAACAATGGCTCGGATGAAGATGAAGAAGTATGCGCCGTACATGCCCATGCTAGAACGGGCAAGTACTGGGCTGTTAAAATGTGAGATAATGCTTCGAACCTGAGGTGTAAGGGGGAACTTACAAACCAATATGATATTGGACACCGGGCCTAGCCATGCAAATGACGACCAGCGATGCGAGCAACGCGCCTAGAACACACGAGACGAACGATTGCTGCCAGGTCTGTTTCCCAAGTCAGCTCCCTGCGGATCAAGGCGTCAAAGACGAGTGAGACTTACCAATCCAACAGCAATGAGCGATGAACCAGTGTTCCATCCCGTAAGACTAAACTGGTTGGAGAACCAGTACAGCGGCAAATTATACCTATATCAATCAGTACACCAAAAAAATACTCTCTTCGGCGGACGATCTACTTACCATGTCCAGTTTCGATGCTCTGGTGGCGTAGGTTCAAGATCTTTATTAGACCATCGCTCATTACCAACTCTCATCTGACCATCTGCCGTTTCAGACGTCTTGACAAAATTGGCAAAAGCCTCCTTCGATCGGAACGGAGCTGTGAGCTCACTTCTAGAGGGAACGTTAACCATGACTTCAATGCTTTGTTCGTAAGCTGTTGATCAATGCCACTTCAATCCTGTCCAAAAACGGGATCTTGTTCATTCATATCTAATATCCAACCGTACATCATGATCTCCAATCTACTTTCCCAAGCCTTAGCTAGAGTCGTAGCGTCTATCAGTACTCCATCGGGTACTTTTCTCCCGACGTTCCAGTTCCAGTGGCGTCGTGCCTGAGTCGCACCGGATATAGCACAGTGATAAAAGGCGGGGTTAGACAGTTCCATTGGAGAGTCTGATATGAAATGAAGCCAATCATGCTCAATAATATGGCTCTATCAATGGTCATGTTCACTATGTAACGCTACAGGGGGCTAGTTTGGTCTGGGCATAGATAAGGTTGCCCGAAGATAACGGATCCACTGGACACAACGTGTGCTGATTCCGGGGTCTGGGGAAATATTCTCTTTTTCTTGGGTCTTATCTGAATTTTGTTAATTTTTCTTGCGATCGGCTTCATTGAACCGAAAAATTATATGAGTGAGTTGTATGTTTAGCATGTGAGTCAATGCCATTGCCTTGCGGTCACCGCGATTGAGAGCTACCGAGTGGCTGGTTCACGAGTAATAGCTCCTAGGGCCGCCCACATTGTTCTGCAATATGCCATATGAGAAACCAATCATCTTTTGGGGGACTGAGAATAGGTGTTGACGTATCATAATACAGAACAAACGTTGACATGAGAACTATGGACAACAACGGAACTGCCACTGAAGACCGGTTCTCGATGCGCCTTGATGGTCTTGTATGTAACCCTTGTTGTCATCAGGATCGACGTCACTGATACTTGCTAGGGGTCCATTGGAAGACAATCCGATACAGCTGCAGGCCGCAAGGGCCGCGTAGCACTGGCCTGCAAACGATGCAAGAGACGTAAACAGCGGGTAAGTCAGCCTTACACACCCTGGGCAGTTGTACTCACAAGAGGACCTAGTGCGATGGCTCGCATCCAACGTGTAAGTCCTGCGAAAGAGTCGGTACTCCATGTATCTACGAGAGAACAATCCGGCCACAATACCCCGGCGGGAAGACGCTATACATCAATGCCCTGGAAGAGCGCATTGCATTTCTTGAGGCTCGATTACCAGATCATGCGCAAGATCACTTTGAGACCCTCGCGCCGTCTTCTGTTGTTGATGGTCAAGACAACGATGCTGTCAACACACAGGCTTATCCTGAGTCTTCATCATCACATCGCGGTTCTGTGTCTGAAGATCTCGATGGCTATGAGCGTAATTCCATCATCGATGGTGTTGCGTACCTCTCACTCTGCGCCTCCGGTACAGCTGAAGCGACTCCAGATCCATCATACCTGGGTTCAAGTTCCGGCGCTGCCATTGCTCGAATGATACAGCGATCCATCTTTCATAACTCTCGAAATAGCATCACGCGTCCGAGCAATTTCCCAAGACAGCCGAACCCTTCTGTCGACCCATACCTCGAAAGTCTAGCCCCAGCCCTTCATCTCCACCCCGACGAGCCAACCCATGGCTTTCCCTTCCCAGATGAAGCTCGTCATCTCTTTGACGTATTCTTCGATCGAATGCACACCCGATGGCCCATCCTTGATCGGAAAAAGTACACCGAGCTTTTCGAACTGCAGTATCAGCAGGGCGCTCTATCCATTACCCAAAGAAGTATCATGCATCTCATCTACGCCATCGCTGCGAGGTTTGAACAACTCACACGGAAGCCCTCACAAGTCGATCCTGAGAAACACCTCCTAGCAGCGATTGAACCAATGGATTACATCCTGGAGCAGCATAACCTGGCTACCGTTCAGTTCCTCTTGTTACTTGCTGTTCATGGCCAGAGGTCGCCGTATGGAGCTGGTGCTTGGAGTCAAGTTCGCTATGCGGTTTCGCTATGTATTGAGCTTGGCTTGCATCGTGAGCGTCAAGGACCACCGCCTAGTGCAGATATAGCGAGAGACCTTGAGATTCGTCGAAGGGCTTTCTGGTCGTGCTATTGTCTCGATCGAGGTACAAGTGTAGTGCTTGGGAGGGCGTTCGCGATATCTGATAGAGACATCAATGTTTCGGTAAGTCACCCTCACCTGCCTCGAGATTAGCATGTTTGACTGAGATTAGATGCCAAACCCGGGACGAGAATATTGGGACTTGACTCATGCATCTTCTCCAGGCGATGATCATGCAGTGGAGTGGTGCAACATCGAACCCTTTATCCACATCATCAAGCTCGAGAAGATCCAGTCGCGCATTCACCGCACCGTGTTCAGAGTGGATAAAGATATATTCTCCGGGCCGGTGGAAGAACGCGTCAAACTGGATCAGAAGATGGCGTCTATACGTGCGGATCTCGACAGATGGATTCAGACAGCGCCTCAGTCGCCGAAAGACAATGGCAAGATCACCTGGCTGTACGATCCCGAGAGCACCAACCAAGATGCTGGTGACTTTTACAGTCTGTAAGGAACCTCCTTTCGAGCAATTTTTGGAGAGCAAGACTAATAACAGTAGCCAATATCATAAGGCTGTTTTGGCCCTCTTCACAGTGTTGCTTCCATCCCTAGCCACGACCGATCCTCGGTTCATCACAACGGCGCGATCTTCTGCATGCGTCTGCATAGCATATAAGCGACTTAACCAACAAAGAACTCTTACATATACCATGATCTCACTGCACAGCTGCTTTGTCGCAGGACTTACTCTCATGTACTGTATATGGAAGGACAAGAGCCTTTTCAGCTATCACGTCGTCGAAGCTACCCAAGCATGTTCTCAAAGTCTCACTGTATTTGGCGAGAAATGGGCAGGAGCCGTGAAATATCGTGATATCTTCGACGCACTTTCAGGGAGTCTTTTGAAGACGCTTATGAGCCCTGGTGGACTGTCTGGCGATACAGGAATGGGTGCACATCAAACTCCCCCTTTGCAGACCAAGTTCGATCGTCCAAGCTTCAGCGCAAGCCCAGGGTTATCATCCCACCAACCTCACTCCAACTTACAAAGCAGCAACGAGCCGGACGATATCACGATGCGTGATCTTGTCTCCGATGCGGTCAAGGAAGCATTTATGGAAGTTGATGAGGAAGCACCTGGGGGTTGGCATGGCTGGCACATGTGGAACGAGATGCTAGGTGAAGATCCTAGCACTTCAGACCTGTCCACTTCAAATGTGTTTTCTGGCGCGGTCAAGGGCTGTAAAGATGTTTGGAACTTGTCACAGGGAGACTTGGACTTGAGCAGAGGTTGGGACTTTAGCGGACAATGAATGGTCCTGCATTATCTAAATCATCAAAGAACTATAAAATATGTACTATACGCATTATTTTTGTCGCGTTTAAACTATGAGCTTCTCTTCGGTATTCAGGACAAAGTAAGTTGTTAGAGCCAAACTGATTACTGAGTCTTCTATTCACCTATGCTATTAAGCCAACTGGCCCTTCTTGTAAGGAAACTGCTCCCTGAAAGCCTCAGCAATCTCCGTCCTCGTCGCAACCCAAACGCCCTCCTTCTGCGCAATATACTCCACAAAATCCTTCAAAGCCTTAAACCGTCCCGGCCTTCCAATAATGCGGCAATGCAATCCAATAGTCATCATCTTCGGCTCGCCCGCCTCTCCCTCTTCATACAGCACATCGAACGCATTTTTGAGATGGGTGTAAAAGCTGGTAGAGTCGCGAAAGCCAGTGATGACGTGAAACTTGAAATCGTTGCAGTCGTAGCTGTACGGAACCATCAGACAGCCCTTGGGGTTGGGCTTTTCTCGTTCGGTGGGGAGATCGATCCAGTATGGTACGTCGTCAGCGTATGTATCGCTTGCCCAGATTAGCTCTTCACCCATCTCCTCGTAAACTTGAGGAATCAGAGTACGGCTGTGCGGTGAAGGACGGCCGTAGTACCATCCCTTAGGTGCATATCCCGTCAGGCTCTTCAGACTGGTTATTCCCTTCTTGATGTACTCCTTCTCCTTCTCGATAGACCAGTCATGATGATCTACCCAGCGGTAAGCGTGAGAAGCTACATCATGACCTTCCTCAACGCAGCGAGTAGCTACTTCGGGCTGCTGCTCAACAGCTTGTGCAACAGCGTAAAGAGTAAACTTCATTTTGTGCTGGTTGAAGAGCTTGAACAATCGCCAGAAACCAACGCGAGAGCCATACTCGTACTCTGATTCGCCGTTGAGGTCGCGCTCATTCATTCGTGGTGTTGTAGGGTGTTCACGGAGGTTTGTCTCTGAAACTCCATCACCACTTTGAACACAACGCTCACCACCCTAATGTCACGAGTGTTAGCAGTAAATACATAAGTGTATCGGGTTATTTCTATGCAATTGTATTTACCTCTTCGTAATTGATGACGAATGATACAGCGATCTTGGCGTTGTTGGGCCACTTCAACCCAACCAGACCCTTTTCTCCATACCCTTTGAAGTCGCGGTCATAGCCGTAATCGGGATGCGAGGTGAAAGTTGTAGGCATGATAGGCAATAACACAGATTCTGAGAATGAAACTTTTGGATCAACACAGTTAGACAATTGTTGAGCAATGGACTGATGGCGGGGCTATAAGCAAGCTGTAGTTATCAATGCCTTATCTCAATGCCGGCCAACTTATGGCGAACCCTTCGGCGAATTTTGGGCCGACCTCTCTTTCGACCTTCCTATATCCGACCGGGTCAGGAAAACGTCCCTAGCGCGGAGTCATGAGTCGTGTCTGTGATAAGGAACGCGGGGAAGATAACAGACGTTGCATCATGCTGGGGGGATAAGCTCTTGGTTGACCCCATGTAGGTATTCCCGCTTATCACTCAACGCTTTGCGATAAGGCTATACCGGATTGGGATAGGAATATCCCCTGTCAGGATGTGTAGGGTAAGAGTAACAGAACACTGAATGAATGGGATAAACATCAAACTCCAGTCGTGATACGGAGTAATTGGGCAATTTGGCTTTCCTATTAGGCTATAGCTACTTTTTACTACTGTTTACAGAAGCTTTATTACTTGCGCAAGAGAAATGTAGGTATCTTGGTCCTTATGACAATTTGTTGCTGGAATCTAGGCCGAACACCTTGTGGTTTTTGCTGACAGCGTGTCAAATCGACCTTCCAAAATCGGTACTTTGTTCATGGTTACAAAAGCACCAGTGCTCAAGTACCCCATCTAGCAGGGGTTCTAGAGTTGCTCCATTAACAGAACGACTTGAAAGTCAGTGCATTTTACGTCTCACTTAAAGTATCATCAATAGCTCGTTATCATAATCTGACTTGTCCCCGCCAAGTTTCGCTTCTCATCGATGAACAGACAGCCCCCAATTAACTCTTTTCACTGCGTTATCAATAATTCCTTGTGGTCATTAGTTAAGAATAATCGACAAAAACCTTTATTCCTTGTAATAACTCAAAAAAGGTGTATCTCTATCGTTGTGCCTTTTCGAGGTCGACCTGCCCACGTGTCTCTTCCTCCGTCATCTCTCGATCTGTCGACCCTGACGCGTCCTCACTCTTCGCAGGCGATTTGAGGCTCGTGTTTCCAACCCAGAACGTCAAAACCAGACTCAATCCCGAGCATACCGTAAAGAAGACAAACGTGTAGTACAGGCCCTTCATGTATGCATCTAGAATAATATCCTGGTCCTCCTGCGACAAGCCCATGCTGCTCAGCGAATATGTTGACGACGTCAATTGAGCGATTGTGTCATTGGACACGATACCTCTCCCACCGAGCTCTTTGTTTAGCGTGTTTGATAGAATGACGCCTGAGATGACCACTCCAAATGCGCCGCCAATTGTGCGGATAAAGTTTCGTAAACCAGTTGTAACTGCTCTGTCCTCGCTGCGGCCGTTTGCGTACATCCCAACAAGCGTAGGCTGCAATGTGAACCCGATACCCGCACCCTCGACGATGAGAATGCCAATCAGCGGCCCTAGCTTCGTTTCCCGATTGAAAATAAGCGTGAGCCCATTCCCAAGCGTCCACAGAGCGAAACCAGCTAGGATGCAGTGCATATAACTTCCCACGCGACTCATGTACTGCCCCGACAGGATGGAAGTGAGCGACGTTGGAATGACTACCGCTAAGATAAGAGCACCAGCAACCAGCGCGTCATATCCGAGTACCGATTGGAAGTAAAGCGGTAGATAGAAGAAGTTGCCGAAGTAAGCCAGACCCGTCAAGAAAGACTGCAGGTACAGCGCCCAGCAATGAGGCGCGCGGTAGAGTCGCAGAGGCATGATCGGTAGTTTTGCCAACTTCCATTCAAACAGAACAAAGAGGACTGCTAGAAAGATACTGATGATGACGGTGGCGATGAAGAATGCTGATGTCCAGGCATATGTGACGCCTCCTCCGGATATAGGGATCAGAAGTAGTAGCGTTGATGCGATGTTGAGAACTATGCCTCCGTAGTCGATCTTTTTTATCTTCTCCATGTACTCTCCAGATCGATGCTTGAGAGGGAGGTAGAACCAAATAATTGCTGTAGTAGGTAGAGTGATGATGGGTATCATCCAGAAGACCCATCGCCAAGTCGCAGACTGAACGATGGCACCGCCTAAGAAAGGTCCAATGCCGTTGGCAAGCGCGATAATGGCTCCTAACATTCCTGGTTGTTGTCAATATCGAGAGTGAAATCAACGCATGGCTTACTTACCTTGATAATATCCACGATTTTGCAGTGATGTGATATCACTCACGATAATCATGACCAAGCTATTAATCCCCCCACCACCAACACCAGCAATCGACCGAAAGACATACAACTGCACCGGCGTCTGTGCAAAACCGCACGCAAGATCTCCAACGCCCATAAGAAACAAGCACAGCAACAGCATATTCTTGCGCCCGAAAATATCCGAAAGGCGACCGTTGATAAGCTGAAATGCCGTAGACGCTATCAAAAACGAAGTTCCGATCCATGATGTCGAAGTTCCTGTTTTGAGCTCGCCAGCTACGGAGGGCGTAGCCGTTGACACGCTCGTTTGGTCGAGGAACGATACGAAGAGGCATACTGATAGGGCGGTTATAGAAATGAGGAGGCGTTTTTGGGGGAGGTCGCTGTTGCGTTGGCCGCCTATGCTTTCGGCGTCGCTTTGGTCTGTGCTGTTCTGCTCTGCTATTTGTGTGCTGGAGCTGCTGTCGAGGTTGGCGATTTGTATTTTCTCATCGTTGGGGACCTGACATGGTGACTCGTTCTTCGTGATCTGGTCGGAGCATGCTTGTGATGTGTTGAAATTCTTGGAATCGGGATTCATGTTGACGATCACTTGGGAAGTGCGACAAGACAGAGGGAGTACAAGAGAGAGCAAGAAGAAGTCCAGCTTCGCCAACGTCCTTGTATTTTGGACGCGCAGCTACCTCCACGCAAGCAAGAAGCGATGATCAATTTTGCAATGTCATCATCAAATTCTTCAGCTCACATATTTTCCGTCAGGAACCCTTATTCCCGAATCCCCCACCTTGTCTTCATTCGACGAGACACGAGCGCATTCGCAAAGGTCCCCATCGGCCAAGAGTGTCCCTGTCGGGAATAAAACGGCTGGTGTAGGCTTGTTTCTCTGTCGGCATCTTCTGTTCCGACGTCTGGATAAGTTTTCCAGGTGATGGCGATAAGGGTGGATCTTGGTGGGTTATTTGCCCACCGAGCAGTTCCTGGTGGGGATGGATGGGTATTGGGGATGCATATTTATTGCAGGGCGTTTTGATCAATATCTTTTCGATGTGGTGAATATTGCGATACTTGGTTCGAAAACTGATGGTATTGATAACAGATTCTTGTGGACAGAGACATCATGTCACGACTCTTTAAGCCATTGGCCGTTGGGTCAACTTCACTGGAGCACAGGGTTGTTATGGCGCCTTTGACGAGATACCGCTGCGACGATGATCATTGCCCAACTTCCATGACAAAAGGTTCATTAATGAAACGGGTCATTGGAGAATGAAAAATGAGGCTAACTGGAGTTCGTAGAATACTACGAACAACGCGCATCAACACCTGGTACTCTCATCATCAGCGAAGCAACCTTTATATCCGAAAGCACAGCTGGTTCCAACAACGCACCTGGAATCTGGTCCGACGCTCAAGTCACAGCATGGCGGAGTATAACCGATGCAATTCACGCGAAAGGCTGTAAAGTTTTTTGTCAGCTTTGGCATCAAGGACGAGCCGGCAACCCTGAAGTTCTTCAGAGGAAGGGTTACCCTCTTCTTTCCAGTAGTGCTGTTCCGGCTGATCCATCAATGGCGACTCCGCAAGAAATGACAGAGGACGATATCCAGACTACTATGGCGGACTATGTCTCTGCTGCGAGAAATGCTATTGCAGCGGGTTTTGACGGCGTCGAGATCCATGGTGCGAATGGGTATCTACCTGATCAGTTCTTGCAGGATACATGCAACAAGCGCACGGATCGCTGGGGAGGAAGTATCGAGAACCGCGCTAGATTTCATATCGAAGTCACAAAAGCAGTTATCGCAGCCGTCGGAGCAGACAAGATTGGAATGCGTCTCAGTCCCTACAGCGATTTCCTAGGCATGCTCATGGACGACCCAGATCCTCAGTTCCGCTACCTCATCGAACAACTCAAACCACTTGGCCTAGCATACCTACATCTCATCGAAGCACGAATTCGCGGTAACGATGATGCTGATTGCGGTGGTCAACGGACAGTTCGGTGGATTGTTGAGCTGTGGAACAACACAAGTCCTGTGATCCTGTCGGGTGGCTTCAAGAGTGATTCAGCCAAGACTGCTGTTGATGAGGTGTACAAAGGGTATGATGTGCTGATTGCTTTTGGAAGATACTTCGTTGCGAATCCGGATCTTGTGTTTCGCTTGAAGACGGGTGTTGGGCTGGAGGGTTATGATAGGACGTACTTTTATACTCCCAAGATCGCGAAGGGGTATACTGACTACGCCTTTAGTCAGGAGTTTTTGAAACAGAATGTTGCAAAAGCGTAATGTATGTTAATAAAAATGGCAGTAAACTATTATTATCAGGCTCGTGAATCGTCTTACAACATGTACTACGTTCTCTGAAGAGAGGCCCTAGACTCTTGGCTGATTGCTCACTACATTTGGTCAAGTGGCATGTCTGATTAAGCAAATCAGAGAGCTCGAGAGATGGAAATAGCTGGTGTAACAGTTTGAGAAGTGACGAATCCCCTGCCACGAAGATGAATGCACTAATTGTGATGTGATGAACATGACCCACGGCGTTGCACACAGTCGCATTCTGGAGAGGCACAGGGTATCAGTATTACCACGTTTAACGGTGAATCTATGTTTAAGACAATATCGCGTGGCCTTTCGTGACTCCAAAAACTAAAGCTGTCCTACACAGACAGATGTCCTGTGCAGCATCGCCAATGAAAACTGCCATAACATGTTGGTGAAGATAGACTATTACCGCGCAACAGCAAACGTTGAATGCAAAGATTCAAGATGTTTCTTATTCACTATCTATTTCAACGAACACAAGGGAGCTTGTATTCTTATTACAGCTATTGCATCACGAACAGCCAAGAAGTATAAATAGCGAGCTTCTCCCAGCATACAAGTCTCCCCTTAAAACAACTCGACAACTCTACTATCAAGAGAACATAATATCTAAGCTATCAAATTATCTATCTTAAAGAGATCACGATGTGTCAAATGGAAACCACCGAAGTCCAGCCCGCGGCAGGCTCAGATCGCGTCCTCGTCGCCTGTTGTGAGTGGAGAACCTTTAAGAGGAAAGACGGGTCCACGTATCGTAAGAAAATTCAGGATTGTGGCTCTTGTAACTGCATTTATTCTAGCAACTTCATTCTTCAGAAGTAAGCTTGGATAGGGTTGGAAGTATGTCGTATCAATATGGCGCTGAGCTGAGATAGCTTTACGATGAAAAAGAGGCTAATAAAGAGTAGTTGAGGAGAGGCCGTGGATGTAACTATTGGGATGAGAGGCTCTAGCTAAAGGTATAACTGTAGCTAGAATGTAAATAGCAGTCTATTCATGTGTTGTTTACGGATCTGAAGAATTAAGAAATGCCTTGCCCTGCTGCCGCTTTCAAGCCCCAGGCTTTGCTAGCATCTGCGGCAGTATCTGTGACAGCCTACTTCGAGAGCACATTCGCAGTATAACAGCAAGTGTTACCACGGGTAACGTTAGCAGTATGCTTTAAACAAATAAAATTTATGAGAAACAAAACATGCAGCAATATGCCATACGTTGGTAAACCATTGCCAGATTCTCACTAACTCGGGCAAAGCATCAACATTATTTATCCGATAGCTCGGCGATCTGTACAACTCCAACGTAACCATCAAGAACTAGATACAAGAACTTCCAATGTTACATGGGCTCATCCGACGAGAGCGATGGCGATAGGGAGGGCGTACATGAGGACCTCGCCGACCATAAAGTTCTTGCCAGCAACGTTGGTCTGACCGTCGCTGCCGGAGACGCTTGATGGTGATGAACCCTCGTCGCCGGTTCCTGAGGCACTCTCGGAAGCACCTCCGCCTGAGCTGTCGCCACTGCCACTGCCTGAACCGCTTCCACTACCACTCCCGCTGCCACTTCCACCTCCACTGCCACCAGAGCCATCGCCAGAGCCATCGCCAGAGTCATCATCCCCAGAACCAGAACCACCACCAGACCCTCCATCTCCACTCCCCCCTCTGCTCCCCGCACTAACAGCACTCCTAATATTCGCATCCTGAATCGTAACCTGCACCGGCTTATCCCCCGCCTTATGAATAACATTAACCTTCTGATCCAGTGCAGCCCTAAACTTATCACTCGAAATACTCTCCTCTTCATCCCCAGTGCCCAAAAGCTCTTTATCATAGATAGTCGAACCGTCAACGAGCATTTGTAAGCGATTACCAGACTTGACGCCTTTCTGGATGTCTGCGATCTTCACGGAGAGCATGACGCGTACGTCTTCACCCTCGGGGACGTCTTCGTCGCTTGTGGGGGGGAGATCGCACTTTGCTTCGGCGTTGGGAGGGGGCTTGAGAACACTGGTGGAGGTTAATGGATTGAGTCGTGGGGAAGAAAGGGCTTAGGGGAGACTTACACGACGGTTTTGTCGCCGGCGCCTTGGAACTCAGCGTAGTCGCCCAGATCAGCTTCCTTCAGGTCAATGGCGTAGTCCTGAGCAGGCGACGTTGGGGCGGCGCCCTTGGAAGTAGCAAGCGTGGTCTTCTCCTCCTTGCCTCCACTACCTGTAGCTGCAGCTTTTCGGGTTGTTCCATCAGCGGTCTGTTCACTATCGCCCGTCTCCTCGGCTTCACCCCCTTCAGTCGCACTGGGAGCATAGTAATAATTACCGTCGTCATCAGTCGTCTTCGCATCGCTCTTCTCAGTCTTTGTCGGTGCTACGATTCCTCTAGTCTCCTGCTGGGTGGACTCTTCTGGTTTAGAGTCAGCGGTTGGTTCTTCGGTCTCTTCATCCGATGGCTCTTCGGTCGTCTGCGGAACTTGGTCGTCTGCGGTGTCGGATGCCAGAGGGGTTGCCTCTGGGGTCTCTTCGGCCGCGGAGCTCAAGGCTTCTGTTGGAACGACGGGTGCCGCATCGGTGTCACCAGTAGCTTCCTCACCATTGGTATCTGTCTCTTGGGGAGTTTCTCCATCGGTCTGAGTAGCATCCACGTCTGTTGGAGCGGGGGCGGGTTCAGTATCGGTTGGCGCGGGCTGGTCAGTGGGAACTGGCTGTTCATCTTCTGTATTTGTTTCGGCAGGATCATCAGGAATGGCTGAAGGGTCATCCAAATCGGTAGGTTCACCAGTGGGATCTGGGGCAGGGAGTCTGGCATCGGACCCGTCGTCAGTGGGTTGAGGGTCATCTATTGTGATTGTCGGTCCATCATCTACTGGATCTGGGGGATTGGAAGGAGTGTCTGGTTGCTGTCAGCGAGAATTAAATAAATGCTTCAATCAAGCGCACCGCCATCTGATGGATTACTAGGGTCAGGAGCAGGAACATCTGCAGGATCTGTCTCGACAGGGTCGGCAACAGTTGCAATACTGTCACCGTCTGGCTGCGTATCTGTCTGGCCTAGACCTCTCTCAAGGAGCAGACCTAGTACGAGGCCTTTGAGCAGGCGCATGGTGAGGGGTGTGAAGTCGGATGCAATTGCAAGGAAGAAAGTAAATAGAGTACAGAGGGCAATGGTGAAGATCTCTTGTGATGTTCTTCTGCTGATGCTGTAACACAAGATCTAGCCATTGCCTTATATACCTGCATCCTCTCAGCTCAGCAAGCTCCCTCTTCCCCTCCAAGAATCCAGACCCGGCAGTAGGGGCCATCCCTTGAGCTTATTTATGCGCTAGTAGCCAAAGCTGAAAATGCACATTCCCATCGCCCAATATGCTTTGAGGTCCATCAGCCTTATGGGGCTCTTGGCAGCGCCAACCAGACAATATTGGGTGTTTTTAAGCGAAACAGGAAAGCCACCTTCACCGTCTTCTGACACATAATGACCCAAAATATCACGGAAAAGAGTTTGGTCCAGCTGATATTGGCAAAGCCTACAATTAGACATTTTTCTATTGACACAAAACAATGTTTAAGCTCGCCTCCGCCTCCCTCGGAGACTGTATCTCCCGGGCTGAGGCAGTGAGACGCCTAAAAACGCCACGCTCAATGCTAGGCTGAGTCTCTGAAAACAAGGTTAAACAGGCTTCTTTGCAGCAACTCGCAGCGGGTGAGCCTCGGTGTTGTAAACAAACAGATTCTCCCCTCCCTCCAGGACATCCCATTCGCCCTTGTTCTCCGTCTGGATCAGCCACATGTACTTGAGTGTCTCGGCGAGCATGAAGCTAGCCATGATGCCGCCGCGCACTCCGTCTCCAGACGGAGAGAGCACGTTGTTGATGCTAGCGAACCCCCCGCCAACGCGCATCGTCCTATTCTGCGCTAGTGTGTACGCCCACGCCACGTCGCGCCAGTACTGGTCGTGCGTCTTCTGGTACGCGTAGTACCAGCTCTCCACGGCCTCGGGTGCCTGGCCGCCCGAGAAGATGCCCTCCTGGATGAAGAATCCCGCACGCTCGTAGAAGAGCGTCTGGTTCTTGTTCTCGGGCTGCGCGAGCTCGTTGAGATCCCAGCTGTAGAGGGTTGGGCCGATGCCGGATGCTGTGTAGCGGTAGCCGTTGGCGCAGTACTCGCTGAAGGAGAGGCCGTAGTCGAGCCAGTCTGGGCGGTCTAGGGCTGAACTTCCGAGAATGAATGATCCGCCGATGAAACATGCGAGGAATTCGGTGTAATTGACTTGTTGCATTCCAGTGAAGGCGGCTGCCATCGTCAAGTCGGGTCGCGACGATGGATGAGAGATCAGATGCTTGATGGTAGAGTCGGCCGCCAGAGTGAAACGCTCACCGTAATGGCTGAACCTGTCTGGGTCATAGACATACATTTTAATGAGATACTCATAGGCTGAGTCATTACCCGACGTCCATCCACCGTACTCATCGAGAATCTCGCCTGTCTTGAGACTGAAGCGACCTCCAGTGAGACCAGGCCAGACCTCAGAAGATGGAGAGAGCCAATAGGACTCAGCGCGATTGGCTAGCTTACCATATTGAGGATCGCCAGTGAGATCAGAAAGGTGCTGCCATTCGAGAACAAGAGTGCCCATTGCCGCCAAACCCGCGTAGGCAGTTCCATCTTCAAGGCTGTCCTCGTCGGTAGATGTCTGATTCTCGATCCAAAGTGACCCGAAAGGAATTCCAGTAGGTGTATCAAAAGCAAACTTCAATGTATCGGCCAGTGTAGTAGCTTGATTGAGCAGCGCATCGACGTTGTCCTTATTGACTTTGAGATGCTTGAATGGCCCTTTCAGAAGATCATAGGCACTCAGCAATCCACCCAGATACCGAATGTTGGTCTCAAACAGACTAACAGAGGTAGGCTCAGGCGTGTTTGTCTTGGTAAAATTGATAGTCGGGATAAAGTCCAGAATAATCTCGACAATATCCGTCTGCTCCATCAAAATCGCAGTATCAAGACCATCAACAGCAGTGACGCCCCATCCATTACGGTCATCCGTGTAGTTGCTATACTTTGGTCTCAAAGAATCATGAGGGAACGCATGCTCGTAGTACCCATTCCACGCAAAGCGAAACATATCAATGATATCGTCCGCGCGCTTCTTCTGGCTGGGTTCAAACCCGGTGTAGTCATAATGCTTGCCACGCTGTTTAGGGTATCGCAATCCCCCGAGTTTCTGCTCAGAGATAGGGGTAGAAGGTGAAGTGAGTGCCGATAGCACAAAAGTGCAAAGAACGAGTGACAACAACATCATGGATTGAATGAGTGAATGCCACATGCTCAGAAACAACTGACCGGGCAACGCCGCATTTTAACCCAAAGAGCAATTCATTTGCATGTGCCGATGCTCAAATTTACTTTTTTGGTGCGTCACAGATGTGATTACCGCATGCTTATCATCATGTAGCATTGTTGCAGTTGTGCCTGAATTGAGCAGATCAGCAGGGGAAATTGAGTTTAATGCGTTAATTAAGACTATGCAGATGCGACTGCGAGTCGGCAGTTGTCAAAGCACCACTCGAGCTTTGACTTGCCGATGACCCTGGTATTGATAACCCTGTAATTTCGGCATCGTCGGAGGTTTTACATGCAGATCATCTGAGTTAAAATGTGTGCCGTGAATAATGGCTGCAACTTCGCTCCTGTAGCTATTGACCAGATTACGAATATATGGAGCAGTGGTCTTGAGATTTGGAGATCCGAACGGATAGACCGAGTTAATGAAATCATAGCGAGGTAGCTCTCGAACTGTGTTCATGGTGAAAGTCGGTCGCAAAGGTGTCGGACATAATTCAAGCGGATCTGAGATTTGGCTAATTGCCTGACCGAGACTTGAAGCTCTGTAGATCGAAACAAACATGAATGTGAGGGATTGGTACTCTTCTCTTGAGATGTCGTTTTGGGAAAACAGACCGCGCGGTATGAGAGGCTCTGCTTCAGGCAATTGTTGCTCAGTGGGATTCCGAGCTAGATATGATGGCGAAGAGGATGCCAGTTTGGAGATTTAAACACACAGAAGATAGAAGTGCTAGAGAACTATGTACTGGGACAAGAGAAAGAGATGCAGCTAATAATTGTACTGACAATGATTCCCTGCTCTGGTATATGTCTGGTGTAGACACTGTCTCTCCGATCGGTGTTAGACCCAACCCGCGCGCTTTTCAAAGCATGTAGCATCCTTCTTATCGTCCTTTCACTCTAATCTTTCAAGCTATGCTTATATCGCTGGCTTTTCAGGATACCCCAAGGGCGCTTTGTAACATTGTTCGGACCCCGTATGAAACGCAAACTCATAGGCCCGGATACTGCGGTCGGACTGGATCTTGGCTCCAGCTCCAGATTGTCCAAAATCCGAAAATAGCAACTGCAAAAAATATGACCATGGAGACCATGCGCTCCATCGCTGTGCTGTCAATTCTGTTGTTATTTTCGAAGGGTGTAGGAGGTGGGAGGAGAGGCACTGTTTCAGGCAATGGTGGCACGGCGAATGCTGAGGAATGGTCTGTATGCTGGTGGTGCGTCATTTTGAAGATAGAAGCTCTCGAGACGTCTTCATGCAGGTGAGAAAGTAGAGATGCCTCGAAGTGATTCGGCTGACTTACCTGCCTTATCTACCATTTTGACCCCCAAGACCATTCGCTGCGCCCCGTGGATCCGGGAGGCGCAGCCAAACCCTCGTCGAGATGCAAGGCATTGTACTCATGACCAATACACAGCAGTCTGTGTAATACAGAAATAGATTATCGATCCTCTCCAATCCGAGGTAAAGCTTAGCCACGGACGATCTGTGACAATAGTTGGGGTCCGAAATACATACTCAAGTTCAGAGACAACCATCTGCTTGGGCATTCCTGTGGGCCAGCTTCTACTCAGTTGAGGTAAGATTAAAATAGAGACATCTATCTATGAACTGACAAGAAACAGTTCAAGAGAAGAAAAGCAATATTTCGGCTTGAATATATATGATGAAACCAATCGCGTTCGCCACCCGGGAAACGAAAGGTAGGCCCTTCAGCTCTGACTGAACCCATGACCTAGCGTCAGCGCAAGGAGATATGTTGAGTGATTGACAAAGACACTCATAGTAGTGATGCATATAATGAGCATTTAGATTCTGAATGGACACTACGTACAAAAAGTGCTATGTATAGTGAGGACACACTGCAATCTTGGGAAAGGAAGAATAAGACTGTATCTCTTGTAATCCCATGTAGAGAAAGTAGCTATCGTCTTCAGCACCTTCACCATACACCCTCCTATAAGCTAGATTGTAGTTACAAGCAATAACATCTCAAATTTAAGCACACTGGCCCGAACCAGGATCAGCACTATTAAGATATCAGTAAACCAGATCCCCAGGTACAGTGGGTTACGATAAAAACTTACGAGAAATCCCAGACAGGATTAGATCCTTCAGGACCGCCCTCCCCTTGTTCATAAGAAGACCTGCCCCCGTGATCACAGCCATTGATCTCCCTGTGGAGTCGATCTGTGCAATCAGCCGAGGAAATACGGAGCCCATCCCCAATCACGTTTCTACCGACCATGACAGTAAAGTCTACCTTCTTCAAGGTGCTCAGATTAACACAGAAGGTCTTGAACTCTCCGTAGCGATAGTCAGTCTCGGCTAGGCTGCCGTCGGTGCAAAGGCGCTGGGCTGCTTCCAGGGCAGTGAATTTGTCTCCGCCCCATGTTTCTCCAGAGCGGTGACATTCTCCACTAACTCTGGGAATGGTGGCCAAGAGGGCGGTGAGTAGGAACGAGGGGTACTGCATGGTTGGATTGGGGAGCTGGTTGTTGACTTGTGAAGGTTGAGGGTAGATGGAAGAGTCAGGAGAGGGATGATATAGGCTTGCAATTGGATTTGTGGATGGAATAGCTTTGTAGTGTTCTAGTTAGGAGCTGCGGGTTCCCTCATTTATAGCCAAGTTGATGAGTTGCTGGAAGGCTGTAGTCTACTAACTCTGTGCCTTTTGTAAGTGCCTTTGCCAACTGACGAACAAAGGAGGCGATTACCCGATTGAGCAGAGGATTTACAGGCATGAGGATTAGAAACCTGTTTTCTATAATTGTATACATAGTTTGGCCCCCAGAAGCAGGACGCAAAGCCCCAAGTGATGATCAAGGACGATGTTATCCGGTTAATTCTGCAGATCACTGCTGTATATTTCTTCTCAACCGCATCGGAATCCCGTTCCTATGGGCCTGAGCCACAAAGAACGTTGTTTAAGCTACGTAGTTAAGCTACGTCGATGAAATCCTTTAATGGGGCTCTGTGCTGCTAAGCCTTCGCGGCCCGTGCCTGTCCGTTTGTGTAGCCAATCACGTCGGATAGATTTAAGTTTCTCCTAGCGCTTACTCAGTTTTAGCTTAATTCAGCAGGTGAATCTTGACTCGGACTTCAGCTCGTAGATGCAGATCCTCTCGTATACCATAGAAGGATTTTGATCCTCATGTTTCATGACGAGCAGTAGGAATAGTCATGGACGTCATAAGATGGGGGCTGCATTAACAAGGCAGATTGAAGTTATACAATCGGCATCGTACTAACTATAAAAACGCCAGGGATTCTTTCCAGATACACTGCTATTCACACATAACCTCCCTATCATCAACAAAATTTTTCTGCTACCCATCATTACTCTATCTCCCGCAATGAAGCTTGCATCCTTTTTCATTGCTATTGGGGCAACATCTGCCGTTGCATTTCCAAGCACCCTCCACAAACGCGAATGCCATGGATCAGGTGAAACCTGGGGCGCAGAGAAATTCCTCGCTCTCCAAACTGCCCAGAAGTATTGCGGTGGAATCATCAACGGCCCTTTCAGCACCGCCGGCCAGTATATCAATAAGTGTGTCAATCTGAGCAGCAACAAGAAGATGGACTTCTTCCTGCGCTACGACTCAGATCTCCCTGCCGATGGGCCTCCTCATGCTGTTGAGAAGAATTTGTGCACTGAGTATTTCCATCGCGAGATCAATGGGTGTGACCATGGAGGAAGGAGTTCCTATCCGGGTACTGAGGGAGGCACTGGCGCTCTTACTGTCTCGTGAGTATTGATATTCTACGAGCAGTGATCTGAAAATGCTAATGAAATATATTAGGGCTGATCCAAACGAAGGGAACTGTGCATAGGTTTTTGAGAGAAGTTAAGGACTTCAGTTAGTTGCGATAAGGATTCTTTTTAGGAACCCGAGGTAACACTAAACGAGGATCGATAGTATGCGATAGTCTGTTTATGTACTAAGTTAGTGTCTTGACTGACGCAATCAATGCTTTACCTTCGTATTTACCTTGGCAATTTAGTGTTTGAGAAAGTGCCAAGGCAAACGTGTAGGTATGAACCATATTTATGCAAGTAACTATCCTACTAGAAGTTCAAAAGCTGCTGGTTCCATTACTTCTCCTCGATCTTCCCAATTTGGGGATGCTGCTCAATAGCCTTCTTCGCCTCCTCCCATGAATTATCGCCATACAAGTGGGTCCTCAAATACGCCCAAGTAACCCTCTGCATCGCCGCCAACCTCTCAACACCTTCATCCTGACATTCCTTAGCGTCCCATCCACTAATGCCACCAAACCCATGCTTTCCATCCTTAACCTCGAAAGAAGCCTTAGGTCCTGGTGAGAGCTTGTAAGGGTCGTTGTGCCAATCTGCTCCTCGGTTCGTGAGATGGGGGCTGACGTCACTGTCGCCCCAGAATACAAGACAGGGGGTTGTCATGTTGGAGAAGTTAAGGTCGAGGAAGGGAAGCATTGATTTTCCGTTCTCGGAAGGGTCGTCGCTTGCACCGATGGCACCGAAGAGGACGCCGGCTTTGATGCGGGGATCAGCGACCTTGAATATTTTTCCGTCGCGAGGATCGGTGTTGATGGCGCCGAGGAGGAGAGCGGAGGACAGAGAACCGAGGGAATGTCCAACAACGGCAATCTTGGACTTGTCGAGTCTGCCCTTGATGAGAGGAACCGTGGTCTCAATGGTATCAAGACTATCGACGATCTGAACCAAGTCCTTGGCGCGAGACTCCATGAATAGTTCACTGATACTCTCAGCGTTCAGTTCAAAGCCTAGTTGGCGAGAGCTCAAGTGTGTAGGCTGAATGACGACAAAGCCATGGCTAGCCCACCAATCGGCAACAGGGCCGTAACCCTTGAGAGAGGAGAGATAGTTGCTTGGGCCGTGGCCGTGGGAGAGAACAATAATGGGGAGATTATCTCCATTGATGGGTGCTGTAACTTTGAGGTCGAGATCGACTCTGCGGTCTTTAGAGGGCAGAGTGACTGGTGTGAAGGTGAAGACGGGAGAGGCAGAGTTGACGGGGATGTCAGCTGCGCCGCCGATAAGAGAAGCGTTAGGAAACTCCATTGTAGAAAATTTTCGAACTTTAGATTTAGCCGAAATATGAATGTCTTTGTATAGTGAACTTGTCTGTAGATATTCTCGTTTACTGCGAGAGAATCTCCCATCTTATATATCCAACATCCACCTCTTCAACATGACGATGATAGTATCTTGACCAATCAGAGATTCTTTTCCCAATTCAGTATAGCCCTTCCTCAAGATCTTTGATTCGTTGGGTTTAGCGGTCTTTCATCGGACAATGCTATTTCTCCGTTTTTCGGCTGACGAAATCTGCAACTGTGCTTATGCTTCGGATTCATCCCCGCTTAACCTAAACTCCCATTGGGAGTTAACGCGGTTAAATATGCGGAGGTAATGTTAAGACCGCTGGTCTTATTAATCTGCGTGTGTTGAAGTCATTGGCCCTTATGTATGGGATTCCATTTGTTCGTGCTCGGTAAGCCGTAAGCTAGGTTGGGTGACTCTGTGACTTGCCAATGCATAAGAGCTTGAAACTCAAGTTCATGGAGTGAGTAGCACTAATCTGCTCATCTCCTCCACGACCTCTTCTATAAACTCCAAATGTGATATCTCAGCGACTGTGAGCCTTTTGATAGGAATTTGCCTGATCAACTGTGTAAAACCTTGCAGCAGCTTAAGTTTTTCGTTCTCTGGGTCCGATCGGCTATCGAGCAGCGCGACAGAGAAGATGGTCAAGATGGCTGTCATCGGGTAGAAGATGATGACCCTATACCATTTCAGTCAGAGTATGAGGATACGGCGACGGTAATACGTACCAGAAGCACTCGTGGGCCAGGACAGGTAGTGCCTTTTCCAGGTAAATCAAGATAGATCTTGAGGCGTCGATTAGAATCTGGAAGTTAATCCTATGGCCGTCATCGATCAAGTCGTCGATGGGTTTATCTGATTGAAAGACTCTGCATCGGGCTTGATGGATGAGAATAACGCAGTGGTGATATGATAGTCGAAGCATGATTGCCTGCGTATTTGTATGGGCATCAACAGGTGTCTGCTCCAGGAACGACAAGGTCGGTCGATGGTCAGATGGAAGAGTCACCCTCCAAGCTTCCAAGTCTTCATCTCGGTGCCGTATCCTTCTCAGTATTTCCGCCTCTGATAGTCTAGAAGCACCTATTGAGTGGAGGTCATTGTAGATCTTTGACTTCATGACCGAGAGTCGAATGTCCCATGGATAGAGCGGCACGGTGGAGGAGCTGCGACTTGAACATGGGCTCAAACTTAGGATATTGGAGGTCTGCATCTGGACGTAGTTAGGAGGTAGCGTAAGGTCGCAGTGATCGTCGTTGATGGTAGGTGGTTGACCAGTCCTATGAGACAAGTCTTTATCAATGCAGTAGCAGACCCAAAAGAGGTCACGTATATGGTGAGCATCGTGGTCTATGTTGTAAGCGTCTGAAGGAGAAGGGTATAGATGCGCGCCGAGTTGAATCAAGAAGCGCGAGGTCACTGAAACGAGGAACGATGCAGATTCCAAATCTCCCATAAAGTATTTAAAGATCATCTGTACAATCGGGAGTAAGAGGCCGATTTGTTAGATTGAAGAAGGGATACTTACGAGCATCATCAACGCCTCAAGCCCGTCAACCCTCATCTCGCGTAAGATGGTAGGTATTGAACCTTCGATTTCCAAAGCATATCTCTGACACCAGGAACCAATATCAGCCATCTCGTCGCCTGAGTCAAGGCCAAAGATGTCGCTCATGATCAGGACTCCGTACGCACAACACTTCGCACTGGTGGCATGCCGTTTAGTACCAGACATATATGCGAGAGGCAGCGTTCTCAGCATGAAGCAGTCAAGGCTCAACAGGGGGAAGACAAGAGATTGGGGAGATGAACAAAATCGCGCTGCTAGCTCCTCGACAATCTGACGGTCGGGAAGCTTTAGAATCTTGTGATTATCGTTTGAAAGGGGGGGCCTGGTGGAGCATAGGTAGGGCAGACGGTACTTGTCGATGATATTTGGTGAAATGGTCGAGCCTGTCCTGCTTTTGATCCATTGCTGGCCTTGTGGGCCGAAGAGCGGATTACCATTCACCAAACGCAAACCCTCTAAATAAGTTGGATTGCGATCATGAGCATCGCTCGCTGGAGAAAACATGATGTATTAGCGAGAGGGAGATGTAATATGCGAAGAAGGACTTTCACCGCTATAAAGGAGCCCCCCATCATCTTGTTCAAGCGAACTTAGCTGTCGATTTAGTGATTCGGTATTCGGAAATCTCGGAAGCTTAGATCTTCTATTGCAGGTCAGTTGAAAGAGCTTCAGTGAATTGACTAAAGAAGCGGCATACTGAAATGCGGATCCTACTGTCTTTGCAGCTTCGTTGTAGGTACACGTCAAGCCATGGTGTTGGCAATAGTCGCACTGCGGTACAGCGCGGTCACACTGGATCTAGGTGTGAATTAGCAAAGAATCCCCCTCATGACGAGCTTAAGTGCTAATATAAGGTCGAGGACCCCAGGACCACGGCGCGTCCCATCACAGTGGCTTTACTTAAGGACGGAAGAGGCTGCGGAGAAAAACTCACCTTCTTCCTGCGACACGAGTCGCAAGCTCGTGCTTTTCTTCCTCTTTTCGATTTTGGCATTACGATTGGTTACTTGGTGTTTATCTGCATGTTGTCTCTGCAGGTGGATAACAAGTAGTGTTAATAAGCCGGGAAAATTTCTGGTGTCCAGGCATGTGTCGGGTTTCCCGAGCCGGCAGTTGGACAAATCAGCGCTAATCGGGATGTGGCCGCCTTTACCGATCCGGGATCCTGTGCAACGGCGTATTTCAGAATCGGTTCAATTCAAATGCCGATGTTTTGAACTTGCGAGAATTGATTAGGCCTATAGTTCTTGTATACGATTGTCGGTCTCCGGCATTCTGCTGTGTCCGGCACTTGTGGACACTGAGCATCATAAATCCGCTGACTCAGCGGGAAATTCGAAGGTCTATGACATCAATGTCGCAAAATTCCAGTTGTAGAACTCCACTGCCTGTGGAATCACTTATATTTCCAACATGATATATAAAATGGCCCATCTTCTACTGAGTTCCCAGGAATCTTTCCAGCACCGAATCTATCATTAGAGGCCTGACTTGCATTCCTACCTTAAAAAGTTAAAACCATCTCATTATGACTCAAAACAAGAAAACTGTTGTCGTTATTGGTGCGACAGGCCTCCAGGTATGATTACCGATTCAATGTCTACAAAGTATTCTGGTTAATTCTCTTCTTTTTTTCTTAGGGAGGCTCTGTTGTCCGAACACTTGCAAGATCCCGGGATAGGTACAACATCCGTGGTCTCACCCGAAACGTCTCCTCCCCCAAAGCCGAAGCCTTGAAGGGACTTGGTATCGAAGTGCATCAAGCGGACGTCGATGACGCCGAAAGTCTCCGCCGAGCCTTTGAAGGCGCTAACGCCATCTTCGCCATGACAGATTTCTGGCAGCACATGTCAGCTGCCAAAGAGGAAGAACAGGGCAAGCGCATCATGGATATAGCTGCTGATCTGCCTCACCTTGAACAACTCATCTGGGCGAGCTTGCCTGACGCTAGAGCTATTTCGAATGGAAAGTATCCTCACGTCTATCACTGGCAGAGCAAAGCAGCTGTGACTGATTACATTCGGACTGAGAAACCTGCTCTATGGAAGAAGACAACTGTCGTGCTATTTCCGAATTACTTTGAGAACTGTCTCACGCAGCCGCGGACTTATCTTCCAATCAAGGTTCGTAGTCGCATGAACCTAGCAGTCGATGAGCTGACATTGGTATCAGCAAGATGATGGGACTTATCTGAGATCCTTTGTTCTGCCTGAAACAACTCCGCTTCCAAATGTCGCCATCTCTGATACTGGAAAGTTGGTTCAGTATATCCTCGACCATCCTGATGAATGTCTCGAAAAAGAAATCGTCTTTTATTCTGAAGCTATCTCAGAAGGAGAAAAAATCAAGTCCATGGCATCTGGTAAGCACTCACCCTAGCTATATAAGCCATCAGCGAGAACGTTGGGTCACTGACTCTTTGCAGCATATGGCATCGACATACGCTACAACGAGCTCTCCTCTGATGAGTTCCAATCCATCCTCAAGAGCAAGATGGACGATATGTGCGCTTTGGACTTTACAGAGCAGTTGCTGATCTTTCGAGACTTTGGCATGATCTATGCTCGCCCTGAGTTCATTCAAGCTAACGAGGTAAGTTACTCTAAGGACCATGTATCTGAGAATCTGTCTTTCTGATATTCCATCTAGCTTCCCGGTCTTGATCTGATGAAGTGGGATGATTTCATGGCTGCCAACAATTTGGCGGAGTTTATGACGACTAGCAATTAGAATTATGTTCTAGCCAGCATAGAGATAATCTAAGCACCATTACCATCAAACATTACATGGGCATTGATCATCCCGTGAAACCAACGACCACCGGACCCCCAGGAACTTCTCCTTGGGCTCTTACTAAAAAGAGCCGCCTCAGTGATACGCAACGTATGTGACCAAACTCGTCGGACCACCTTGTAGGACCACAGATGTGCAGTGTCCAAGTCTCTAAGTTACCTTCTGCATCTATTCTGATGCTGGCAAGCCCGCGAGCCCGGTATGGCCTGGTTATAGGCACTAATATCAAATGAAATAACATCTTGGGCTGCTGTCGCTACATTTTCGATTCCGTCTCCAGGGGCCGAAAGTGCACAATCGTCCGACTCTTCAGAAGCGTCAGTATAACTAATTCACAAGGACATCAACAAAAGAAGGAGTTGACTTACCAACTACCCACTTAACACTTGCGCTATCACTGATTCCTCCTGACCTAGTGAGCATGTAGCTCGTTGGACCAGATTCAGGCTTATCGAGATTGAAGGGGAATTTGTCGACAGATATTGAGTATCCGAGACTGCCTTTATTGTTCTGACCGGCCACGTTAATCCCCGCCATGAAATTGCCTTTTCACCACCACTGATATTTGCTGGTTGAGGGAGTGCTCGTAACCCTAGACTGGGATCCAGCTGCGCCCAAATGCTTTGATGCAGATTGCTTGACTGGCGTGTGAGGGTTTACGAGGAAGCCGCTCTTATACAGCATACCCATTAGCGGTATATGACCGAGGGTGGTGTGTAAGAGATGTGACGGTGCATTACTGATGAATCAAATCTCTCGCTATATTTACAACGGCTGATGTGAGTTTGATCCCGTACCGATCCCGAATCCAGTTCAGTCTTTCTCGACAATCTTGGACTTGTTGAAGGGTGCTTTGTGGACTTGCAATGATGATAGCAAGTGGCCAGATAAGGCGATGCATGACAATGGCCTTCTGCTCCAATATGGTGAGTGGATTACCCCACTCATCAGTTTCGCCCATAAGGTACGGCAGGAGAGTACAGATTGACGTGATCAATCTTTTGATTTGGGCTTCAGCCAACGGCATTGACGTCTCGGCTAGGTGCGTCTCTGGTGTTGGCTGCTTGCTGCGATAGTCGACCCGCACAAGAGTGCGACAACATGACAAGAAACTATTAAAGAACAGTATCAAAGTCATATTGAAGCCACACCCTAGACAAGATATCCACCTGGAGGTAGTTGCTGAGCCTTTGTTACGGACCAGTCGCGTATCTTCTCTCTGCCAGGTCCTCCATTCGGGCGGTAGTGCGCCGGCAACTTCGACCATATCAGATTGTATCTTCATGGCCTCCTGTATGACCGAAAGAAGCTTCTTACGCTGCAGAGTGGGGCATTTTTCCGGTACCCCCGACGATGAGAACTGCTTCGCCCGACGATGGAAGTGGCCAATACGTGTAGCAACAAGTGAAAGACGAATGTAAAAGTTGTGCGTGTCTAGGCCGGTGTGGGGAATCGCCAAGCAGTCGAGGGCTTTATCTGCGGTAAGCGATGGAATTTGCTGTTTGTTCCGTCAGTACACAGAGATGGAGTAGGGAATAGCGATGAACCAAGTCTGAGAAGATTATGCCATCAATCTTACTCTTATGGATGTTATTGAGCAGTCGTTGGCCAGCGATTTCGTAAATTCTGGCAATACCAAGCATGTGGTATGACTTCTTAACAAGACTGTGGGAATCAATGTCCTTGAAAGTAGGTCAATCCCATTGCCTAGGCGTTGTTTTAGCTTGAGTGACGAACCTCAATCATACCCAGTAACAGTATCGACATGAGCGTCTCGTCGTTGAAGCTCCTCGATGTAGAAGTTAGATTTCTGTTGATCGCCCGCACCGCGGTATTGTAGTAGCCACACGCCATGGAATAGAGTCTGGACGACTTATAGTGGCGTGACAGACACAAGGAAGCGGCGGCGATAGTGGTCTTTCGGAGACACGAGTCGTGAGGAGAAGACTGGTACATGCCCTGCAGAGAATCGAGATGCCCTCCAAAGCCATTCATCCCTAGCTGGACGCAGTCTTCTCGTAGGAAATAAGCGATAGCCTCATCCTTAAATGCAGGTGGTGGCTGGCGTGTTATTTTCGGATGTGAAGAGAGGTCGTTGGTTGGAGGACGCGGATGATTCGCGACTGGTCGATATTGCTTCGAGACGCCAGCAGCGGGATCGTAGACCCCGCTATTCTCTGCTGTTCGAAATTGCTCCCTAAGCGGCCGGCTATAGCGAGGTTGTACGGTGCGATATAATTGATACCGCTGGCATCCTTTTCTCTTGCCGTCACACTGTTCATAGGAGTCGACTTGTTAGTATGGCATTCGGCCGATTAAATTGTTACAATACCTTGGTCTTGTGCTTGGAACAGTGGCTACAGCTTGTGCTAAGAGGGAAACTTATGGCCTGGACGACTTGATCAGAGTAGTAATGACTCGGCTCGGCTCGTTCCGAGGGAGTGGAGTCCCCTGTCTTGAGCTTTGCTTCCATTGTAAGCCAGTATGGACAGGCCGACTCGATCGTTATACTGGTTCGAGGAACGTGTCACTATGACTAGCTGGGCCTTTGACCCAAAAGGTCATCAATACAACGCAAGAAAGAACGAAAAGAGAAGATGATCAGACCGAGGAGAATCTTTTCTGGAATGAGGGACTAAATCCTACATAACAAACACAAATAAAGTGTCGGTGAGATTAGACTTTCCGGCCCGTCCGCGTAACGTCTGAGCGCATACTACCTTAGCGGTCCAGATAAGCACTGAGGCAGCCCTCCTTTTGTGGCATAAACAGTATGCATGGCGTGGAAGCTTCTCGCGCCTGAGACACAAAAGGATAGTGATTTGATATGGGCCGGTAGTTCTACCCAAAGGAATTTGTAACAATAACTGAGGTATGGCATTATCTGTTTTACCTCAAATGTCAGGACATCTATGGGTCAGATCAACCTGACCGTATATACGGAGTATATTAGCCTGATTTCCCTTATCCGACGTAGGGCTAGAAGCAATTAATATTAACTTCATCAATTTAAATTAATCTCTTTAAGGTCTATCAAACCTCATTTGTTTGCTCACTTCGGTGTGAATTAGGTGGACGTTGCATCATAGCTCATGGGATGCTTCTGCTAGTTGCGCGATTTCTTCCCTGGTTATGTGGCCGACCTCATGCCCACGTCATCTTGAGGTCCCGGAAGGGCACGGGTACCTGTGGTCATTACGCAAGCGTCGATGGCTACTGCGGATAAGTCGCGTCTTTAGATTACTCTACAGTCTCTACCATCACTTTGAGGTATTTGTCCACGATGAAGTTCTGAACGAAATCAATGAAATACAACCCATATGCGTCGAAGCTCATCTCCACACTTACTGGCAACTGTATCCAAAATCATCAATATGGCGTGGCACACGTTGATATCGGCAGAATCAGCCCGTAGCCGTACCCAAGGTGTCGGGAAACCGGTAAGGCTAGTATGAATTAGCGCTGCTTAATTAATTTAACTTAACCTTTTTGAGGTCTCTTAAATCTTACTCCGATTTATTTACGGTACTAGCTTTTACAAAGGAAAGTACTAACCCACTGCCTTCAGTGACAGGATAATATACGAGGATTTATACACGAGGATGACAAATCTGTTTAAGTTCAGGCTGAGGTTTGATAATGGGGTGCAGAAGTAGTCACCCCACCATTTTAGATTGCCCTTAAGGTGTGTTGGACTTGTAATTGAGGCGCCAACGGATCAAGCAGTAGCACTTTGAAGAAGATACCGACAAAAATAAGTGACGTTACCGTAAAGATGTCACAACAATTGATATTCCGGGCGAAGACACAGCTTCCCAATAGCTCTATATCGCGACACAGCATGATCGGTGACTACGCATAAGTTATGACGGGCTTCCGAACTAGACTCGTCCGATTCTGTCCTTCTCTACAATTCTCCTTTTTGAAGGATGCAAGACTTGAGAAAGTCGAGTGCGCGCACTTTTTTTTCTCATCAACGTATGTGTATTAACCCCCGTCCTTGTTGTTGCAAGTATAATGACGATACTGATTGATGATCCAGGGGTTGACGACGCCGTACTTCCGGTCGATGATAGCTAAGTATCCTGGTCAGGAGCATGGGCCGCAGAAAGAGGCTAGCAAGGCAAGATAGTCATAATCCGTTTAAAAACCTTATCCAAAGATTCAAAGACATCGCCGACCGACACGTCCATAGTCTGTTCATCGACTCTTGTGTCCCGTGGGGCCTCTTTCCAACAGGCCCTAAACGGGCTGAAGTCGGACTGCTGAGCACTTTGGTGTAATTGATAGCTGATAGCCTGAGGTGCTGTGGGCAACTGAATCTGATGTCGAGGTACTTGCGGATTCGTCTTGACACGGATATCGACGCCGTTTTCCCAGCCGACCTTATATAATCTGGTAAGCGGAGAGATGTCATTCTCATCGTGTGGAACCTGAATAAAGATCGCCTTCAGAGATGGAAGCTTGTTCAAGAGCAGTATGCGTATCAAGATATCCTCCCCCATTTCCATGGCGTAATCTCCGTGGTAATTCCCAGCATCAGGACCTCGAGGCAAGGAGGGAGAAAACCTGCGATGAGCTCAGCACAGTCTTGATGCTACTGGCATCCTTCCAAATTTCTCCCACTTCCTACAATTCCCCCTAATCCCCCCCACGGAAACTCATAGTAAGCAAGTGTTAGGAAATCACCAATGTCGGCGTGAATCTGGTGCAGCTTTATGCACTCATACACCGGAATCTCATCGCCAAGCTGATACAGTGCGCAACGACATCCTTGGAGTTCGAAAGCATCGTATATAATGATTGAATGTCACAGCCGCTGATTTGGCAAAAACCGACGCTGCTATTATAAATAGGATATGATTTCAGAGCTCTCGGTGCTGCACCTAGCTCCATAGTATTCTCGTAGTCGCCAGTGTCTTCGACATATAGAGTGTCGACGGTGGGACATCGTGCCGTCAGGGCATCGGCTGCATTTCGAAGGCTGATCGCAGTTACAGAGTCGAGTGTACCATATTTCCAAGATGGCTGCTCTTATCAGAATCGTCGTCACCATCGATCTTAGAGTGGTCCTGTGCTCGCAGTCCTCGGAAATACAAGGGTCTGGTGTTTGGGAGCTATATCAAGCCTCAGAAATAGCTACGAGGGTACCAGACATGTATAAAATCGTCGTTAATACAAGTCTCTGATGTTAGGCCTACGGCAACATCTTGGAGGCCTCAGAGACCTAGAGGCCACGAGCTATTAATCCAACTCCTTCCCATGGCAAATGTGAGGTAATGGAGACCTCGGCGGCTGTGGTATGTAAGATGCTGCCTTGATTTCCATGGCAAAGTCTTTGCTTACCTTTTAAGCTTGTTTTGCTGATTGTACATGAACTTTAGGCTTTCTAGCCGAGGCTATAGGATAATAAGCAGTATCTGCATGAAGCGATTGCAGCCTCGCTCAAACTCGATACGTGCTAAGTCCACCAAGTCCTCTAGTAAGCCCAGTTCCTCCTACATAACCATTAAGTAATAAGCTAGTTCATATCAAGGAATTACCCACTACAAGCGTGGCGCTTTTAAAAGGACATGCCATTGTATTTGCCTTGGGTCTCTAGCCTGCTCAGCTGCTTTCCGTAACGACCAAGGTCGCCATTCGGTCCAGTCCCACGCCAGCCCCCAGAGCTTAATATAATAAACATGCCAGGCATCGACGTGGCTGGTGATACCAGAGGCGCTGCAAAGAAGGATTAGGATAATAGAGGCCTTATTATCCAAGATATCAGAGAATTTGCAATAAGCTTCTTGGTAATAAGTGAGAATACTTTTTTCGTACTTGAAGAGATAAGTGCATACGCAGGCCAAAGTTTGAGTGAGTAGATAGGTCAGCAAGGTCAATGATGCGTGTGATAAGCTCAGTTGGCAGACTTAAAAGTACAAAAGTGGGCATTTTTGAGTAGGTATAGCTGGGAGAATAATATTTTTAGGACGAGGGTTAGGAAATGTTCTAGGCTGACGGTGTCTTTAGATCTCTCTATGTATTCATCTACCAATGAGGAGAATGTCATCTGCCATTAGGCAGCTAAAGCCAAGAAATATCCAGCTGACAAAGTTCTGTTAGCCTATGTGTCAGGTGACAAATAATAGCATGTAGTTATATATCATTTAGGCAGAAATAGGGTCGTAACACGTTGTGGAACATTGGCTTAAAAACGATTATTGGAAGCTCTTTTAACTGCTGTGCGTTCATTACCTGAATATTCTCACTAGTAGCTCTATCCTCATTCTGCTTCTAAAGCAGAGAGGATTATACAATTTCAATGTCCCTGACAATAGAATATGAGATTAAATAATAAAATAATCTATTTAAACTAGGTCCGGCTCTCTAAATATTATTGCTAGACTCTAAGAGGCATTATATATACAAGAACTGGTTTGCTTCTGTATCAAATAATCCGTTGACTTCGTAATTAATATAACCTATTGTTACCACTATACTTATAATACACTAAACTGCAGTAGGAATCTGTACATAAGCCCTCCACAATGGATCTGCCATTAACCTGTCCATCGACGAGTCCTCGACTCCAACCCATACTTCACACCCTCCTCGCTTAGGATCAGGAAGCACAACCTGCACGCCGTGCATCAGCCCACAAGACGGTGGTCGTAGAGCCTTTATGTTACCACCGAAAGCATTACCCCACTCAAGGTCATAAAAAGGAAACTCTCTCCAGGATGTCTGAATGATATGATTTCCTGGCATGTCCAGTAAACAAGTTGGCACAAGACAGCTCACATCGTCAAGGCCGTCAACAATAGTGTCTATCTCCCCCAGATAAACATTCTCGGCTTTTTCAATAGTACTATGGGATAACTGCGGCCTATAAGGTTAAGCTTTAGGATATAAATACAGATAATAAATAATAATATAATATTTTCCCTTCCCTGATATAAGCTTTTACTTATAAGCTTTTATAAAGACTAATAAATCTTATTATAAACCCTGGGGTATTGCAAAGGGAAGAGACCAAGAGGTATATAACGGGTTTCAATAGCACGTCTCACGAGGATAGCTAAATCGGCCAGTGAAGCCTCGTGGATAACCTGGTTGAGATCTAGAACGGCCGGAGCAAATCCAAAGATATTACCAAGGGTGTGTTTCTGTATGGCACATCCAGATCGTCGGCGTAGGTCAAGAGCAATTGCGACTTGCGATGGGCCCCCAGAACCAGGAGCTTCTGAACCAAGAGACCCTTTACAAGGTTTCAGCCTTTCTGAGTGCTGAGCGGCCATGGTAGATCTCCATATTAACGCCGTCAAAGCATCAGTGGTAGATGTCTTCAATATCTTTGCGTTCTTGGGTGAAGCTTCCGCCTTGAGGGCTATGAGGCTCTCGGGTGACAGATACCATACGTGGCCGTGGTGAATATCTTTCGCCATCAGGGGCGTTAATTCGCTAGGACTTGACTCGAGTATGGTGTACTCAGGGTGATCTAAGCACATTTCCTTGGTACTTCCGGACACCTTGATGACCCTTTCACGGTCCTCCGAATGAACCTCAGCAGGATCAGTGATTGCTAACCCTTGAGCACGTCGAAGCTCTTCCGAAAGGACCTCTATAAACTTGAACACAGTAGTCTGATCGCAGCAAACATGTAAGAGAGACATGTTGAGAAGGAGATCACCGCGGATGAAGTTGGCCTGCATCAGGGAAACAGTGACACGATCTCCGGGCTGAGGCTATTCACCACGCAAGCCACGGGTGCAAAATCTGTCGGGGTCAAGTGCAGATGATGGATAATCTTGAGCTTTGAGTTCTGCAAAGCTGGGACAAGCGCTATCAGCTCGAAAATCCTTGACAGTAAAGTCGTTGAGGTCTTCATCGCCGTAGTGCCGAAGCTGAGACATGCCAGCGCGGCCCTCTCCAGCAGGGATAACTTCGCAACCAATAAGAGGAACATTGCTTTTCAGGTTGCGATAGCCGAGCCTTAACATTCCCACCAGTTCTTCTATACTATATTCTTCCGGAAGCTCGAAACAGAATATGTTTCGTACCCAGATATTTGGTCCAATCTGCTCAGTTTGCAAGAGAGGAGGGGCCAGGTCAAGTAGATGCTGGGTAGTCATCTCGAGACTGTTTTTTCGGCGGTCTTTGAAAAGAATGGGCAAAGACTCCTGATCAGCGATAAGTGTCTGTGTCTTTGCGAGCACGGGAAAAAGACGATTCAAAGCGAATTGAAAAGAGAGAGCTGGAAGGGGTGCAGGTTGGAAAATCTTTGCATGTTCCATGGTCTTATGGGATTATTTTGTTCCTCTTATGATACAGAGACTGATAAACACAAACACTAGAGTAAAGGGACGGTGCGTCCCGTGTGGGGAAAGGGCTCCCCTTCTCTGTCGAAGCTTAGCGCCTTCCTTATCATGATGCGAAGTGATAGCGACAAATGCGAATTGGCAGTACTGGGATTAGATTCTGTCTGCCGATTTACACTCTCAGCCACAAGCCTCAACTGAAAATAAGACATCTTGGCAGCTCTGAAAGCTGCAATTACCCCCGGACTTGCCGGGCTTGGTTATCTTTCGTGGACTGCAACTCATCAACGTTGCCTATGGAGGAGATATAGTGCAGGATATCGGACCAGGTACGGTTCATAACAGTGACGCGGAGAATGCAGTCATGGTTACTCACCCCATCTCAATCGAGCCGGAGACGCATCTTTACATGCTTGTGGCAACTAGACTCTAGAACTCCGTTTCGGACACCATCAAGCGGTAAGCCGCGTGGGGCAAGAACTTCGTGCTACTGCTTACACTGAAGATGGCATCGTGGGGGCTGATTGAAGGGCTACATCGATACTGCTGAATACGGTAGGCGCTAAAAAGTTGGACGAAATCAAGGCAATCTCGGACTGGCCGACATACCAGAAGCGTATCAAGTCACAGCTTATCCCAGCAACCACCAAACTACTCATCAATATCGATTAGAACCTAAGAGTAGCACTCCAAGGCAAAATGATTCATTGCAGACATCTCTTTGGCCAAAACATAAATAAGTTTCGTCATCGGTTCTTCTTATATAACAGGACAATGGTAAGAGAAACTCCACCATCCAGGTGATAATGTGTTTTCCCCAGGAGCCACCAGGGAGATTCTGTGGGTCTCTACCCTAATTGATCGAAATGTACAGCTATGACTTACAGGAACTCCTTCTTCCCCAGCTCTCACTTCCTCCGTTTTATTCTCTTCTACTCCTTCTACCTTACGTTTCGTACCAATCTGCTCCACTAAGCCAAGGCAACCAGGCTATTCATGCAAGTCTTTCCTAGTTTAAGTACCGTGGAGAAAGTTGGATCTTAATCATCAGTCTGGACTTTGTATCGTAGTCATTACGACCCCAGTAGTTCTCCCAATCTTTTCCACGTTCTCGTCCCTCAAGTGTGCGGCCGCTTCGTAGGCCAGTCGGTAAACATGTATTGCATCTGAAAAGGGCAAGCGACGGTCTGTCCAGCCCGTGACTCTCCTCAACTTCTGTGAGCACGTCCATTGCGGGAAACCAACCACCATTGCCAGTGACGAATCTTCATCAGGTTTCAAGTCTTTGAGGTCCACATATCTTATTCCTCCTGCAAGCCCATACTCCTTTACAATCGCATCAAGAATCTTTTCTGCTGTTTCAAAACTCTGAGACGAGATATTGAATACCTCGCCTTCGACAGTTTCTCTTGGTGCAGACGCGATAGCGACGTAAGCTTCAGCGCAGTCATCGATATGCAGTTCATGGCATATCCAATTAGGCTGAGTTGGCGCGATGAGGAGTTGCTGATTTGAGTCTTTATTTGACGCTGCCCTGGAGCCGACTCGAAAGCAGGCACTGTAATAACTTGAAGCTCGGCCGTATACGTTAGTCGGTCGAACGAGCACAGCTGCAAATGCATCGGAATTTTGAAACAGCTTCGGCGTGTTTTGTACTCGGGGAATAGCAAATGGAGGAGGGTGGAGAGGTGAATGCTCATCGTGCGGCGTCAAGTTGGGGTCATCAGCAAAGTGAGGTCCAACACCATAGTCCTTGCTTCCTGCAGTAAAGATCACCAGAGGATGAACACCATTGGCCAAGCTAGATATTGAAAGGGTTCGAAGGAGCGTGATAATATTGTTGAAATGCGGAGCATAATTTGATATGTTCTCTGTAGCGGATACGATCACGTTCAGTGTTGGTGGAAGGGCATCGCTGATCGCGCTGTGCGAGGCAATGTCATCGATAGCGCCAACCACTGGCAGTATTTCTTCAGCTGCGAGCGATGTGATGGACTTTGACGAGCGAACTAGACCGTACGTAACCCACCCAGCACGCACAAACGCACAGGCCACGGCTCTGCCGATGTAACCGTTTGCTCCTGTGACTAAAACTGTCTTGGTGTTCATGCCTGCCGATTTTTGGGAACGCAATTCCGTCACATAAGTCGATCGAGGACAGTAGTGCACTGCTTGGTGATGAAGCCTATCTCTTTAAGGCATTCATTGAAGTTACATCATTACTAATGCCATCCATGAGAATCGGTGTAATAAGAGACCGAGATTATAAATCAGCATGCAATCGCCAATCCATCGAACACATACACATAGATTAGACTTGGCAGCGTTAAGCGTTATATTTAATGAAGGACTGAGCTTTCTCATCGCAGTTACAAATACAGCTGAGAGCCTGGAGGATGTGTCTTGTCTCAATGGTCTGGGTCAGAAGATGCTGCCGCTAGTCCTTTGTCGCATTAGCCAAGTCAACTTTTGCTCCTTTGCCAACAAACATTTGACGTGCCTTTGTCATACAACATTCGAAGGTACACCGAGCCCCTCAAAACATTTATTCAGGTCGCTGATTGTGGCATTTCGCTCTGGAATCATATTCCCAATGCAGGACGTCACGAACCCCAAAGCATCACGTTGTGATATTTTGGCGTCAAACTGTTGCGCTAGTAGATAGCGTTCGGCGATATTGCCCTCAAAAGCGGCAAAAGTCAACCAAAGGACGACACCAGTTGTAGCCCACAAGACGAAGAAGCACCACACAAATGCAAGGGAGGTTAACTCAATTGCCTCATTTTGGGCCAGTGGTAAACGGAGTCCATGCCGAAGTACGACCAAGGAGTCTAAGACAAGCTATATTAGACAGAGTGGTTAGTGAATAACTCGGGAAGCGGCATTGCTATATTTCGGCATCGAGATGGATGGAAGCTGAAAACCTTTCATCAAAGATGCTGGGAACAAAGAAAAAAGTGCCTCCTGCTGGATAAGGCACCCGTAGAGTATCTGTATACTTACGCCTATGAGAAGAACAACTCCAATATTTGCGCACACAAGGGTCAACGAGGTGGCGCTAAGTCCGAGGACATCACGTCCACTAAAGATGTAGCGTAAAATAATGATGAATATGGCGACCATGGGAAAGATGATGATGGCAAAGCGGATAAGCCCCGGTAAGGCCCAGTAGACCCTGGCGATAATATTTCGTCCGCGTTTGGGCAATCGAGTGTATTCAATCTGACCAGGTTTGGGAACTTGGAGCTGTGATTCAAAGCGAACGTGTCTCTTGTCGTTCGTTTCAAGGCCCACCGGATCTTTCAAATAATCCAACTCTTCAGCTTCGTAAGGTCGGGTAACGCCTCGGGCTAGGCTTACTTTGGGTCCCATGTTGTTGAGTCACTGTATTATAGGAGTAGATTCAAGCTATCATCCGAGCTCGATTGATGAATGAGACGAGGGAAGCATGCCATTTATGTATTGGGGGCTTATTTTTAGAAGAAACGTCAATACGCACGTGGCTCAACAGCTACGTAATATTGAGCTAGACCTAAAACTGCTAATTTTGGTCCAATTCAGCCTTGTCGCAGGTTTGTTTCTGATACCGGCACTCGACGATCCACTCCGGAGTCAAATCCTCATAACATTACTGGTCGCCCTTCAGAACACACAGACAAGCTTCGGCAACGTCGGATTTCAGCCGTTGCCGTTCTGCCGAACAAGTGTGGCAGCTATAGGTATTTGACATCTGACTTGTAAACATAGACTCGAAGCTGCAAAATGCGAAGCCAAGCCCATTGTTGAAACTTCAGTGCTCATACGGAGTACTATCAAAACCGAACCTCTACACAAAGCCGAGAATTGCTGATTAGAATGTAACTCTGTCCTACCTTGATAACCATCACCTACCCCCTCTTCCCACACGAAACAGAGAAGAAGGGAACCACTTTCCGACACCAGATGACCCGCAACAAACACCTACCAAAATGTCCCATGAGAAACCAGCGGACGGTCGTCGTCATCAGCAGCATCAACAGCAGTCATCCACAGGCCTGGAGACTATGGCTGCACTTACAGACCAGGTTTCACGTATGAAAGTCCAATCAGAGCATTCGACAACTGTCTCTCCTGTAACGTACGATGCCGTCCCAGCAGGCTCACCACCCTGCCCACAGGCCCGACGAATCGGTTACCCGGTGATATGGGTTCATCTCAAGGATACACCAGGCTACTTCATCTGTGAGGCTTGCTATAACAATCATATTGCGTCCTCATCATTAAGAAGCCACTTCGAAGCGGTAGAAATGACGGGCGACCCACCGGTGTCTTGCAGCTTCTGGTTGCCGCGAATAAAGAATGCCCTCTGGCCAGAGGCATTGCAAACAAACAACATAGAGAAGCTGTGCGAGTTCTTGAGCAGGCTCGTCGACGTGAGACCCTGCAACGCTGGCGCTGAGGTTGAACATAGTGTTCAGGCGATCGTATATCGCATGTCTGACAACGATATTGAAGGCTTCATCGCTTGTGAATCATGCTACGAGCTGTACGTAGCGGGTACCGCTTTTGAAGCTAGATTCTGCCGAGAAAGTCTGTAAGGCCCCGTTACTACAGTTTGTCATATGGGATACCCATACACTCGTCAGTCTGTGGCCAGGCTCGCTAAGCTCAATGACTGGGGTGCATTTGCGGTGGGAGCCTATGAGCGTCTAATACAACAAGAGTGTACAGGGACGGCTGTTCAGGCAGACAGTCGAGAGTGGCTTGCACTCTCTCCTGGCGTGGCGGATTTGTTCGCCACTTGCAAGACTTGCTACATGGACTTCTTGGTCAACGAGGCTTTTGCCAATGAATACATATCCTCGGTACCACCACCAGGCTCGTACCATCGATGGTCTTGCGCTCTTGGTCAATTATCAGTTAAATGGGCGCTGGAAGCTGCCATCTCACAGCAAAACCATGCTGTCTTTGTCGAAGCCGTCAGAACCATCAGCGGTCTCCAGGCTTGCACGTCGGCAGGCATCACAGATGGACGTTGGTTCACATTGGTCAGCGACTGTCCCAAATTCTCAATATGTCAAGGTTGTTATGCAGGCGCCATCAAGAGCAGAGGCCTAGATCATTACTTTGCCGAGATTTCCTTGCACCCTGAGGAGCTTCAGACTCCGATGTTATGTAGTTTCTGCCCGTCGGCGCCGCGATATGAACGGCTGTGTCAGAAGCTCTTCGAGGCCTACGACACGGGGAACTTCAATGCATTTTCCGACTTTGCGGTAAAGTTCTGTCGAGTCCCTCTTTGTCCACGCATCGGCGCTTTGCAAGACGCCAAGTGGTGGGGTTACGAGGGTTTACTCTTTTGCGAAGAGTGCTATTACGACTTCGTATCTGCGACGACCCTGGGTAATGACTTAACTATAAAGGGAGTTGTGTATAAAGAATATCAGATGTGTCAAATCTGGTCGCCACGGATGCGTGGAATATGGAAAGAAGTCTGTGAAGCCGGGCCGCCTAGATCTGCAGAGTCAGATAGCGCGCTAGAAGAGTTCAAGACATTTGCGGCTGAGAGAATAAGCATCTATGACCAGACGATACGGCAGATTGAGTTTTTGAAACAGATGCAGCAAATCAAGAATCGGGAGGCAGCATTTCAGGGAGTTTTGAGTGTACAGGATCAGGGGATATCAGCAATCGCGTCGTGGGGGTCCCGCGATCCTTATAAATATGGGAATAACTCCATAGGATGGTGGGACAATAGGTTTGGCGCTGAGGCAAGTAGGCGGCTTGAGGCTATGAGCAGTGGGTTCCGAGAGGCAAATAACATGTCACGGGAGATGATAGGGTTGAGAGATATTTGGGAAACTGTGGAGTAATTATGTCTATTTGCACATAGTGCAATACTTGGTTATGTGGTCATAGGGCCAGACTGTCACTGAATCGTCCGGAGGTGGTTATGCAGGCTCACGCGAGTATTTCCAATTTGCGAGATACGATATGGATTGAGTTATCTCTGAGCGAGAGAAGAAAGCTATCTAGATAAAAGGAACAGGCCCGACAAGAGAAGAAGAGAAAACAAACACATTCGAACAACCACAAGTACCGCCGACCTTCCATCAACCAAAACCTGCCCGCCTGTCATTCTCAAAGTAGATTACACGAGAGAAGACTTGGCTGCTGTTGCCCTCCTCCAGAATATCTTATGAATCCGGGTCACAACTACTGTTCCCGCTAAGGCCTAGCTGTAGCTCACCAGCTTCCAGATTCCAAGACTATTCACATCTTCCACCGTGTTACCCTCAGTTGCCAACTTCCTCTACCTCTGCATCCTCCTCATTCTTCACATTGTGGCCCTGACGACTTTCCCAGGACGAAGACGGGACCCAGTGAACCGACTTACGAGCGACGCTGACTTCTTCGTAAAGCTGATCAACTTGCTCCAAAGTGAGCCCCTTCGTCTCATAGATAAAGAACCAAACAAATGCAATGCATAGGAAGCAGCAACCGAACCAAACAAAAAAGATCTTAGACTGCAGGTTTGCGTTTCCATCGCCATAATTAACCATATATGGCGTAGAATAGGCCAGAGCCCAGTTAAGTAGCCAGTTTGTAGCAGTCGTGATGCTGAGGGATTTGGCTCGTGTCTTAAGCGGGAAGATCTCTCCTGTCACCACCCAAACGAGGGGACCCCAAGTAGCTGCAAAGGTGGAGATATAAATGCAAACAAAGGCCACAGCCGCTCGCTGCCCGCCGAGATTCTTGATAAAAATCTCGCCGTTGTCGTACTGACCGGTAGACAGAGTGCCGCAGACAGCAACAATCAGTTGAGAGATAGTCATGCCAACGGCGCCCCATAACAGCATGGGTCGGCGTCCCCATTTATCAATTGCATACATGCCAGGCACTGTCGATGCAACGTTGATAGCTGAAGTGATCATCGAGATGACAAAGCCACTAGACACACCCGAATTTTGAAAGTATTTGGTGCCGTAATAGAACTACAAGATTGTCAGTTGGCTCGAAGCTTCTTAGAGGTAGCTTTTGTTGAACTTACGATGAAGTTGATGCCTAAGGAAACAGTCAGAATTATTCAAAAAGCTTGGGTGGTTGCTTAAGGCTGGGTTGTGCTCACCTGTAAGCTGCTGTAGCGCCTGAACACCCATACCCGTGAGCTGTCTCTTGAGCATGGGAGGCTTGAAGCATTGGAGATAGGAGGACTCCCCAAGACTCATCTCGAATTCGTGGTTTGCTACAACCTCATTGAGTTCGTGTGCAACTTCTGGGGAGTCGGCAGGCAATCTTCGAAGGCGGCTAAGGGACTTTGCCGCCTTGTCCAACTGACTCTTCTTCACAAGGAAACGTGGAGTCTCTGGAAGAAACAATAGTCCGCTAAAGAGGATAAGAGACCAAGCAAGTTGCATCGCAATAGGGATTCGGTAGGAGCCTGAATCATCCCGTTTCGAAGTTGCGTTGTTTACAACGGCGGCGAGAAGAAGACCAATGGTAATGGCCCACTGGTAGGAGCCAACGATAGCACCACGGATCCATTTAGGGGCTGTTTCAGACTGATAGAGGGGAACTTAAAGAGAGTTAGCCGTTGCAAGACATGGATACGCATAGTTCATACTAGTAGCAGAGATAAGGCCAACACCGAAGCCAGCAAAAAATCGGCCTGCCAGGAACAACGGAATATCCGTCGCGACAGTATGCAAAACGACTCCAAGGTTAAAGACCCAAGTCGAGATCATCAAACCAGGGCGGCGACCAAGCCAATCAGACAAGAGAGGCGAGGCAAGGGCACCAAAAAATGTGCCCGCAGAGAGAATAGACACGATAGCTGATTCTTGAGACGAAGTGACGTTGGGGTTTCCATCAGCATCAATATAACCAGTGCTGAACTCGCGCTGCCAGTAAGGCATAGCGAGGATACCGCTAATGGTGCCAGTATCATAGCTATAGAACAGGTCAGTCACCTTGAGCTTGTTGAGAGAGGGAGGAGGTGGCATACCCAAAGAGAACACCACCGAAGGCAACGAAGAAGCCCACGGCGATGGCTGGCCACGCTTTTCCAGGTTCATCGTGGGGCCTCGAAAGAGACACTTTGCTAAAAAGTCCCATGTTCAAGGATGAAGGGTACTGAGCTCTTGCTGAGATGGAAGATAGAATAGTGAAGAAGGGGATATCTGGTTGCTGTGAGTAGAATGGTTGCTGTTGTAAAGATGATCTGGGTTGTGGAAACAACCTACCTCTTATAGATTCTTCGCAGGTTTGAGATTTGTCTTTATCTTTGGCTGAGCTCTGGTGATTTCACCCAAGCTTGACCCTTGATCGGTGACTTGGCCAATGTGTTTGATCGCATTTGGCTTTAGCAAAGACTAATACGAGTCGGCGACGTTCTTCTCACATGTCCGCCAACCCATCCGTCCATTGAGATCCACTGTGACTGAACGTCACTCTAGTTGGTGTTGATAAGCTTCGAGAAGCATTATCCTAAACCCCGGAAATATCGAAGCAAGACGGCGTCGAATAGAGCCAATCATCTCTCCCATGGCTAAGTAGTTCATCCGTTGGTTCAAAGATTCTACAAATGAGCCAGGATTATGCACGACTTCGACATGGTTAAGCAGCTGCGATAGCGAAGCCGGGCGATCTTGACCGTAGAATGTTTCTAGAAGGTGTCGGTCAAGCCGGAGCTAATTTGAACCATCGAATTTCCGTCATCTGCATCTCTCCTGCAGCGGTATTCGGACTTTGGGCTGGGGATGGCATCATGTCAAGTGCGGGGTTGGGCTGTTGGTTGTTGGAGCTGAGCTATCGTGCGGAGTTCTTTGCTTGGGCCATGATCGACAAAAGTGAGGCCATTTCGGGTTCAGATAAGAGCTATTATACCTTCCCTATACGGAGTAGATGAGGAGTCTAAGCGATGAGAGAAGGTTGCGAGGAGAAGGGTAGCTACCTCCAGTGTCCCCAATCAGGGAAAATGGATATACTTCCTTACAATCCCCCCCGCTCCCCCGCGCAACTAGGTTATCCCCAATGGAGGTTAAAACGCTGCTCAAAAACAAGCTTGATCGACACACCTTCAGTCTCGCCTAATCCCTACCAATGACCGTCCAGGGTTGGTGTTATTATCGTGCCGACAACAAGACGCGATGTAACACTTGCAAGACAAGTGGACGTCTTGGTGGCATCCCAACTTCCATTTCCTTTCCAGAAGCCCGTTAGCAGACACATCGCTTACTAGCGTTGTTTCCACTCGAAGCACAGCGATGCATTGCGGGGGCCACTATACATACTGTGGTATGACATCTGCAGCACCATGACGCTCCTGAGGTTGGCTATCACACAAATGGCAATCCGAGAGCCCCTCCTTAGCCAATAGCCTCAGTCTAGACAAGGTTCACTGTTTGGGTTCAAGCCCATTCTGTCCTCCTATGCATATTCCATTTCCACTATTGGGCCTGAGTGTTGATCATCATTTACTATTTGATCTAACCTATCGGATCCGAGAACGTAACCACCCCGCCAATGCTGGTCAATGCTCGACGGGCGCTATCTCAATGATGAATCTCCAAGCTTGAGTAAGCGCCTGATCCGTGCTGCATCTCACGTGAGGGAATTGTCAAAGCTCTGTCAGAATTATGGACAAAACGACCAGGTTGTGAGGGGATTTTGGTCCAGTAAGCATCATCATCCGGTGTTGCCGTATGGTACATACCATCCGCCATATCTCCGACTGTGCATGCATAGAACGTCCTGCGCCGTGCTTCCAGACGAATTCTAGCTCTACCCCATCACCCTAGTCGCTGTTCTCGGGATGCCCTCTTCACAGCTAAGGAAGTTGGTTTTGGCCAATGTACTCCTGACTCATAAGCACGTTCGGTTCCGCCTATGGTACCAAAATGGTGGCACTCGGGGTTATGACTGGAGAGTTTTGCACGTTGAGGTCCATAGGCTTCCATTTAACTACACTTATTGAAGAAATGGTCACAATACGGATTTCGGTCAGAGGATAAAGGCACTCGCAATTCGGTTGGATTTTCTAGCGAAGTTGAGCGTGATACTGCTCCCACAGGTGGTCCCAGAGCGTTATGACGGTGCTCTGCCTAAAAGCCCAGCATTAGGAAACCCTTTTGCTCGTGCCGGAGCACTAATTATACAATCGTTGGCCCCTTCTAAATGCTCAACTGTCACGCTCAAGCTTTCACGATAACATCTATCATAGAAGACTTCCCTGCCTGGCCTCGGCATCTGGTGTTGGATCTGACTGCTAGGTCTGCTGAAAGGAAGGGGATAGTTCTGTTCCATTTTGTACCGACTCAGCTTATCCAGTGCGGTCTTGAAGTCGTCTAGAACGATCGTGTCGGTGAAGCATTTGAAGATAAATGCAAACTTCCAAAATGGATTGATAACACCGATTGGGATAACAGGCGTAACGGAGAGAAGGTCAACAATGATGAAGATGATACTGAGAGACATGCTCAACAGTAAAAGACCGAACCGAGGGGATATACGGATGATCTCCAGAGGTTTGAACTCATAACGGTATTTAATGTTCCAAAAAAGGTTGATGGCGGTAAAGATCCACCAGGGATCGCTAACGTATATCAGTAAAACTACTCAGTAGCTCTTGGTAGTGATGCTTACCGGCAGACAGCCTCAAGCGGTCGGGTTGAGGAGAAAAGATGGGTATTAGCAGTGTTGAAGTACGTGAAGTTGGCGTAGATCTCAAGGACCCAGTAAGGTTGGACTAGTATGATGCTGCCAATATATATAGCATTATTCCTTTTTGAGAGGAAGGGCTTATTCTTCATCCAGGCGATGACGTTGTGTAGATTCCATGAGATGATAAGGAAAATAACAGTCGAGGAAAGATACCATCCCCAGGTCGGAGGATCGAAAAAGGTAAAGAAACCATTTGGCATCGCCAGAAGGAGCTTGGAAATTTTGTGAGATGATAGTCTATTGAAGGCGATACTGGGTAAGATGCTCACCTCGATCAAGATAAGTTTATGTAACATGACACCGCGTCGCATATTAGCTAAGGTGATACCGATCATGATGATCAAAGCGCCAATCATACAGCCTTGCGACCAAGCTTCCAGCGTGAGTTTCGCCGGGCTCGAAGGCCATGCCGCAGGAACTGACATTGCGACGACACAGCAGGCTAAGACATGGGTGAGGCAGAGACTGGTCCGAACGATAAGAAAAGCGAGAGCAGCTCAGGGTGGAGACGAGACAGAGACAGTGCATATTAATAGAGATCAGCAGGACCCAACCCATTGACTTTACCCCGCCTTTGCTGGACCGCTAGTCTCCAGTGAGTTCGTCTAGGTGCAGGCTTGCTGGCCACTAATTTGCTCATCCCCACGCTATAGCTAGCCTGGGCTGGGGTCGCGGGGATGCTCAATCCTGGGGGTAAGGAAAAACAGCGGAATGACTTGCACCAAAAATCGCTGATCTCCGACCAACGTCTTTCCGCAGTTTTTTCCCTCACCACCTAGTCGATGCAACGCTACGACGACCTAGTAGGGGGGCAAGTGCTCTTAGTTTGTTCTTTGTACAGTGCTTTGTTTGCGGGTGGCACGCTACGCAGGTCCACGGGTTAACGGCAACGGCCAACCTATGAAGACTAAACTAGCCAAGGAGAAGAGCAGTATGCACTCGTCATACCTCATCACACCACCCAGCACGAATCAATCGGTAGCCAGGCGACCACCACCCACGACTAGGCCAGGCTAATGATGTGCGATTCCTGATACCTTGGAAAGATGGGATCCGAAAACACCATCCCCCTTTGCCGATCTATTCTTCTTCGTCCGCCCAGATACAAGGGCCTGCAGCCCTCGAATTAGATGGTGAGCTAAACCAACATCCTTGCAGATAATCATCTTGCGGGTGAATGACTGCTACCCAGCCCATTTGTCTGCACGGCTTGGCCAATTGGGACTAGACCAGTACGCCTTTAAGTAATGACGATCACAACCCGCTTTGTCCTGATACCGCCAGTCTTAAGTCTGTCAATTTCAGCAGCGCCTCGGGAGGCAATACACCAACAACTAGTCAGTACTCTCACAAACCGCGTAGCTAAATGAAACCAACGTCAAACTTCCTGTATCCGACACAACCTGAACACCGTTGGCCCCTTGGTTCGGATAAATCAGCCCTGATAACACTGCTACACCATCGTTCACGAATATCTCCACCGAGTTCCAATCCACATATATGACCAGCTTGACCGTGCTCCCTCCTGTCGGATCCCGCGCTGTGCGCACGGTATCGTACGCCTGCTTTGGGTCCGCAGCCATAGAATCCGTCGCCGAACCGTCTGAGTCTCTAACCAAAAAAGCCTGGGAACTCACAAAGTCGTAACCGACAGTCGTGTTGAAAGTCCCATCAGACTTTATGACAAAGCGGACCTCGTTGCCCTCGTCGCCGTCATTCTTGGAGATGGTGGCGCGAATGATGTATGCCCCTTGGTCCATGTCGCTGGGGAGGGATGCAGACGCAGGATCCGTTGTGATGGTCTTGTCGCTCACGGACTCGGGAGATGCGATAATCTCTTCATATCCCCCTATTGGGATGCTGGCCAAGGTGGGAGAACCGTTGATAGTCTTGAGCTTGACCTCACGGACCAAACTCTGCTGGCCAGCAAAGTCCGCGTAGTAAGGGAGCGAAGCTGCGTAATCCCAGCTATTCATCCAGGCAATGGCATAGCGGCTGCCGTATCTACTATTGGGATTTTCCCAGCTGACGGTAGCGTAGAAATCAGGCCCGTCATCCATCCATTGCGGAAAGCTTTCTGTGGCTGTGAAGCCGTTACCGTCCCATTCCCCGGTCCAATATGCAGTGCCGGTCGTCCTATTGTAGCGATAGCCGTTGGCGCCCAACGCAAGAACCCAGGTGCGCTTTGTGCTGTCACCGTCTAGGTCGATCTGATATAAGTCTGGGCATTCGAGGGTGCCCAAGTCCACGCCATGGTTATCAGGCTTGAACTCGGATACATACGCCCAAGTCTTCAGATCCATAGAGGTGTAGAAACCAATCTTATCACCCTCTGCGAGAGACATAACCCAATGCCCCTCGTTGCTATCCCAAAAGATCTTGGGATCTCGAAACGCAGGTTTTGTACTTGGGCTTGGGTTTGGAATTACTGGATTGCCCTCATAAGGGAGAAAGCTGTACCCATTGTCGGTGGAATAGAAAAGAGATTGCTGTTGCACCCCATCCGCCATCTGTGTAACAATGGCCACGACGGCATTCCGGCCAAAGCCAGCTGTGTTGTTTATGTCGACCACGGCGCTGCCGGTCTCGATGTCACCGAGTATAATGCCACTGGGAGGGTTCGGTTTGTACTTCTCGATCACTACGCCCCGGCGAGTCCAGTGCACCATGTCGGTGCTTGTGATGTGATACCATTCCGTACCCCCTGAGCCGGGATTTGAGCTATCAAAGTTGGAGTTGTATAGGTAGTAGAGATGCCATTCATCCCCCAGGAAGAATGGACGTTGGGGATCACTCATCCATTTCTGCTCAGGCGTGATGTGATAGCTGGGACGGGTGTTGGTGGTAGCAAGTGGTACTGCGCTGGCAAATAAGATGAATAACAGGAGACAAGAAAGACGGATCACCAGCATCTGAGAGACGAGTGAGAGAAGTCGCATCATGGTAGCGATGGATGCACGACGTTTTAGATTGTGATGCTATCTGGCAAAGCAAATTATTCGAAAGTCCTATTATTATTCATACTTATATAGACTGTTTACCTAAGAAATGAACAACCTGACTGAGGGCTTACACGACGTCAGCTTTCACGAACAATTCCCCCTCCAGATCACATTGAGTCCCAGCATAGGACTAGTGGGGTCTCACACCAAAGAGCGGCTGTCCCATGGTCACAAGAGACAGCGAAATACGGATTTCCTTTCAGGGCGATAGGGTGCCCAAGGGTGACTATGACCAGCGATACCATGTTGAAGCCTGCGCATGCGGAGTGCAGTAGCACTTCGATCTTAATGATGCGGGGTCGCCGTCTAGCTAGACGTAGGCGCGCTCAGACTACGAAGAGGTTGCGAAGATGCGGGGAAGTGATAGAAGAGGGAATGATATACCAGGAAAGCTTTGACTGGTTGTTGTTTGGACCATTTGGGCAGGTGATAAAACTGAACCTTGTCACACTTTACGGCTGCTCAGACCGATCAACGCAAGTTAGGATGAACCCCTTCGGAGTCGTCATCTGTTGAATGCGTTCTTGACTCGTACACGCTTCACGCTGATGCGGGGCCCCATAAGTAGGGGAGTTTTAGCGGCTACGCTAACTAGCAAGGTGCAGTAGTTGAGGGTCTCGCGCATTCTGGAAAGCCGCTAGAAACGGGGTACAAAGCAATCACATGTCGATGCACGCCTATACACTATCCTAGCCGACATGGGTTCATCAACAAGGGAATGGGAGAGGAGATCGCAACGCCGTGATCTCTCTTCCTAGCTCCACATCAATTACTCATAAATGCCTCATATGAGTCTTGTCAACTACAAGGGTCTTGGGAGATCAGATCAGAAGCGAGGTTACTGACCGAACCAATAAGATCGAAGTAATAGTGGCCATATGTCAGAGCCATATGAATCGAGAGTAACATGGAATAGATATTGAGTGAGAGCTCACAACCCTTCTGATCTGGAAACGGAAGGTAGAAATATCCACATTTTTCGCCCGACTATTGAGCTACGAGACTCATCACCGAAGCCATCTACAGAGGCGCCAGGGCTCCTAGATATCTGGCAGTGTAAGTGCAACTTACTATCAACTTCAACCAAGGTACCCTTCTACCTGGCATCTTGGTAAGCAACTACGTCTGTAATTAGTTCAGAACTTAATCGCGCATCGTCCGAACCCATGAAAGACTCACTAATTATTATTGATCAAGGTTGTATCGACCCTGGCTTCGGCATGATCGCTTACAGACACCACTAATTCTTTCACGTCCTAGGTTGAGACCAGATAGATCCGCCACTTCGATCCCCAAAGACATAATGAAAGATGTATAAATCTTGCACGGTTTCTCTACAATCTCACTGCACAACAATCAACTCAAAGCATTCACTCAAAGATGCAACTTCAACTCTCCCTTCTTCTTCCTTGCCTGCTGGCAACCGCCAGTGCAACATCCTACACCGAGGACTATCGTCCTCAATATCACTTCACCCCAGCCAAAAACTGGATGAATGACCCCAATGGCCTCATCTATCATAAAGGGAAATACCACATGTACTTTCAGTACAACCCTACCGGCAACGTCTGGGGAAATATGTCCTGGGGCCATGCAGTCAGCGATGATCTGATGCGCTGGAAAGAGTTGCCTGTCGCCCTCGACGCCTTCAAGTCTCCAGCAGGATCTTTGAATGAACTCTATTTCTCTGGGAGTGCCGTATCTGATGACGCCATGACTTCAGGTCTTGGACATGGCAAAAAACCTCCTCTTGTGGCCGTCTATACATCGTCTTATACGGCAGATTTGACCCTGCCGAGCAAGAAATCCGTCCGTGCCGGTCAGCAATCTCAATCCATTGCCTTCAGCACGGACAACGGCCTTTCCTGGACTGAGTATCCTGAAAACCCAGTCATCCTAGAGCCTCCCAGCCAATATGCCGACCAATATCTCAACTTCCGCGACCCATTCGTCTTCTGGTACGCGCCAAGCAAGCACTGGGTCATGACCGTCTCACTACCCCAACTTCACAAACTGCTTATCTACACTTCCAAAAACCTCACGGCATGGGAACATGTCAGTGAGTTTGGCCCTGTCAATGCAGTTGGTGGCCAGTGGGAGTGCCCCAGCTTGTTCCAGCTTCCCATGGATGGTAAAAAGTCCAGAACCAAGTGGGTGATGGTAATCGGACTCAATCCTGGCGGCCCCGCACATGCTGGCGGATCAGGAACCCAATATGTGGTCGGCAACTTTGATGGAACAACATTCACCGCAGATGCCAATAATGTTTACGATGTGTCTTCCCCAGAAGACAGCGTCGTATTCGAAGATTGGAATGAAACCAGCTTCGCAGAATCAAGCTGGAAGCCAACTGGTGATTTCGTCAAACAACAGCCCAGCAACGGCCAGGTGCTCACGTTGTGGGAAAAGGGCGACGAAAGTGT